GAGCAATACTACTAATGGTATTCTCTGGACTATTTCTATGATCAGCACGTCTGACTTGAGCGTCGGAGGGGTTTCCGCCGGATCAACCCCCGGCTTAGCTTATGTGTTCTATGATCGCAGGTACCTCAGGATCATCAAGTTGTCAAGCTACTGATCTGCTTTGCTCTCCCAGTTCGTTTTCTACACCACCCTAGGTGAGCTAGTAATTAGCATCATCAAAGATCATGGCAAAATTCTAAACGAGTACAATTTCAATCGAACACACACAATAAGTGAAATAATGTTCAAGGGTTATGAAATTACAGAGGTTCAAAATCCATTTCAACGTTTTCCTAAGTATCTCGCTATAAAGAAATTCAACCGATTTGGATAATCAGTGTGCCTAATATCTTCCTCTAAACATCTCAAAATTTAACGAGCCTGAACTTCTGACTACAGCCTTTCATTTATCACCTTCCTTCCATCACAATATCATTATAGATCCATGTACTGCACAATATGATGATTCTGTATGTAATTGTTTAGGGTTTCAAAGGCAATCTAATTGAATTATTTGTCCTTGATACACAGCTTACATACAGTTCATGAATAAACAAAGAATCGTGATTTTGTTAGGTCTTCAACCAATCTGTGCAATCTACCAAAATTCACTCGCGCAATTAGAAAAAAAAAAAACTAAAAGGATCTAATAAACGAAAGTCACCTCTTTCATCAACAACGTCGAGAGAGCAATGAACAATGTGATGAAGCTTGAGCGCATCGTCTGCCTCTGTAAAACTCTGTATGTATAGCGGATTGTTCTGCCAATCACACGAAATCAACCAAAAATTTACTCCAATTACGTTTTTCAAGATTAAATTACTCAGGCAAATCGTACGAAACTGATGAATTCAGATTGAGAAACGTGAAAATGAGGAGGGGAGAGGAGGCGCACCTGGTGGCCTACGACGGCGACGCAGACGATCATTTCTCCACTGTGATGGTTCAGCTGAGATTCTTCTGTGCGGAGAAAATGCTGAAATAGAAGTAATTTGGACTATTATTAATTATTATATTAGCATAATTACCTTTTTAACGATGTATTAAACTATTAGTAATGACAATTTAGTTCTAGAGGTTTTTAACAATGGACCTCGCTGCACTTAAACTACTAACTTTGGGCTCTTAATCTGAGGCCCAAATTTCAATCGGGCTCATTTAAATTAAACTACCAACTTTGGGCTAATAATCTAAAGCCCAAATTCTATACGGGCTCGTTTCAATTAAACTACTAACTTTGGGCCTGAGGCCCAAATTTCAATCGGGCTCGAGGATAAACATCTTTTATAGTACACATTTGAGTTTTTTTCTAAATATATTAAAAAAAATGAACATTTCAGCAATTTTCAGCAGAAAGGTACGCTATATATATAGTATACAATTTTTTGACGATTCAAAAAATAGTTATACAAAATAGTTGTGCAAAAGATTTGAACATTTGAGCGAATTTTAGCGCACAAAAAAAAAAAAACGCATGCTATAGTATACGAGTTTCTTAAGCGATTCAAGAATTAGTGATGCACTGACGACCGTACAGGATCTCAATTTTTTTTTTTTTTTGCCAAATCTTATTTTGAAATTGGAAAGCATAACCACCATTAAAAGTGAAATAAATTAAACACTTGAGTACCTCAAAATGGATAAAAAGAAAAAAGAAAACAAAAAAACTTTCAGGACAATACCAAATTCAGCATCCTATTCATGTGAGGTCACAGTATCTTTCCACCTACACAACTACACCACCACATGATAAACAAGCAAATTCCAGAGTGGTTATAATCCCACCCCATCTTTGATAATGTGTATTTACCTTTTTGTCCCTGCTTTTTCTATCCCTACTCTCAGGCTCCTATTGGCTAATCAAAGGTCAAAAGTGGATAAAGCATCTGTCACTCTTGAAACCAAAATTATATTCACAGATCTTTCCAGATTTTACGGATTTCAAGTCAGAATTAAATTAACCAGTTTAATTAATAAACACGCTACTAAGATATAATTTATACATGACAAATTTGTGGATCTTAACGAACGTATTATTAATAATATCTATTTAATTAATTAATATATAATTATATTATCCCTTACTGGAAAAACCCAGGTCGCAACAAACAGCACTAAGATACTGTTCAGAATTATATTATTATAGATCTGTAATTGCGATTACATTTTCTATTATTATTACTGGGAATCCAATCGTAGTTAGGCTGTAAAAAAATTAATGAAGTTTAAATATATTATTATCCAATGTTATTTATTTTTTTAATCAAATTTTAAAAGTTGAGCTTGGTGTATATAGTTTATTTATTATTTTCTATATTTTAAATTTTCATGTTAAGTTGATGAATGAAGCTCAAACAAAATTTTGACTATGAATAATTTCTCATCTAGTAGTTTATATTTTTTTTATTTTCATTCTAATTACAGGAAACTATTGGGAATTTTCTTTAATTACATTATGGTAGGTTCCACATAAAGAAATAAATTTGCTATAGGTATTTGATGGATTTAGGTGGTGTTTGAAAAGCTTTTTGAAAGTGATCATAAGTTTTTTGCAAAATTAACTTTTGCTTTTACTTTTCTTAAAATAATTTGCTTTAAGCTATTTTTCTAAAAGCACTCATAACCCTGTTTTTTTCTCATAAGTTCATTTTCCGGAATAATTGCAAACACCCCCAACTTTTAGAAATAAGCACTTGAAACTGACTTAACTCATAATCACTATCTTCTACTTTTAAATAATCATTTGCAAACACCACATTAGTTTTAAATAAAGGATTTGAGGGTTTTAAACTTACAACACTAATTTAAAATGGAGCACATAAGTTATAAATCTGACCATGAAAATAATACAATCTAGATTAGATTGAAGTATATACAGTGTAATATCGGTAATTTAATACTCGATTAAATAATAGTTTCTCTTGGTCCCGGTTCGGTAAAAACATGCTAAATTATTAACTAGATAATTTAATAACTCGCTAAATTAATAGAATCTCCCTAGTCCAGACTGTAATAATTTATAGAGGTTTAACTGAATTGGATTCTTGAAATCCCGACTCTCCACAACGAGAAGTAGATGCTACATCTAGTTATTTCATTTGATGAATTCCGATCGTAAATCTGATTAGTTAAGCACAAACACATACAGATGGGTGTGTATATATAATTATATATCTAGATCGACGGTTCAAATTAGGTCGGGTAACAAAATAGTGAATTTAAAATGGTGAACAAATTCAATCTCCCACAATTATACAAAACAATACTTGACGTTGATATATTTTGATAGTAATGAATTGGTCCACAAGAAATTTGCAGGGGGCCAATAATACAGGTCAAGTCATTTTCATGAATGAAATTATTTAGAGTGGCATTTAGGTAAATAGCTTCCTATGTTGAAGGGCAAATTGGTCAAAAGATTAAGAAACTACCAGAAGTCCAGAGAGAGATGAAAGAAACAACACAAAAGCAAAAGCAGCACTACTTTTTGTCGCAATGTCCAAAATTCATACACAACAACCAAAGCTACAAACAAAACTAAATAGAAAGAGAAAAACAATAGCTCGTACTTAATTAACAACAGTAATAATCTCTCTCTCATTACATATTAATTAAACATAAATAATTTAAAAAAAAAAAAGATTAATAATAATAATAATAAAAACAAGAATGAAAAACTAATTAAAAAAGGTACAGAGTTTAATTTTGATTTCTGAGAAATTCTTCTTAGTTGGTCGGATTGCTCCTGAACGATCCCAACGCCTTAATAGCTCCGGCCCTAAGTACAAACTGGTGGTATATCGCCGCCGCTATTGCTCCGGCCATTGGTCCCACCCAGAATATCCACTGCAAAATCAATCAATTATATATTAATTTTAATATTATTTAATTACATCATCATGTGCTAATTAAATTAGAAATTAAACTGATCTGGTGGTTAATTTAATGGTAATTAAGACAATTACTTACATGATCATCCCAAATCTTCTGGTTGTTGTAGATGACGGCAGCTCCGAAGCTCCGAGCAGGGTTGATGCCGGTGCCGGTGATGGGGATGGTGGCCAAGTGGACCATGAATACTGCAAACCCTATCGGGAGTGGGGCCAGGACAGGCACGTGAGAGTCACGCGCGCTCCTCTTGGGGTCTGTGGCGGAGAAGACTGTGTAAACAAGCACGAAGGTGCCGATAATCTCGGCACCCACCGCCGTGCCGATGTTGTAACCATGGGCGACGGAGTTGGCGCCGCCGCCGAAGCGGTTGTAGTCGCTCTTCATGAAGGCTTTCACCAGCCCCACGCCGCAAATAGCGCCCAGAGACTGCGCTATGATGTAAGAGATTCCCCTAATCAGCGACACCTTCCTCGCCAGAAACAGCCCGAATGTAACCGCCGGGTTGATGTGCCCACCTGAATTAATTAATTAATGTAATTACAGAGTTTAAGAACAAATTAAAATTAAGTGAAAATGTTAGGGTTTCAAATGTTACCTGAGATTCCGGCGGTGCAGTAGACGAGGATGAAGATCATGCCGCCGAAAGCCCAGGCGATGCCGAGGAGGCCGACGCCGTTGCACTGGTCGAGTTCGCTGAGCTTCTTGTGGCCGATGACGGTGGCGACGGTGACGTAGAGAAAGAGGAGGGTGGCGATGAACTCGGCGATGAGTGCTCTGTAGAAGGACCACAGCTTCAGCTCACCGATGCCTAGAAACGGAACCGGCGGCGGGTCCACGTAGTCCTTAGGCGCCGCCACCTCTTCACCAACTTCCTTCGTCATCTTTTGCTTTCTCTCTCTCTAGAAAGATAAAAGGTTGTCTCTCTCTCTCTCTCTCTCTCTTACTTTTTTGAATTTCTTAGGGTTTGTGTGTTGCAGCTGAGCTGAATGTGGTGTGTGTTCTCTAGCTAATGGGAGTGACCTTTTTAAGGGTGAGGGAGAGGGAGGGGCAACTCGAGGATTTGTGGATAAGACGAGGGTACTTTCGGAATACCATTCTTGTAGTGTATTATTTTTTTATTTTTTTGTATGAATAATATTATTTCTCTTTTTATTAGCCCTTCAATTCAATAATTAGTATATATACTATTTTATTTATATTTCTTTTTATAATAATTTTATCTTATTTATATATTGATAATAAAACATTAGATTAACAAATAAATTGCAACAGTTTGAACAACTGTGCTAATATGATGATTTAACTGATAATTCAAATTTTATTTCAAAATAAATTTATTCCGACACCTTATGACATGATTTAAATGTTAATTATAGTGTAAATTATTGTCTCTTAACAAAATACAAATAAAATATTACTTTATTATCCAAATTCTTTTGTTAAGATATGATTTTTAAAACCAAAATTTTTAATGGGGCCAAACATAGCATGGATGAAGCACTTAATTAATAATATTGCATCTCCTAAATCAAAAAAAAAATGTAATCAAACATATCATGAGACATGACCATAACTCAAGGATCTATATTCTTCTACATTTTTTAATAAATTAATTGCATGGTTTCGTGAAAGTGCTAATTAATAAATGAATATTTTGAATTCGAAATAATTGAAAATTGGAATTGAATGCAACAACTACAACTCATGTTTGCAACTCGTGAGTGATCATGTCCGAATAAAATCAAAATCCGGCCAACAAGGAGAGAGAAACCAGGGTTAGGTTAGAGAGAGAAAGTGGGACCAAATAAAGACAGCAAGACCATGTGATGGCTAATCATCTGTTTCTTTGTGGGGTTTGCTGTCGTGCTGTGGGGGCTTTACTGTTGTGGGTCCCACTTCAATCCTAAACTCCACCAACGGTCCGATTTTTATTTCTCTCTTTCCTCTTTTACCCCTTATAATTTCATAAATTTATTTTGTACACTAGAGGTGAAAACTAAGAAATTCCCATTTTACCCTCATTACAAAATTCCGCAATTTATACAGCAAACATTTAAGGTATGATAAAATTTAAAAAAATATTTTATATTTGAATAATTACAATCGTCTTTCAATTGCGTATTGTCCCTCTAATTTACCTTATTTTAAATTCTCAATTAATCATTTAGGTACCCATTAATTGTTTAATGTAGCCATTGTACTATGGTCAACCATCAATAGTATGTATGTGCTTCCAAATCTGTAATTCTGATTTTTTTCTAGAGCAAGACATTTTACAAATTTAATAATGGCTTGTACTTATATATACAACTATTCCTTTTTCAGCTGTCATTAACTAATGAATTGAGTTGAACTGGACGTAACTCATATCATAATTTATTATTATTATTATTATTATTATTATTATTATTATTATTATTATTATTATTATTATTATTATTATTTTTAGTTTAGGTAAATAACATGAAATGTATATATTGGGGAAAGGGAAAAAAGTAGAAGAATAATTCACAGAGGGTAAAAAAAAAACAACTACCAGTCAAAACAAAATGACTTTGGGAAGTGTAAAATTGAGTTGCTCGAGATTAATTATCTCGATTCTTCTATGATTTGGACGTATTAAGTACAGGTTCTTTTATTTATTATGTTTAATTAATAGTAATTTACAAAACTTTCACTGTAAGTGCACAGCACTTTTAATTAATCATGGGCCTGTTCAAGCCCATTTATTTTCTCTTTCCTTTATTTTTATATTTATTGAGGCCCAGATTCATGGGGGGCCTATGTTGAAAATAAATAAATAAATAACAAAAATTATCACGTGGAATAAAGCTGGCATTTGTGACGTTTGATTGAAAAATAATAATACTCAATTTAGCTAGGGACCACCTTATAAAATAAAATAAATAAATAAATAAATAATAATAATTGAAATTCACATCATAATTTTATTTTCACCTCATTGCTTATACATCTGTAGAAACACAACGACAAAATTTCCTGAAAATAGGTTTATAATAGTATACAAATTATATCAGGTGAAATAAATCGAAATTGGTTGCATTTTTTTTAATCAAAAAAGAAAAATAAATAAATAGACAATTACAATATATATACGTACAAAATCGGAGTGGGGGTGAATTGTGAACTAACAACAATCTATAGTCAGAACGAGCCATGCAGAAGCTGCCACGTGTTGGAGTTCTGATGTGGGGGGGCCAAAACGAAACGGGACGGTTTCGAGACGGTTCTGTCACTCTGTGGAATCCGTTAAGAGGAGAGAGTTCTTTTCTGTATGTATATGTAACGGTCGTATTTGTTACCGTTTGATTTGTGTGTATTTGTGGCCGTGAGAAAAAAAAATGTGAAGTTTAAAAGGCGCACGTTAGATACGGCGGCCCCCGTCCTTCTGTGCTTGAAAACGACCCCTCTAATTATTACACACCCTTGTCAATTTGTGTTTTGCCACTTCTTCTATAAAATAATTAACTCTTTCAATATGATTAATAATTCAAATTTTGTTACCAATTTTCATGACCTTCAATATAAAAAATATATAACAAAAAAAAATATCCATATATGCCCATGTGCAAAGAGAAACTGGACAAATAAAATACACATGTTACCGACATATAGTCGAATTATTAAAAATAATAGTACTTCTCAATAAAAAAATAATAATAATAAGAACAATAAATTTATTGTGAATTTTCATATTAAGTGGTACCATTTGGGTAATCTCATGCACAATGCACGTTTCGTACATGATGTTTTTCATACTAGAAATAGCTTCACAAAATATGGGCACGTGATTTGTTACCTGCACCAAATCAAAACATGACAGGCAATTAAATTAAGCTTTTACCAAAATATATAATAATATAAAACCAAACAATATTTAAATTTATTTTCTTATTACAATATGCATCAGAACAATAATTGAGAATGAAGAAGAAGAATAACTCTTTTTGGGTTTATTTGTTCAGTAAATTATAAAGAGGAGAATATTCCAACTCAACATTCCACTATATATTATGAATTTTTATCATTGGAAAAATCCATTTTGGCAAGAATACTAGAATAGTAATAACTCTGTAAGGTTTGTTTGGGTCCATTAAGGTAAAATGAAAAAGTATATTCAAACTCTATGCCAATAAAAGAAAAGGGAGAAAAGAACAATATATTGTAAGTTGTAACTACTGCCAAGAACAACAACCATCTGAGAAAAGATTGTTTCTAATTAAACTTCGTCGTATCAAACTATAAATATTATAATTCAATAAATATTTAAATTATTTATTTCAACGCTTTGTGGTCCCTTAATCATTTAAGATTAAAAGTGTTTAGGAACAATTGTCAGGGCGCAGCTTCTGATTAATTAATTGCATACTATTAATTAAATAAATTAAGATTGCAATATTAATGTTATTCCTATTTTGTTTTAGCTCAATTATTACAAAATTGACTATAGAGGTCGGTGAGTGATAAGAGAATTCTTGAATTCTTTTGTCCAATTTATATTATTTCAAAATTTTGTCATTATTCTTAGCATTAACTTATATCATTATTCTTAGCAGTACTTGTAATTATTGATGATGATGACATTTACGTATTCGTGTCACAGTACACATCATTCTGCAGGGCCGGCCCTGGGGTGGGGCGAGCAGGGCCCACGCCCAGGGCCCAATTGGCTAGAGGGGCCCAATTTTATATATTATATATATTTTTTATATATAAAAATTTATTGTTTTATTATTAAAAAAACATATTCTTTTATTTAAAAAAATCTTCTGTTATTATTTTTAAATTTAGTATTAAAGTAGACATAAAATTTTAATATTTTATTTAGTCAAACAAAAATTTATTACATATTTCTCTAACATTTGTTTAAAAAAAAAATCGGGGGCGTTGCTCTTGAATTCCCGTATTATTAGTCATACAAATTTTATTCTCGCCCAGGGCCCCCGAATACGCCGGACCGGCCCTGTCATTCTGTATAGGTCTACGCTAATAAATAATAATAATTTTCCAATAAATTCAATCTGACTATTAGCTGATGAATAACAAAAGGAAAAATATTTGCAGTTCGGCCCATCTTCAATGTGATTTTTCTTTTTGTTATTTGCTTTTTTGTTTTTTACAAAAGGCCCACAAAAAATTACTAATGAGAGCCTGTTAGACCAATATATATATTTTTGAAGGTTATATATAAGAATTCCTGTTAAAATCACCCTCCATTTGTCATATGGATCTCCAGCTTCCATAAATCGGTGACTTATTTGTTCACAAACCGCGTTATGATCCAGTGTACCTATGTAAATGGATGGTTATATATATTAATTTGATTGTGTAATGAGAACATTGTGAATTTATATACATATGTATACTTACAATGTTGTTGTGGGGAGATTTAAGGTAAAATCCTTGAGCAGTTATGACGACTATGTTTGAAGTTACGAGAATGAAGATACTTAGAGAATGCTTCCCCATCCACTCCAACACAAAAGTCAACCATCTCCATCCGTAAACATCAACCTGCAGTGATGAAGATTTCGCAAAGAAAAGTCAACTACATTATATATCACAGTAGCTGTTAAGTTAGCGAAACTGTGCAAAACAATTTTTAATTTCGAGACTTGCCAGTATGTATAGTGTGCAGAAAGTTATTCCAGCAGATGCTGTTGTAACCAACAAGTAACTTATCGTGTACAGAGATTTGTTAAGCGGTATTCCTGAAGGCAACGAAAAAGAAAAAGGGGTTTCTATGAGAATAATTGACATGATTATAATAAAAATCCCGTATATCGCAATTTCCTCGACTGCACATTGAAGCCTTAGCAGAAAATGTAGTTTAAAAATAGTATAACCATACTTAAAACCTTGTAAATCGAAGAAAAAATATACATACCAAAGAAGGTAAGTAACAGACCGAGACCCATTAATGAAACCGAGAATAGGGACCAGTTCCATAGCCGTTCTTTGTGGTGCTGAAACATAATAATTTACTGCAGTTAGCTCCACAATAATAATTAGAATTTCATAATCAAAATGCATGGAACTTGATTTATTAGTGTGATTGGAAAAGATTATCTATGCCCTTCATACAGAAATTTGCCACAGAAAATTATTATCTTACATTAAACTATGTTTGAAGTTCGAATGAAGCGAAGAAATGAGGAAATCCGGTATATATCTCACCTGTGATTGTATTAAAATGTGGCCGTATTGGAGTCCAATGATGCATGTTACAGCAGCTGTGATTGAACTGTAAGTACACACGGTCTACATAAGGAATTACATATTAAAACTTGACATAAATAAATATCATATAAAGATTTACTTTATTTTGAAAAAAAAACGAAGAACAGAGGTGTTATATAGCTTACCTCAAAATACCTTCAGGATCAAAAGGAGTATGACACCATGAAGGTGAATTTTGTGGGACATGTCCTTGGCTGGATATATTGCATTCCTGTAGTTTCAAGACGAATTATGCATCAATTAATAGCATAGTGCATAACATGAAATTTACAGCAAGAAAGAAAATACCTTCAGATTCCTGTAAACAGGTTTAGCGTATAGATGATTAACTCCAAGAATATAACGGTCTATCATTCCAGCAGAGTTACAAGCAGGACTGAGATCACCTCTCACAGAACATTTCACCTGAGTTTCAATAAAGAATAATTGTCGAACAAAATATAAAGTAACATGGACTTGCAAATAATAAGGTTAGACAGAAATAAATGGAATAATTTCTTACTTCGTAAACATTAGTGCTATTTGCAGTCACCAGAGAAGAATCCGATTGCACCACATATTGCCAATCCGGAACATACAGACCATATAAGAACCCTAAATATATGACTGACAGAAACAATGCGACAAACCTACAAAAACGAAAATTGGATGTGTTTTCAGGAAATAAGATCCTAGAAAATAAGAGAAATAAAAAATAAAATTATCTAACTAGTTTATCCTGAGTGCTACTTCATTTGGATTCGAAAAAGATTGCATAACGAGAGAACCAATTATCACAACATGTGTTTTTTTTTTTGAACTTACCTATAAAACTGTTACACATGCGTAAGTACGCAACAGGCTTATTATTTTTTAACATGTCAGCTCCTATTAATAAAACCAATTAGCATGCCTGTATTGACTCACCATTGAAGATGATAATTTCTACGGAAACCATCTCCTCTCCTCCTTTGCCACGGGAGCCATATTTCACACATTGCAGCTACAACATATCCAACTGCTATCCTCTATATTAGTGACAAAATAAAATTTGTAAGAATTATTTGTCACATGTATTTGCTTCTACAGAAATCCCCTTCGATACTTGATTATAATAAGATGTAAATTGCAAGATTTCACATGTATGAAAAGAACCTGTAAGATGCCAAGGAATCTTATCTTCTCAACGTCCACTCCATATGTCAAAGAAGTAACACCGTGAAAATATCCACCTGAAATGAAGTAAAATTATGATTCTTAACTATCAGATAGCATTCAGAAAATACAAACAAGACCCTTAAGATATATTATCTCATTTTGAAGGGCGACAAATAGTTTTATCCGATTTAGATGTGCAGTTTCTGCATGCTATTGTATACCAAACACATGCATTATATGACTAACAGAAAGATCCAACGGGAGAGTTACTTAATTAATGATACCCTGAAGAAAAACACCGAGCATGAAGAGTTTCAATCCTCTAAGGATGGCCTTCCATGTAGCTTCTACTCTGTCTGAAACTTTCTGCAAATTTAAATTCAAAACAGCCATTCAGACGTGATTCAGAATAACTCGAATTCTATAAATTCAAAAAAAAAAAAAAAATCTAAAGCGGAAGTACATATTCCTGTTACAAATGTATATATGGTTACCTTGTATACAATTACAATAGATACTCCAGCAGCGAAAAGGAAAAACGGCATCACTAAGTCTGCCAAATGAACACCGTTCCAAGGGGCATGAGAAATAGCTGGGAAAATAGAGCCTGCGTAATCTACAAGCATCATCAGCTGAAAGGGAAAAAAAATAAAATAAAAAATTGCAAGTTAAGATTAATAATTAGCTTTAGTGTTGAATTATTTGCTCATATATCTAGACCTCATAATTTCTGATTAAATCATTAATGAAAGCATTAAATGCTATACCATCAAGCTCAAGTGGCACTTGATCAACAATGTGAAAAGAATTGAAAAAAATAAAAAATAAAAAAATCAATCACCCCCAAAAAAACATATTCCTTGTTTCACACCCTCAGAATCACAGGAAAAAAATCAAAAAAATAGAAATCAAATTATATTTCCCACATTTCCCTCACTTCCACATTTCTGACAGATTGAATTCGTATTCCCCTTCCCTAATTAATGTATAGGTGCAAAATCACAATTCAATAATTACTGATCAGATCGGAAAAAAAAGCTCAAATCACTAAACAAAGCAAATCCAACATAAAACTAATGATTAAGCAAACCAACAAGCACAGCCACTCCAATTTCAAGTATCGATCGTCGCAGAAAACTATTAAAACTAAAAATCAAAACGGAAATAAAGCATTACGAAAACGCAAAGGCCACGGAAAACATCGAGAGAAGCCACGCGAGCAGCTTTCCGATTAGCAACGCCGCCGCTTCTATTAGCTAGTTCATCCAGCTCCATCGGTTTCTCCTCGTCCGCGGCGTGGCTGCGCATCAACGGCTCCATCTCCGCCATTACTTTTCCAACTTTTTGTATTTATAATTCGAAGCTTTTCCTCTTTTCCCTGGGGTATTTAATTTATATGCTTGCAGGAAACAGGAGAAAATGGGAGCACAATTTTACTTCACTGAAATCGCCATTTAAGCCGCTTTTCCAAATTGAAAAGCAGAATAGCACTGTGTGAAATTGGATGAATATGAACAGAGCAGGTGAAAAAACCTATGGAAGCAAAAGCAGAAGCCACGCCAGTGTGAAAGCTCAGGCATACTAACGTATCATGACGTGGCAATACGCCATTCGTCAAGATAAACAGTGACGACACTAGCAACTCTATTTTCCCCTGTCCGAGTTGGACCAATAGGATACTGACATCTGTATGAAAAAATATCTGCTGGCCCCACTTTGTTGAATTGAAATTATTTGAAATAGCGTCATAGCTTGGTCACCGGGTGGTCAAAATCAGGCGACCCTATTTGGCCCAACATTCTATGGAGGCCCATAAATTAGAAGGAAAAAAATATTATCTATTAATTTTAAATATTTTGTTTTATTTAATTTTATTTTAAAAAAACCCTCAAAAGAACCTACAATTTTCATGTATTAAATTGAAAAGACCATATTATTATGCATCAATTATATTATAGCAAATTTCATTTGAATATAGATATTTTTTTATACACAAAAAAATATGTATTGAATATATTATTTAATACTTTATTTAATATGAAACCATCTTATATAAGCTTTACTAAATGACATTTTCCAATTTTAAAATAATTGGGAAGATTTACTTAATGATTTTTCAAGTCTTGAATTTTTATTTTAAAAGTAGTCAAGTACCATTGCCTGCCCTAATGCATATCTTTGTTATATCCTAATTATATCTTTTATTTTATAACTATAACTACTCACACCTTATATTTAATATATAACATTCAAGGTAATCAAACTTCAACATACTACACTCTTGGCGGATTTACTAAGGGGCAGGGGGGCAGCCGCCCCCAGAAAAAAATATTCCAACTTTTTTTTATTGCTTTTTGGCATAATATTATACAAATATGTGTTTTTGCCCCCCCCCCACCCACCCCGCTATTTTTATTTTCTTCTCAATTCTTTTATGTAATTTTATATATTCTTTCTCTACTCGTTATTACAATATAAAATACAACTACTAAAATATATATTTTAACTTCAAAATTATAAATATATACTTATTTTAGCAATATTTTGTGAATAACCCGAAAAAAAATTCGGGGGCGCTGCCCCTGAAATCCCCAAAATTATAACCTCCCGTTGGATATATTTTTTCGTGAAAATTTTGCCCCCCTTAAAATGTTGTCTAGATCCGCCACTGACTCTCGTTTAGTAGGTTGCAGACCATACGAGAGGTACAAACTCCAAACTCCACCTAGCAACCGTTAGTAATAGAATTAGAATTTAGATCAATTGACACACTAAATAGAGTCTGTATAAATTCCTTAATAAAGTAAAGAGATATGTCCTAACATAAAAATAAAGTTCGAGATTATGTAAAAGCCAGAAGGGGGAAAAAAATTGGTGAATATTTACTAAACTGAATTAAGTATAGAACATTCAATCAAATGCCGATGTGTTCGTCATACGAATCGCTTCTTCCTACTCTGGAATAAAGTCGTTTTCTGTGTTGAGAGTACAACCGAGTTGTTCTATCGACATCCACTTTAGCATGTTTGCTACCTTGTTACACGTCAGCTCAACCAGACTCTTTATGTTTAAGTTGTATGCAGCCTGATAAATATTATGTATGACAAATCCGTCAATAAAAAAAATATAAAAATAAATACAACAAATCGAAATATCACCGATGAAAGATTTAGTTTTGGCGAATCGACGAAGAAAAAGTAAATACGGAATCCATCGGAAATATAGTTAAAGAAAATTCTGTAACTATAACATGAGAAAACAAAAAAAAATCAAATAAACCCTAACCCTAGGGGTAAAAAGGTCAAATTGACTGTAGAGATAAGGCGACGTACATTGAGGAGGTCAATTAGCGTGGACTGGTCAACCTTCAGGAACTCAGTATCAAACCGACGCACGTATTCTTCGGCGACCTTATGGGACACCGCGCCGTAAACGGCGGCGTTGGATGCGGCTTCGGCGTGGTGCTTGCAGTATTCTATCACCTTTAACAGAATATTCGAGGTGACGTTAGGCAGCGGGATTGGGGTGACGGCGATGTTATTCTCGATCATGTTTTTTATGGTCTCCGATTGGACGGCGACGGACTCTTCAACCTCGAACGTGACTCCGTCGGAGCTTATCAGAGTGATCATCTTTTTGGTTGCGGTTTCTACGGTCGACATTATTTTATTCGAGAACGGAAACCTATGAGAGAGAGAGAGAGAGGAGGCTGAAAGTAATTGGTTGAGAGAGAGAGAGGGTAAGCCTAAATACGCGTATATAAAATTTTGATGTGATTATATATATAGGTTCCTTCAACCTTACACTTGGTGAAAACACCGGGTGGTCTTCTGCTGCCACGTGTTCTTTTTTTTTATTTTTCTAAATCCCTAAAGTTAAACCCTAGCGGGGAATCTATTATAAAATTAAAAAAAATTATAAAATAAAATAAAAAAAGACGCGTGGCAGCAGAAGACCCACCCGGTGTTTTTCACCAAGTGTAGGGTCGAACAAATCTATATATATATATATATATATATATATATATATATATATATATATATATATATATATATATTATTTTCTTTTTTATGATTGGGTTAAAATAAAAAAAAAATGGAATTAACGAAGACGGAGAAACTTTAATCCATGAATAGTTATGCTAATTTTTTGAGTATGTGTAGATATCAATATTCGTGGGGATGCTCAAAAAATATCGGAACTACGTCGTTTTGTTATAAAATATCAAAATTAGTTATAGAAGTATGTAAGTTTTTTTATAACATTACTTTTTTATAACATTACTTGGTACCAGTAAAAGTAAAATATTAATATATTATTAATACTCAGGTTCACAATGTCGAGTTATTATAATAGAATAATAAATACTAAATATCTCTTGAAAAATAATTAATTAAATAGTAAAATTGAATATTTATTTTTTGTTGAAACAAGAATGAGGATGAAGATGGCAAACAAGAAGAGTTGTAAATAATCAACAATCATCTTATATAATTGATGTAGATATTCAAAAGAACGACTTAAAACAAACAAAATTAAAGTAGGAAATATGTCAAAAACTAGAGATTAACTAATTAATAAACTAAATGAAAAAGATCAAGAGCAGCATATTCAATTTTCCTCAAAAACCCAGGGATTCTCGTTGCGAACATCGTCTTCCTCCTCTTTAGTATAGTCGTTTTCAATGTTGAATAACTTGCGAACCTCTTCTACTGACATACCCTTCATCTGGTCTGCTACACGTTGACACTTGTCGTCGAGCAAGCTCTTGATGTTTAAGTAGTTTGCTGCCTGATAAATTAAACGATAAAACCAATTACAGGTTAAATAGCTCGTATAATTTGCAAACTATTATATAAACATTAAAAAAATTTAATCGACCCACAAAGCTACATATAATATTCGAAATATAATAAAATATTAGGTTTTATTTGTGGGGTTTATTACAATTAATAAGTACCAATTTTTCTGTCGAACGGTTAAAAATTATTCTATTTTATTTTATCAGGAAAAAAACTCCCCGATGACTAAATTCTTTTTTTGCAAAAGCCCCTGAACAACTTTACTAATTGCTGATTTTTTTTAATAAAATAATTTTTTTTAACAATTTAATATAAAACAAAGTACTAATTGCAATAAACTTATTATATGTGGGCTATAAGCCCTTGTAAGTTGTAACCCTATATTGGCTCATGTTAGTTGCGAAAAAACCCTAAATATTCAATAAAAAAACGAAGGAAAAAAGAAAGTTGAAGAAAAAAAAATAATCAAAAGAGGGATAGAGGAGGTACCGATATGAGTTCAAAAAGGGTGGGGAACTCGGTTTCGGGTTCTTGCGTAGGTGAATCGGCGGCGCCTGTATCGGGGGCTTTAGTGAGGCGCTTGCAGTACTCAATAACCTTGGCCAGAGTCTCCGAAGCGACGTTAGGGAGAGGGATAGGGTTGTCGGCGCATCCATCTTCGATCATGTTTTTTATGGTCAGAGAATGTTCGGCAACATCCTCATCGATCTCGAACGTGTGACCGTCGGAGCTCACCAGGATAATCTTCTTCTTCTCGGTTGCAGTGCTTGAGGAAGATGCCATTGTTTTCTTAGAGAGAGAAGGAGATGAAAGAGAGAGAGAGGAGATTGGCGTCTTCTTAGAGAGAGAGAAGATAATATTTTGGAGAAACGTTAATTGTGTATTTATAGAGGGATTGAGTATTTAGGGTTTTAAGGAAATTGGATTAATTAATTCTAACTGAAATAGAATTTTTGTCCTGGTTATACTAGAAAACATATATAATTTGTGCTTAATTCCCATATAAGATTACTAGATCTTTTGAAAATAAATAGAGAGAAAATTACTTGATTGGTTTAAAGAATATATATATATATATATATATATATATATATATATATATATATATATATATATTAAAGCCAGAGACGTAGATAAAATATGATATTATGTCAAAACTTTTAATTTATGTAAAAATAAAATAAAAAGGATGTTAATGGGATCGGATATCTCTACCTTCTGTATTTGCGAATTTTAATTATCTCAATTATCTCATGTATGGTTCGGTTTTTATCAAAACAATTAACATAATCAATTTTCGATAAAATGATATTAATTTAGTGAAATATTAGTACTCGTCTACTCTATATACAAATTACAATGCATATGAATTGTTACTTTGTTAGATGGTAGAGAGGCACTCAATAGACATAATTCTAATCACAATATTGATCATTATAATAGAATAAAAAATAAGCATGTTACGAAAAGAAAATAACGAAACTGACTTATCTACCAAAGGAATCTCAACAAATTAAACGAAATTGACATATCTACCAAAGGAATCTCAACAAATTAAACGAAATTGACATATCTACCAAAGGAATCTCAACAAATTAAACGAAATGAATTACGAAATTTGTTAATCCTGAGATTTAAAAAAAAGAAAAAATAAAATTTCATCAATTATTCTCAAATTTCCAATCACGATCCTTGCGAAATTTCTCTTCCTCCTCCGGAGTAAAGTCGTTTTCGATGTTGAACATTTCGCGAAGTTCAACCGGCGACTTCCCCTTCATCGTGCCCGCTACAGTTTCACAAATCAGATCCATCAAGCTCTTGATGTTTAAGTAATTTGCTGCCTGACAAATATCAAAACAATTTAATTAAATTAAAAACCAAACCAAACCAAACCCTAGGGGCAAAACAGTCAAACTGAAGATATATACCAACAGCAGGTCAAATCGGGTGCACTGTTCGACGTCCATGAATTCGGTATCAAAATCGATCAGAGAATCTTCGGAGACCTTCTTGGCGGCCGCCGCCGCGCCTTTATCGGCGGCGGCTTCGGTGTGGTGCTTGCAGTATTGGATAATCATGGCCAGAATCGGGGTATTGACGTTCGGCAGTGGGATGACGTCGTCGGCGCAGCCATCCTCAATCATGTTTTTGATAGTGAGAGAATTTGAAGCAACCGCCTCATCCATCTCGAAAATATCCCCGTCGGAGCTCTTCACGACGATCTTCTTCTGGGCGGCGCCGCTTGAGGAAGACATTTGTTTTTGTTTTTAGAGAGAGAAAGAAAGAGAGAGAGAGAGAGGGTACGCAGAGAATAAACGAGACGAAACTTGGAAAAAGATTTGTGAGCGGTCTCTATTTATAGACGCGACTTCTCGTTTTTTTTTTTTTTTGAAAAGCGTTATTTCAATTGATAGACTCTTTCGTCTAAGGAGTCTTCTCGAACCAGGACTCTTTTCCCATAATATATATATTCCCATAACTATTAAATATTTCCACCTTTAAATTCGTGGTTTTTTCGTAAATATATGTATATGTCACATTGTTCATGGAAATAAAATCCTACAAGAAATATTAAGTGTACAGTATTAAATTTAGAAAATTTTGTTGCTTTATAGAAAGCATCTTAAATTAATTAAAATTCAATCGTGGATTAATACATGTATATTTGTCAAAAAGAAAAAATAATAATCTCACTTTCGTAAAACTAATCTTGTGTAGTGCCCTATGTGATAGGGCTCGTCCAAGATAAAATGCACGATCGTACTAATAATTTTTAGATCGAGCTCGTCCAAGATGAATGCACGATCGTCTACGAATCTGATGACCCTAAGTGCAATTTATTGAAAAAAAAAGTTTATGACTAAGACGATTAATGCTAATCGAGCATCGTGCTCTTGATAAACGGAGAAAAACCTAATTTCGTGTAAAAATAATGACATTAGTGAAGGAGGATAAACCTTCAATAACACAAATCACTTCAATATTTACCCATCTAGTGTTTCTTTGAAGATAAATCACATAAAAATAATTATACTATTCTCTCTTTCTTTCTTTCTTTCTTTCTTTCTTTCTTTTTTTTCTTCTAAAATTTTATTATATATATTATATATTATATAGTAAACAATTCAAAATTGCACATTGTTGAAACAATGAATGAGATCTAAGATGACAAGAATTTCAGCCAAAATAAAAAAAGGTTTATCAATAATCCATAATGATTATTGATTAATGTAGAAGAAACAAGAAAACCCTAAAGACAAAAACTAAACTACGAAAAAAAAAAGTAAAAAATCAGAGAAAAATTACTAAAATAAAAAAATAAAATAGAATGCAAATAAACTAGTCCTCAAAAGCCCAACTGTTCTCCTTGCGAACTTCCTCTTCCTCCTCTTTAGTATAGTCGTTTACTATGTTGAATTTTTTGCGAGTTACTTCTGGATCTTTATCCTTCAACATCTCTGCTATTGCTTTGCATAGCATATCCATCAGGCTGCTTATGTTTAAGTAATTTGCTGCCTGTAAATATAAATATATAGAGGTTATTAATTTATCAATTGGGGGAAAATTAAAAGGAAACCCTAGGGGGGAGAAAAATAGTAGGTACCAATAAGGTGTCGAAAAGCGTTTCCTGGTCATCAGGATCGACGAAATCAGCGTCGAATTTCTTCAGATCGTCGGCGTTGGCGGCGGCGTCGGTGTGGCGCTTGCAGTATTCGATGACCCTGGCGAGAATCTTGGCAGTGACGTTGGGGAGAGGGATGGTGTTGTCGGCGCATTCATCCTCAATCATGTTTCTGAGTGTCTGTGAATTCGAAGCAACCGACTCCTCGATCTCGAATATTTGCCCGTCGGAGCTCTGCAGCACGATCATCTTCTGGATTTCTGTGTTTGACGACGACGCCATCGATTTTCTTTATTATCAACGAGAAAAGACGCAAAGAAAATAGAGAGAGAAAAAAAAGAGAGAGAAAAGGCAGAGAATATTCGAAACGAAACGAAAAGAAACTTGAGAGGGGTTTGTGGAGGGGGTCCCTATTTAAAGGGTTTTTCGGTGTTGGTTTGTTATAAGGAAAGGGTTTTTCTAATTGTAATCTAATTCAAATATTTGTCTTCCCATAATAATTAATTATTTCTTATTTAGAATTCTTCTCTTACTGGTCTCTTTTTTCCATATTAATTAATTAATTAATTATTTGGGAAGTATATTAAATATTTCCGCCTTTAAATAAATAAATAAATAAATAAACGAGATACACATTGATTAAACGTGTTGATATTTAACAAGAGTTGGGATTGTTTGGCTGTTTGCTTTCACTAATTCCGAATTGGACTATTAATTGAAATCCCGTAATTGACATACATACAAATTGATTTTTTTTTTTCTCCAATTAGTTGCTACTTAAATAATTATCTTAATGTAGAATTAGCCATAATAAAATACTACTGTATGCTAAACTAATAGTAATATATTTGTTATTATTTTCTATTTTAAGTTTTATGCATAGCTATAGTAAATCTACCCTAAGTTAATATAAAATAAACTATAAAAATAACAAGTAAAATCAAGCTTACCTAATGTTATAATTAGGGGTGGGAATCAAACGAATCGGAATTAACATTTTTCCCAAAAAAATTAACCTTCTTGGAAGTGAAAATTTTGTTACAGTACCATTTTAATAACATTCAAAAAAATCGAAAACTTGGAATTTGAAAATTTTAAATAAAAAATGTGTTCGAAAATCGGAAAAACATATTCACCTACAAATCGGAAACTAATTCTCAATCCATTAGTAGCATCGTTTTTTCTTCTTTTAACAGGGCGTCCGCTCCGAATCCACTCCCTTCGTAAATCGCAAACTTTCGAACACTAATCATATTAAACATAAATAAGGTTACAAGGTCGAAAGTTATTCGGAATTAGCTAGGCTAGCCTCTCTCGAAAGAAAAATATTCCTACTACAAACCCGAAAAAAAAAATAATAAATAAAAAAATCAATACAAGCTAAACCCAAAGAATTGAGTGATGAGAATAGCAAGGCCTAAAGCAATAGCTATAAATGAAGAACCCCAAGTGAGCTTCTCAGTAATTCTAGGCACTCTCTCCTTAAGAGCTTCACTACATGACCCTATAAATACAGTGTAACTCCCCATAGCAATCACTGTCCCAATCAAGAACATCACCAAAAACGCAGCACCTGCCATTCTCGAAGGCAACGCAAGCGCTGGCAGAATCATCATCAAAGCATCTGGCTGCAATCCATGCACAATCCCAGTCGCAAAGGTAGCTACCCCGATCTTCTTCTTCTTCTTCGGAGCTTCTTCTTCTAGAAGCGGGTCCTGGATTATTCCGGAAGCTTCTTTGATTCCCATGGCACCAATTACGAGCAAAGTGGACCCCACAACTCTTGTCCCCCAAGTTCTGATAACCTCGATGTGGAGACGGTCCTTTAGGAGTAAGAAGAGAAGGCCGAATATAACTTGTCCGAAATCATGGCCGCAGCCCCATAGGGCTCCAATGGCAGCACTTTCGAGTCTTGTTCGGCCTATCGAGAGTGGGGCTAATGCGGCGAGATGATCGGGGCCCGATAGTGTGTGTAGGCAACCTGCAAAGAAGCCTGTCCATGCACCGGTAAGTAGCTCGTTGTGAACGAGACTTGTTCCTCCAGCTTTGGCTGCACTTGGGAAACTAGCGAATGCTGGATGGATAATGGCTTGGTGGAGCGATGTCAAAAGAATTGCTGATATTACTATCAGTTTCGCAGCGTTAAACACCTTAAAATATATGAACAGAAGTTATAGAAAAACATATATATGCGCGGTTTGTCGAATTCAAATTAGAAATCGGCAACTAATAGCAAGATGCATTTTTTATGCATTCTCCTATATTTTGATTACAGCTGCTATAATGTCCATGATATTAGCAAGATAATAAACAAGACGAACCCTCGTGATCGCATAAATTGGGAGAATTATCTTATGTTACTAATAAAGTAAATACTTCCAGTTTAATACTTTACTCTCTCACAATTGTAATGAAATCATTCAACAATTTAAGGGTCTAATGACTATTGTACGCACAATCGAAACACGATACTTTACCAATGACTGTTCACCAAGGTAACGATGCGATTTTTACTATTTCCTACTTGTAAACAACTACCAAAACATATATATATATATATATATATATATATATATATATATATATATATATATATATGCAGTAGATGAATGAGTAAAAATTTAAGCTCTGCTTGTGATATGATACTCATTACTCAGTTCATAGCACCTGAAAGAATACATTAACTACACATCTTTTGGAATGACAGAATTCAACGGTAAAATTATTTCATAAAATCAGGCTTGTGAATTGGGAATTTACTTGAAAATTTTGACAAAGGTAAACTATAAAACAAAATTAACCTCCGGTAAAATTAGTAATTACCTTGTTTTGCCGAGATAATTTCTGAGCAATCAGTTTCGGGAAATTGTAATTAGTCTCCGAAACATTGGCCGGATCCATGCGTAGAGACGAATTATCCGCGCCGCAATCATCAATTGAACTGGTGGGAACAGAAAACGAATCACGGAGATTGCAAAACAGCGGGCTGACTCGGCGCAACGGAAATGAGGTCGCCGGAGAAGAAGAAGAAGAAGAAGAGGGAGAGAGTATCCGGGGTGAGTCGACTCGGACTCGGAAAAACCGAGGAAGAATTGGGGAATTGTAATAGAATTTGGAAGGGATTGAATTTGAATTGGAATTGGAATAGATTAGCCTATCCATTTGTGTGTGACAATTACAGCCCCAAATCACTCTCTCTCTCTCTCTATATTCCCAAAAAAATATGTTTTGATTTATTAAATTTAATTTACCCCTCTCCAAAAAGGGGCAGAGGAATTTGCAGGGAAGATGAAGAAGAGTTGAGTGGATAAAAAACCTACTGCTTTACTGTATCTTTTCATTTTAATAACAAATAAAAAATAATATATATATTATTATTATTTTTTTTTAATAGTTTCTTTTAAAAGTGGGTCTATAAATGATTTGGGCTTAAAAATTCTTTGGTCTTGTCCATGAGAATGAGTTGTAGAAGGCCCAAGATTTTCAAATAACTTGATTTGATTTTGGGCTACACAAAATTAAATTTTGTTCATTATATATTATGTGGGAATAACAAAAGGAGTAATTAAGATTAAAAGTACAAGGAAAAACATTAGATTTAGTTTTGAGTCAATGTCACAAACAATGAACCACCACCTCGTAGGCCACAATTAATTCGTGCAATACAAGGCAAACATTTAAAAGCTCAATTTTCATTGTCATAGAAAACGTATATCAAAATAAAATTACGAATTTAAAACTTTTTTCCCATGATTATAGCTTGTAAATTGGATTCAAAAATTAACTTTTTAATAAACTAATTAGTAAATACTAGGAAAACATATATAATTGAATCAATTCTTTAAATATTAACCTAAAAAAAAACTATAAAGTGTGTACTAAAGTGGGAAAATGTAAAGATGAGGGACCATTAATGAAATTTGTACTAAATATTTATTGATTATTTTAATACTTGTGTAAATATGCAGGCAAGGCAACTAGATGCAGAGATCAGCAGCAACGTCATGATTTACCATAAACCGGCAATGGAACAGAAGTTACAGAATTACTGATAAAAACTTGCTGGTAAAAAAAAAAAAATCATCTCATACGAATAATCAAATCAATCAACCACAGCAGATTAAATCCCAATATGGTAAAATAAAAAAAGGAATAAAAAAGATTCTCATATTCTGTACTCTATGATTCATTTTCCAGTTGATTAGGGTTCATAAAAAGTAGTGAAGTAGACATGTTGTTGTAAGAAGAGTTTTCTTTCACCATGAAAAGGGAAAGAGATATACAGAAAGATTGATTGAAATATATTAATTATGACGTCATAAATATAGGCAAAGGAAAAAAGAATGTGAGTGAAGTCTGATGGGGTTCTGTACGTTTACTCTGTTTAGGGTAAAAATCTTTCGTCTTCGTTCATTTAAAGATGGAAATATAAATAATAATTTAAAATTAAGATGGTGTTGTAAAAGTTTTTAAATAAGTGGAAGTTTGTAATTCAGTTATTGTGATTAAAAATGCAAAAAAGGAGCTTTAATAATCAATTAATTTCTTGATTGTTGTGTTTTACAAAATAAACTTTAATTTACTGCTCATTTTTATAAATATTAAAAATATTCTTATAAATAGAATTTAGAGAAAAATAATAATAAAAAAAAATCTCAAAAAATTGATGCATGAACACTTCTCTATTTGTAAATCTTTGCAAAAATAATAAAAAAAAAGTCTGAAAAATACTCTCAATATCTATAATAATTATCCAATTCATGAATAAAAAAAGCATTTTTTTTAACTAAGCAAAACTAAAATTAATGAATATTATTTCCCATTAATCCTAAAAAAAGCATAATTAATTACTTAACAAAAAAAAAGGAAAATTTGTATTAAGTCAAAGCAATAATACTGCTTTCCTTAACCACTCTACAAACAGGGCAAGAATCAAGAACCGCCGCACAAGCAATGCATGAACACAGATGCCTACACGGCAACATAATCACACACGAATTCCCATAATTGCACCTTCTGCAAACCATCTTCTTCCTCGTTTCTCTCTCTAAATTCTCACCATTTTCTCTCTCCTCTTCTTCTACGCAGCAAGACCCTGCGTCATCAACCGACGCAGCATTCGCCGCGGCCTCCCTCAGCCGTTCGATCGTGCCGGTCAACGATTTGACCGTCGATTCGTTCTCCATCGCCGCTCTCTGCCACGTTTGGTTCTCGAACTCGATTCTCCTCAGAAAGTTCTCGAGCTCAGTTGTTCTGTACGACGCCGTTTTGATTTCTTCATCCTTTTGTCTGAATAAAAATTGAATCTTTGGTTCTAGTTTCTTTAACAGCAGCGATGTGTGTCGCTTCCTCTGTTCTTCCAAAACCAATCTCAGTTTTTCGTTCTGTTCAATTAATCAATAATCACAACTCCCACGTAAGAATTATATATAAAAAAAAGTGATCTTTAAGAAAAAAAAGTGATCTTTAAAAAAAAACAGAGGAAAATTCTAGAGAGAGAAAATGTGTGAAACCTGCGAATTGATGAACAGATCAATTTCGATTCGTTGATTCTCCATCTGGGCGGAGATGCTCTGAGGAAAAGAAGACATTGTTTGAAAGAGAAATCTGTTCATCATCGGTTCTTGTTGTTGTTGTTGTTCTTTCTGCTGATGTGGAATAAAACAGAGGTTGTTGTTGTTGTTGTTGAATCCACATGCATTGTCGGATAAAAGATCAAAATTTGTATACATCTGTGCTTGAATCGCCATTGATGAATTGAGATTTTGAGATACAAAGTATGTATGTATTGATTTATTGATATATATATTAAATATGTAGAGGAACTTTCTCTCCGAACTTGCTTTAATTACACAACGTACACAAACTGAGCGAAAAAGATGAACCAAATAAAGTGGTGGGTTTCTGTTGAATTGAAAACTACAAGTTTGATTTGTTCTTGTTAACTTTAGAGAGAGAGAGAGAGAGAGAGAGAGAGAGAGAGAGGGGTAGAGAGAGAAAGAGAGGATTTATTGGAGATAGATTTATTAGGCGAAAGGTATGATGTATAGAAATAGTTGTTTTCTTGGTCTGGAGTAGTAGGGCAAAAATATAATTGCTTTGTGGGAAACACAAAAATTAGAAAGGTGGGGTGTTTTCGTGTATTTATTATGTATTCAGGGGTGACAAATAGTATTTAATTTAATTATCTGAATAGAGTGGTGGTGGTGGTTGGGGGGGGGGGGGGGGGGGGGGGGTGGTGGGGGGGGGGGCCCAAAAATTTTTATTTTTTCCCCCAAAAAAAAAAAAAAATTTTTTTTTTTTGGAAACCTTTAAAAAGGATTTGTCCAAAAGATTGAACTCAATTAACCTATACATGGATCATAAGGCAATGTATCATGCCACCATTATCCGGGGTCTCAAATTACAAATTTGATACAACTTCTTGAATCCGAAAATATATTGATCAAGAGAGCTTGTGAATCGAACGGTGGATAATGGAGCAACCCAAGCAATTAGTGAAAGGAGAGTGTTGAACCGGCAATTAGTTATAATTTAACTCTCCATGCATGTGCCACACGCTATGCTGCACGGACACTTCTAGGAGGTGAAGAGTCTCCGTGTTCGACACTTGGATACTCGGACACGCCCGGACATCCCTCGGACACTCGTGTCGGGCCGTGTTGTAATTTCCCTAAAAATAGGACACACGTGTCGGACAGTATCCGTAATTTTAAAAAAAATGGGACACGGCTCTTATGTTTTAAGAGAAAGACCTAATAAAAAATACGCATTTTCTTTTCCTTGTAATACATATATTTTCTCTGTCTTCTTTTAGAGTCCACCCAAAAGTCCAAAATTCTAGCGACAACGGAGATCAAGAACACGAGCAGCAAGGGCGAGCGGCTCTCTTATTCGATTTGGCGACTTATAAATATATTTTTACAATTTATAAATGTATCCCTATATTTTATAATTTATAAATATACCCTTATATTTTTTATATTTACACGTATCCCCGCATATCCATATCCTAGTTTTTTAGGAATGTCGTATCACCGTGTCCATACCCGCGTATCGCCGTGTTCGTGCAGCATATGCCACACGGTTTCAAGGAGCTGATACGAGTCTCTTGTACACTATAAATAGCCTCGATAGGATGCATCATATGAGTGTCTAATCAGTTGCAACCAATTGTACATAGAGAGATACATTGTATGATAGAAAACAATTTAGGATTTTCTAGTGTGTATTGTTGGTATATTGTGTTAGATAGATTAGATTGTTGAGAATTAATGCAATATGTAATACTCTTGAATTATTAATATTGTTCTAGTATCGTTTGGTGGACGTAAGCTCTAATTGAGTCGAATCTGGTGTTCAAATTGTAATTGAGTTATGAGTTTGTTGCACACACACTTTGCAGCTTATTTTCACACACTTGAGCATTTCTCCATACGAGATATGAAAACAAATAATTATTATTTCTCCATATTATATTTTATTAGTATTAATCGTAGCATTTGTTGATTGAAATTGGTCAAAATTGCTTACCTCATCATCCTTCACCCAAATTTGATGTTTGTTGTTATGGAATTTCCATACATGGAGATTTGATTGATTCCACATTTAAATATTATATTAGTATATTATATAGAGATAGGTAGTGCATGCAATGTGGACACATTTGATGGTTCAAACTTATTGGAAGCTGTTCTATTGATATGGGTGCTATGCTACTATTGTTACACTGTTTCATTACAGCTGATGATATATATTACAAAATAAATATTAATAATTAATTAAGTATGTCGGTTAGCTGTTGGCTAAGAATTTCAATTAGTAAACGTTCTTGCATTGTTTACGATTATTACTTTATTAGCGTTTTTAGATACACGAGTCATGTTATTATCATAATATTTTAATATATTTTTTTCCCTTTTTCCCCATTTCAATGCAAAAACAACCTAGAAAAAAATAAAAATAAAATAAATAATTAACAGTATACGTGATTAACTAGCACACGTTTCGAGTGTGTGTATTTGACGTCACTAATATATTCCTTTAAATAAAAATAAATAAAAACTAAAATCTATTTATAAAATTAATTGGGCTACAGCCCATTTTCCATTGGGCTCAATATAGTTAGTTTCAGATAATTTTTTGGGCCACGGTCCAAGAATATTTAAAATATATTTTACTATCTATTTTTATTTTTTAATGTTACAAATACAAACTAGGGTTTTCTCCATGCTGGACTAGTGGACTGGATGAGACGAATTATATAGGGCTGTATTTCATACATGTATTATATACAGATGAATATATAATTATATTTTTAATATTTTACACAAATTCAATGTATATCTGCATGTGATTCATAAATATTAAATAATTTAATTGAAGCGTTATGGGCCTAAATAAATTCAAAATATCAGTCCATAAATTAATTAAATATCATGAAATGAAAAGTCATCAAGTGGGCCCCGGAAACCGTCGACATAGGAAAAAAACGGGTCCCACCCGGATCCGAACACTGTCAAATGGGTCAAGTACTAGTAGTACCGCTGTACCGGAACCTTCCTGTATAGAGATACAAACCGGGTCGGTGCATCGTGCAGGGATTTCCAATGCCATCACTTTCTTCCAATAACAAGACACCACGTGGCGTTAATCTTCGAGCCACAGCTCTCATAGCATCAACGGTCAATATTTAATTATGAAAAAATTATTATTTCTTCTTAGTGAAGGAAAATGGACTACACTTACTATTAGCTTGGCTGCCTATATAAACACAGACAGCCGATAACCTAAGTAGAGGAAAGAAAACAAACAAGTGTCCGTCAAACTGTCAAACGTTAGGCAAAAAAAAAAAAAAAAAGAAAAAAAGAAAATAGACCACTAAATTCTTTTTTTTTAGATATTTGTGAAATCCAATCATTCTTTCGTCGACTACCCATTTTTCACAATCTATTTTAGAGCGAGAGAGCTTCACTACTACTTGGTGGTGCAGTGGTTAGAGTGAGAAACAAGAGAGAGAAAAAAAATAAAAACTCAATCTTTAAAATAAAAATGGGAGCTTTGGATCACCTTTCGAACATGTTTGATTGCTCCAGCGGCCATTCTAAGCTCAAGAAACGCAAACAGCTCCAGGTATATATACATATATATCTTCTCTTTCCAACACACACACACACACACACACGTGTGTGTGTGTGTGTTAATTTGGTATTTTTCACCGAGTAAATTTTGGTTTTGGCTATACTTTTTTTTTTTGTAATTTATTATGTATTTTTTTTTATAATTATTGTAATTTAGTATGTAGAGGTTATGAATGTGTATGCATATCTGTGTTACAAATGGTGAAGTTATTAAAATAATGTTTATTTAATTAGTGAAGAAGAAGGAGAAGAAGATCTGGGTTTTAGATCTGGTATAGAATAATATATTTTCCGGTTTTTAGTTGGGAAGTAATTATCCTCTAACTGACACCCCACCGCATGGTGCGGGCTCCCTATTTTGTCTTCTTGCATCTAATTAGGATTCAGATATTTTTTTTCTTGCAACTACTGTATCTGTATCCCAACTTTCAAATTCAAATTCAAATTCAAATTTAACTATTGTATTTGATACTAAATTTGCATCAACATTTGCTCTTCTTTGTTTTCTTACATTGATTAAAGTTAATTTAGTATCTATTAAACCATGTCTAATATTCTTGGAATCTCTGTCTCTCTCTCTCTAGACGGTGGATATAAAGATCAAAATCGATTGCGAAGGTTGCGAGAGAAAAGTGCGAAGATCGGTAGAAGGAATGAAAGGGGTGACGTCAGTTGAGATCACGCCGAAGCAGCACAAGCTGACGGTGATCGGTTACGTGGACCCCGATAAGGTGGTGGCCCGCGTGGCGCACCGCACCGGTAAGAAGGCCGAGATCTGGCCCTACGTGCCGTACGATGTTGTCGAGCACCCATACGCTCAAGGTACATACGACAAAAAAGCCCCCGCGGGTTATGTCCGAAATTCGTACGATCCGCATGTCTCGCATCTTGCTAGGGCGAGCTCGACCGAAGTTCGGTACACTACGGCTTTTAGTGACGAAAATCCGACAGCGTGCGTTGTCATGTGATGATTTGATTAGTAAAGAGGCATATCCTAGGTTGTTTTGTTTTGTTGAATTTACTATGTTATGATTTGTGGGATGTGTGTATGCAATAGTTTGAAGTGTGATTCTGTGTTTTTTCGATATGATTATGTAATGAAAGATTTTGTGATGTTATAAAAAGAACTATGGGTTTTGTATAATGTTCATACTTTCTTCTTTTAGAAATCAAGATTTGCTGATTATGTAATGAAATATTTTGTGATGCAACAAAAAGAATTATGGATTTTGTGTAATATGAAATCAAGATTTGCATTCATCATGAATATTTTTCAAAACCTTAATATATCTACTTCATGTTATATTAGCTTTCTTGTGATTGGTTGATTAAAGACACCATTGATTTCAAGATTTGAAAGATAAAGGCATAAAGCTAAGTGGGAGGTTTGGTTGTACATCACTTGTTTGGTATGTAAAAAGGTACAACAATGTGGCTAAAGTGTTGTAGCATTCTAAATATCAACTCAATATTCTAAAATAAAAGAAATACTATTCTTGATCTTTTGTAAAGTATGTTACAAAGAGAATAATAAATGGTGTATGTTACATAAGACGGTGTCGAATCGTAGAAGAAATACCTAGTATAGTCGAGAAAAAGAACGAATAAATAACCGTATATTCTTTTTTGAAAAAAAGAACTTAACCTTCTTTTGGCATTACCACATGGAAGATGCTTATTCTAGTTTTATGCCATCATATCGAACATTGCACTTTTCATTACAACCGAGGAACCCTTGTTGTAAGCCGGAATTGTGATGGGGAAGAACATTTGTCTCACTCCTTCGGATTTCACTATAGGAAATATTATCCCGTATGCATTCTGCACAAGAGAAACACAATAAATTAATAAATAAATGGGGTCGAGGGAAAAATTAAATTTTGATCAAATATCGAAAGAATTAGAAGAGAAGAAAAGAAAGGAGACACCTACCAATAGCAATCGAACTCCGAGTAAGAGACGTTTAGGTGAAGGATAGGGGAGAAGTAATCGGCCCACACCGTAAATAGCAACTGCAAAGAAGTGAGCAACTAAGCTCATAGGCCTAGGGTTCAAACCAGAAAGCAGAGCGATTGGTCCTTGTGAATACATGCCACCTAAGCTCAGATAATCGAAACACGCTTCTCTCATTTCCATGCTTGCTTGATCTGGTGCTGGACAGAACACCTTGTACAGTGCTCCTGCTAGAGTGTTTATTGTTGAAGCCACCGGCTATAATACAAAGAAAAAAAACCCATTAAAAACGTGCCGATTTTTTTTCTAAAAAATTTGAGGATGCACTGCAACATTTTAATGTTTATACGATGCTTTTTACGTTGGGATTTTTTTTTTACGGTCTTCTTATTCTCTGTGGTATAAATGACGTATTTTTTTTAACAGTTCAAAACCGTGAGTATATTATTCCAGACTCTTTACTGTCTTATTTTTTGCTAATATTTATAACATTAATTTTTTATTACCTTGCGGAGGGTGTAAAAGGACTCGAGATGTTTAGTGAGAGCAGCGGCATTGCTGAAATCCTCCACCGGCCGGAGCAAATTCCGGAGCACCACCACGTCGGAAAGAGCCACCGTCATTCCACCACCAGTCAAAGGGTGGCGCATATTAAACGCATCTCCGAGCAAAATCGCACCGGGAGTCGGAAGTGGAGCAGCGGGCATACTCCTATTCGGCATCGATCTAATATCCCCCTTTTCTATCTGATCTATGAAAGCATCGTGTAGCTGATGTGGAAGCTGATTAAATAATTAAAAAAAAACATTAGAGACCATTTATGAAAGAAAAAAAATAATCAAGAATTCAAGACTTTCTTGAAAAAACAAAATTACCTGAGGGGCAACCTTTGCGATCAAATACTTGGCCATATCTCCATTTGAAATGGAGGGTATTTTTTGTCCGGGAATATCGACTAAGCATCGAACTTCGGTGCTACTAACGGGATAGAATAAAACGGGGGAAGGGTTTGCTAAAACGACATGCCCGTGATTTGGGTGTGGGAGTTTCCCGTTTTCTAGATTTAGTACCATACCCACGAAATGGGAGACAATGTCTACCTGCAAAGTAAAAAATGATCATTAAAAAAGAGAGCTTTTATGAATTTAAGTTTTATTTACTAAAATTTAACTATATAGTACCTGGGGTACACATAGATTCTTTCTCAAATTGGAGAAGCATCCATCGCATACGATTGTAAGAGGAGCATATGCTTTGATATCTTGTCCATCTTTGTTCTTGTACTTGATTCCTTTAACTGTGCCTCTTTCCTCGATTAATGATGTTACCGTTCCTTGTTCCATTCTTACACTACATAATTAGGAAACAAGAATCATAATCTAATTAGTATGCATATAAGATTTGTTAAACACGATTTCGATACGGTTAATTTGAGCCTCCCTTTAAAATGATCCACTAAGATTTAATCAAAGTATCAAACATAAAAGAAAGCTCGTGCAAAATTAAAATATTATTAAAAGTTCAACAAGAATTGAACAAATTACATATGTATTATTACCTTCCATCCCCAATTCGAGTAATTTAAGGTAGCCTCCTGGTTGTAGCAGCTCACCCACAATCCTATCAGGCTGGCTTAAATCCCTCTCAATCACTTGCACAATCCGCCCATCCTGTGATCACCATACCAGATCAAATTTAATCACACATATTTATTTGGCGCATTTCATCGAACAGTTGGTGTGCAAAGTGTTCAGGAATATTAATTATACATAAATGAAACAATATATAACATCCAGAAAAATACCTTGGCCAAAGAGTAAGCGAGAGCAGATCCAGCAACACCAGCACCAACAATAACAACATCTGGGGGACCATCTTTCTTGCTCACAGCATTTTCAGAGCTTTTCTGTGCATCTGATCTAATTGTCTCCTTTATCGTAATTTTACTGCTGTTTTCGAGCAATCTGTATAGTAATATCAACCCAATTATCCAAGCAATCAATCCACCAAATACGTATTGTTCCATTGTATTAAACTCCATCAGAAAACTAAATAAATAAATAAAATTGTATATATATATTAATTTGAATACTCGCCCTTTGAGCAACTCATATATATATATGTAAGGATGTGTTAAGTCTAGTCAGCAAAACATACAGACCAAAACTCAAACAACGAAGCTCACTAACTTGGACTTTCTGTGTATTGGTCAAACCAAGCTGGCTCATAAAATAATAATTTATATATAATTTATACATCATATGAGTCAATTAAAGTCATTAGATTTTGTCAAATTAAAACGTGTGGTTTTTCAAAGTAACCGAAAACGGTGGGAAATAATTATCAAGGAAAAAAACGGTGGGAAATAAACCAGGGGTGCCAGGATTTTTTTAATATAAAGTTGATTTTATATTAAACAAATAATCATCCACTATATATATATATAAATGGGTGTATGTGTGCTATTATGCGTAAATCAGTGGTGCAGGATCACTCGTTAACAAATATTTCACCGTGTGTAGCAACTGCGAAATTCGAGAAACATATGCATTAATTTACAAAAGAAGGCATTAAATAATAATCCAAATCCACACGCGCATGCAACAAATATGAGAATAATTTTGCCATGAATTAGACCTGTAATTAATGTCAAGTTCTAATGTAACAAATCTGGGAATAACTCAACGTGGTCTTTTTCATATATAATTATATATATATTTTTTTTTGTGATAAAAACATTAAGGAGTTATTTTCTTAGTTAGCTAAAAAAAATAATAATAATAATAATTTAAGGAGTTATTTTCTTAGTTAGCCAAAAAAAATTCTAATTATATATTTCAATTGGACCACATTTTTGGATAATAATCGGGCTTTTATGACCCAGCCCGTAAAAGCCAATAAATTACATTTTATCGATTATTTTCCGGCCCACGGCCCAGTTTTCCGCATCTTCCCTCTCATATTTGGCGGGAAATATTCCCTCTGCGTGAAGAAAACATCAGTACTGCCTGTGTGTGTGTGTGAGAGAGAGAGAGAGAGAGAGAGGGAGAGAGAGAGAGAGAGAGAAAAATCGAGAGAGAGATGGCGGTGAGTAAACCAGTAGAAGAAGACTTGGAGGATCAATTTTTGGTGTGGAAGATGAACACGCCGTTGCTGTACGATCTCGTGATCTTCCACTCTCTCGAGTGGCCGTCTCTCACCGTCCAGTGGCTTCCGTCGCCGCCTTCATCTGACGGCGGAGATCTCGCCGTTCACAAATTGATCCTCGGGACCCACACATCCGATGACTGCCCCAATTTTCTCATGGTCGCGGACGCCTACCTCCCCCGCGACCCCTCATCCGCCATTGAAGTCGATCCCGATAACTCCATCATGCCTAAGGTCAGTAATGAAGTCCTGGTTTTCACTTTAGGTTTTTGTTTGGGTATCCTGCGTTTTTTCATGATTAAGTATCGCATTCCACGATTGAGCGCCAAGTGTTTGAGTAAAGTACGCACTGAAAGTTTTTAGTGTTGTTCTGTTTGTACTGCTTAGAGGCAAGTTTCAAGTGTAAGCAGTAAAGCAGCAACAGTTTAAAGTAAAACTGTTTGATTAATGTACTAAGCAGCGATTAATCTGTCCATTTTCCCTATAATTTTCATTTTATTTTGGTTCATTTATGTTAGAATTTGGTGCAGGAGTTCTGCAAACTAAGATTTGGTTTATATATCCTTTTTTGTGGGGAAATATTCTTTTAATTTATCTCATATTTCTTGGTTCATTTACCACCTATTTACTTGACAGTTCTGGAACAGCAAGAATTACTCTGAAATGTGTTACTTATATGCAGATAGAGATAGTTCAAAAGATACAAGTAGATGGAGAAGTGAATAGGGCTCGGTGCATGTTACAAAACCCGGCTATAGTTGCTGCCAAGACCAGTGGTTCAGAAGTATATGTATTTGACACTACTAAGCAGCTGATGGATGCCAAAGGCAGTTCTTGTGAGCCAGATTTGAGATTGAGGGGTCATGACAAAGAGGGATATGGTTTGTCGTGGAGCTCATTAAAACAAGGATATCTTTTGAGTGGTTCAAATGACTGCAAAATCTGTTTGTGGGATGTTTCTGCAATGCCTCAAGTGAAAGTGCTTGAAGCAAATTATATTTACGAGGTGAATTATAATCTTTTGACTTTTGTATAAGACATTAATTTATTGATTCTGATATCACGGAGCTATTTAGTGTTGTAACCATGGTTTTTAACTCCCCCCCCCCCCCCCCGTCTTTATTGTGACTGTTGCTCTAGGGACATGAAAACGTGGTTGAGGATGTGTCGTGGCATTTAAAGAATGAAAATCTATTTGGCTCTGTAGGAGATGACTGCAAGCTAATGATCTGGGATTTACGAACAAACAAGTTCCAACACTCTGTTGTTGTACATGAGAAAGAGGTGAGGGACTTTTCTGCTGTTTCTCTTTTCGTGAGCAAAAGTGTCTCTGATTATTACTCTGGTGCATATATGACGTGGCTAAACTAGTTCTTCATACAATTACATTTTTTTCCTTTACTTACATGATTTGGGCTTTGTATCCAACACTTTAAAGTTTTACCTATCAGATGAAAAACTAACAAGGATATGGAATAAAACAAGGGTATTCAAGAAGGAAATCAGGGGCAATTGGTAGAATCAAAAGAGTCTGCATACTTCAAATTGCCAAAACTGTGTTAAATGAGACTAAATATGACCAGCGTTTTCCTAACAATATTATTTGATTGGGGTCTTGCTGCCGAATTCTGTATTTAACTGGAGTCATATGTAACATGAGCTTGTTCTTGGCCTATCTCTTTTTTCCATGATTAATTAAGCTCGTCTGTCTCAATACAGTTAAATAGGCCATAGACTCGGCACCCCAATACCTCTCCTCTGCTCAATCCTTAAATTCTTATGTAGTCCTGCTCTATATTCATTTTATCATTTAATCACTCTTCATAGCACGGCTCATCTCTCTTTCTTCTTCTTTTTTTTTTCTTAAATTTAATTTCAGGTGAACTATCTATCTTTTAATCCATTTAATGAGTGGATTTTGGCTACTGCATCCTCTGATAGTACAGTTGGACTGTTCGATATGCGGAATTTGAGTTCTCCATTGCATACTCTTAGCAGTGAAGTGTAAGTCCTTTAGTTTAATCACATGTTGCATTGTTTGATAATCTCATTCGAACTCAACATCTCATACCAACAAAATTGAACAAAAATCAAGAGCTTTTCGAGCTGAAGTTCAATTCTATGTGAAAGCACGACTCTTTCATTGTATTCTATACAAATTTTAGAGGGTATTTTGTTCCGAAGAACTTGTAACTGGAAGCTTCTATCTTTGTAGCTCGTTAACCCCCATCATTTCCCACGTTACGTTTAGCTTTAACCAGTTGGAAAGTCTGGTGTATGAACGTGAATTAGCAAATTACAAACATTAAACGGAACGAAATGTTTCCAAGTATCAAAAGCATTCTTGCTGACTGCTATGTTGTGTTCTGTATACAGGGAAGAGGTATTCCAGGTCGAATGGGATCCTAACCATGAAGGCGTTTTGGCGTCTTCTGCTGATCACATAATGTTGACTATTTGGGACCTTAACAGGTATTTTTTTACCGAGCATTCCACACTGAAACCCATACAGTGGTTGAAATAAAGTACTTAGGTCTTGTTTGGTTGGTAAAAAATAGGTCTTATTTGATGTTTGGTTAGTACAATCTAATCTTGTCTAATCTTATGTTGAGAAACAAACGGGCTCTAAGGGTATTATGGTCATGCATTTTAGGATTGGAGATGAACAGCTGCAAGGGGAAGCTGAAGATGGCCCACCAGAACTCCTATTCTCACACGGTGGTCACAAAGCAAAGGTTTCCGACTTTTCGTGGAACGAGAATGAGCCGTGGGTAATTTCTAGTGTAGCAGAGGATAATTCATTACAGGTATGGAAGATGGCTGAGAGCATTTATTGTGACGAGGATGACACTCAATCCGCTGATTGTCCATAGTAAGATTCATACTACTACGATAGTAAGACCTTCTCGGTTTTCGGGTTTGAGAAATGTTGGGTTGGTCATTTTAATCTTTTCGACTTTGTTGGAGTCTTAGTTACGGCTCGTTGTGTGTTAATTGCATAACAATATGGAAATTCAAAAGTGAAGTATTATTATTGATGACAAATGCTTTGAATTGACTTATACCAATTATTTAGTACCAACACTAACACAACGTGGGGTGCATGATATGATTAATACCCAGCCCTCATAGAGAGGCAGATGTGTTGGTTCAGAAAGTGGAGAATAATTTTTTAAGTTGCTTTTCTGGAATTTTTTAAGTCAGATGGAACATGTCGAGAAAGCTAATTCCGATATAGAAAAATAAATAAATTAGGGGTGGAGAGTAAAAAAAGCGAAGAGAATCAAAGTACAAACCGAAGCTAGTGGCCGTTTGGATGGATGCAAGAGCTTGTCTAGAGGAAGAGGAGACTACACCCACTACTCATAATCTAATATCTACTCATTCCAACTTTGTTTCAAAATTAAAAAAAGTCCGAAAAATCAAATTTCGAAACTTTTAACATTCGGAATTAAAAATGGATCAAAATCAGCAGAACTCGATTGCATACAGAGAGGGGGGGGAATTAAAAATGGACCAAAAGCTGGTAGTCTTAAAACAATCAGAATGCTATGTGACAACAAAAGCTGCTCATAGCTTATGGTGATATGTTATTCAAAATTCCGAGACAAGAGGACGAAAAATAGTAGTAATAGTAGTAGTACAGAATACATTTAAATGAAATAACGAGTATCATAGGAGTCTGAAAAAAATAAAAATAAATCATAAGCGTTTTGCAAAACCGAAATTCTTAGTCATCTGGTTGTTCCTCAACTTCTGCTAGCTATGTACCGAGCTGTCCCACTTTACAATGCATTGTTTGTAAATAAAAAGCCACTGTACATGAAACCAAGCCGAGAGAGCTCTAAGTGTAGCTTGTTATTTAGATATGCTACGCCCTAATCTCAACAATCAAAGTCGGAAATGAAAATTGGCAGTACTCAATTCTCGATTCTAGCTAGCCCCTGCAGCACGTGCCCTTCCTGATAAAACACGTGGAAACAACATTAAGTTAAATCTTTCAAAAAAATAAAAAAATAATTAAAAACATCTAGTTAAAGCTTGATAATGTGCTTCGTTCATTATAAATTAAATCAAATCAAATCAAGACATAACATCACCACTCGCTATCTTGGGATCACAAGATTGCCAATGTAGAGCCACTAGACATATTAAGAAATGTGTAAAAGCTTACTATTAAATGGAAAACATTATTTTGCCAGTACGTACATTCATTTACATCTCCACACTAGTCATTCCAATAGTTCATTTTGGATCAATCGTGCAGGGTTCCTGCATTTGCTCTCCTCAGCGAACTGGACAAGTGTGGTCTATATAGTTTAATTCCACTCTTTCTTTCTTTTTTCTCAATTTTCTTTTTCTGTGTTAAATCTTTTGATTTAATGTACTACATTCAAGTCTATATAATATAGATGCTGCATTTATGTAAGCAGATTACTACAAGGAAAATGATCGAACTACAAACAAACATGTAACTTAAGTCTGCAGAGACACCAATAACATCAATCCGACTACAAGATAAGCAAAGAGATTGTTTAAAGTGAGAATGAGTTGCTTATTCCTACTGCCCAGTCATTATCATGACGTAAATTAGTGACAGCATGCAATATAGCAGTCGCATCTTTCACTACAGAGGTTTAACACAACACACTTTTCAAAAGGTAATAAAAAAAATAAAGAACAAGAAAGTTCACCTTTTTTCTTGCTGCTGCTGGAAGTATTGGCATTAGAAGCAATGTTAACATTATCAAACCCACAATCAGGTAGCTCCATCGGATTAGAATTTTGATTCCCCAAACACTGTAGATCGTCGAATCCACAGTCCCCAAGGCCCTGACCACTGAACGCAGTTTCCGATCCAGGGTGAAGGCAGTAAAGCTGCTCATTCCGTTGCATATTACACGGGTTCATCACATAAGTGCCTTGAATGTTAGGGTTAGCAATGTTTTGGTAGATATCTGCATTCTTGGCCGGCTTCTGATAAGGGAAAGAGCCGATTTCTCCTTCAATCCTCCCTCTAATATCCACAAGCAAACACTTCAGCCTGGTAATCTCAGCCTCCAATAAAGCCTGCCCCTGCAGTCTCTTCATTAACTGCTGATTTAAAGCCCTCAATCTGATAACTTCATCCTCTAAAGATGCAGCCCTAGCCTTCTTCTTCTCCCTGTATTTGCGCACCGCTTCGCGATTACCCGTAGGCCTTTTCTTACCTTTTTTCTCCACCGACTCAGCGGTGTCATCACTTGGATCCTGACCTTCACTAGGGGAGTGCATAATTTGGGTGTGGACATGTATACAAGTGTGTGTGTGTGATTTATCGGGTCCCGATGGGTTACACGCATGGGCATGGGTGCAAGCCTGTGTTCGACCAAGAACGTCTGTGTAAGCCTCGGTTCGGCCAAGGGCATCATTGCAGGATTGTGTTCGACCAAGAAACTCGTCTATGTCGAATGAGCAGCTGCTCTGTGCATTAGGCAGGTCCAAGCATGACATCATTTGATCACTTGGGAAATCGAGTTCTCCATCATCCATTTTCAGCAGATAAATTGTTTGAGTAAAACAGCAGAGCTAAGTCTTTTGTGGCAATGGAAACCGATGATTTAATTGAATTTGGCTGTGTTATCTCACCCAGTCGCAAAAACAAGACCAAAACCTAGCAGAAGATGCACAAAAAAAACAATCCATCAATCAGCCACAGTCTGGCACTGAAATCTTCATAATGTAATAATAATAATAATAATAATAATAATAATAATAATAATAATAATAATAATAATAATAATAGGAAGTGAAATAATTTATTTCAATTCAAAAGCAAAAAAGATGACGAAACCCTAGAAACCAGACAAAATCGTGCTGAAAAATTGAAAGCGTACCCAATTGGGAAAGGATCAGAATTCAGAAAAGATACAGCGGGAAACCTTCAATTAAAACTATAATTAACCCTAAAGTATCCGAGCAATAAGAAACAAACCCCATGAACAGAGCTTGAATAAAGTAAGATTCGACAAAAAGAAGCTCGCATACGATCATACAGCAAGTTGACAAATTCGAAAATTATTATAAAAAAAAAAAACCCACAAAAGACGGAAGCGAAATGAAAAGAGAATACCTTTACAATCGAGTGATGAATTTCATAAGAGCAATGAAATCTCGAAATTGGATTCTCTCGCACTGCAAAAGCAAACCCTGTAACGCGGAAAACAGAGTGGCGATGGGTTGGGGGGGGGGGAGGGAGTTTTATAATGGAGAGAGGAAACCCTAGAAAAGGCTGAAAAGGGAGTTTTTGAAGAGACACAAATGGCGATAATTTAATGGCGGAAAGAAACCGGGCGAAGCACAGGGGCCATTGATTCGGATTCCTGAAATTCCATTCACGGAGAAAAAAGGGCCAACATATCTAACACTGTATTTGATTTGATTTTACACAAAATATAAATAATATTATATATTATATATTTTTGGAGAAAAAATTCATGTACTTGGCAAAATGGCAATTATTTTTAGGAGAAAAATTTAATTTTGTTATTATTATAATTCTTCATTCATCCACATTATTAATTAATATACATAATTACATATTCTCCCAATTATAAAGAAAGATGTATAATCTTATGTTCCTTGGGACTTTTTATTGAATATAATAACTTATCCAATATAAACCCATTCAATTCTATTTTTTTTTTTTTTGGGTATTTGAGAGTTGATTTTGCCCTAATTATATTTTTTATACGACACAATGAATGTGACCAAATTTAGTGTGATATTGTATATTTATTATTTATCAATCATGCATAGTGATAGTATGCAACAAATGTTACAGATGTTAATGATAATTTTAGATTCTGCATATAATCAATCATACAGTTAATTAGTACACAATAATATATTCCAATTAGACATGTCATGAACGATATACTAGCTAATTTTGATAATTGATATACTAGCTAATTTCCTATTTAATATTTTAACTATCACATCAGATCTACAATTTATTTAATTTAAAGCAGAACACAGAAAAAACAAAAACAAAAAATTATTGAAACTTTTGTCGTTTCTGTTTCTATATACTAGTCACGGTGGGCCCACATTTAAATTGGTTCAGTCAACGAATTTGGGCTACATGGGCCGCCAAATTACGATAGTATTTCTTGTTCTTGGCCCAATTATTTTATCTCATATGTTTAAAGATTCAATTTTTAGAAAGTTGTTTTAGATGAATGGCTCGTTTGGTTTGAATGATGGGATTACATGGATTGACAATTAGTCCAAGGATTGTACTGTTCAAAATAATTACTAACCAGCTAATCCCATGTTTGGTATGGGTGATTGTACTGTTCAATTAAAAATACCATTTGAATTCTTGTGGTTGAAATTTATATCGAAAATCCGAAAATACCCCTAACTTAAAAAAAAATATTAAACATAAAGAAAAATAGATCCAAGCATTTCAAACCAAACGAGCCCGCTGTCTCTCCCAATTTGGTCTAGGGTTCCGGCTCTTCAATTTCTACAACAGTGCTGCACGAATTTGAAGTTCCGAAGGTAAAGTAAAACTATTTTCGAATCACCCATTCAATTATAGTTTTGATTCATATACCACATATGGCTCATGAGTTTTTTATTTATCAATTTTCCAGTATGAGTTCGAATTCGAACTATATGCGAAATAGGGCAAATTGTCGTTCCAGTGACAGTGGTGAGTCTAATCCATTTTCTTCTGGGTTACGTTTTCACTGTCACTGCGGTTTGGAAACGACAATTAAAACATCGAGAACGGAAAGAAATCCAGGAAGACGATTTTATTGTTGTTCATTGAAAGAGGCAAGTAATTTATAATTTAAATTATCTAATTATTTTGTTAACTATTTTACTGATTATCTATTTTACTGACAATTTGAGTTGTTCTTTCGGAAAAAAATCCACGTATACGATGTTATTGCTATGAAATTATCTAATTATTTTTTATTTCAAAAAATATTTGTAGGAACATCGTTGTAATTTCTTTAGATGGTGTGACGAGTCAACTCGCGAACCGTCGGTTGAGGTTATATCTGGGCTATTAACCAAGCTTAATCTTTACGAACAAGAGAATTCTAACTTAAAAGGCCAGGTATTATTGTATAAACGTAAAGTCCAAACGATGAAGGTACTTTGTTGGACTCCTATAATTGGTATGTTGTTCTTAATGTTAGTTGGTCATAATGTGTTGTTACACGGTGTATGTCCAAATTAGAAGATTTTTTTTCAAATGTTGTTGTGTAGCCTTTGACTATTAATTCATGTTCTGAAATTAATTGTATGATATCTGATTTTGAGTAGTATTGTTCTTTGCAAGATCTCCATATTGCATTGTGGTAATCAATTTGCTGTGACTTGTCATGTCAAAGGGCGATTTTTTTTAATGCATTGATAAGTAATTAATGTTTTCATTGACACATTAATAGGTAATTAATGTAATGTAGTTGGCAAGTAGACGTTTTGCAGATAATATGCGTATGAACTTTAAGTGTCTATTAAATTTCTTGCTTTTCCAAGAAGAATACTAATCATTTCACTTATGCAAGCATTAATTGACAAATAACCTACCACTCCTCCCATGTGTTCTATAAATGCATCAGTTCTTTTATTCTTCAAATGACACCAGTTACAATTGAAATAAAAACCTCAAAACATGCCCCCTGTCCCAAGAATCAAACAAGATGCCTTCTTCTATGATGGAGAATGGACTTGGCGTGTTGATAGGCGTTTACTTTTGGTGGGGTTCAAACAACAGCATTACGATTCTTCGCGGACTTGGAACCATCAACAAAGAGTTTGGAAGTTCCTTTACCTACGAGCAGTGTGAAAACAAGCTGAAGTTAATGGAAATGAGGTATTACACGTTCAAAGCCATCATTTCGTCTACGGGTGTTATGTACGATGAAGAAACTAATTTCGTGCATGCAAACGATACCACATGGGATGCCATCTTCTATGTAAGTCCACTGTATTATTTATAATTTTTATAACTTGTTTTGTAATTGTTAAGTTAACTTGAGGTTTTTGTTTTGTAATAGCGTTTCAAACTAGGCCGTGCATACAAACCGTGGGGTGAACCAGAATGGAAAAAGTTATCATTCATCTTCAGCGACAAACATACCTTCGGTTGGAAGAATAACGAGGTCATTGACATTGACTCCGCATCTCAGGACATATTTGAAGAAAAGCCATCTGTTCAGCCTGATAATGCGCCACCACCAATGCCTCCCGATTACATCGACATCTCAAGCGACCGTGATGATTCCATTGACAGTGAGATGTGGACTTATTTGCTTGAAGGGTACGAGCCTGGCGTGATGCAGATAGACGAGGAGCAAGAGGACAATGACAGTGAAGAATTTGAGGAGGCACTGGAAGTTAGTGAGACCGAGTCTTCGGACATGGACGTTGGTGGTGGGGCAGTGAACGATGGTGACATTGGTTCACCGAATATGGAGTTTCGCAGCTCGTCTGGATCAAATTCACCGATTTACAAATGAATCTTCTTCATTTGTAAATTGGTTTGTGGTTGTCTTTTGTTGGTTGTAGTCCTTTAAGTTTCACTACTGGTGTTGTTTGGTGTTTATTTCCTTTTTAGTTGTGGTTTTTTAGTTGTGGTTTTTTTTTATTATGTTTTTTAAACTTTTTTTTTTTTATGAAGTGTGTGTGTAATGTGTAAGGACCAGATTTTCCCTATGACAATTTTATGGTTCTTCATGGATGAACTAAGTTTGGTCATTTTGAATTTCAGTTCGTAAATTTGTCATAAATAATTGCAACACTAATTATTTTTATATAAAATTAGTAAGTACAAGATTATATTTTAGTATATAAGATAAGCTATATAATTTATAAATTATAACCATAATAAATTAATTACATAGTATTTTTTTAATTAATTGATATACCTTAATAAAAATTAATTATAAGATTCTTAAAAATATTATACATCGTAATAATATTAGAATTCCAACAAATTTAAAATTTTACATTACAGAAGTCTTCTAAGAATTTAAATTCATAGTTTGGAAAAATAAAAGTTGTAAGCATAATTAAAAAACAGGCCTTAAAAACAAATTACAAGTTTACTAAACAACAAATGTTAAATTTCCTTCTCAGCAATCATGCGAGCATATATGCTTCTTTCTGCGTCAGGTAAATTGAAGAACAAGTCTAGCTCTTCCGTGTTCTTTACAAGCAACTTCGCAACACGTATTTTTTCCTCAACCCCAAGAAAATTCATGTTTTTAAGTGCATCGTAAACTTCTTTGCGAGCTTTTGCCGTACGGTCCTGCTCGAAACCTATCCTCTTCGCAATTTCCCCCAAACGCCCTTCGGTTTGTTCGGAGAAAGTAGACATCACTGCGAAGAATTTTTCATCAAAGCTGTCATCTTCAAATTTGCGCTTGTTCGAGGACCTTGTTTTAGTGCCAGTGGAACTTTGACTCAAATTCTTGGATTGAAGTTCGGTAGCTTCTTCTTGTAAATTGAAGGGCAGATCTGGCACATAATCACCACCACCCTCGTTATCTATGCCCTCTTTATCTCCCATGGTTTGTACCATATCAACAAAATCTTCCGCGTTTTCTCCAGTTGCTCTGTCCTTACCAAAGATCTCGAGCCAATCCTTATAAAAAGGAAACGACTTATGATGCATGGTACGCGCATTTGTGTCTGTCTGTTCAAATCAAGAATACATATTAATCCAATATTATTGATCCCAACTCATTAAATTATATGCCGCAACATGGCAAAACAGTGTGAATTTACCTTGACATAGGTATCCCAAACATCGTCACTCTCAACGTCGATGGTATTAGTAGCATCACACCATCCAAAGCCACTACGGGTCATCATAGTTGACAAAGAGCCATAGGTCTTCTTCCAAACGTGTATCTTGGAGTTAATATGAGGATCCGCTCTAATATCGGTGCCCGGAAATGCACTCAACATATGATGTTGTAGAATCCCAAGAAACCCCGTCTTAAATCCATTGTCGCACTTCCAACCCGTGAGAACCAGGTCCTTCAAACCATTTATCAAAGCTTGTTCCTCGGCAACGGACCACGATCTTCTAGTTTTGTCGGTCTTCCGAACACCCAAAGTTTTTTTGTTCCCAATTGGATTCATCTTAACCTGTACTAGAACCCCAAATATTTTATTAAATTAAAGAAATCCAATGAAGTAAAAAAATAGACTCACTAAATTATAATAAGCATAGTATGAAATATGAATACATTGCCAACAAATAACATTAAACTACTTATTAAGTTGAATAATAATTGAATACATAGTGATGCAAAATACATAATAGTAAATAAAATTATCGTCTGCTCCTCCACTCATCATACATAGTTCTAGCTATATCGTCCCTCCACGACACCCATTGTTGTGAGGTTTCGACACTTTCAATAAACCTAAGTGCGGGATCATTGCTGGGGTTATGTATTGGCCGGAGACTTGCTTCCAATGGGTCTACGGGCATCTCTTTACGAATGAAATTTTGTAACAAGCAACAAGCCATAATAATACGGTTGTGGACTTTGATAGGATAATGGGAACTAGTACGCAATATGCCCCAACGCGACTTCAATAACCCAAACGATCTTTCTATTACATTTCGAGCCTTGGCATGCTTCATATTGAAATATTCTTTATAATCTTTAGGAGCATTATTACCATCCCATTCATCCAAGTGATACCTAACACCTCTATACGGGGCTAAAAATCCCTCTCCATTTGTGTAGCCATTATCGCAAAGGTAGTAATTTCCTGAAATCCACAAAATCATTAATAATTTTAGATCACATATATGTCAAAAATATTGAAGGAGATTTGGAAAGGATCAGTACCATCGGGAATTCGCAAACCATTAGGTCTTGAAACGGCATCTCGAAGGACTCTACTATCAGCAGCGGAACCCTCCCATCCAGTTAAAATATAACTATAACACAAGGTTGCATCACATACACCTAGCACATTGACTGAGATATCTCCCTTGCGATTTCTATAGCGCGCCTTTTCTAGTTGAGCAACCCTAACTTTTATATAAGTATCATCTAATGCTCCTAAACATCCCTACACATTGAAACCAACAAGTTGCACAACACTTTGTTTGCAGATTACTAAACATATGCATATTACCTTAAACGGTTTCCACCGAACGTCTGTACACCCCTCATCAATAGGTGTTGGCTTCACAATCAACAACGGGTATAGCTTAATTACAGCATTTAGAACACTATTGAAGTGCTTACTAACCGTATACCCGGATCTGTTGAAATTATACCCTACAATTCTATTTTTTGTATGATGTCCCAATATATGCAAAAAAATGGCCAATTGTTCATTAACTTTTACATTCCGTGTATCAACTAAGCCACCAAAATTCTGAATTAGAAAACACAATCGGACAAATGCATTTTTAGACATACGCAAATTATCAAAACAATGTACATCAGTACCGTGTATCAATCTATTAATTTTTTCTAACTGGTCGGGCACTCGAGCATTCAAACTATAAGACATATAAGAACGGACTAAACGATTATGAATTGCACGACGTTCTCTTAACTTACGATAAGCCCCATAACATGCCATAAGGAATAACTTGGAAATGTTAATTATTTCTTCCAAAACCAACAAGATCTCTTCATGCTCCTCTCTAATATCCATTTCAAACAAAAATTGTACGAAACTGCAATAACAAAATCAATAACAAGTTTTATACATATAATATAATTTAAAATACCATACCCAACACATTAGAACCACAATATCGTAATAATACGTAAAAAAATGTAGAAAAAATGTTAATTAAAAACGAAGATTTACCTCACCGATCCTGCGTATGAGTTAGTAGGAGCACCGACGCCGGAACGAACACCTTCCTGTGTTCGATTGTAGAAGAAATTCAATAAAGATAATGAAGGCGGAATGAAGATGTAATAAATCCACGTACGAAAAGGAATTCGGATTTACCTCAGCGATTGTTCTTCTCTGTTGAAGAACACCTGTGACGCGAAAATGAAAAAAATGAAACATATTTGAATTGGGGATCTGCTGTTTTTAATAAAAGTGTGTGCGTAGTGGGTGGGAAAATCAGAAGTGAATTTATTGATGAGGGTATTTGTGTAAACTACACAATGCCAGCTACTTTTCTTTTGTGAAGGATTATGTAATCCACCCAATATTGGGTGGACAAGTTATCACGCAAGTGGGGGATTCAAAACCGGGCCTGCTATCAATCATGGGCTTTTACTCACTCCAACCAAACGTTTGATTCAGTAGGATTAATTAGTCAATCACCCATTATCACTCAAACCAAACGAGCCCGAAATGCACTATTTAATTTTCCTGTACAAATACAAATATTACTCGATGAAGTTCATCGAATAAATCTCTGGGAGGATTTTTCTCGGCGTAGAAACTCCGACGATAAAGTCAGAAGTGAAATTTTATGTGTATTTTAGTGAAAAACATTAGAGAAATAGTTATATTGATCATAAATTCATCTTGCAGAAAAGATTACAGAGTTTCTGCATAACCCTTTTCAATGGAACCCTATAGCCTTTTAATTTGGGGATTATTTTTCAAGAAACTACAACACCTCGCCAAAAATTTAAAAAAAATGAAAATAAAAATACAATCTCGATTACATCTGCAAACCACCTCAGTATATATAGGGTGCAGGCTGGCTGAATTATGTATAAGGAAAAGCCACAAACATTGCAGACACTAATCTAAACTTGATGATCTACTCCATCTTGTCTTTAAATACTCTTCAATGGAAGAAAGAGGGCTGTTTTGATCAAGGCTGCTAAACGAAGTGGAGTTGTCGTTTACGTCAAGAAATGCAAGACTTAGATGTGATTCTGCACTTGAATCTGGATACACTTCATCGTCATTACCATCTTGATTTTCTTGATCTTCATAGTTCCCGCATTTTTGTTTCGATCCGTCCACACATTCCTCACCAAGAAGTATATTAAGTATCTAAAAAACAACAAAAAAGAAAAAAAAAAACAGTAATCTTAGTATCATTAATTAATTGATTCGATTGTCAATCAAGTTCAGTTTCGCAAGATCTTTTATTACCTGCCACATTTTGGGACGAAAACGAGCTGCTTGAGTTAGACACAATGCTGCAGCTATAGCCATTCTTTGCATTTGAGCCTCGTCAATATTTCCATCCAAATTTGGATCCAGTATGCTCTTGAAATCCTTGCTTTCTAATCTAGGTTTCGCCTGAACACAAAAATAACTCGTCGTTAATTTTTTCAGATTATTATTTTATTTTTACGAAGAGAGTGCAAAAAGGTTCTTACCCACATGACTAAGCTTTCTTGACTCTTTGTAGACTCCGAACTAATAATAGGCTTCCTCCCAGATAGCAATTCTAGTAGAACTACACCGAAAGCATATACATCAATCTTGTCACTGACTTTGCCATACATAAAATACTCCGGAGCGAGATATCCAAATGTTCCTACTACATCATTATCCATTACGAATGACGCTGTTGTGGGTCCCCATATCGCCAATCCAAAGTCGCATAACTATTAAATAAAACAAGAAAATTAAATTAATTATCAACCATGTTCCATAATGTAAAAAAATGAAGAACTGTAGTTGAGTTTGATTGGACTTTTACCTGCGGTTCAAATTCATCTGATATGAGAATATTTTGGGATTTGATGTCTCTATGAATCACAGGCCTTGGGGATTCGTTGTGTATGTAATTTAATGCTTCAGCAATTTCGACAGCTATTTTAAATCTCGATTCCCATGACAATACAGAGTTTTCCTTTCTTTTACCTTCTTCAACAATTAACTTACCATGTAGATTCTCTTCCAGATTTCCTTTCGACATGAAATCGTAAACAGAGATTAGATAATTATCTTCTACGCAAATTCCGAGCAACGGAGAAATTCTTTTGTGCTTCAATGTGGTCATTATATCAACCTCCTGGATAAAATCCTTCCAGGCCTCTTTTGAAGATTCCATAACCTTTACTGCAACTGGTTTTCCTGCAGGGAAAACTCCCTTGTATACAGAATTACAGCCTCCCTTTCCAATAAGATTACCTGCACCCGTTCAAGACATTAATCGTGATTAAAATTCCGACAAAACAAAACTAAAATAATATTTATAACAAAAGGAGATAAAAACCTGAGGAGAATTCAGAAGTGGCAATTTTCAGAACATCATGGCTGAATATTCTGCAGCCCACCAAATTTCTTGCGAGTATAAGTTCCAAATCTTTTGGCAGCTTTTGTCGACTAGCTAATTTATCTATTACATCCATCTCAAGAGAATCTTCATTCTTATCACTTGTAGGGGAGTTGGATTCAGAAACATCTGACAAAGGTCTACGTGGCAAGGTCATTACCCATTGCACTACTGACATTTTTCTTGCTTCTAGAGCTATATGGTTTATCGAACTAGCTGTCTGAAGTAAAGGCCAACCAGGCCTCTGCTTTGTGAAATCCTCTGCAGGAAGAGAAATCGAACTTAGAGAGCCTCTCCTATGTCTTCCTAAAGGGCTCTTTCCTAAAGGGCTTGCAACGTTGTCTTTTGAACTTATGTTCCCATCTCTTGTATCAAAACTGAACCTGCTCATTTCCGAGGTCTCAGATTCTCCAAACTCGGAATGATTGTCTTTGAATGTGAGGCTATCGTTTATATAAAAACTCGGCTTTGGATCTAAGGCATGACCTGGAATCAACAGAAAGTTCTTCAGTTTTCTGTATAGATCAAATAAATCTCGTCACATCTTATTTCTAAAAAGAATGAACCGAACCTTCTAAATGGATTTTGGAACACCTGCTGAAAACAACCTTCCCGTTGTAAATCGCAATAACTTCTGTGGTTGGAGGTAGTTTCTTAGCACAATACTTAGAAATTGAAGCCCACCCCCTAAAAGTAATTGCCATCAAAACTTACGAAACATAAATTACAATAAAGAAAAACAACTGCAGATACTTTTGCACCATCTCTGCTTACCCCAAAGCACTATGCTTAGTGATCCCCACAATAACAGCTGATGCGCTATGCTTCTTCGCCTCTCGAACAAGAGCTTTTCTGATCGAATTTCCTTTCAAGACTTCAGCACTAAGAGCAACCTGAACATCCACAACCCGAAAAAGAAACATCAAAAGGCAATAACATCAAGTAATTACAATGGTAAAAGATGTTGTAGACGAGTATAAACTAACCTGTTTTTTGCTGCATAGACCTTCATAGTCTTCCAAGTAACCATCTAATATTGTTTTCTCTTTAGAAATGCAATCTGCAACCCGAAATATATTATGTCACGACAAACTAATCAACTTAAAATATTCAATTCATAAAAAGAGTTTGAAATTATGCTTAAAGATAAAGAGTTCAATGTGCACAAGTAATTAAGAATTATAAGCAACTAAAAAACACCCATGCCCACAGTACCAGAATTTCGGCAAACATGAATTGCGACAACGCTATCGCCCGGGTCAGCTACTTTCACCAAAGCCCAATCCAACAACTCTTTAGCCTGCGCATCCAATCTTATGCCCACAAACACTTTCCTCCTTCCAAAAGTTAACCTCTCAACCGTCATAATTCCACTTATTTTTATTGATTAATAAACACTAATTAAAACATTCGCCTCTCACACGCATTTAATCAAATACTTTGCGTGCATGTCCTCTTCTTCAACTTGCCGCATCAAAAAACTATGCCACAAACATTGAATACTTATGCTCCTCTTTGCACAAAACATACTCCAGCCGCCATGAGTAAAAACTGGATTGCTTCTCCAAAAAGGGGGTTCTTAATTCCTGAATTGGAGCCTCCCCTTCATTTAAATTATTCCGATTCAGAGAAAACCAATCAGAAAATCCAAACCTCCAGTTCATAAGCATCCCTCTACAAAATGTCCCTGTTTTCCACCAAACATTACGTATATAAAAAAAAAACACACAAATCCCTTCAAAAAAGTACACGTTGAATTTTGGAAAATAAAATAAGGAGGTCACGACAACAGAAACCTACCTAAAATATTTGAATATTTTCGTTCATTCAAAGCCATCAAACATTTAACATGTAGAAAATGCCGCCAAAGATGATCATAGGCAGATCTACCTTTCAAACCAACAAATCAATTTTAAATTTCAAAAGGTGGGGGCTGCTGCTAAGATCACTGTAGTAAACAATTCAATTACTTAAAAAAGATGGATTTGATTTGAATATTTTATTGAGAATAAAAAAATAGAGAGAGAAAGAAAGTATTAATTGATGAGAGAGAAAGAGTTGCATGGAAGAATCGTCGGTGAGAGAGAAAAATCCCGCTAAAAATGGATAAATAATAAGAGAGAGAAACAGAGCACCGAGCATTATTTCTATTTTTCGTTTTAATTTAAAAATAAAAAAAACCGGTAAAAATAAGGGCAATTATTTGCGGAAACCCATGATATCCGGTTGCATGATACGACCGACAAAAGGGGGCCGGGGAACTCTCCACCCGCTATTGCGGGTTGACGGTTGCTGCAACGGTACACTAACGACGTTATCCTGAAAAAAACAAATAGAGATGTCGAAAGACGAAAATACCCCTAATTTTGTAATGTGTGTAATATGATAGTGGACTTTTAGTCAACTCTTAGTGTGTTTTTGCCCAAGTTGGATTTGGGCTGTTGGGAATAATATAATGGACCCGACCCATATTTTGATATCATGAAACAGACCTGAAAAAATCAACCGGCAAATATCTTACTTTAATTTCTTGCCTCAGAAAATGGGACCCTTAAATATTTAGTCACCAATAATTTATTTTGCAATGGAAAAAAAAGAGAATAATATTTAAAGAAATAGTTTTAGAATTTTGATTTTTTTTTTAATTTATTGGTCAATATGAAATATACTATTCCCACTAATTAATTCAATGCATCATAATTTTATTAATGGAGATATGTGACATCCTACCTAGAGGATCTTGTTCCACTTTTCTTTTATTGAAATCAATATATATAGTTGTAAACAATAAACGCTAATTAATAAAATGACAAAATTGTGAGGAAGAATATCCGAACCCTACATGCAAAAGTTTTTAATCCACTTTGCTTTTAAGCTGGATATTATTCTGTTTTCAGAAAAAAAAAAATAATAATAAAATAAATCGACCATAAGTAATTTAGTTATTGCTTATTTAAGGTGAAAGTGGTTAATATTGACCGGTGTTAGCTTGATTTATAGGGTCAAAAGTGATGTACGTGGAGTTTTGGATAATGGCAAAAGAAAGCAAATACGTGGTAGTTTACATGCATATATATGACCTTTGAAAATAATTAAATTGACCTTTCATGGTCAAAATAAATCAGCACGTAAGTAAATTATCGTATATCTAGCCTATCTATATACATAGTGTGTGTGTGTCAAGATATAGCCTAATAGGATTTGATTTTATTTTTTTCTAATATGTAAAATTAATTGAGCCATGGCTAAATGAAAAATATCTGCTACGTAAGTGGAGTGTGTGCCCATAAATAATCAGTGTCACTACTTTATTTGGTCACATGTCTTTTTCTATTACAATTTACAAATCAATAATCATCTAATTATGACGTAAGCACCGAGAAAATTCATCCACGGCAAGTAAGAATACTGTAGTTTCTGGGAATTTTTCAAAAATTATATCATCAAAATACTCATCACGTAAAATAAAATATATATATAAAAAAGAAAATACCGCGTATAGATCGATATGACCTAGTTAGTATATAAAACATCGGTTATCGGTATGTAACGAAGAACTTCATGTATATCTTACAACAAAACATACAATGTAGGCTTTCAGAATAGAGAGAGTTTATTTCATGTCTAATATTAATCATCTTGACATTCGTTACGCAGTTACAATATACTGCATGCCGATTTTTGACCCTTTCGTTTCTTTCTCTTCCTTTGCTTAGGTGGCTGCAGAACAACCTTAATAGCTGCATCAAACACACCCTTCACATTCTGCAAACATTTGAAATAAATGACAACATCAGAAGATTGTCTTTAAAAACAGAACATGTTAAGAATTCCAATTCCACATATTATTTATTACCTGTTGTGTCTTTGCACTGCATTCAATGTAAGCAGATGCTCCAATCAACTTCTTCAGCTCCTCTCCCTTCAAAAAGAAAATGATAAATCAAGTTTTCTTTAATGCCTTTCGAGTTTATTGCAATTTGTACCCTCGTGTTATATCTAATTACTAAAAAACCACCCCATTTTATTTTATTGGCAAAAATCCCCATATGATATAGTTTTTTTAGCAATTAGTAGTTGTTTAGGGGGTTTTGTGCTAAAACAATGAATCGTGGGGCTGGTGGTTGCTAATAAATAATAGTTCTGTAGCAATTTGATGTGACACAGGGGTACTAATTGCAATAAACCATTTCTTTCTTTAATAGAGTGAGCGGCTAATTTTCGGAACTTGTCAGAAAAAAATTATACCTGTGCAGTTGAGATAGGCACCGCTCCAGGGTGGTCAACGAAGAAATGCTTATCATCTCGAAGATCTGTTGTTTAAGGAAATAAAATTTGAGATATTGTAATTATGTGGAAATAGAAAATGGTATTATGAATTAGGAGAAATATGCAAAGAGATATTATTCTTACCAAGCTTTGTTCCGACGAGAATTATTGGAACTCCGGGAGCATAATGCCTCAATTCAGGAATCCACTGAGCATCGAAATCAAACATACAAAGGCACAATTAGGATGGGTTTTTAACAAAGACTTTCATCTGATAAGCAGAGTATTACATATTTAAAAACGGCAAAAAACGAGCAAACTATACATACATCAAGTGCCAAATTACCTTCTTGGGAATATTCTCATAACTAGCTTTGCTAATAAGAGAGAAGGAAAGTATAAACACATCCGCCCCACGATAGCTTAATGGTCTTAATCTATTGTAGTCCTCCTGCCCTGTTGAATAAAAATACGTGTTAAAGGCCTGCTCGATTATTGTTTTGGATTTACAAGTATATGAAAAAAAAAAAAAAAAAAAAAAAAAATCACCTGCAGTATCCCATAACCCGAGATTCACAGTGTTTCCATCCACCACAACGTTGGCACTAAAATTGTCGAATACAGTTGGGACATAATCCTATCCATAATACGAATAAAAAAATTCCGTCAAGAGTCGTAATTACCAAATTTTCGCTATACTGAGAAAATAGCAAGGGTTTAATTTGAACACGAATAACGCAAACAGAGCTATAAGAGAGATAAGACGCTATCTTAAAAGCGACAATATATGCCGCAGATAGAACCAAAGAAATACGAGGTAACTGAGAAAGTACTTTCACATTAAATGTTGCGTTTTGGCGAATAAGAAGTTTTGAGTTGAAAAGATAAGAACCACTATTCATAAGCAAACCGAAATGAATAAGCATGATCATAAAACAACGGGCAAAAACCACCTCGATTTCCATCACAAAGAAAAGAAAGTTTTTCAACTTGTCAAAATTCAAGTCAACTTTTCGACATAAAATTACGAGTAGAGCAAATTAACGTGATCGCAAATTCCGAGTGAATCCACGCAAAATAAATAAAAACTACTAAACTCAGAGAATATTCCATTCCTTTCTGTATTATTACTTCATTTGCCTACTCCTTTCTAATCTACTACTTCCCTCAACTAAGTAACAGATGCATACAAGTAGCGAAACACGACATCAAAAGACCGTCGGATCATCAAAAATCGAACTCATACGATTTGAATTGAGGAAAATTCTTTTGAAATTTGAATACACACATTCTAATTCCAGCTCTCATAGTATCAATATTAAGTCACCCAGTAAGAACCCTAAATTTTCTTAACGAAAAAAAAATCAGCAGCAGAACAGAACATAATAAAATCTTTACCGTCGGAAAAGTGTTGCTGGTGTAGGAAATGAGGAGGCAAGTTTTACCGACGGCTCCGTCGCCGACGGTGACGCACTTTATGAACCTGGACGTGCTCATTTCGTCGCCGGCGAGAATCCTTTACCTTTACCAACCCCCGTGAACTATTTATATCAGCTGTGTTACTTCATACTGCCCCCCTCCACATGATTAATCCGTGAGCTATTTATCTCAATACAGGTAGTTAACTTAGCAAGTACGGAAACAAAACCCTAATTTCAATTTCAAAATTGGGAATACAAATTGCGTATGCTTGAATAATCATACAACACCTAACCCAACAGCCGCATTCATTATCATTATTACTTAGTTAAAGTTCAGACGCAGAATGAGAGTAACGAACGAGATGATGATGATGATTATTTAGTTCTTTTTTAAGATCGAAATTTATGGGTGAAGTTTAAATAATATATTTATCAGAAATTTAAAAAAAATTGAGGTGAAAATTTGTTATAAAACTGAGTTTATATCTCATGTAATTTTAAAAGAAATAAATCGAATTATAAATAATTGAAGTTCTAGATTTTACCAAATTAAATGAAGGAAAATAATCAAGTTGCTAATAGTATACACATGAGTGTATGAGAAGTCAAATTTCAATACTTATTAGTCAATCAAGATGTTATAATCAAGATTGATTTGAAAGTTGCTTTAATTTCATGACAATCAACCTAACATTATTTACTAATATATTCTCTTCTTTTTTCTAAAGGGGTTAGTGGGAATTGAGAAGAAATCATTCAACCCAATTCTCTATTATTTAAATATTTAATTAAACAAGAAAATTTAAGTTAATTGACTTGGGTTTGAATATCATTGTAAACAATCGCTAGATCAAACTTATCACATATGATTAACCCAGTATGATTTATGTTGATAATTATATGGTTGACCTCAACACTTATAAGGTTGACCGTGGTTTACTTTGTTACAAAAGCAAAATATAAAGAAAAGGTATCCAAAAATTTCAACCATGAGAAATTCAATAACATTACTACTATACAAGCTAAAAGATAGCATACATTTACTAATTGTTATGTAATGCTTACAAAAATGGGGTCAATAATTAGAAAATCAGACCTCAATAACTTCATCATCTGAACTAGAAAAATCTAACTCAATCATCTTTATACCAGCAGCATTCTTGGTATCTTGGCCTGGAGCCTTTTTCGGTTCCGTTTTTGGTTTTTTGGCAATTGGTTCTTTACTTGATATATACCTAGGCAACCTGAGACGAAGAATTTTCAGCCAAAAACATACCAAGATTTGTGAATTGAGATATAAGAATAGACTCGATTTTTACCTCATCTTTTCTTCAGTACTTGTTTGCTTTTGTGCAACTTCAGGACCCTTTTGCCCTGTAGTTTATTTATAAGTACCGGTTAAGTAAAAATTAAAAGATGAGATGTCTAATTAGTATACATAAGCAATCACAGCCTACCTGTAAGATGATTCAGAAACCTTATTCCTTGTGAATATGTATTTGTTGTCACTTTGTCTGCATTTCTGTATTAATACAAGTCGAGATTGAGGATTACTGGGTAATAATTCAACTACTTAGGCAACCAATAAAGCATATGGCAAAATCGAATTAACTAAAACATACTTTAATGCATTCTTTAATCCTTCCACGGACATTAGTTTTACGGGCTTAGTCGACTTTGTTAAATGTGCTCCGTTATCTGTAGGTTTAACCACGTAAATGCCTTCTGACTTGAGATAATTTCGGAATCCCGTTTTTAGGTTCCTGGCAGATGAAATTCAATGTTCATATTACAGGGGGAATAAAAAAAAAGAAACACAATTACCACGTAAAATTATTATGCCTAACACAACGACTGTAATCACGTACCCTCCTTTGAGCTCCGCCCTTGAAGAGGTATATTTGTTTGATGAATTCTTCACAACAAACGCAAAAACAACGAATTAATACTAAATAAATCTGTTGATTTGAAACTATTAAAGCAGTTTGATTGGCACATGTGAGCTTTACCTTACTATGGTAGCTGCAATATTTCCTACGACGCCTGCAAACGGTAAAAAAATGATTAGTAACTTAAAACTAGCGATCCTAATTAATTTGCATTACAATGGGAATTATTTTTCTTTACTTAAGTAATATGTTTACTTGTTTATGACAGTTGTGCAAGCTCCATCGTTTCCTTTTCCCTGACAAATTCCCATATCTGCTGAAGTACCGAGTTTTAAAATGTGCTTAGCATTAAAAACACTCAAGGTAGATCCTTTACCCTGAAACAAAAATTGCCGGAAAAAGTTAGAAACATGGGAAATATTTCTTGAAATCGACCACCGATGAACATTAGAGTTCGTACCAATTTATCTTTTCGAACACTGCAATTGAATAGGGCAAAGACGGCTCCTATCTCCTCGTCACGGTTTCTTTGGAATGCATCGGCAAATAAGAAAAGAGAAATAGTATTTTCGTCTAAGCATCCCATTTTCCAAATTGTGAAAGGTTGTCCAATAGCACTAGTTCTCATTACCCCCTTTTCCATTAGAACTCCGATCGTTACCCAACATCCAGAGAGAGTATCTCCCATTAGCACATTCCTATATACATAAGATATAGCATCATTAGCGAATATGTAGTAGCAAAAGAATTGCACATAATTAATGTTTCTTGTTCGACTAGCATACTTTATTGCGGGTAATTGAACGAATCTAATATCTGATAGATGGTTGCTCAACTCAACACGTGAAAGCAGTGGATTCCTGAAAAAACAGACGAAACGTTAGAGGTGCTAATAAACAACAAGACAATAGAACTAATAATCCAAAATAATTTATTGGGACTTCAACAGAAGAGATATTATTGAATTGTCGAGAAAAAATTTGCCGGAAAAACCCATGCAAAATCAACATCATCTTCTATCAATCGCAAACTTTTGATCATCATATACCAGATCAGGATATTGAGTACAGAGAAAGTTAAATATGCATTTAAACGTGATATACAATCGGAATAACAAATTGATCAATTCATTCCTTACAAATCAAGATAAAAAAAAAAAGAGGTAAAACATACTGGATTCGTAGCCCTGAAAACTTCTCAACTTCAATTTCTTTAGAACTCTTGCCCTGATTCGATTTCTTGGCATTTTCAGGAACATAATCGAGGCAATCGTTTACTACATCGCGAAAAACGGACATGTCAACGTGCCTTGTTCGCTTCGGCACCCCATCATCAGATAAATATCCTACAAATTAATCGAAACAAAATAGATTTACAACAATGCCAACACCGCCCCCATTTCCAAATACAGGTTACCCATTCAAAACGATGATAATAAAACCAATATAATCAGATATACATATTCCCAAGCGGCAAGATTTCTATTGAGTATAAAAAAACTAGATCCGAAGAAAATTTCTGCTTCAATTAGAAATTTAAGTGAAATGCATACCTGAAGGAGAAGCAGGCGGGGTTTCGAGAACACGATCTTCAAGTGAGAGGAGAAGATCGAGGTCGTCTTGGTGATTCGATTTCGCCATTTTTCTTCAGCTGAATACAGTGAGTAAGCGTTGTCTGATCGTTGTATGATTTGAGAAGAAAATATGGGGTTTGATATACTGAAATGTACTAGGGTTTTGTATTGGAGGGAGATTCTCAAATTTTAGGAGGGAAAATTAGGGGAAAGAGGATTATTCCGTTTGAAATTTTTCTAGTGTAATTTCCTAAATATCCACTAATAAATTTAAGTTTTTTTTATCTAAAAATAATAATTATAATTATAATTTTTTCTGTGATTAGGCCCAACAATTTATCAGGGCTTTCTGTAGCCCAGGCCTGTAAAAAATCAAATTTCTAAGTACGATCCACCACTAAAGTTAATAGAGCCACGTCAGCCTTCCGTTCACCGTCTATCGCCGCCGAGAACCACCGCAATAATCGCCGGCGAAAGCTCACAACACAGTCATCCTTGTCCGCCGCCATTCTTCCACTAGTGAGTGTGTAGAGGTAAGTTACTTAAATAAATTGTAGATAAAAATGGCGGAACTTCAGGACCGAAATTGTCTTTGTCTTCTTCATTGATTTTTCCTCTTCTTTGAAATCCGAATTGCTTATTTATTCTGCATTTACTGTATTCATTGTTACTATTACTGAAGGCTTATTATATTCACTTAATTCATCGTCTCTATTTCATCTGTATTTTTATTTTATTTTTTTTAAATTAAAAATATTAGTGCAAATTGGTATTTCTGATAAAGGGTATTTTCGGAATGCATTTTGGTGGGAGGATGTTTAGGAATTTGGTGGAGTCCAAAGAGCAAAAAAAAACTTTTTATGTTATTAATATTAACAAAAACTCCCATATTACATTGTTTTCAGTAAACAAGCTTAAAAAAACAAATTGAATAAAAATAACACAAAGAATTTTTCAACAATTAGAAAAATATAGGAGTGACACGAATGCAGCAATGCACATGAATTATTCGTTTTATTAAAAATTGTTTGTCGTCCGATGAATCTTGTCCTGGAAAAATGGTGTTCCTAAGAATAAGCAAGTTTGTATAAATTCAAATGGCAGTCACACCACACAATAAATTTCCCAAAAATAGACCAAAAAACCAAAGGTCCAAAAAAACCAAAGCAAACACGTAAACCCGATAACAACTCCCTCGTGACATTTTTTTAGTGCATGGTTTCTTTTAAGACAGCTTCATTCACACCTATTTCCTCGACATGGAGTGAAACATTAAAATCAATCTTTTCTTACGAGATCACAATAAATTATCTGGGAAAAATAGAAAAAAGTGTTGTTATAAAATAGAAGAACGAAATGAGAGATCAAATTAGCAGAGTTGTTTTGTTAGTTGTATTATCGTTGATTGTTGGAAATGCCTATGCCGATAAGAAGAACGATCAACCAGTTGTGACGTACGATGGGCGCTCGATTATCATCAATGGAAGCAGAGAACTATTGTTCTCTGGTTCGATTCATTACCCACGTAGCACTCCCGATGTAAGTACAATATAAGTCGATTTATTTAATTTTTATTATTTTCAAATGCAAAAAACAAAAATAAAATAATTAAATCGAGGATGAGATTTGAGATCGTATTGTATATTGGTTGCAGATGTGGCCTCAGCTTATTAGAAAGGCTAAAGAAGGTGGCTTGAATGTGATACAGACTTACGTGTTTTGGAATATTCACGAGCCTGTTCAAGGCCAGGTAATTAAATTGTATTATATATTAAGTAATTATATGTATATATATTATGATTCATATATACGATGTTTTTTTGTTGCTTTGCAGTTCAATTTCGAAGGCAATTATGACTTCGTGAAATTCATAAGGATGATTCAGGAGCAAGGTTTATGGGTGACACTCAGAATTGGACCTTACATTGAAGCTGAATGGAATTTGGGGTATACTTTAATTTGTTTATTTAAAAAAAAATCATTTTTTTTCATTAAAAAATATAATTATTTTTGAGGGAATTTTATTTGATCCTATCTGAATGTTATCGATTACAGAGGATTTCCATACTGGTTGAAAGAGGTTCCGAACATTACATTCAGATCCTATAACGAACCTTTCATGGTAAAATTCGATTTTTATTACATGTTGATACTTATAATGTAAAATATAAAAAAATAAAATATGCTAATTGGTATAAGTTCGAAATTACAAACAGTACCACATGAAAAGATATTCGGAGAAGATTATCGACATTGTTAAAGGAGAGAAGCTCTTTGCAGACCAAGGAGGTCCGATTATCATGGCCCAGGTATATCTTTCTTAATCCTTATTACATTATCTGTAATAAACCTAATTTGTTCAATTACTAAATTTATTAAAAGAAATTAAAAAAATTACGTCTCCTTGAACTGCAGATCGAAAACGAGTACAACAATGTCCAACTTGCGTATAGAGATGCCGGTAAGAAATACGTTAAGTGGGCTGCAGATTTGGCCATTAGCCTATACAACGGTGTTCCTTGGGTTATGTGCAAGCAAAAAGATGCCCCTTCTACAGTTGTAAGTCTTTAATTGGAAATTCGACACGAGATGCACTTATTGTTAAATAACTAAGCATACATATATACAAATAGATCTATTTGATGTCGTATTTAGTAAGACGATTTGTGATTTTATTTAAATTTTTTTTTTTATTATTTACAGATTAGTACTTGCAATGGAAGACAGTGTGGAGATACATTTCCAGGTCCAAATGGTCCCGACAAGCCTTCTCTTTGGACTGAAAATTGGACTGCTCAGTAAGTTAATTGAAACGGAGGGAGTATATATAATTTATATATTTTTTATATATATGTATATATGTGATAAGATTACGAATAAGTATCAAGAGAAAAAAAAATTTGTGTTTTTGCAGGTATAGAGTATTTGGTGACCCTCCGTCTCAAAGAGCAGCAGAAGATCTAGCGTATGCCGTTGCTCGATTTTTTGCAAGAAACGGTACCCTCAACAACTATTACATGGTATGTTATCTTATTAAAAATTATATTAGTAAGTATGTTGTTTTTTGTTTGGACAAAAATATGTAAATTTATTTTGTTTTTTGTTTTTCTTTCCACAGTACCACGGTGGAACAAATTTTGGTAGAACAAGTTCGTCTTTTGTGACGACCCGTTATTACGACGAAGCTCCACTAGATGAATTCGGTATGATAAAAAAATACAGTAAAAATGAAATAAAAATTATTTAATAATAATAAATAAAATAAAATTACTTATGAGTGATTCTTGATTTGTTTGAAGGTTTGAAGAGGGAACCTAAATTCGGACACCTGAAAGATTTGCACAAGGCTTTGAGATTGAGCAAAAAGCCATTGCTTTGGGGAACTCAAAATGTCCAAATGGTTACTAGGGATTTAGAGGTAATTACTTGGCAGAAAACCAAACTCGATTAATTAGCAAATCATGCTGATTAATTAACAAAAAAACTTGTTCGTTTCTTACAGATCACGACTTATGAGAAGTCCGGAACAAACATTTGTGTCGCGTTCTTGACAAACAACCATTCAAGAGAAGCTATGAATATCAAATTCAGGGGCGTCGACTATTACCTTCCCGCCAAATCCATCAGCATTTTACCTGACTGTAAAACAGTAGTTTACAACACTCAAACGGTAAAAAAAAGAAAATCGAAAATCAATTATTTATGTATTTATTTAAATAATGGGAGTAATATAATTTTAACTTACAGGTAGTAGCACAGCACAGTTCAAGAAACTTCGATTTATCAAAGACGTCGAAGTTCAGAAACTGGGAAATGTTCAAAGAAACAATTCCCACCAAAAACGATCTACCGATAAAGAGCAAGTCACCTAGGGAGTTGTACCGCCTTAATCAAGACACATCAGATTATGCTTGGTACAGTACCAGGTACGTATATAAATATATAAATTCATTTCAAAATACTTTGCTACCAAAAAAAAAAATTAATTTTTTTTTTTGATTATTTTGTCAGCATCAACTTGGATAAGCGCGACTTGCCAATGCGCGCCGATATCCGATCAGTTCTTCAAATTGCAAGTCTTGGTCATGCTACGGTTGCATTCGTAAATGGCGAATTCGTAGGTAATTTACGAATTACTATTAACAAGATTAATTTCTCTATATATCGTGAAATTTTTTAATATTACATTAGTAGTCGCACATTATACTAATGAAATGCAATTCAAGGTTTTGGGCATGGAAGCAATATCGAGAAGAGCCATGTTTTCAAGAATCCAATCAATTTACACCCTGGAGATAATGATATAACATTATTGGGAATGACAGTTGGTTTGCCGGTAATTTACTTTTAATCAATTTTATATCAAATAAAACATTTTTGAAAAATTATTGTTTAATTAAATCTAATTGAACTATAGAGATTAAAAGACTTTAATTTTCCACGAATGTAGAATAGTGGTGCCTATATGGAGAAAAGGTTCGCGGGGCCTCGAGCTGTCACGCTCGAAGGTTTGATGTCTGGAACTCTTGATATTACCAGAAACCATTGGGCCCAACAGGTAATTAATACATAGTTTGTATAAATTATAAAAAACATTATTTTGATTTTTTTTCTTTTTTCAAAAATCATAATATATAAATAAATAACGTGTGTGCAGGTTGGCGTAAACGGAGAGAACATGAAAATTTTTACTGAAGAAGGATCAAAGAAAGTCAAATGGTCACCCTTAAGTGAAACTCCTTCACCTGTTACTTGGTACAAGGTAATAAATTATAATATTCACTGTTAGTAATTAAAATCATGAAATTGAATTACATTACTAACTTGCGAAAAATTAAATGTTTGTTGAATTCAGGCATATTTTGATGCCCCAGAAGGAAATGACCCTGTTGCCCTCAGAATGATGAGCATGGCTAAAGGCATGGTGTGGGTCAACGGCCTAAACATCGGTCGCTATTGGGTTTCTTACCTTTCACCACTCGGAAAGCCCACCCAAGAAGAGTAAGTGTTTAAATTAAATCTCCGTATGTTTTTTTAACAATTCGATATAACACTTATAAAATAAACATGGAAACTAATATGTACATATGTCTCGAAAGTCGAGAATTAAAAATATAATTCAATTTAACATTTTGCAGGTATCATATTCCGAGAGCGTATTTGAAAGAGAAAGATAATCTCGTGGTGGTGTTTGAGGAGATAGGAGGAAACCCGAGCAAGATAGATATATTGGTAGTGAATAGAGACACTATCTGCAGTGTAATAACGGAGTACCACCCGCCACAAGTTAAGACATGGGAAAGAAAAGACAACAAATTCAGGTCCATCGCAGATCCTATAAAGGCAGCTTATCTCACTTGCCCCGACAAAAAAGTCGTCACTAAAGTCGAATTCGTCACCTTCGGTACTGTCGAAGGCGCCTGTGGAACTTTCCTACCTGGCAAATGTGATTCCACCAAAGCCCACAAACTTGTTGAAGAGGTACAACAACAATATGCACACATTATATATCTATCTTATGAAAACGTGTTTCTTAGAATTACGTGTTCTTTGGTAATAACACGTTTTTTTGTTTTTTTTTCCGAATAGCTATGCTTGGGAAAGGTGGAATGCACAATTCCGTTCGACAGGGAAGATCTAGTGGATTCCGACAACGATTCTTGCCCGGATATTGCGAAAACGCTGGCGGTGCAAGTGCGATGTGACCGTCCAAATAAGAGCGATTCTTGATTTTTATTTTTCGTGGGATGTTGAAATTTGTCAGCATTGAGGTTTTTTTTTTTTTTATTTTGTTTTGAAATGTTCTTTAGACGACGACTCAATTGGTTATTGAGTGTTAGGATAGAGCAGTAGTACTATAGACTATAGAGTTGCAATAAATACATTTGGGAATTTTATTATTTAATGTTATAATGTCTGGTCAGTTGGAATAGTGTAAGCAGAATGAATACATACAATCCAAAGTTCAATTTGAAATATCCTTTCACCTCTATTTATTATTAATTTTCATATTATTGTTATTTTTATTTATTTTTATTTTCAATTTGGTTTTAGTTTCAAAATTTTCTTTTTGAAGCTAAAGCTTATTGGGCTAAAGATTCTGGCTGAAATTGAATATGCAAATCGGTTTTAATTGGGTCATACTAATTTGGAAGTCCATGATTTGATTTGAGCAAGTGGCCACTATTTGAAATTAATTATATGAAATATTTAATTAATCATTTATATTCATTATTAAAATTTACAATTTATAGAAATTTAATATAGTTGTTATGATCAACTTTTTTAACTTTTTTTAATATATCAGTTATTATTCATAATCATCTGTATTTATTAATAGAATATTGTATATAAATAACTTTAACAAAATATATACGAAAAATAAAAATATGATAATCATGTATATTATGAATAATTTTATCACAATAAATTGTAAAAAATAATTTATTAAAACAATATACCACTGTTTATTTTCATCATATTATATAAAAAAATTATTTGTAATAAGCTGTTGGAAATCACCTAACTAGAGTTAAAATTTCACCATAGCAACACCGATTGAAGCCCAAATGTCAGCTCATCACGTCAATGTCATCATCCGATACTGACAAACAACTGGGGCCCACCAAAACGGGCCGGGCCCAACTCATAATAAACTATTTATTTATTTAATTATTAATTAATTAATTAAATGAATAAAAGCATATATCTTTGCTTCGTTGAAGAAAAGAGTCATTAGTCATAACCCCACTCTCTACGCATTCCGCTAAAAAGTTCCACGGGGTCCGATTACCCAATATGAAATGACTTAAAAGGGCACGGAGTCCACGCAAGAGAACTGTTGCTATGCTTACATACTTCGAGGGCATTTCCGTCTTTATCAATATTCGTTTATTAGAACGATACGTTTTAATTTTCCGAAATAATTATTAATTATTACACGACGATCAAAACGGAGTGATTAATTTTGTGAATGGACTTCTTTCTCGAAGAAACCTGATTGAATAATTGAAGACTGAAAGCAGTAGATATTTTTTTAGTATTTGAGCTGGAAATTATAATTCAAAAAAGTTTCAGAAAAATCATATTTTGTTTTGGAGATGGGTTTTGTTAGTACGATATTGGGGTTTTGTGGATTTGGAGTTGGGATTTCAACTGGATTGACGGTTGGGTATTACTTGTTCATCTATTTTCAGCCTACTGATGTTAAGGTGCGCAATTCGCTACAGTTTTGCTCTCTGTTCTTCAATTATTTTTTTTTTCCTTTTCAAATTTTATGCATTAATAATGTATATATCATTTTTTTTTTTTGAAATTGAATGAAATTTGGAGCAGGACTTGTTCACACTTGGTTTATTCTGGATATTTTATGTTTTCCTTGTACGTTAATTCCTTGTTGATTGGTTATCTGTGGCAGGATGGATAAGAATTGTCTAATATTTTCTCAATTGTCTTCGTTAGTAAGTGAGATAGGTGGATTGTGTCAAATGTCGAATTCTAATTTGATGCAATCGGATTGGTTGGTATCGAAATCGATAATAGGGTTATTTCAACTTTTAGATTATTTCAAGGGTGCTTAATTGCTTAATGTTAATAGCTGAAATTGAAAAACCTACCTATCTTCATGAAAATGTATTGCTATATGAGAGTGATATTGTGGTGTATAACTTGTTCTAAGAAGAAGAAGTTGAACATTCCCCTTTTCACTTAGTTTGGAATGCCATGTAATCAAGAAAAGTTAGCAGGATGAATGGACTCAAGCTCGTGCTTTAGACTACTTCCGTTTTCAGTGAAATACAATTCTTGTATCTTTCTGTTGGTTTCCACACTTTACGGAGTTACAGTTCTCGAGGGAGATGAGTTGTCTTAGTTGGGATTGTTAAACTACAGTTTGCTTCCGCAGCAGTGTTGTTCCTAATATCCATTTGTTTGATATATATGTAAGAATTATTTGTAATGTGTAATGAAGTTCTAGGTTAGGTGGATTGTGGTACCAAACATGTGAAAAAGATTCTGATTCTGTAACTTTTTATCAGGATCCTGTCATCCGTCCTTTGATTCAGCACGACTCCAAAAGTTTGCAGGGGTTACTTCCCGAGATACCTTCTTGGGTGAAAAATCCAGACTATGATCGTGTAAGTTCATAGTGAATTGGTCACTTCTATTATATTTTTCTTGATTATTTCAATTCTTGTTATGGGTGTTTCGTAATGTCATTGTTTAACGTTGATTTCTCTATTGGATTGAAGATTGACTGGCTCAACAAGTTTCTTGAAATTATGTGGCCTTATCTGGACAAGGTATTGATTTTAATCCAATATTGAGTGTCATTGTTACCTTGTTTGTCATCGCTTTCTGCATCAGTAATTTATGCTTCTTCTTGCAGGCGATTTGCAAGACGGCCAAAAACATAGCTACTCCAATTATTTCTGAGCAAATTCCAAAATACAAAATTGATTCTGTTGAATTCGAATCACTAACTCTAGGATCTCTGCCACCCACTTTTCAAGGTCAGTTACGTGATTCTCTATTTTCACTGAATTTCGTTCTGTTGCAGTATTAGACTGTAAACCAGAATATTTCAGAAGCAATATAGATGTCAATAAATGTCATGTTAAATACAAAAATTGTATATGTGCACTTTCACGGCAGGTATGAAAGTCTATATCACTGACGAAAAGGAGTTGATTATGGAGCCTTCCCTGAAATGGGCAGGGAATCCTAATGTCAAGATTGCTGCTAAAGCATTTGGATTAAAAGCAACAGTTCAGGTTGTTAGCCATTTTAAAATGTTTTAAAAGTATCTTATCACCTGTATTATATGTAGCCTGATTTTTTTCTTAGATCTCAACTTTTAACGCGTAACAAAAGAAGTTGTTTGCATATTGCAGGTTGTGGATTTGCAGGTCTTTGCTCAACCGCGTATTACCCTGAAACCTCTCGTTCCCAGCTTTCCGTGTTTTGCCAAAATATTTGTCTCTCTTATGGAGAAGGTTGGTGGAATTTTATTGTTATGGTCATTGAATTATATAAAATCATAACACGAAATATGTACTGTATAGAAAATTATTGGTAAAGTTAGCTCCATTTTGTTTTGGCAGCCTCATATTGACTTTGGGTTGAAGCTTGCTGGGGCAGATCTCATGTCGATTCCTGGCCTGTACCGTTTTGTACAGGTAAAACTCTCTTGCAGTAATTCTTGAAATGCTCGTTTCATAATATCTCGTTTTTAGGGAGAGTAGAATTAATGGCGTATGCACAACAAATATGAATAAGTATCATGTATCAGATTTATGTCTATATTTTTTGGCTAATGAATCTTACCATAAAATTGGATTCGAACTTGCAGGAGCTAATCAAAGATCAAGTTGCTAATATGTATCTATGGCCTAAAACCCTCGAAGTGGAAATTCTTGATCCGACAAAGTACATTTTCTCTTATACAGAGATACTTGCCTTTCTAAATTGTGTTAGAACTTATAATGCATGTTCTAATTCTCTTTAAATTGTTTCAGAGCTTTGAAGAAGCCTGTCGGAATCCTCCACGTGAAAGTTATACGGGCACAGAAGCTTAAGAAGAAAGATTTGTTAGGTGCATCAGATCCTTACGTAAAACTGAAGCTCACTGAAACAAAAGCTCCATCAAAGAAGACTATGGTGAAGCACAAGAATTTGAACCCAGAGTGGAACGAAGAATTCAGCATGGTTGTAAAAGATCCCGAAACACAAGCGTTAGAGCTTCTCGTATACGATTGGGAGCAGGTATATTAATATACGCATGCATATCCTCTTGTTGCATGTTCGAATATTTGTTGTGATGTTACGATGTCTCAACACATGATGCTTTATTATTACACTGTTCAGGTGGGCAAACACGAGAAGATGGGTATGAATGTAGTCCCTTTAAAGGAACTACCGCACGACGAACCGAAAACAATGATGCTAGATCTTCTCAAGAATATGGACCCCAACGATTCTCAAAATGATAAGATGCGTGGGCAGATTGAGGTGGAGTTGACTTACAAGCCTTTTAAGGAAGAAAATATGCCGAAGGATGTCGAAAATTCTGATGAAGTACAAAAAGCTCCTGAAGGCACACCGCCAGGTGGCGGGGTGCTAGTGGTTACAGTGCATGAAGCTCAAGATTTGGAGGGGAAACACCATACTAACCCGTATGTGCGCATCCTATTTAGAGGAGAGGACAAAAAAACTAAGGTGCGTGCAACTATCTTATTTCTTATCAAGTTGCATTCGTCTTTGTGTAAATTAAATGCAGTTAAAGTTCTGTCTATTTGTTCGAATTAGGATAGGAACAAACAATCCCGGATTTAATCAAGGATATTTCGTCAACCCTTGTTATTACACAATCTTATGAACAAAGATTGGATAATAAAAAATGCAATTTTTTTATAATTAAATATTATATAATAATGGACGATGTAATTTTAACCAATTCGACCAATCTTGTCAATCCCATCAGCATTTCCAAACGAGGATTTTGATTACTATTCATGTAGCAACTCAACGTACAGCAAATTACCCTTTTTAATAGTAATGAAATTTTATAGTGAGTTAGGTCCTTTATGAAAATTTATTTGCGCTTAGGAACATGTTATCCCGTAATCGAATTTCTTTATTTCCTCAATCCTGATTAATTGAGAAATAATTTGAATGATCACTTCTGCTGAGAATTACTAATTGTCTGCTTTTATGCTTTTATTGATATTTAGTGATACCTCATGTGTCGATTTGGACGTTGAAAATTTTTAATTGGTTTATTACAGCAAATAAAGAAGAACAGGGATCCAAGATGGGAAGAGGAGTTCACTTTCGTTTTGGACGAACCTCCGGTTAAAGACAAGATGCATTTGGAGGTACTTAGTACCTCGTCCAGAATCGGCCTGCTTCATCCTAAGGTAAAAAATATAAGCCATTTTCTTATAAACGTCTCAAAGCAATTTTGTACAATGATATATTTTTTGCTGTTTTCTTTCTCGATGAATTGAAAATCCTGTTTGAATTTTTTATTTTTTATTTTTAAATCAGGAAACATTGGGTTATGTGGATATCAACTTAGCAGATGTTGTGAGCAACCGAAGGATAAATGAGAAATTCCACCTCATAGACTCGAAGAATGGGCGGCTACAAATCGAGCTGCAATGGCAAACATCTTGATCTTTTTTACCCTTTCTTTTCAAAGAATAAAAACAGAAAAGTGAACCTTGTTGATTAAACACTTTTTCCCAGTGAGTACCAAAATAGTTGTGTAACGCGGCGCACATTTTCGAGCTTGCCTTTAAAAGAACAGTCGTATGTTATCCGTGTATTTTGCGTGTGTATATTATTAACATTTATGCGTGTTGGTTATATACATTTTTTAGTTTGTTCCGCAGTTTTCTTCCTTCGTTTCAAAAGATTCTGCGATTGTTTTGAAACTAAAATATTTTTTAATTTGATGCAGCAGATGGAAGGATGTCGATTTATTATTATGGATTTGAAGTTCATGTTTGGGATGACTCGATATAGATCGTCATTGCTGCTTAAAGTGAATGTAGATCATTTTTTCAACTGAAATGATTTGTGCAGGCCAAAATTAAACATTCAGGCACATTTTTTACCATTTTTCAAAAAACAAAAAGTAAAAAAACTCAAAACTCTCTCAACCTTTCGATTTTCTTTCGCAAAGCCCGTGCAAATCGTCAACAGATCGGAGGTAATTTTTACGTTTTTACGATCCTCTTGTTATGTAGATTACGAATCCGGAAAAAAAAAACGAAAAAAATTACACGTTGGCCTGCTCGTGTGAATTTACACGAGCGCATCCACTGTGCTCGTGTAAATCCACACGAGCAGGCATTTTTATTATTTTTTTTTATTTTTTTTAATTGCTCGTGTAAAAACACACGAGTGGTTGCAAAGTGCTCGTGTGAAATCACACGATCAGTTTGCAACCGCTCGTGTGTTTTTACACGAGCAGATTATTATTAGTTTTTTTTTTTTTTTTTTTGATTTATAAGATGCTCGTGCAAAAACATGCGAGCATTTCAACAGTGCTCGTGTGAAATCAGATGAGCACTGTTGAAATGCTCGTGTGTTTTTGCACGAGCACAAAAATTTAATTTTTTTTTTTTATTTTTTTTTATTTTTAATTGGGTAGGAATAGTACAAAAGGTAAATAGTTATGGTAAAAAGGTAAAAAATCATGGTAAAAAAGTGCCTGAATGTTTAATTTGGCCTGCGTATATCACCACCCTTTTTTCAATCGAAATGTGTGTGATTGCGCGTGCCATTATGTCAACACATCACTCATTATTATCATTTTTAACAATTCTCTCTCAACTATTAAAAAAAAAATACAGGTAAAATTGAGAAAATGGTAATTAATGCATAATAAATTTTAAAATAATTAATAATATATGGAATATTTTTTTATTCATCAAAAGGATAATTAATTTAAAATAAATGGAGTTAATTCAAATATTTAATATACAATAATTTTGTATTGTTAGTGAAAGAGACTGTTAATTCTGGCCCATACCTAACCGATGGGCTCAGTTTCCAAGCACACAGTTACCGAGAAATAAGGTATTAATAAATAGAATAACCCAATAACCCCAGTCTGGGCCGATTCTTTACTCTTATTTGACGCCAATTAATATTCTAAATCTAAACCATCTTATGATCTTATCTCACCACTTTCCAAAAATATTCAGAGACTCACAGTAGCTATCTCCAATGGCGAAACTAATCGTCGACTCAGAATACCTCAAGGATGTCGACAAAGCTCGCCGTGAGCTCCGCGCTCTGATCTCCAACAAAAATTGCGCACCGATTATGCTTCGCTTGGCGTAAATTTTCATTTTCGTTTTCTCCTCTCTGAATTTTTTTTTCCGATTTTCACTTTGAGATGATAGTTTCACAAATCGAGTTCGAGATTAGTTCTATTCGTTTACCGGTTTTTGTTGATTATATGTTTACTAGATGGCATGATGCGGGGACTTATGATGTGAACACGAAGACTGGAGGCCCGAACGGTTCGATTCGGAACGAGGAGGAGTACACTCATGGCGCTAATAGCGGCTTGAAAATCGCGCTCGATTTTTGCGGTCAGTTACGTTAGGTTTTTGCGAGGTTATTTTTGCAGATTAATCTGTCTCTAGATTCGAAACGTTAAATAGTTTAGCATGCTTGTATGTGTTGCTTCATATACGTTAATCAAGCATCTGGTGCTGTTAATTGTTGGATAGTTTGGAAAATTATCATGAGTGTTGGATTATTTTCTGATTGAATATGATTGACTTCGCGGTTGATTCTGGTTATGCCTGTGTATTTTGATGAGTTTGCATGCTGAACGATGGGAATTTATGTTATCTTGTGCGATTGAGATGTTCGTAATTATACGATCATACTCTCAGGTTGATATATCTTTGCTGCGATACCAGGATTGAACATATCTTACTGTTGAACATAGTTTTACTTGATTGCGTTCATAAGTTATTCACGAGTCTGGTGCATTTGTGCAAGTTTCCGGGCTTGGTTAATTGGTTAATTGTTTATGACTTTGTAAATGGAAACTTATGTCTCTTATCTATGTCCGTACTTTAGGATGTGAAAATTTCACATCAGTTGGCCTTGTCTTGATTGATATTGAAGCATAGTTATTTGAATAGTTTTTATTTAGCGTGGTGGCAGAATTGAGCTTAGCGTGTCTGTTGAATTTAGAGAATATAAGTCCTTCATTTGAAAGTGTACATCTACCGGTTTTCTTATGGTCAGTTTTGTGTCTGATTGCAGAAGCGGTGAAGTCTAAATGCCCGAGAATTACATATGCAGATTTGTACCAGGTAATTTGCTTGGCTGGCTGCTTTTGGTTGCAATCGAGAAATAAAACCTTGTATAAGATAATCAGTTTTTCTATGTCAATGACCTAGTGCAAGCAAGTTTAAGATCTTGACTAATTATTATGCAGTAGCGATTTTACGCAAGGGGTTGGAGTATTGAATTCTCTAGACTTATTTATATTGTATCCATAACATCGCTCGAAAAATATGTGTTTAAGTTATTTGTGCTCTGCCCTTGTAGATAACATTACTCAATGAAATAAGTGTAAACAATCGTGCACTGCCTGTTGAGATAAAATCACTCAAAGAAAATTTTAATATTTGTAACTGCTAAACAAGTGCACGGGCATGCAAATTCTAATCCTGCTTCAGGGAATTATACTGGAGTACTAATACTGGAAATTTAGTGAATGTGAAGCATTGATTGGGAAGGAAATGAACAGAACCACTCTAATTTGTCGTTTTTTGATACTACCTCAACGTCACTTAGGGATGGGATGGATTGGGAAGAATCTAAAATCTAAAGTTACTGTTTCATTGAAATGTGCCGATAATTTTTTTTATTCTGGAATTGTTTTCTTGTTATCACGAAGTACACTGCGCATGTATTCTGCCTTGGATTCTCCAATTCATTTTTTGTCTCTATCAAGATATATGGATTTTTATATTTTCATGCTGTACTGGATGGTTGGATAAGTTAAGAGCAATCTGTTTTGTGCTTGCCTACAGCTTGCAGGTGTTGTTGCAGTAGAAGTCACTGGAGGCCCGACAATTAATTTTGTTCCTGGTAGAAAGGTACTCTTAATCTATCTTACATAAATAAAACAAAACTTGTCTTGTGCTAGAAGTTAAGCCTCATCATTCATCATGGATTAGGAACTAAAATTAGATTACGTGTATTGGCAAATTAGCTTAATCACATTAAGAAATAAGAACAATATTAATGCTATCCATCTCATGTTTCTTTCAGGATTCAAAGATTTCTCCAAAGGAAGGGCGGCTTCCAGATGCTAAAAAAGGTCAAACATAATATAATGGAAATCATAGTTGTCTGAACTTGCTATGATTAGATGCTATGATAACCACTATATGTGCTAATGCACATGCTATTTGCTCTACATTCTTTCACTGACATCATCAGATGTTAAAAAAACACTTTCTGCTTATATTGTCTCTCTATAAATATATTACAACTAACTGGAATTTTATATAGTAAAAATCCTTTTGCAATGACATTTCCTGCTCTTGCTCGTATATTGGCTTTAAGTTTTCAGAATCTGGCCACTTGTGAACTTTAATGAAGAGTGATTGGAAGTTCAACTAACATACTCTTTTGCATTCAATGTTAGGTGTGCCACATCTGAAGGATGTGTTTTATCGGATGGGTTTGTCCGATAAAGAAATCGTGGCACTATCTGGCGCTCACACCCTGGTAATTTCCATTTAATCACTTCCATGAATATAACCCACCTAGTGAACTTTTTTCTAAAGAACTTCTTTGACATAATTTGGTTATTAATATTTGTTTTAGGGAAGGGCACACCCTGAGAGATCGGGCTTTGATGGCCCTTGGACTAAAGAGCCACTGAAATTTGATAATTCATACTTTCAGTAAGTCCTTTAGAGTATATCAATGACCTTTTATCTATAATTATTATGATTATTTGTTCTTTTATGCCATTTCTACACGTTTATCTGAACCAGGGAGCTGCTTAAGGGAGAAAGTGAGGGACTGCTAAAACTCCCAACTGATGTTGCTTTGCTGGATGTTCCTGAGTTTAGGCATTATGTTGAGCTTTATGCAAAGGTACATTATTGGCTTCTAATCATCCACTTTAACAATGATTATGTTTCTTATTGGCAATTAGGATTTTGCACAACAGTCCATTTTAAAAGTTTATTCATGTCTCAATCAAGGACCTGAGAATCACCTGTTTTAAATCTTGGTTAATCTCAAAAGCTGATTCTAAAGAAGTTAAAGTTCACAAAAGTTAATTGCAAAAATCCTTTTCATCTTCTAATCAGCTTATATCATCATCATGATTCCCAGTCAACTTACTTTTGCACATGCCTCGTTAGAAAAAACAAATTTCTTTTGTCCAATGATATTATTATTAGCTTTCGGCCCTGACTAGGACATATTTTACTCAATGAAACTTTGGAATGCTATTTGGTATCTGCCTATTTCACCATTAATGTTATGACTTTGTGGGCCATATCCGTTGTTAAACGGCCCAATTGTTTGCTTTAGCAGGCTAATGTTCATCATTACTACATAATTTCAAAAGTAGTTTGGGCCACTCTTGTAACCATTGTCTCATCATCCGCACATGCAGGATGAAGATACCTTCTTCAAAGATTACGCCGAGTCCCATAAAAAACTTTCCGAATTAGGATTTTCCCCAGCTCCAACTGGTGCAAAGGCAATTGTCAAAGATTGCACCATACTGGCACAAAGTGCCGTTGGAGTTGCTGTTGCTGCTACAGTGGTGATCCTGAGTTACTTTTACGAAGTCAGAAAAAAGATGAAATAGGTCAAACACACAATCATCTGTTTACTTCCGATTATATCCGAATTATTATAAACATAAACTAGTCCCTGCTTTCGAGTGGGATCATAGATTTGTATTCAAAACGCGCACTATATACCGCTTGCTGAAATAATTACTGGAGATACTTGTCTCTGTATCTGTCTATTCACGAATTCATGCAAAATGGCTATTCCCGAGGAAAGCCGTGGAGATTGTTTCTTGAATTTCTTTGTGAATCACTTAGTGGTAGTAAAGACGTAGATCCATACTCGAACCTTAACAACGTGAACAATTGCTGCAAAATCCAGACCACTAATTTATAAGGAGACTATCCTCATGTTGTGTTATTTACAACCAAACAAAAACCAAGTTGTGCACAATTATGAAATGACACTCAACCAAAGCAATTAGAGATTATAGCACCAAACAAAATCTGGCCGACGAAAATGTGGGTCGTAAAATCCGATTCCTATCCATTTCACTTGCCATACTCTCCCTTTTTGTTTTTGGTTCTTATTCTCTCCACTTTCTATTCATAACTTTTCCCCTAATCGAAAAAAAAGAAAAACTAACCGGCCTCCAAATGTGGGTCAAAATTCAAATTGAAATAGACCCGGAGGGGGGGCTCACGGTAGAGGTAGGTAAGAGTTGTATTTAAGGACAACCCCCACGAGTATTGTTCATATACCTAAACACATGACATCCACGAGGGGGCTTATATGAGTTGTCACTCACTCACTCACTTGCCTATTCCAGATTAATTTGCCTACTCTTTCACACATGTTATTCATCTTTCTCAACCAAACCATGCATCTTTACATCTTTCTTACATCTCTTTTTTTTCCTTTTCCATATTCTTCCCCCTTATGGATTTCATTTTTTGTGTTTGTGTAATGCATATATCCAACCTAAAAAATTGAACCAACCTAACTAATTTATAACTACTAGCTTATGACTTATAGTGGCGCCTATGAGCATGACAAGTGCCAACACAAAGTTTGATGGATGGATGAGGGAAGCTTCATGGAAGACCTATAGCAATTGGTTGTGTATTAGTCTTGATACTACGCCTGATGGATAAGATATACATCAGATAGTTTTATACTATGTATCTGTATACACACAATCACACACATGCATATACGCGAGTGAGCGTAAAGTAGGTAGTTCGATACACACGTGTTTGGTGAAATTACCCCAAGTGTAGGTTCGAATAACCCGTGTGTGTCATTCATTGGATACTTTTCACATATTATTTCTTTTTTTCTTTCTAGTTTTGTTAGTTTATGTATGACATATATTGAAATTGGACATGAATACATGATGTGGATAGCTTTTAATATTTGGTTGGTGTTGGTTAAATGATTTTATAAAAAATAAAATAAAGAAATATATGGATAAGCTTAATGAGGTGTTATTTTTTTATTTTATTTTATATAAATATATAAAAAAAAAATGGATGGTGTTTTTTGTTACGTTGAAAGAGGAGATAACATTGGTATGGAAATAAAATGAGAAACCGTGCCATAATTCAAAATGAAAGGTGGAGCCATTTTTGGATGATGACAGTCGGGGATAAAGGTGAAAAGGTAGGTAACATAAACACAAGTTGTGACATCTATTGTATCTATCTATATCTATGTACATACATTTATGTATGTATGTGTATGCAGAGACTCTTGAATATTTTTTTCTATATTACTGATAATAAAAAAAAAAGAAAAAAATGTATATATGGATCAAGATTCATAATAGCCTCGTAGGTACAAGTTGGTGTCGATGTTATTTTCGGGTCGGAGGAGAAAACCATGTGGTGGTGGTGGTGGTGGGTGACTAATGCTATTTATGAGCAATGTTATCTATATATGTATTTCATTTATATCCCCTATTATTATCTATATTATATATATTATATATATTTTTGGTTCATCTTCACCTATTTTGATATGCAATAATAAGCCAACAACCACAATTAATTAACTTGGAATTGGTATAATGAATAACACTTGTCAATTCAATCTCCTTCATTTTTTTTAAAAAAATAAATCTATTTCTATAGGCGTATAAATCAACAGTACTATAGTTTTCGTTCGTAACAAAATTTGATTTTCTTTTTTTGAAAAGTTTAATCATCAAACTGCCCTCCCAAGTCACAACCCTAACCATATTTTAACTTGCACCATAATTAACGATTTGGACATAGAAAAATAAGAGAAGTGGAATAACTAAAGCCCACACATCCAACTATTATAATACGTTGCAACTTGCAACCACACACACTCAATTTTTTTTTAAATATAAATCCTTCTAGAAGGAAGGCCTTTAAATATAACAATCATATTATTTTAACACATTGTGCATGTTGGTAGAATAAAGTACAACACCTACCTTCTCTATAATATACTTAGTCTCATGATTAAGGATAACAGCACTTAATTGGCAACATATATTTATCTCCTCCAACTAATTCTCTAATTAATCAAACCCAAAAACCATCTAATCCAACAATTTCGCATTTATCCTGAAATTAATAATGCAAATTATATATTATTATCATTTGAAAGAAAAAAAAAGGAATGATTTAAGCAAAAAATATATATGGTGACAGATATACAGTAGTATAAATGTTGGTACAAAATGTTTGGCCAGACTTCACCAGAAACCATTAACTATGTTAATTAGCTCCAACAAACATCATTACACAAAAGGGTGTCCCATATTTATTTATTTCTATCACCACATTTATTTATATATACACATATACATTTACTTAAGTTATTAACAAAAACAAAAGTTGGTTCAGAGTTTGGATGAAAGACAAAATTAAAATATATATATGACACAATTTCCAGTAGCTCTAATATATATTACTTTACACCTACCTGAAGTTTACCTATATATTGTTAATTAATTAATTAGTTATAAATGTCACTTTTATTTTACCTAAATTATTATAATTTATGTATATATATAATCATCACAAAGAGAGTTGCCACAACTAGCCCACTTCTCTCAAATTAAACCTGTCTTACCAACTCACATCTAGAAGCAATTATTATTACCCCACCCCACCCCACCCCACCCCTTACCCCACCCCCCCCCCCCCGTAAATGAGAGTCAAAATCTTGTAGATATATGTAGATATAAATAACTCCCTATCAAAGTTTTTAAAAGGCCGGGCATTGATATATGCTCAATCACACCATCAATCCTATACACACAAAATAAAAGCACTTAAAATAAAAATACTATTTTGCAGGAAAAAAAAAAAAAAAAAAAAGTTTGAGCGCCTTTTAAATCTGAAAAATTGTTTTTTTTTTTTTTTTTTCCTTTTCTAAATTAAAAAAAGGAACAAGAAAATGGGAAGATCTCCTTGCTGTGAGAAAGCTCACACGAACAAAGGCGCGTGGACTAAAGAAGAAGACGATCGTTTGATCGCTTACATACGCGCCCACGGCGAGGGATGCTGGCGTTCGCTGCCGAAATCCGCCGGACTCCTCCGCTGCGGGAAGAGCTGCCGCCTCCGGTGGATCAACTATCTCAGGCCAGACCTCAAACGCGGCAACTTCACCGAAGAAGAAGACGAACTCATTATCAAACTCCACAGCCTTCTCGGCAACAAGTAAGCATGCATCCTACACACACACACACACATGTATATATACATATATATATATATATATATTAAGATGTTTGTTTATTGGGAAAATACAGGTGGTCCCTAATTGCCGGAAGGTTACCGGGAAGAACAGACAATGAGATAAAGAATTACTGGAATACCCATATCAGAAGAAAGCTTTTGAGCAGGGGTATTGACCCCACTACTCACCGACCAATCAATCATGATCCCGCTATTATTATTAATAATAATATTTCATTTTCCGGTACTGCAAGTTCCAAGGATGAAGATCGGAAAAATATGAGTGGCGGCGGCGGCGGCGGTGGTGGGTTGATCGTCGGGAAAGAAGAGAAAATGATCAGCAGCCCGGTTAATATTATTACAAAAGAACGGTGCCCGGATTTGAATCTTGAACTGAGAATCAGCCCACCCACTTATCAAGAACCGATTTTGATGATGATGAAATCAGACAGTGATGAAGATGTAAGTAGTACTGTGTGCTTCGCATGTAGTACTGTTCCACAGAAAAGCAAAGAGTGTGGGTGTGGTAATAGTGTTATTATTACTGGAAGTAGCAGTAATTCTGGGTATGATTTTCTTGGGTTGAAGACTGCTGTTTTGGACTATAGAAGCTTGGAGATGAAATGATCATCACCCATATTTTATTAAGTTTTTTTTTTTTTTTTTTTTTAAGTTTAATTAAGGTGTAAGAATTAAAGATTAATTCATAAAAATGTAGTGAATAGAGGTATAATTAATAATATTAATTACTATTTTAGTATTAGTTAGTTGAGATATTTTCTTGAATATTTGTAAAATTAATAGTTGAATATTTTTATTGCATGACATTATTTTTATTATAGTATCAATACATGCATCATAGTATATGACCAATTAATTATACACAATTTAATTTGGTCAGGGATTTTTTTTATTTTATGAATGATTTTTATTACAAATTTGTCAGAGGTTTTTGATAAATGATCATTCAAATTAATGTTTCATGAATTTTGTGGGGTGTTTTATTTATGTATTTGTATATATATATCCCAGACAAAGATGTGTACTTGTGGAGTTAACTACATTCTGGTACGTAGGAAGTTACATGCAAATGGTTAAAGTGGTCCATAAAATATTTATTAATTTCACCATGCATACAATACAATAAATTCTATTTTTTACATGCTGAAATTCTTGATTTTAATTTATTTTAAATTTTCTGTTATAGTATTTAAATAAAAGTATAGTTCAAAAAAGAAAATAATTTGGTGATTGCTATTTTCAAAAAGTTTCGTCTACTTGCAAAATCTCAACAGTCCAGGCTCACGAGTTTTGGCAACTCGTCCACTTGCCATATCTAATTATTTACCAAATTCTTTTTCCTTTTTATATATAGGATAAATTATACCTACACCCCTTAGGTATACTAAAATAATTTTAAGGTCCTTGTAGTATTGGTAATTACAACCACACTTCTGAAACAATTACCGGAGCCAAGATTTCATGCCCTTGGGACCGACATGCATTATATTAGTTTTCCGCGGGTCGTTTTTGCTACCATAGACGTATTTTATATATATCCAATGCACTATTCCGTTAGGGATTCTAACAATGTTTTAGGAGGTGATTGTAATTATCGATACTATAGGGACCTTAAAGTTATTTTAGCATGGTTTAGGGGTCTAGGTGTAATTTACCCTATATAAAAAATTAAAAAAATTAAGAAATAAATTTGTCCCATTAAAATTAAATGTTGCAACTCGATCTCTATCCTTATCTTTAGAGCTTTTTGGTATCTTTGATATGGATTGTCTGATGAATCATGTGAGATGTAGAATTTGAACTCCATTTTTCTCTTCACTACTTTTTTTTTTCTTTTTTTCTTTTTTTCCTTTTATCTAATATTAGATTATATTCCCTTTTTGATAAATAATTGTTATTTGTCATGTTGTTCAGCAGAAGATATGAATGAAGAACAACCAAACGGATAAGCTGTGAGAGGATGAGATGAAAAGAAGACGAAATAGTTAGGTAACCTATCTTTTCCAACACTATTATTAATATATTTACTAACACATACATTTATTTAATAATTATTATTTTTTATTTTTATAATCGGTAGAATGAAATTAAATAAAATAGTAATATAGTACATAAAATAATAAATGAAATAAACCCATTCATTATACCATCCTTCTACCAACTTTAGCTTACTATTTTTTTCTTTTTTAGCCGTGATCTACCAACCTAGCAATATTTATATATATTTATATATAATATACATATATTATTTGCCACTTGCTTATAATGTATTTATTTTCATTTACATATTAATATATGACTTTAAATCATATGATCTCATGTAAATGATAAATAATTAATCCAAGAAGAGCTCTAAATTATATTTATCAATGTGTTAAGCTTGGGGGGTTCATGTATTAACATACTATCTTTATACTAGAATAGATTTTTTTTATATACTTTAAAATTTTAATTTGGTATAGAATTCATTTATGGTGTACCTAAATCAATTATGGGATTAGGTCAAACCGTTTTTCGATAGTACTCATCTCAACCAGAGAGTATTTAAGTTTGCAATAATTTCCAAGTTTCACAAAGTTAATAAATGCACCTACTAAACTCAAAATTTGTGTACATTCATATGGATATATATATTCTTAAATAAAATTGAATTAATAATTACAACTCCAGAACAATTACTATTTAATAACTCTTAATTATATATATTTATTTATTTACCCACAATTTTTTTCAATAGTGTTAGGTAGAAAGATTAGAAGCTTCGGTGAGATATTTATTAAATTCCCAGTTTTTCAAGAAAATAAATTGTTTAATTAATAGGGATTAGGACTTACAAAGATCACTTATTGATCTCTCTACTAATTTTGTAATTAATTATTGATTCTGCCCCTTAATCTGGATTTTTTGGTTAGTAATTTAGAGTCCAGTTTCAACTAACCTCACATGCAAGCATCCTAGTGAGGGCCCTTATAGGTCCCATTAATTAATGGGTAAATTACAATTAAAAGTAAGATTAATTTACGAAAAAATCCCTCTTTTTTTTCATAATTACATCCACCCTTTTTGTAATTTACAGATTTCTAACAATAATACCCTTTTGTAGGGGGTGTATGTAAGAAATTAACAAAATTTAGGGAGCTGGATGTAATTTCTCAAAAGAAAGGCACCACAAATTCCACTATTTTGCCTTGACCCCACGGCAACGAGCTTATAACTTTTGTTCATTAATCATCTTTGATTAAAATAAATAAATAAATAAACAAAAAAGTCAAGTCCAAGTCGATCTAAACATTTAAGAAAAAAAAAAGGATCAGAATTGCAAATTCAGAAAATGTGAAGGACCTTATGAGTAATTAGTGAAACGTTGTTTCGCACACGCTATTAACTTATTTCGTTGTGGGCGGTAGTTGGCAGCCGCCCGACGTAGGCCTCAAATTGTCCGTTAGACTAGTGGGCCCCAACTATGCCCAGCCCAAACTCAACGCCTAATTACATATTGGGCCCACTTAATGTTGTCGCTCTCGTAATTTACCCCTCTTCTTTCCATAATTCTCATTTTAGCCCCCACTTTCCTTTTACTTTTGCTATAAACTACCTTACCTTTTCTTAAATTTACAATTTTCCTTTTTAGTTTTTACTTACTATAATACGTTGCAGAAAGACAACGTACAATTCGGTTTGTTGAATTTAATCAAAAATAATAATAATAAGAAAAGATGAAATGAAGAAACGAATCTAATTAAAAAATTATTTAATTATTGACGCTGATGTAATTACCCTTTTTTTGTCAAACACGTGTGTTAGTGTTCACTTCACCATATAAGTTATAATATTTTACTACATGATTAGGCGAATATATTAATCATTATTTAAATTGTTACTAAAAAAATCTTTTGCATTTCACGTAATTAGTGTTGATAAAAGAAGAGTCGGCAAATATTTTACATATTATATAGTTGTGCCTGTTTTTCATATTGCATTAATCAGCAAATTGACACAGCATTAATTTCCGTTAACAACCGCTAACCCACACAAAGTTTGACAGTGAAATAATGTGTCAAATTAGTCAAATTCTGTGTTAATTTAATATTTAATTGATGTGATCTATTGATTTTGTGAATCATTTGCAGTAATGTGTGGTTATCTATTTATTATTTATTTTTCAGAGATATTCGATTTTGTCCATAAAAAAAGTAGTGAAGATGTACGTCATTTCAGTCGATCCTTTCACATATAAATTCGAACAGGGTCACATTATGTATATACTCAAGTAGACTATTATACATGAGAGTAATGGTTTACCAAATTCATTTCTATAGTTGGCTACAAATTTCTTCACTTCAAGAAAAAACTAAAATTTCATGGTAAAATAACTAAAATGACTTTCTTTTCTAAATCAATTCCTAATTATAGCAACCTAATTTATTAATTAAACTATAGTTTGTTAATTAAAGTATATTTTAATAATTCTATTATGGGTAAGTTACAACCCCTAAGGTATGGTCTAATTACGTAACCCCCTCTTGTTTGGATAATTACAACCACCCCTTAACTATAAATCTTCTTACACGTTCACCCTTGTGGTTTCAAATTTAGTGGAATCTCCTAGATTAGATGTAATATTATCACTTTTGTACCATTTTATCCATTTGAGCTCCACATTTTGAAGTAAAATGATCATAAGATGTGTTTTTTGGCTTCTATATATCAGATTGTGGTGCATCATAAACTGTATTTTTACACAAAACGGGTACAAAGTCGAGTTCATTCCACGGAATTAAGATGATTATGTTGAAGCTGACACCATAAGGGTGTAGGTGTAAGAAGATCAATAATTGAGGGGAATAAATATAATTATCCAAACAAGAGTGGTGTTTTCGTAATTTGACCATACCTCAGGGTTGGTTGTAATTTACGCTTTTGGTATTGAAGCGTAAGATAGCAAAAGCAGGGAAGGTGGGAGAAGTGAACAAGTTTGGTGAGATATGAAGAAAGGTGGAGCCCACAAGCCCATTAGTGGATAGAGTTTATTTACTAATAAAACCCATTAAGGGCCCAAAATGAAAATAATAGAGAGTAGAGCCCACCATCCCTAGTTTTGGTACTTGTCTCCTTTCCCCCGTGACCATCATTTATTGCCCACACTAACCTCTATCTATACCAATGCAATATTTTTTCAGGCTATATTTACCATTTTATCCCTCCCAATTTTTATTACTACGAAATAAAATTGCACTATTTGTTTACACATTCGAAAACTACCCAATTTTGTTTATCCGGTGTTTGGTAAAAGGATTGAAAAGCACTGACAAAAATGCAGCAAGGTCAGGAAATGATCGGAAGAAATCGGGTCAATTATTGCAGATTTGTTATCTACTATATGAATCACACATTTAACCACCACATAAAATTATCCTTTATGGATCACACAAATCTTAGCCGAAACCAATTTTATTATATATAAAGTTATGACAAGAAAGAGAGTGAGAGATCGAAATCTGAATGAATGGAGACAACAGTAATCAAATTATTGCTCCAACAGTTAAATTGAACTACTCCCTTGTCCGTTGTGGGGTCGGTTATTAATTATCAGATTTCAATTTTTAGTTTGATAAGCTCACACATCCAGACAAACAAATACAACTTGCCATTAAATAATTTAAAAAAAAAAAAAAAAATAGAAAATAACATACTCTGTTAAATATTTTTTGCAGAAAAATAATCCAAGTTGAATCTTATTCTGTTAAATCCAATACTTAAAGAGGCCCAATACGAAATGAAATTATAAGGCCGAATTGATGAATCACACTACCTTGACAGGCCCAGAAGCAGCAACACAATGTGCAGAATAATAATAATTTGAAACTAAGTTTCCTTAGTTGAAGGGGCTTTCTTAGCAGCCTCGGCAGCAGCTTTCTCTGCTTCTATCTCAGCAACAACGGCGTCGATTTCTGATTCTTCAAGTTGCTTCAGTCCGTGCTCTTTCGTCATTACACCTACTTCGATATTCTTTCCTCCACTCTCCACAACCTTCAATTATCATATTATATTTTACATGTTATCTATCACCCAACATTTAAAATAAGACGAGAAAACGAGAATGTAGTATAAAACCATCTACGTCAAAAACCATGTTCAAATGTTGCTTTTATAAACTTGGTCATCAATCACTACAGACTTCAGTTAACCATATAAATCAGTATGCTAGAGATATATAGTTTTTCCCATTTTGATTGAAAATGCTTGCCTACGGAATTTACTAAATTTCTCAGACAAGGTCTGAGAAAGAAGATTACGTTTTAGGATCTAGACTTGTAAAATTGTGAGGCTTTGCAACTCTTCCTAATATCATGTTGCTTAATGAATCGAAAATAAATACCAAAAGATAACATCGACTTTAACTTATACGCTAAAGCTATTCCTCAGTTCTAACCCACCTTCAAATGGCAACACAAATTAAACATAGGCAACATTCAAGTACAAAAAGAACAAAGCCAAAACCAGATATTCATTCTCTTAGAAAGTTAAGAGAAGATGCACCAAATTCAACTCAACCACTTCAACTGATAATTTTACTGTTTCAAGAACAAAAAAACAGTTGATCTCTAAAATGATTTCTGCTATCTACGTATTCCCCAAATAAAAACCCTGAGAAAGACCAAATCATGCTCGATAATAACTTCCAAATGTATATCACTGTCGCATAAATCTCAGTAAATGCTGTCAGTGTTCCATCCACTTGAAGGAACGAAAAGCATAGAAATTTCCGGAAAGACTTCCTCTGAAATCTTATATCTTGACACACGTACAGACACGATATAAGAGCAAAAGCAGACAGAAAATGACAGGCATCTAATAAATAAAAAAATGCATACAATAAGTGTAAGCAAATGGGCATTGAGCCACATCAACACGGATGATTTACCTCGAGCAAAGCACGAATCGCTAACTTGAGAGTTTCTTGGCCATGTGTTTCCTTGTAATTCTTCTCCAGAAACTCTCTGATAGAGTTCGAATTCCTCCCAGTCGCATTTGCTTTCCATGCTGAAAATGTGCCAGATGGATCTGTCTGATAAAGTGACGGAGTACCAGTATGTGGGTCAAACCCAATAATCAAGGTCGAAAGGCCAAAAGGTCTCACACCACCACTTTGTGTGTACTTCTGCTGAAGACCGGCAATGTAGCGAGTTATGTATTCAACTGTTACAGGATCCTCAATCGTAAGCTTGTGACTCTGGCATTCAATCCGTGCCTTGTTTATTAAGACACGTGCATCTGCTTTCAGCCCAGCGCAGGCCAAGGCAATGTGATTATCTAAATTAACAATCTTCCTTACCGATCTGAAAGACGCAATAAAACAAACATGGATGTTAAGTACCGTTTCTTGAACAATGCAAGTTTGAAATTGCAGGGATTACATTCAGAACATGTCAGTAATGCATAACAAATGGCTAAAATCGGACGATTTCAAAGTTCAATAGAATAGTTGACTAATGGATGACAAATAACAACGGAACTCTTTTCGCATACAACCGAGTCCTAAGAGGGATTCATAGATATTAGACCAAAGCTAATGAATATTGCAAGTCAACCAGAAAGCTTCATTGTCCATTGGTTTGTATATTCGATGTTTACATGTACCGACACATGACCTGAATCTCAAGTGCTTGATATGATCTAGAACTGTTAGTAATGGAAAACTGAAATTCACGTAACACAATCACCACGTTCTATTTTTTTCACCCATTTTGAAGAATAACTGAAGTATCAAGGTAAAGCCAATTTGTTCGTATCTACGCAACCAAGGGCGAATGCTTTGCTTAAAGTTCGATGACCAGAAACCAAAGTTCAAAAAAATCGCATATCAAATCTAATTTTACAATTGAATCCCAAAATATGAAATCATTTGCTCAATATACATAGAAGCTCAAGCTAGGGTTTAACAACAACAGAGCTACACACAGTTCCCGCTCTACAACCCCCACCCATGCCTAATAAGAACATCGTTGCAGCCTTCAATAAACATAAATAGTAAAAAAAATTGCCAAAAAGAAAATCAAAAGCAGAAATAATTCACACCCAATTCTCAATAATACATTACAGTAAACAAGTCGATGCATCAAACTAGCAAACCCCAAGCCTAAATAAAAAAAAAAATTCATTCATCTGAACAAAAATAAATTAGCATATGATACAAAATAACATTGTGCGATCTGCGAGAGAGAAGAACAGAAACCTCGAATCCTGAAGCTTAGGAGCGGACTTCTTCTCAACGGCGAGCACGATGGTATCGGTGCCGCGAACTCCGACGGCGGCGTTTCCTTTGCGTACGGCCTCGAGAGCGTACTCCACCTGGAATAAATGACCATCCGGCGAGAACACCGTAATTGCTCTGTCGTATCGGGCCATCTCTCTATCTTTCCTTTTACAGTGTTCAAATCAAAACGAAGTGTGGTTTCGATCTATCTATGAACTTATTTTCCTCTAATTTATCACTTTTCTTTTCCCTGTGAGGATTTGCAGAGTGAAATCGGGAAGACGAACAACAGAACTTGAACAACACGAAATGGGCGACACTGCCAAACAAATTGAACACAGTTTTTTTTTTTTTTAATTTTTTTTTTAAATTTTTTTTATTATTATTCGATATAAATATTTAAATTATAGACTGGGCTGAAAAGGATAAGATTAGGCCCAAATATTAAATAAAAGCCCACAACTAAAGCCCGGTTACTATTGTTTTGATGGGCTTTGGCCCAAAGCAGCTGACCCTAGTCTTTGAATTACATTTTTCATGATAATAGAATATTTAATGATCTTATGTTCTAGATTTAAAATCATACAATTATTTATTGCGTAATATATTTCTCCAATAATTTTAAAAAATTGGAATTTGTTTTTGCATTGAGTAAAATCATTCATGTATGGTGGTTTTATCTATCCTACACCCGGTGAAGGTTACACCGGGTGATTTTTCACCGTTGATCTACACACATCAATGTGGGTGTGTGTGTGTTTGTGTGTATATTAATGGTAAAGATCTACCCGGTGTATTTCACCCGGTGTAGGATCTCAAAAGCCCATGTATGGTTATGTATCAATAAACATTTGGGAAAATACAGTTTGCACCCCTAAACTATGGAATATGTACCAAGGACCCCTGAACTACAAAACGAACCAAATTGGCCCCTCCATTTCTAATAATTGGAATGGTTAGTATTTCCATGGATAATATTTTCCCTCCTATTGGTTAGTTGATTAAAGGTTTATCTATTAATGGCAAATGAGTCAGCCCACCATTGCTGGAAAAAAGGAAATAAATAGCCAATATAGTCATTGTGCCTACCAAACCCGAAAACCCTTGACGACGAGACTCCACTTATTATCGACAGCAATTTCACAGATGACTACCACGAAAAGTCGAAAACGACACAAGCCGAATACAATCTCCCACCAACAATGGCCTGCATTTTATGTCACTTCCCACAAAGTGAAGTGCACAATGTGTTGCACGGTTATGCTACTTTTAAATGTAAAAAAATCGAAAATATCAAGATCTAACTGCAGTTAACATTTCAATAACCTAATACCTAGTACTTATTACCACCATGTTGAAAAAAGTTGAGAAATCGACGTATGTTCAAACAGTTTCATGCTGTTCTACTTACCTTATATAATGGTTTTCGTGCAACACACAGCAGCAAACCGCACATACGTTGACTTTGTCTACTTGCGTTGACTCCCGTCTTATAGCCACAAAGAATCCCATAATCTTGCTCCTATAAAAAACCGTCGTTTCCCCTTTTCAAGCAAGTATCCATTATTTCTTCCGATTTACCTCTTATAGTATCTCTCGATAGAGAATATTCCAAGCAGAGAAAACACTGAAATCATGTTACCAAGAAGCCGCACACTCCCTGCAAGAATCTACAACGGCGTTGTAATAAAATAAAAAAATCACATCCTTGCATGTTAAAAAGACTTCTCTTTTTTTTTTTCTATATTAATCGAACTTATTGCATGTTTTTTTTTTTCAACTTTGTGATATTCTAGGTCGAAGAAAGGCAAGACGTAAGGCATTACCTTCAAGTAGAAACCCAACCCAAACCGCAAGAAACGGAGAGCAGAGCAATAAACCTTCAAGAGAACTACTCCAAATGCTTCGACGATGACGGACGCCTTAAAAGAACAGGTTATAAAAACAAATTCATTACATAAACAAGTACAACCTCGTACAAGATATTCTACACATAAAACGATATATATTTATTGCATACAGTTATGAAAAAATGCAGGGACTTTGTGGACTGCGACATCGCATATTATCACAGCTGTGATCGGGTCCGGTGTGCTGTCTTTGGCATGGGCCGTTGGGCAACTGGGCTGGGTTGCGGGTCCCATTGTAATGATTCTCTTCGCTTTCGTTAATCTCTACACTTCGGATCTTCTATCCAAGTGTTACAGATCCGGCGACCCCGTCGTTGGACAGAGGAATTACACGTATATGGATGCTGTCAAAGCTAATCTAGGTTACATATCTTCTTAATCTTGATTCATGAATTCTAAAGCCTCTGTTTTCGGGTATTGTGGTTTATAAGCTAATTTTGTGTGGCGTTTGCGTAAATTTTGGGATGCAGGTGGGGTGAAGGTTAAGATTTGTGGGCTGATTCAGTACATCAATCTCTTCGGCGTGGCTATTGGCTACACAATCGCTGCCTCAGTCAGCATGCTGTAAGTAATTACGACTGCATTCATCAAAAAAAAAAAGAAAAAAAAAACGGACACGAATTACCAATAATCAAGAATCGGTCTTTCTCTCCACCCATTGAAGTTTTTCTACTCGTTTTCTTGTTTAGAGCGATAAAAAGATCGAATTGTTTCCACAAGACACACAAGAAGAGCAGATGCCACATGTCGAGCAACGGGTACATGATAACATTCGGAATCATAGAAATATTATTCTCGCAAATACCAGATTTCGACCAAGTATGGTGGCTATCCATAGTTGCAGCAATTATGTCATTCACGTACTCTACTATAGGTCTCGCTCTCGGTATTGTCCAAGTTGCAGGTAAAGATAACAACACCCGACATTTTCGTATTTACCAAGAAATCATTTTTTTTTAAAAGAAAAACTACTTAAATGCTTAAAACCCTTATTTAATTTGCTAGAAAATAAAAGCATAAAGGGAAGCCTTACTGGAATAACCATCGGGACGATAACGCATGCCGGAACGGTTACACCTACTCAGAAAATGTGGAGAAGCTTACAAGCTCTAGGAGCAATCGCCTTTGCGTATTCTTACTCGATAATACTCATCGAAATCCAGGTTACCTATTTAGTAACACAAATTCTAATTTCTTACAGCAACGATTAGTTTCTAATTTTTTTTTTAATTATTTTAAGGATACAATAAAATCTCCACCTGCGGAACATAAAACGATGAAGAAAGCAACTTCAATTAGCATTGCAGTCACAACGATATTCTACCTTCTATGTGGATGCATGGGCTATGCTGCTTTTGGAGACCAAGCACCTGGAAATCTTCTTACAGGGTTCGGATTTTTCGATCCATATTGGCTACTCGATATAGCCAATGTCAGTATCGTCGTACATCTCGTCGGTGCCTACCAGGTAAAAAAAAAAAAAAAATAATCCCCATCAATTTCACCAAATGAAATTAAAAAAATTAATAAATAAATTTTCAGGTGTATTGCCAGCCACTGTTTGCATTTGTTGAAAAATGGAGCGCAGCGAAATGGAGCAGAAGCAATTTCGTGACAGCAGAATACGATATACCTGTCCCGTTTTTTGGTGTTTACCAGCTTAACTTTTTCCGTGTTGTGTGGAGAACGTGCTTTGTTGTACTGACAACTCTCATAGCTATGCTTATGCCGTTTTTCAACGATGTGGTCGGAATTCTTGGTGCATTAGGGTTTTGGCCGCTTACCGTGTATTTTCCGGTGGAGATGTACATAGCCAAAAACAAGATCGGAAAATGGACGAGTCGTTGGATTGGTCTTCAAATGCTTAGTATGGCTTGTCTTCTTGTTTCGGTGGCGGCAGCTGTCGGCTCTGTGGCGGGCGTGGTTCTTGATCTTCAGACCTATAAACCCTTCAAGACCAGCTATTGAGGCAAACACAAAACCGAATAAATTCTATGTTTTTTCAATTTCCAATTGCGCAACGATGCTCGAATCATATTGTATTACTACAACATCGGAATCAAAACGAAATCGAACTGCTTGAATAAATAAAACCAGTCGGCATGTACCAAGTGTTACATAATAGTTGTCGCGTTGCGTTGACAAAAAAGCGAAAGAAGGAATGAGGGAACTATAAATTACATAAAAAAAAACATAAAATATTTGACATAGTTGACCACAAAGACACAACAAATCCGGCGATTATTTCGATTTTGACTTCAATTTAGCAGCATTGGCTTGAACAGCGGCCTTAGCTAGAGTAGTCGGTTTAAGAGCACCTTTTGGATTGAGAGCCTTTCGTATCTTAAACACAGCCCAAGCTGTGCCTATAGCATGCCCTGCAGCACCCAGCCCATCGTGTGTCACCTTTCCTGCGTCTTCTCCATATCTGTCACACGAGATAAATATACATAACTAAATTAAGAATTTATTAACAGAAATTAACATATGTTCGAAAAAAGTACAAAAAAAAAGGGGAATACCTCTGTGAGACGAGCCCAGTCGTGACAACCGAAGTAGTGGACATGACATTCTTTCCGGCTACTTCAACAGCATCGAAAACCCTATCTGCAATTACAATTCCAAATAATAACCGTGTTATTGACAAGCCCAAATTGATATTCTTTTTTTTTTTTCTTTTGAATTATAGAAAAATCAATCATCAAATGTACGTACTAAATCCATCTAACGAAGCAAGAACAATTTCACCGGGAAGAAGGCTGAAGAATTTCTGCCCCACTTTAGAGTTTGCAACCGAACTTGTGAAGAAACCAGACACCTTTACAACCCCGGATAATATCCCGGCCGCAACTTTCTCCGACATTTTCGTCATTTGCTTAACCCTACGGTAATAGCAACAATTAAAAATAAAACATTAAAATATTTTCAAGAACAAAAAAGATGTAATAACTTCCCACAGATTTGAACAGACTCAAAAGGCATATCTAAATGAGTAAATCAGTTAGTGCATCAAAATACAGCTAAGCATAATGAAAACCCGACGAACATTTATCGTTTCTGATTATTAGTCAATGCTGCAATAGGGTAAACACATAATCTTAATCTTCACAAAAACATTAGCAATGTACTTACGTAAACAAATTATATCGATGATCAACAATCAAATGCTTGGAAAAAGCTAATAACAATACCTTTTCACCCTTGTTAAAGTCTCGGGACTGATATCCGAAGTGTAACCTTTTCCGACTCTCTTCTTCAAGAACTCATCACCCCATTTCAGCCTATCAACAGTGAGGTCACCACACCACAAAATCCCTCGAATCACCTGCCCCGAACCGGCGGCAATCAACCTCGCAACGCTCCCACTGTAATCCTCCACGTTCGGAGCGATGGTGGTCCAGTAAGCGGCGGCACTGTTCTCCACCTCCTCTTTCTTATTCTTCATTTCCGCCGGAGAAACCTCCTTGGCCACCGACCCCCACCACCCTTGCTCCACCGCCGCCGCCGCCTTCTCAACCCTAAACGCACTGAACTTCTCCAGCACCGAATCTAGTTTCCTCAGCAAACCCTCTTGCCCCTTGGAAGCAATCGTCAGCCCGTAGTTCAAAATACTGTCGCCGTTAATTTCGCCGTGTTCGGATGGAACCCTGAGGCTGAAAAAGTAATGGGAATCGTCAAGTTTGACGGCGGCCTCGTCTTTAGCTAACGGCCACTGGATCTCATCCCCGACTCGAGCTAGGGCAGCGACAACGTTGTCGCCCTGTTTCAACTGAACAACGGAGAAATCTCCGTTTGCCAGCTCGATACTCCGTTTTTTGTCGATTAAATGAACGATCGCACCTGGGATCGTGATGACAACTTCCTCGGATGACTCGAAGGTAGAACTTCCTCCCTGATTCATAGCGCGGGTTTGGTCTTCTTCTTCTGTTTCTGGGAAGAGGTTTTCGGCTAAGGAATTCATTTCAATAGTAGGGTATAAGGAAGAAGAAGAAGGGTTTCTGCTGGGGTTCGAGATAAATGGAGAACTGGATTCAGGGTTTGTTAGAATAACTTCTGGGTACATAGATTTGCGGGTTTTGGGATTTTCAGAAGACATGGTTTTGATATTCTTGATTTTGGGGATTGTTGATCGAGATTTGAGGGTTTTTATTAGGAGGTAATCTTAGTAGACAAGAAAATGGAATGGAAGAAGAAGGAAGGAAGAAAGTTGACGGCGTAAATATCTTCCGCCACGAAGCAAGAGGAGGAGAAGCCGCGTAGATGCAGTGGCTTCGCTGTCACCGTCAAACTTCTAAACTAACTGCTAAACTGTCGACTACATTGTTTCTTTCTCTGAGAAGTGAGAACCATGTCTTAATTTTCTTTTTCTTTTTTTTTTTTTCTTTTTTAAAATTCCAGGCCCAACGGTCAGCCCGGTAATATAACACAGATATAAATCTTCAATTATTCTCTTAATGTGGCCCAAACCTAACTCAAGCCCTAATATTAATAGTCTATTCAACACACCCACAAGCCCATAATATAATTATGTTAATTATCCTACTATTAATCTATATTCATATCAAATGGGTGAAAATGAAAACCTAAATAAGTCACAAGGATTCGAGTGGGCCAAGAGCTCGCTCAGTGAGCCGAAAGCCCACTTACCAAAGGATAGCGAAGTCGAGCATCACATCAGCGAATTGAGAGCTTCGAGATCATTGACCTTGACAAATTGTTCTTGATACGTTTAAAAGGAAGAAAGGGGTGCGGTAGATGGCGAGCTAGACTTCAAGATCGTCATAAGACTCAATCTAAGAATTTTCTCCATAAATAGATTATGTGATTGAAAGATCCCACGTGACAATTATATAATTAGGGTTAAAGTTTTTTTTTTACCACAATTACAATTAATAGTACACTCTCTTCTAAACACTCTCATATCTTACATATTTTCCATCCGCCCAATTACTCATCGTCTCCGGCAAAAGACCGGTGTTCGGTGGACATTTCCGGCGATCAAAGGAGTAGAACTCGTAAAAAAAGGTCTAGAAGACATAGATTATATACAATCAATATTATTATTTGTAGTATTAGGTTGAAATGCTTTTCCAACTCAAACTCATGAATAGGAATTGCTTTTAAGTAGGTAGGATTATGTCGAGTGCAAGATCTGACCTAATCACATCACACTATTTTGGGTCCAATCCAGACACTTGGATTTAATCCTTTTCATTCATATCTTATCTTCTCAATAAATCATCACTGTATTTCAATTTAATAAAGTTGCAAATTATTGCATTTTTTTTTTTTTAATAATTTAGTAGATGCATTGTTGTGTATGATCAAGGCACTATATAATATTAGTTTATGGTAATCATTTCTCAGTCAAACTGGTTACTTTGCTAATTGTATTTACTCATTAATCTCCCTTTGCTGCTTCCTTAAAGATAGGCATGCATTCCTTTAGTGATGATTTTGTACCACATGTTTAATCACAAGGCATCATAGGAAAGTCACATGTTATAAAGAATGTTGTAATGAAAAGAATCTTGATCCGAGGATTATCAATAACAATTAATTAGAAAATATATTATCATCAATTACTCAAAGTACTCTACTTTCTTGTTGTCCCCTTCATGTAAGATTTTGCAGTAAAACAGCAAACATAGGATATGGCAAACTGCAAGAACTACTACACTATTCTTGCACTTGTAAAGATGATCACATACAATTTCTCATCTATACATACATTATACATCAACACACATTAAAAAGCAAAAAATACTAGAAAATAACACACTATAATGCATTTTCCCCTGTCACCCCATCACACCTTTCAAGAAGATGTGTTAGAAACACCATTTGCAATCCAATCCAATCCCAATTGGATTTTTTCCAACCTAGTTTCAAGATTAGAACCCATTTTCTACAACGGATCTATTTGAGTGACCACAATGGGGCTTCGAACCACATGCTTCCCATCGACCCATGAAATCGACCCGAAAACTGCACCCGAATCATCCAACACGAGATTCTTACTATCGATAGTTACAGTCACGTAGTAACCCAATCTCCTCGAACTCTCCGAAAAAACCAGCTTCTCTGGTTTCACGCTAACCTCAACCCCCTTCGGCGGGTCAACCTTAACCGTATACACATCATTCGACCCGCCCACATTAGTCACCATTCTATAAAAGGTCTTGCTAGAAACCCCATCCGACCCACTCGGAAACAAAGCTGCAATCGACGGGTAGTTAAAATTCTCCGACAACGGCTTCCTCGCCGGACAATTCACCGGCGACCGTGTGATCACTTGAATTGTCTTGGGTCCGTACTCAATCGCACACAAGAAATTAACGTAATCATTGTTGGTCAAGTCATAAACCAAACCCGGATCCATTGCTAAATCAAGATTCAAATGACCCGACCCGAAATCATACGGGTTGGCGGGTTTTTTACTGGATTCGTCCAGCATCGGGTTAAAAGAGTTGTCGAGTAAGTTTGCAGTGGTCATCATTGCTGATCTTATAGCGGCGGGGCTCCAATCAGGATGGGCGGATTTGAGCAAGGCAGCTGCACCGCTTACATGAGGGCAAGCCATTGAAGTGCCGGATAAGATATTGAATTCTGATTTACGGGTATCCGAATCAAGACCCGTTGGACCGATTGCTTCTGTCCAAGCAGCCAAGATGTTGACTCCGGGTGCAATCAAATCGGGTTTGAGGATCTCCGGGTTTAACCCGTTTGGACCTCGGGCGGAGAACGAAGCAACCACCGGAGCGGGTTTGATTCCTATCACAGTGCCCTGGAAATTGATTGTTGCAGTTGCTTTAGGATTTGAGGATAAGTAGGCCTTGATTTCATCTCCTTCGTTAGAGCCCACTGCACAAGCTGGGATCAAGTGGGCATCTCCGACGAGACCCTCTCCGTTGGAAGCTCCATTGGCGAGGATCATTCCTACGCCGCCAGCCTTTTTGACGACCAATCCCTTTGCAACACGTGGGCTGCTACCGCGATCACAGATGACAATTTTGCCCTTCACCAGGTTAGGGTCGAGTGAGTTTTCCATACAAAGGGAAGCAGAAAGTATCCCTGATTTGCCGGGGTAGATTAGTGGATACATTTTACCGTTCAGTGGTTCACCGGAGTACAAGGATACGCCGGAGAATTTTCTTCCGTCGCTGAGAATAACGTCCGCCGGGAAGTTCCGATCGATTGTGCCGGCGCCGACAGTGGTGAGCCAGGGGGCGAGGTTAGTGACTGACATACCGTTAGGCCCGTCGTTTCCAGCTGAAGAGGAAACGAAAACCCCCCTCGAAACGGCGCCGTACGCACCGATTGCAATTGGATCGAGATAATACGGGGAGGAAATGCCTTCGCCACCGCCGATGGAAATCGAAATTACATCGACACCGTCGTTCACGGCGGCGTCGAACGCCGCCAGAATGTCGGAATCGAAGCAGCCCGCGCTCCTCCAGCACACCTTGTAAACCGCCAGGCGCGCTTTCGGCGCCACGCCTTTCGCGATTCCGGAAGCGTAACCCTCCATGCTCGACTTGAAAGCGTGTCTCCCGGCGGCGGTGGAGGCCGTGTGGGTCCCGTGGCCGTCGGCATCTCTCGGCGATTTGAACTCAACCGTGTCGTTGATACCACCAACAATTCCCCCAAATCCAGAAGCCGCCTCGTGCCCTTTCGAGAAAAACCTAGCCCCGACGATTTTTCTGTTACAATTCTTCGAACTGAACTTCACGCCTACTTCACATACTCCTCTCCACCGTTTCGGAACGGGGCCGAGATTCAGATCGGAGAAACTCCGTCGCTCCGGCCAAATCCCCGTATCAAAAATTCCAATTATAACATCAGAACCGTAATCAGACTCCGACCAGAGGCCGCGCTGATTCCTCAGACCCAGGAACTGCGGCGAACGAGTGGTGTGGAGCTCACGGCGGCGGTCCTCGAATGCGGCGAGGACTGATGGGTGCTTGAGAACCGACGCAGCTTGGAATGGCGTCAACACGGCGGAAAATCCGTGGAAAACGGTGTCGTATACGTGGAGGATGGCGGTGGGTTCCGTGAACTCAGCGGTGTACCAATGGAAATGGGTAGGGAACACCGACGGCTTGGATTCGCTGTCAACTCTGACGATGTAAGTTTTAGCCGTTCGATCATCAGCAAAAACATGGCCAACCAGTACAGGTATCAAGAGGAACAAGTGAAGATAGAGAGAAGGCATGGTTTTTTAGAGAGAGAAAGAGAGTGTGGAGTTTGAATTGGTGAAGATGTAGAGAGTGAAGTGAAGATAGAATGAATGATATAAGAGGGAATTATTGTTTTTATTATTTTAATTAATCTTGTTTATAGCCGTTAATTATTCAGAGGGACTATTTTTAATTTGTCGATGATTGACCCATTGACTGATGAGTCAGCAAATATATTGCTGCGAACGAAGCGCCAAATATTTATTTATTTACTTTTTGTTTTCTTTTATTCTTTCTTTTTTCTATATGTCTAACCTTAAATCTAGTAAGAGAAATAATAAAAAATAATCATCATTTTTATTGGAGATATTAATATTAAATGGTATATTTCACTAATAACTTAAGCTTTTGGTTGAAATGGTCATTCAACATGGTATCAAAGTCAGGCCAAATGAAAGGTTCTGAGTTCGAATTTCACAGCCACTCATTTAAAAATATAAATATTTCAAGTGCAAGGCGAGTTCGAATTCCACAGCCACTCATTTAAAAATATAAATATTTCAAGTGCAATGCGTCAAATGTAATTTACCACCACCTGAGGGGGCGTATTGGAGATAGAAAATGGGATGTAATTAAAATTGTTTTTTATTTTTTATTTTTTTTAATTTTAATAAGTAGAGAGTAAAATTAAAAAGTAAATGGGCTTGCTTGTCTTAAATAAAGAGAAATACAGCCTTGAAAGAGGTGTAAAGGGTAAAGAAATTTTGTCTTGAGAAAAATAAAGCGTGGTCTATTCTATTAGCGAGATTTGCTTTATCACAAATTTAACAATGGCCCATGATACTAAAAAAAATTAATTTTGTTTTAAATTAAAAAAAAAAAAAAAAAAAAACAAAGAACACAGAAACAAGCTTATGTTCTTTTCTTAAATTTGTATGTAAATATTTTTGTTTTGATTATTTTATTATTATTGAACTAAATGAAACTGAGGTATACCTAAACGCCAATAATTGAATTGTACAACATTTGTTTCCTTTAAAAACTTTAGTATTAAAGTTTTTTAAATTCTTTAATTTAATCCGGCACCGACGAGATGCCCTGATAGTAATAATAAAGCAATTATAATTTATATCCTTCTTAAATGCTCAGGTGGTTGCATTTATTTTTGTAGTACCTTGGTTGTACTAATATTTCCCGAATTTAATAAAAAAAAAATTGTGATTTAATTAAAATTAAACTTGGTTTTATTAATCGAATTGAATTGTACATATTTCCGGCATTTTTATGTGGACGGCAATAAAATTGGGCCCATTACAATTTCAGCCCATCTTTTCATTTGAGGTCCCAAACCTATTTCCCTATCAGCTTCTACTTGGGCCCATAAATTACTTATAATGGACTATTTTTCTTTAAATAATAGTAAATAATTAAAGTAATAATAATGAAACAAAAATAAAAAAATTAAGAACTATTTTGCTTTATTGTTAAATATTGCTAATCAGATGATAAGGACATCACAAAGTATATTATTACAAATTAGAGGACAGATTACAGTAACACAGTTACCACCACCACTTAGAAAAAAGGGTTTTGGTAATTATAGACTGAAAAAGAAAACAATTAAAGCATCTCTAAAGTGGAGTTAATTATTGAATTCTTAAAAACAAAAAAGGTGATTAGATATCATGACGTGATCTGATTAATTAACCCTAATCATATCAGATTAATCCCAATTAATTACTTGACTCTGTCCTTAATGACATCAAATCCCATTTCAGTTGGATCAGTAGCTTGAACTTCATAGTGAATGCCATCTAATGCTCTTCTTAATCCATCTTTTGAGGTTGCATACAGCATTTTTGCCCTAATTCTTGATCCACTTGGTGCCCTGCAAATAATATCATTCATCAATAATATTTAATCATTTTTATTATCATATAATTTTACTCGTTTCTTACATACAATGCAATATTTGTCGTTTTGGGTTGTGAGGCGTATATTAAAAAGAATGTAAAATTACCATAATACCCTTACCATTACATGTCTCGAGTCTTAATTAACTTGTAAAGTTGAGAGTGATAAAAGGTAAAATTGAATAAAGTAATTTTAAAAACATAATTAAAGCGACAAATAATTTTAATAAAGTAAAAAACACCAGAAGAGAAAAAGGTAAATCAATTAATAAAAGAAATTAGTAGTGATTAAAATAGATAAATAGGAATTAATAAAAGGACGGACCATGCAATGAAAAAGATCTTGCTCTTTCGGCAGTTGTCAACGGTGAGGAAGTCAAAGTCAAAGAGGGCGTAGCGGCAGTCGTCGTGAGGCAGCGCCGCCGTGAGATCATCGTAGCCTTCAGCTGGGCCGCCGACTTTGTCCACCGTGAGAAGCTTAGATGACTCGTCGATCTTGAAAACTATGTAGCGGTGCACCTTATTCCACTTCATCTCCATGAACGACTTCTTGCATTCCTCTGTCAAACACATTCCTGTTATCGCCTACACACACACACACACAAAACCCTAATCATTAATTTCTCAAACAAAATACATATAAGTTAAAAACATGGAAATCACGAATTAATCAAAATCAATTATTTGTGTGTGTGAGAGAGAGAGAGAGAGAGAGAGAGAGAGAGAGAAAATTGAGATGATGGTGAAATAAATTAGTGTAATACCATCTTGAAAGCCATTGCCATGGGGGTCAATTTTTGTTTTTTTATTTCTTAGGTAAGCTTTTTTCTTTATGTAATAATTAAGATAGGATGGATGGATGGATGGTGTATATATAGGATTTGGTAAGTGAAATTGCCATTAATATTGTCCTATTTTTACGAGTCTAACCATGTTAGAAATGACGTGTGTGTGGACATAATGGATAATGGACCATATTTACTGAATTATCCTCATTATTTGTGCAGTTTATATCAATTTAAATAAGGGTTTCTTATTATTGTTAAAAAGAAAAATTAAAAAAATCAGAAATTGGGTGTGCTTACTTTTAGCCTCATATAATCATATTCATTTTTTGCTATTATTATTAGTGGAATTCATATACATAAATCAAAAATCAGTTGAACGAATCTGATTATGCAAAAAACTGATTAGGAATTAATTCATTTTAGAACATACATATATATAAATAATATAATCAGAATAAAATGTGATTTAGGGAGTCCGAATCAGAATATATTGTATTGGATGAAGCACTTGAAATCTCATGATCATCTCTTCGATCTGCTCAAATTTATTTACTTGTCTTGGCGTAGAAGCAAAATTTCATAGAAAACGACTCCTCTATCCACATGCATTTTTACATTTCTTAATTTCACTTCCCAATTTTTTTTCCACTTTTCCCATAAAAATATCCCATGGAATGTGTGTTATTTTTTTTTTTATTTTTTTTTTCCTTTTATCAAATATATAGTACTACTATTATTGGATGCAACCAATCCACGCAAGATGTGATTGATATATAAGAGAATCAAGAAAATATACATACTTTACAAACACTAAAGTCTAACAATGTCAATCAATATCCAATCTGAACTAAATTAATTAAAAAATAATGGACACATTAATCCTTTAATATATGTAAATTATATCTAAATATAATGAAATAAGTAAGTGAGTGTTTTTATCTCTCATATAATTGATTTAGAGCATACATAATTAACGAAAGTATTAATATTTCTATAAATTGGATCATGTAAAGAACATCTTTTATCATTTAATTTATATTTATATTTATATATAATTTTTTTTTAAAAGGTATTTTAAAATTTTAGATCTTAATAGTATAATTTTACATGTAAAAGAAGAGCATGTGCTATACCAGCTGCACATTATCAACTTCTTTCTTATGGAAGTACTCTAATTTGTGGTCTATCCAAATTATTAGTGGAGACAAGCTGCTAAATGCCACATCAGCACCTACATACTTTATGGAAAATACCTCGTATACAAAAATCAAAATTGCTGTGCTGGAATCGGTATGGTTCCTGTAATAATATTTTAACAATTGTTTAGCTACTAAAGATTTATATTAGCTTTTTAGGTACATACTATAGTATCTTGTTCAATAAATTTAGCCTTTAATAAATTAATGAACTTAACTTGGGATACTATTATAAATATATTAAATATTAAGAATATATTATAAATAGATTAAATAGCAGTGATCAAAAGCTGCAAAAATAATTTATTTTATTCAACAAAACTCAGTACAAAAATGAAAAAAAGAATCTCAGATATGCACAAACCTGGGTTCTGGCAAGAAGAGAGAAGTAAAAACTTACAGATAATAATACACAACACAGATGAAACTGAGATTTATTACATTATTAAACAAGAAGTGGAGTTCTTGCAGCAAAACCTGCTCTGTAATTATGACTTCTACTGATTGGAAGGTGAACATAAACTTCATGCACATCTTGTTTATAAACCTCTCCCCTGTCTCTATCTATCGCATAACACACGTACACCGTCTCTATAACATTGTCCAATACGTGAACGAAGTATCCCAAAATCACTATCAGCAAAACCCACGCCATTACTGCCACAAAATACGCATCGTCGCCGAGATGAACCACCGCTTTTAGAACAACGCATACCTGCATATTACGGAGACAGAAACTTAACTAGAAAAAATCGATATATAGGTAAATAAAAAGCAAGAAAAGAAACGGATAGCACATACCCTCCATATTTTCGATTAAAATCCGGCCCATATTTTCATTTTTTTTTTTTATCGTGGACTTGAAACGTAAATCACAATTTCCAAAGAAGGCGCAACTCTAATCAGAATTACCAAACAAGGCCTAATAATGTATATAAAACTTACCAGTACAGCATAAATAGCTGATAACACGAGCACAATTCCAGCGAGTATACGAGTGGAAACAGTCTCCACAAATACAGCCGATAGAAGGTTCCGTTTGAGAAGTTCGTAAGTCATCCTTGCAGCACTGCAGTATGCTTCGCCAGTTATTGCAGCAAAGTTTATCGTAAACTTGTTCAGAAAGTCAACTGTTGTTAATAGAGCACTCGCACAGCACCGCAGAACGAGGTTCACAATTCCGGAAGCATCTTCTTGTCTCGCATTATCGACCACAGAGCGTATTACACGCACAATAAATATAAGCAATCCGGAGAAACATATTGTGCCAGAGGAGGGGCCAAATGCATTTCTGTAAAAACAAATAAGGAGCAAATAAATCATAACTGAAAAATAATAACGCAAATCCAAATTGGACGATCGAAGGGGCGATACTAACTAAAGATCATCCTACAAAGTACTGAGTAATAATTACTTTAGTGGCAAAAAAGGAAATTATCCGATAAGAAATCTGACAGAGATATCTAGTTCTTCAAATCTATCCTAACCAAAATCATATAATCGACACTCTCAAGATTGGCCAGCCTCAAGAAACAAATAACCGGCGAGTGCAAGATTAAATAATGTTAGCATGGCATACATAGATTAAATAATTAACACATGGCGATAAAAAACAACCTCAACGAACTTCGTATTCCATGCTTGGGCGCTGAGTCATCGTCCTTCGAGAAATACCACTGCGCAATAGTTCCACTGATCACGTAAACCTGAGCTTCCACCATAGCAGCAGCAGACCAAAGCATCGTCAAAATCGCTAGAGTGTAATAAGCAGGCACCCAACTATCCTGTTTCCAAACACAAAAAAACTCCCCATTCTCTTCTCTCGGCACAATCTTTCCGTTCCGATTCGAAAATATCAAGAACACGACAATCGGCACATAGTACACAAACAACCCCACAATCAGAGCCGGAAGAACTCCAAACAACCCTAAGTTTTTCGACAGTGCATTAGAAGCTACCCCGACAATTCGCACAGTCAACTCAATTCTATGCCAGTTCATTATAAAAATCCACACAACTAATCCGATTAGCAAGAACACGAAAATGAGGACGACGATTCGGTACGCTAAAGGGAAGGCGGCGCTGCAGCGGGAGCTGACGGTGCACGCGACGAACCAGTAGACGTTGATCGAGATTGGGATTATGACGAAGAATGGAAGGGAAGCGTAGACTATCTGCTTGGTGTAGTGTTTGAGCAACAAAAGCACGAATAAGGCGAAGGGCCCGCTCGTAATTAGAGTGATTACGAGTGTCCATATCATGCTCTTCAACAGGCCGGAGTTTCTCGATTGCAGCGAATCGAGATCGATGAAATTAATTAAGAAACTGTCGGCCGGAATTTGTACATCTGTGAGAAAAGTGCAGGAGGAAGAGGTGGTGTTGTAAATGAAGGATGAAATTTGGGAGCGGTGAGGGTTTTTGTGGACGGAGGCGAAGATTCCGAGGCCGAAGGTGGAGAGGACGAGGAGAGAGAAGAGGAGGAGGAACGGTAAATCTTTGATTGAGCGAGGGCCGTGATTGTAGGAGATCTGGAGGAATTGTGATTGGTCTTCGTCGGCGCCGGAGGGGGAAGCTAAGGGTGGGTCGAGTACTGTTGGGTATGGTCTGAGGAGGGGTTGTGCCGCCGCGGCGGCGGCGGTGGGCTCGTGGAGTGTGGAGGCTAGCTTGTTGGGGTCGTCGGCGGTGTTGTCCATTGGCGGTGGCGTAGGTGGTGAGGGGTCGCGGTTGTTTTAGAGTGGTCGGAGAAGGTGGTGGTGGGATTGACTATGTGAGCTGGAAATTGTGGATCATGATTTCGTGGTCGGCTCCATTAATTTTCTTTTTACTCAGAAAATACTGGAATAATGCCAATTATTCAGAAAATTAAAAATTAAAAAAAAAAAATCAAGTAAATCCGAAATGTTTTTTTTTAATCTTGTAATTAGTTTTGGAAAAGAAATTGATTTTTTTTTATACATGTATATCAATTTATTGAAGAATGTTTGTGGTAGACAATTGATTAATTAAATTAAAATGCGCACTAATCAACCGTAATTTAACATAAAGCTCCCCACAAAATTTAAATTAGTAATTTACAGAAGAAATTAAGAAAATTAAGGAGCATGGGGTGAAGATACACACAAAAGGCTTCTTAATAATGAATGGTTTCATACAACATTCAAACATTTAAAAAAATAATAAATAATAAAATAAAATTATCTTCTCTTCATTTACTTCAAAAAGAAATTCCAGGATTTAAAATTAGTTACTTTTCAACCCTTAAAAAACTGCACTTACATTACTAACACCAAATCAGTTAAAACATGGAAAACCTGTTTCTTCTATAGTCACGTTACTGAGATTCGATTGTCTTCTTCCCACTTGCTCTTAGGTATCTCACCGGAATCGGAAATGATCACCTTCTTCCGAGGTTTCCCACTGTAAGTTCCTGCACTACCTTCAATCGCATACACAGTGTCCATTCCATCTATCACTTTACCGAAAACAACATGTTCACCATCCAACCTGCCCCCGTTTCCAAACAAACGTGAAGAAATTTCAGTGCTAGACTTCACAAGCAAAACTTTGATATTGATTTTTTTTTTAATACTTCTTCAATTGAAGCAATCTAATATCATATTACTAAACTATGTACAAATGCTACGTCAATATCAAAGCTTTACCAGTAAGCCTTGACTGTTGTAATGAAAAACTGCGAACCATTGGAATCGGGCCCTGAATTCACCATGGACACAATACCTTCAAATAAATCAAATTGAGATAAATAAGAGTGAGTTCTTTGCATGTTTACTGTGTGTTAATGTGTGTGTGTGTGTGAGAGAGAGAGAGAGAGAGAGAGAGATGTCTACAAGTTACTATAAATCATTATGGACCTGCATGTGAATTCTTTAACTTGAAATTCTCATCACGGAAGGTTCCGCCATATATGGATTGATTTCCTCTGCCATCTCCAGAAACAATGTCTCCACCTTGTATCATAAATCCAGGTATAATACGATGAAATGGAGTTCCCTTATAGTGGAGAACTTTTCCATTTGCAGCTTTCCCCATTTCCCCTGTTTCAAAAATAAACGTACGTTAGTCAGAGAGAGAGGAAATACAAAAATCAGCATCTCAATTAAAGCATCAGTTCAAGAATGCCAAATGTGTAGAATTAGGATAGGTTTTAAGAAATACCTGTACACAAAGCCCTAAAGTTCTCTGCAAAGAGAAGCATGAATCTAATCAGGAAAAAAAAAGGCAATCTGCTGAACATGGAGAAATTCAAGAAGAATACGGATTACGGAAGACCTTACCCACAGTCTTTGGCACAACTTGACCATATAGTCCAATTGTGATTCTTCCTGTGGATAGAGTTGCAAAATATGCAGCGTTAACAGAGTAGGATATGGGGGGGGGGGGGGGGGGGGGGGAAGAAATACATGCAGAACATACAACAATGTTAATATATGAAACAGCATTAGAAGCAAATCATACATATTGCCACATTACTAAAAGAAATAAATAAAGAGAACACACTAGAAAGATAAAGTATTAGTAGAATCCTTCATTTAACTGCCATCAATCGAAATCACAATCCGTACAATCTGATTTAAGGTTCATACGTGAACTAAAATATAAAATGCATAATGAGATTTTGGGGCAGGAGATTCATAAAATCCGTATGATATAGAATACGGAACGGTAGAATACGAAGAGTCTACCTATACGTTGCTTATCTATGTCAACATCCAAAAATACTCTATGCGTAATCTCATAATTCTCTTCCACATTCTCCGCCTCCTGCAAATATAAAGGAGAAAGCCCACACTAGATAAGTAAAAAAGCACACACCCGATATGTCAGCGGCAGTAATGACTTAACGAGAGTACTCTAACATGATAACTTTATAATTTTAAAATTATAACAATAAGAAACTAACATCCATAGCATAGATTCCTCGATTTCGATTTTGTTCTCAAGCAATCACGACGTGACATTATACTCCAAAGACGAAGTTATATATACATCCATGTACAGATAAGAAACAAAGTCTACATTCCAGTTAAATTGCAGTACATATACCAAAAAGTCCTGTGTTTCTTCTAAGTATAGATCATGAATTTGTAAATTTAGCTCAGAAAAGTGGAGTTTCTACCTAAATTGATCAATTCAAAAACAAAAATATCGGTTCCCCCAAATCGACAAAAAAAAACCTAACAGGGCAATCAGAATTCAGATCCAAAACAAACAGGCATTTGCCAATTCAATCTCAAATTCCAATAGCCAATTACAGAACTAACGCAGACTCAAACTAAAACAAAAACGCATAAAAAACATCAAAAATGAAAAGGAATAATCGGCACGGAGTAGAGGAGAAGACTTACTTGCCGAGAGAAGGAAGAAACGAGAAATATCAGAACCAAAGCCGCCACGAAAATCAACAAACACTTGGGTTGAACCAACGCCGAGATCTCTCGCCCCATATCTCAATCACTAATCAATCATCTTTCAACACGTTTTCTCTGCACTAATCATCGATCAATTGGCTAAATTCTCCCCTCCTTTATTTTTTTCACTGTGTAAACACACACCAGTGTGTGCTGCTATGAGTTTCTAGCGCAGTCAATAAATGGATAGTTGATTGAATTGTTAATGGCCTGCGTCTCTCTGCTCGAGGTGAAACAATGGCAGACACTGATTAATCTTACTGTTATTACCCTTTTAATCCTCCCTCAAGATTTGATTGCTAATTACGAAATTAATATTATTTTTTTAATAAATAATCTTTAATTAATGTAATTATTTTTTTTAATTGTATATTAATGGGCCGGGCCGCCGAGGGAAGGCCTCTAGCGGCTCTTTGTATATGGCCCACCAAGTTTCAGTCCACATTTAATAATGTCGAATTAAACATGATTAATGGACCCTATTTAATCATAGCCCATTAAATAAAAGTATCATTTTTTGTCGTATGAATGTCACATTAAAACGGATTTTCCGTTAATTAATTTAAATTAAAAAATAATTAATGTAGCATCGTGAGAGATACGTAGAAAGCTTAATAATCCTGGAAAAAAGCACCATTTTGTATCTTAGCATTTAAATTAATCGCATAAGCATAAAAGTCGTCCCAAAATCCCGAAGCTTCTCTCCCATCTATTAAATAAAATAAAATATAAGAGTGTAGATTTATCCAGTGCACCAATATAGTTGGTTGCGAATTTCTTTAAAAAAAATAGAATATTATGATGTGACTGAACCCATTAAAATATATTATTATATATATGTATGCATTTGGTTATACTATATATAACCACGATGAGAGTAGATTTGGGTATTTAATTGATTACAAGAGCTTCTTGATCGAAATCAAATCACTTAGCATATGCTTATAATAAATATATTATAAATATGATTCAATATTAATAACTATAGCATATTACTAGCTGAATAAATGTATAAATATAGTTTATTATGAGTGATATTTAATTTGAATTCAAATCGCATCTACAACAAGTTTAGACATATAGATCTAGTCCCATCATTATTATTGCTATGATGTAATCTCTATTACATTCATTCTACATTAAACTAACAAATGAAGATTAGGTTGTCTAAACAAAAAGATTCTTAGGATTTTATTTATTATTAAACTAATGCTTTTATAAATTCTTACGATGGTTTCTTAAATGCTACACTTTGTTAAATACATCAGACGATTTCATATATTTGATTCAAATTAAACACAATTACATGCATATTACATACATACGTGCGGAAAAATACGGGTTGCGTAAATCTTTATAAATTACTAAAACGAACGTGAGTTAGGTAGATATGCTATAATACGCGTACCTGTAAATTAGTTATCTAAAAAGAATTAGAAATAGAAAATTATAATTTCCTAAATTAAAAGATTTTTCTAAACTTAGATGACTAGTGTAACATATAATCAACATAATTTAATGTAACCATTATAGAGTTTAAAGAGTACTAACTTGTAGGAATCATAAATTCTATTTGAGTCTAATTTCACCAACTCCCCAAAATTGAATGTTTAGTTTATCTAATTAGTTTAATCAAGATGCAATACACATTTACATAGTTACTAACAAAAAAAAGTAAAGAAATTATTAAAGTATTGTGTAATTTAAATTTATAGTTTTGACCAACTTATTGTATAAAAAGTAAAAACACATACATAATTATAGATTATAGTTAAGAAAGGTGAATTAAGAGTAAAATATATTTAATTACAAAGGAAAATTTAAAAAAATCCATAAATAGCTCAACTCCATCAAACAATGCATTAAATGCGAGCGTGACATCCAGCGGTGCCTGCATACGCTTTATTACATAAGGATAAACACAGACCGTTGGATTGATACTCGACAAATCTCCACCGTCAGATTCATATTAAATGCTCCCACCAGCCTCTTTCCCTCCTCTCTCTTCTCTCTCTCTCCAACACAAACACACACACAACACACAGTGAAACGCTTCAGCCACCTTCACCAGTCACCACCACCATCTCCTCCGGCAAAACCTAACCCCGTCGGATATCATAAAATCAAACCCATACTTGATCCGAGAAAACACGTGAACTTTCAAAAAGATGAAGCAGAGGAAAAATCCGATGATTTATTTGCTGTTATTTACCTATTTCTGCTGTGGAGTATCCAGTTTGGGATCAATGTCGTCCATCGCCATTTCATACGGAGAAAACGGACCCGTATTCTGCGGGTTAAAATCCGACGGCTCGCATTTAGCCAGCTGCTACGGCTCAAACCCCGCCATCGTTCATGCAACCCCAAATTACTCGCCCTTCCTCGGCTTAACCGCCGGCAGCGGCTTCGTCTGTGGGCTTCAGATGGACTCAAATCAGCCCTTCTGCTGGGGGAGCACCGGATTCATCCAAATGGGGGTACCCCTAAAAATGGCGAAAAAATCGGAGTACCTAGAAATCAGCGCCGGAGACCACCATTTATGCGGGCTGCGGAAACCCTTGATGGGTAAGTTGAGAAACACTTCCTTAGTCGATTGTTGGGGTTACAACATGACAAAAAGCTACAATTTCGATGGGCAGATCCAATCAATTTCCGCCGGTTCTGAGTTTAATTGTGGCCTCTTTGCTCAAAATCGGAGCGTATTTTGCTGGGGCGATCAAACCAGTAGTAATGTGATAGGGTTAGTACCGAAAGAGTTGAAATTTCGAAAAATTGCAGCAGGGGGTTTCCATGTATGTGGGATTCTCGAAGGGGTTAATTCGAGAGTTGTTTGTTGGGGGTCTAGTTTGGATCTTGAACAAGAGATTTCTAGCGGGTCGGGTTTGTATTCGGGTCAACTGAACGTTGACTCTGCTCCGGTGGATAATATGTTGTCTGTAGTTGGGGGAAAATTTCATGCTTGTGGGATTAGGAGTAGTGATAGAGGTGTTGTTTGTTGGGGTTATACAGTTGATAAGAGCACACCGCCACCGAATGGAGTTAAGCTTTACGAAATTGCTGCCGGCGATTACTTCACTTGCGGAATTCTCGCGGAGACGTCGCTTTTACCCGTTTGTTGGGGGGTTAGTTTCCCTACGTCTCTGCCTTTAGCAGTTTCGCCGGGAGTTTGCAAGTCGACGCCATGTTCGAGCGATTCGTACGAGTTTGAAAACGCGAGTTTGCCTTGCAAGTCTCGCGGGTCCCACATTTGCTTGCCTTGTAGCAACGGCTGTCCTAACGAAATGTATGTGATCAGTGAGTGCAGTTTGAAATCCGATAGGCAGTGCGGGTACAACTGCTCGGTTTGCAGTTCGGACGAGTGCGTGAGGTCGTGTTCGAACGCTGCTATTGAAAGAAACGAGAGCGAGAAGAAGTTCTGGTCGGTGCAAATGCCGATCGTTATTGCGGAAGTTTCTTTCGCTGTCTTCTTGGTGACAGCTGTCGCTTTGATTTCGGTTCTGTACGTTCGGTACAGGCTGAGGAACTGCAGGTGCTCGGAAACTTCTACTGCAAGTACTACAAATGGTTCTTTACGTAAAGAGAGTGGTAAAATCCGACCCGATTTGGACGAGATGAAAATTAGGAGGGCTCAAATGTTTTCTTACGAAGAACTCGAAAGAGCAACGGGTGGATTTAAGGAAGAATCGGTCGTGGGAAAGGGTAGTTTTTCGAGTGTTTTCAGAGGTGTATTAAAAGACGGCACAACAGTTGCAGTAAAACGAGCTATAGTCTCACCCGATTTGAAAAAGAACTCGAAAGAATTTCACACCGAGCTCGATTTGCTCTCGAGGCTAAACCACGCACACTTGCTCAATTTGCTCGGTTACTGTGAAGAGAGCGAAGAGAGGCTCTTGGTTTACGAGTTCATGGCTAACGGCTCATTACACCAACACCTCCACAGTAAAGAAAACGAAACGAAGGAGCAATTCGATTGGGTGAGGAGAGTGACAATCGCAGTACAAGCAGCTCGAGGAATCGAATATCTACACGGCTACGCTTGTCCACCTGTCATCCATCGTGATATTAAGTCCTCAAACATTCTAATAGACGAAGAGCACAATGCACGCGTGGCAGATTTCGGGCTTTCCTTACTCGGGCCTGCAAATAGTAGCTCGCCATTGGCCGAGCTGCCAGCTGGCACCCTCGGATACCTCGACCCCGAATACTACAGGCTTCACTACCTCACGACGAAATCCGATGTTTATAGCTTTGGTGTTTTGCTATTGGAGATTCTTAGTGGGAGAAAAGCTATCGACATGCAGTACGAAGAAGGGAACATAGTCGAATGGGCTGTGCCTTTGATTAAAGGTGGCGAAATCGATGCGATTCTTGATCCGTTCTTGAAGCCCCCGTCAGATCTTGAAGCGCTGACTAGGATCGCTAATATAGCGTGCAAGTGTGTGAGAATGAGAGGGAAGGAAAGGCCTTCGATGGATAAGGTTACTACAGCTTTGGAGCGTGCTTTGGCTTTGTTAATGGGGAGCCCGTGTAACGAGCAGCCGATTCTGCCGACTGAGGTTGTTTTGGGGAGTAGTAGGATGCATAAGAAGACTTCTCAAAGATCGGGGGGCAATCGGTCGAATTCGGAAAATGATGGGGCGGAAATGGAAGATCAGAGAATCGAGATTAGGGCTCCGTCTTGGATTACTTTTCCGAGCGTGGCTTCTTCGCAGAGGAGGAAGTCTTCTGTTTCGGAATCGGATATTGTTGATGGAAAGAATATTCCGGAAACTAAAAACGGGGGTAACGGGAATATTGTCGGAGATGCTTTGAGGAGTCTCGTGGAAGAGATTGGTCCCGCTTCTCCTCAAGAACATTTGTTCTTGCAGCATAATTTCTAGGCTAAAGGTAAATATATATAATGTGGCCGATTTTGTATATTTTTATCGTAATTCGGCGGTCGAGTAAGCGAACTATATATATGTATATGTAATTCTTGCATTGGTGTTATTGCAAGCTTTTTTGAACTAGTACTAATTCGGAGGCGTTGTTCGAATGTTCGTATTTATTCTGTCTCGGGTAAAGGTGTGTTCTTTACACGAACGGAGTACCAAACAACGTATGACAAAATGTTCGTTTCTCGTTTCGTTTTCTTGCGAAATATTTATAGAGTAGATGGAGTTTTGTAGTTTCTTCAGCTCTAGTATCATTATTAGAAGTTTCTAGAAGTTTCTTGAATCATCAACTAAGGTTAAAACTCAGCAATAAAAAACTTAGGTAAGCAATTCACTTGTATTATTACCATTGGAATACTCATGTGTAGACATTTTTATGTTGTCCTATTATTAGTCATATATATAGTCTATACTGCATTAAAAAACTGATTTTTATTAGATTAAATTATTTAAATACAAGTCAAATAAAAACAAGATTACAAGATGTCTGGTAAAGGAGAAAGCTATGCTTGTAATTGCAGCAAAGGGGAGCTCTCTTTTTACAGACAATTAACCAACAATTTCACACACATTCACACCATCACTGCGTGCTTTTTCTTTCTTGTCTACCTCAAAATATTTACCAGTTAACGGAAAGAAAACCATGAAAACTGAACACTTGGTTTTTCACTAGGAATATAGAAACAAGCATAATATTAATATATATACATAATTCAAGGGGAAAATTAAATACCAACAAAATAAAAAAAAAAAAAAAAAATACAGTTCCCTAACTAAAAGCCAAAATTTCATCCCCTTGAAGAAATAGCCTTGTTTTCGATGTCTGAATAACCTTAAAAATACTAAGAAAAAAAAGATAAAAAAAAGGTGGCAGAGGCAAACAACAAGACAGAATGAAAAGTGGGTGAGCTGTAAACCCTAATTGAATCCCCCATGGCTAAACCAGCCAACCAAGATCCATCTGGCAACATTGCTTCAGACCCTGACCCGGGTATCGAATTCGGGTCGGAACCCGTTACACCGAATTCGGATCCAGACCCGTTGCTTGGTTCTGTTCCTGATAGAGACCCATCAGCATTAGTTGTTTCTGGTGCTGTCACTGTCGGGCTTGGATCTTTTGATGATTTCTGACTGCAAAATATATGACAAAAAATTATCTTTGCTAGATTCTTTCTTAAACTAATTAATATATATTTATTTAATTTTAATTAATTGGGAATTAAGAAAATGATTTTTACCTGGGCATGGAGGGGCAAAACGTCACCGTATAATCCGCCGACGCGCAGGTGAAAGTGCTGGTGGGGTCGTCGTAAGCGTAGCTGTACGATCTGGGGCATGCCGACTTGAACATCTGCGAGTAGACCGACGGCCGACAGGCGGCGGGTGTGCTGAACGCGCCGCTGCAGCAGTACTCCGGGCTGCCGAAAGCCTCGCACGCGCTCTTGCACGCTTCACCGCCGCCAACCCGGAGCTCCGACGGGCAGGCCCGGTTCAGATCCGTGATGCACCCGGTCGACGCGCACATGCCGGAACCCCCCGACGCCTCGACTATCATCGGCAGGTTGTAGCCGTCGACGAGGCTGACGTCGTAAAAGTCCAAACCGCCGGTGCCGAGTGTGAACTCCGCCAGAGTCGCGGGTGGGGCTGCGCCGGAGCCGTTGCATTCGGCTTGACCCGAGCCGCAGTCTCCCGTCTGGCAAGAGACTGATTCGGAGCCGGAGAATGCGCACCCGGTTCGACCCCAGAACCGGCCGGACCAGCCGGCGGGGGCGACGAATGTCCGGGAGGAATCTTGGGGGAGCTCGAATCCAGTGCTGTCGAGTCTAGGGCTACCGGTGTTCGCTAGTATACCGGGCCAAACTGTGTACTGGCATTTGTTCACAAATGTGAACGTTGCTCCAAACGCAACTACACCAGAATGAAAAACGATAAAAGATCACACATTTAGCTCAAAGATCACACATTTATTCCTAAAAATGAAAAATATAGCAAAACCCACTTCACAGATTATACATATCAAAAGTAATTGCAAAACCCAGTTCAAATATCACAGAAATTAAGCTAAAAGCAGAGTTCTTGGCATGAAATTTATTACCTGTGGAGAAAAAGACAAGAAAAATATGGAAGCTGAGAAATAGGGCTATGTAGTAAAATGAGTGATCCATGTAAGCTTTCTTCTTCTTCTATTTTAATGGGATTAGGTAAACAGAGAGAGTGAAGCAGGGGAAAGAAGATAATTGGAATCAAGTGTTCGTTGCTATGTTAAAAAAAATAAACAAGAAAAATGAAATAGATTATTAATTTGCCTAATTGTTGGTGGGAGTGGAGAAATGAGGTGTTTTGGACCCCAATGAATGTATGTACCGGTACACAGATATAATTGTCAATCTTTTCTTTTGCAGAGGACTGGTATATAATTATTAATTATTATAAAGGACAGAAAATATGGAAGAGAGGAACTGTTCTCTAGTAATTATTTATTAATTAATTACACTATCATTCCCGTTGGATGATACATATTCATAAAAGTGTCAAATTGAGGTTTTAGTTTGTGTGAAATGTCCTAAATAGCCTTACCAATTTGGTGGTAATTAGTGTTATTCTTGTGGTGAAGATAACTACACATATTGAAGAGAAATATTCAATAAATGATCTGTGTTAATTGATCTAATGTTCGAATTCTCTTGTAAACGGTAGTTGGATCGAACATGTGACACAAAGTTAGCCTAATATGGTTTGCAAGTTATTATACAATAGTGTATGTTTATCCTGAACATCTATATCGTTGGCAGCGGATTCATTTTTTATTAAAATAAAAAAAAATTTGTAACAATAATAAAATAATTAAAAGTATAAGTGAGTGGTATAAGTGTGAAGATGGAATAACTTATTATTTCATTGGGGCTCTGCAAAATGCCATGGCCCATTAAATGGTGAGTCCTTTTTTAGGTTTGAGTTATTTATTGCGCCTCATAGTATGGGCTTCTATAAGTTCCATTTTTGTTTTTAATATATTATTACTACATTTATAAATAATTATTTATAATTCAATGTATCATATATTATTCTTCTACTTTAACGATGTTCTAGACTATTGATTATTTATTAAAAAAAAATTGAAATTGCAACACATTTTAGTGTAATGTTTAATTAATTATGTTTGAATACCAAGTCCATGTTTCACTGATGGTGGTGGGGGCTAAAGTTGTAAGTTAATACCTTTGGATTCCTTTTGGCGCGTCTTTTCATGCTTCAATAAATTGCAGTGAATTTTGACCTATATTAATTCCCATAATTCATTGTACATTTATAAAATTAATGTACCATTATGCATTTATGCTCAAATCAAGTGTGGAACTACTTCTGTGTACACATTGACCATTGTCTTGTAGATTCAACTCATACAAGTACATCAAATATTTATTATAATATTCAATTAGCATTTACATTTTATATATGAAATTATCGAAATATTAATATTATCCTTGATACTTTGTTCAATAACTCGTGATTGATTTGTCTTGATAAAAGGACTAATTCGGAAGATTTTTCGGGCCCACTTCACACGATCGGATCGACCATTAAACCCACTTTTACTTAACAATTACAAAGTAATCAACTTTAAACTAGTTTTAGGGAAAAACCATCATTTATTTTCTTTTTTTTATTTAAAATGTTTATGCAAAGTGGGACTGTGTTTTTCTTTTCTTTGCCTTTTGACACAAAATTGGTACTTACTGAAATACAAAATTACTAAATTGGCTTCACTGGGATTCCAGAGATTATTCCATCAAATCGGTCACTCATTGCCTCGTATAGTTAATTACTCTCTATTTTCCATTTTATACGTCGCTTTTCATTGTTGTGCTCGTATTAAGAAAATTTATTAAAAGTGAATAGGTTATAGTAAAAATCATAGGAAACCACTAAAATAACTTTGTGATTAATTGTTTTTCAGTTGATTAATTAAGAGTGATAAACTATAAAATTGAAAATATTGCGATTGATGCTTGTTAGAATTGTAAAGTGACAAGAATGTAACAAGATAAACTAAAAAAATAATGGTTAAAAAAGAAGTTTAAACCAGAATCAAACGAAAATTTAAGGGCAAATTACACTTTTACCCCGTACTCTAGCCCAAAATCACTTTAGTTCATTGAATATCTACTACAGGCAAGCAAAGCTCCATCTATAACAACAAACCCCTTAGGCACAATGTACTTCAACAACTCTCTTGAATGGAAATGCACCGAAATTGATCGATTTTAGCTTCTTAGTTTCGCTAGTGTTAGAACTGTAATTTTGAAATTTGGTGAAAGACAAGAGTCGGTTGAATTAGAAAAAAATAAAGAGAGGAGAGGGTCGTTTTGATATTTCCATGCCTTGACCAAACGTCATCAAGTTACAGGGGTAAATCAACGGCGAGTTCCACAATAGAACAATTTTGCAAGTACCAAGGAGGTAAATCGGCACAATTGAGAGTTTAAGAGGGTAAAGTGATTATATGCCAGTACAAGGAGGGAAAGTTGAATGTGCCTAAAAGTTAATTATAAATTACATCATCATAGACAATAAAATCGGAAAAAAATCTCATCAACATTCCCAAACGAGGCCTTCGAGTCTTAGATTACAGATTCATCATGCCTCTTTCCAATTTCTTAACATACAAGATTGTTCTTAATTCACCACAATGTCAAAATTTCCCTACATGGTCTAAGATCAATATATTTAAGTACTACTTATAGTTTTAATCATGGTTGAAACCAGAGGTAGAATCACTACTAGTATACACAAGTGGAATAACGAACACATAAATAGATGAAAATCGAAAGAGTAACCTACAATAGAGAGAAGCTCGTCGTACCATTCCCTCTCGTTCGAGTCACAACACCTGATAGTGGGGCCCACTACAAAATTAATGCTCTCAATCTTCAGTTGTACTAAAACTTGTGATCAGCCTGAAAAAAGACTCCACCCGATTAAAACCGTAAAAATTGGCAAATGGAAAATGCAAAAGAATGTAAATAAAAGTCAAACCTGGAGACGACAATCTGGTGTGATGCCTTCCCATGTGCATCATAGTTTTGTTGACCAGAGGCAATTCTGCTGTGTCCTTAAGTAATCCAAGAACTTTCTGGCTGCAAGATTTTGTATTTTTTTTTAAGTATGTCGCAACTCGAACCTTATTACAAAACATGTATGTATATGTATGTTTCACCATATTACTAAAGATGATACTCACGATTCTCTGTTTCCGGCAAAACCAAAATGCGCACAGAAATATAAGTAACAGTGTCTAAACACATAGTTCATTCATTCATGCAATATTGAACTAAGTAACAACTACTGTGTGATAAGGGAGATAGAAACTGTATGCAGCAAAAAGAAGGGAACGAAAACGTCATTTCTCAAAGAAAAAAAAAAAGGTCAAATAATTTGTGATATACCGTACGAATATTTATGGTGGTATGATTTAAGGCAATTACTTGGTGGCATTAAGTCTGCAAGCTATGTTTGATATAAGCATCTGGAGGGGAAGGTTCGTACTTAGCTTATCGTAAATGATTCATTAATCAATACCTAATATCCACACTAATTAACTGTCTTTAAGTGTCATCTCAAGTATACATGTTTGTTCATTAAGGCCTCGCTTTGGTTGCCAAGATAAGATTAAATAATCTAATGAAAACCCAATTAATTTATCGGACCCGGGACATCCAACAAAAAAACTCCCCAAAAGACAAGATAAAACATGATAACATAATATTTGCGGGTCGACCCGGCAAGTCATTGGAAACGTCAAACAAAGTCTAATTATTTAGTTAATAATGACTAATCTCCCTAACCAAACGAGGCCTAAGATGTTGACATTTTTGCAATCTAGCATCATTAACTCTATATAGCAATTTAGCAATGAAAATAACGACTATATAGTTCTCGAGCAATCTGTCATCCTTAACTCGAAAAAAACGTACGGAATTAGAAACAGAGGAAAAACAAGAAGATAAGCTGTTACAACGGCTCCTACGGATTATACTGTAGATTCGTGTTTGGGTAGGTCTATTAATTCATGATACTAAGCTCATTAAATGGGAATATGATCTCAGATTTGAATAATACCTTACGGCACATTATGCATTACTGTCGATAATATCTAATTTTAGAAAATACTTCCTTCGCCGAATGCAGTCCAGGAATACTTCGAAGTTCGAAGCATAAACTATTAGAGCAGAAAAATACACCTTCAACTGGATTGTATGTATATTGACAAGCAATGTATCATAAAAAATCATCTAATTGTTCAATAATTGATGTCGGGATTTAATGAAATTGACCATCTACAAATCAAAATCAAGAAAGCAATGTCGAGGGCAAAATAGTAAATTGACCTGGTGTAAGGCAGAGGGCAGAAGATGATAAAATAATCGGCGCCGGCACAGGTGAAAGTACTAGTCCGGTCATCGTAAGCATAGCTGTACGAACGCGGGCACGCGTTCTTGAAGAACAGCGAGTAAGGAGAAGGCCGACACGTGTCCGGCGTACTGTACGCGTCGCTGCAGCAGTACATGGGATCCCTAAACGCCTCGCACGCGCTCCTGCACGCGATCCCCTCGCGGCCACGCGCCACGCTGAGCTCCCTAGGGCACGCGCCGTTCAAATCCACCAGGCACCCCGTCGGGCTGCACCCCGCGCCGCCTGTACCTCCCTTGGCGACTATCAGCATCGGGAGGTTGTACCCATCCACGAGGCTGACGTCATAGAAATCCAGCCCCTGGTCGCCGTCGAGCGTGAACTCCGCCAGTGACGCGGGGGGGATCGCACCGGCGCCGGCGCATTCCAGCTTCCCGGAGCCGCAATCAGCTGTGAGGCAGAGGAATTTACCGGTGGAAGGGTCTGTGGAGCAGTGCGTTCGAGCCCAGACCCGACCCGACCAGGAATTGGGTACCCGGAGAGTTCTGGATTTTCCGGGCTCGAGAACGAAACCGGTCGGGTTGAGGAGCGGTCTGTCGGCGCCTGTTAGTATACCAGGCCATATCGTGCGCCGGCACTTGTTAACTATCTTGAACGTCGTCGTTTCTACCTCTGTTGAATTTCAAAATTAATTTACCGAAATACAGGGGATGAAAATAAATAGATAAAATTAACGAGTAATAAAAGAAAAAAAAAAAAAAAAAAAACCTGAGAAGAGAGAGAAGTTGAGCAGAAGGAAAGTGGCAGCAAGGAGAAGAAGGTGGTCCATCTAGAATATAGCAGAAACTGGATATTTTGTTTTTTTAGCAAGTATTTTGCTTTTTCTGTACTTCTTCCTTCTCTGCCATTTTCTCTCTCTTCTTTTCTTCCTTTTATTTATCTTTCCTTTTTGGTTTATTGTGGAATAAAGATGGTGGCAATAGAAATTGGGGAACCAAAAATAAAAATTAATTAAATCGAAAAAACAGAGAAAAGTGGGAATTTTTTGGAATATCTTTTTGTATTTTATATATATATATCTCAATTTTTTGCTGAAAATAATTTATATTTTTATGTAATTAGAATTTGTAAGAATCTTCAAGAACAACAAAAATAAAATTACTAGTTGATACGGGCCGATTGCGCCAAAAGCCCGGATAATAAAAAAATTTATAACACAAATTGGGCCCATTTAAAATTTGTCCATTAACATTCTATACTAACCCCAAGTGGAGTAGACTATAATAACGGGCCTAAATGTAGCCCGCAGAAAAGCCCAAAGCCCATTCCTTTTTTTTTTTTAATATAACCAAAACCAACCATAAACAAATGGTTAATGATTCGTGTAAATAAACTAAGTAGGCCTGCCCACTACATGGGCCGAGAATTGGACTGAATTATAATTTTGCTTTGTTGCTAATTTATTTCATTCAATTAATAATTTTGCATAGTTAAATAAGGGCAGCAAAAGTTAGGTGATGGAATTATTTCAATGATGATTCCATTCATTTTAAATTACGAAGGCCCCATAACTTGTCAAGCATGCCACCATACCAATTAATTAATTAAAAGATCAAATATTATTGCTAAAAAGGAGCAATAATTTGTATAGTTTCAAATTATGTACTAAAAATGAACATTCAATTCAGACTAAAGCAAGATTATTTGTTACTACCCATCGTAGGTTGACTTTGTAATTATAAAACATCAAAAATCTTCCATTTCATTGGTCCACGTATTTAAGCTTCTCGTATATGTTAATTTTGGAGGCTGTATTATCAATTATGTCATTTTCTTTTCTGATGTCACTATTATGTCATCAAGGGAATTGTTTATTTAATAATTTGTAACCACTATTAATATTATTAATAATTATATATATTTTTTAAATGTATACATTATAAAGGGACAAAAAAAGAATTATATTCTCAAGGGAGGGAGTGATTGTGATGAAGAAGAATTACAGGTTGTTGATGGTAATGTATTATCAGTGTTGACTGAAACAGAATTGGTCAAAGGGGGACAAATTTCCAGGGAATGTTTCTGGTCCCATTGTCCTAAATTAAATCTTTGGCATGCCTCTACTTTGATTATTTCTCCTACAAATTTCTTCATCACTATCTTCTTGTGAACTATAACATATATTATTTTATTATTTTAATTATTTTAATTATTACTAGAAAACATATACTCATTATGGTTTATTCCCATGACATGAAATAATAATAAAAATAGGCTTACATTATATCAAAGGTTATGATGGGAAATATTTTGATACCACTTAGGCTTAAACCTTAGTGATTTCTAAATTAATATTTTAGGGTTTAATTATTTGTCATGATGAGAGACATTGATGTTTTCGAATTACAAAAAATGAACTTAAATTCATTAATTTTTTATATTTACTTCCACTAAAATGTTACAAAGTTAAGCTCAATGCTTCTTACGAAGGAAAAATTACTGAAAATTACTGTTTCGATCTCTCAAATTTGCACCGATTTTGCATTTGAACCCATATGTTCATAAAAAAACGTGTTTTTTCTCTCTATGTCACGTCAGTTAAGACAATGATGAGCATACACTTGATTCCGTTGGTTTTAACGGAAAGTTGATGGAATTGATTAAAAACGTTGAATTTATAAAATATGTAGGAACAATTGTTTTTTCTTCATGAATATGAGAATGAAATGTGAAATCTCTGCAGCAACCTAGAGGCATGAAAAATGTATTTTTTTCACTTTTACTAAATATAACCACATAAAAAGAAGTAAAAAAAAATGGCATAATGAGAGAAATAAACAAAAAGCTAAAACGAGCATAAGGCTGTGTTTGTCTGTACTTGCAAGCAAGAAAACAATAATAAAAAAGAAAAAAAGAGGGAATCAAAATTATGATTGATGAAGAGACTTGCTCCAAGCCCAACCAACCAAATTAATATCAACAAATTAAATATGTTTTTATATCTTTTTTCTGCAAAAAGAAAAACACAATAACTTTTCTTTTTTCTTTTTGTCTTTAAATCTCACCACAATTTGTAACAGGAGCATTTTTTAGATTACATGTGTTAGAATTAAATAAAAAATATTTTTAATTTTTTTTTAAATAAACTCATTTAAATTTTAGATAAAATTATAATTATTTTCTTATAATAATTTACATTTAGTATATAATAATAATGAGTGATGTTTCCCCAATTATGATATTTGCATGTGAAATAATTATAATAGACATGAGTGTTGGTATTGGGCTGTGTTAGATTCTTGAGCCCACCCACAGTGAGTGAGTGCAATTTCCAATTTTGCCCCCATGTAATTAAAGCAACTTTCTTCTTCTTATAAAGCGACCACGCCCGTTTGGCTACAATCATTTGGTCTACTTTCTCATTATTCCCACAAATTCACTTCTCTTTGTTTTTTTTTTTTAATATATTTCTTAATTAATTAAAAAAATACAGCTCCACACATATAATTAATAATTAATAATTAATACTAACTATGTAATACAAACATTAACTTAGAGCATCCACAGTGGGACTCTCCAAATACACTCTCCAAATTATGAGGTCCACATGCCACATATCCATATTTATCCTCCTTAACAACTCTCTAAGACTTGGGTCCCACTTATACACTCTCCAAATTATTTTTTGCTCCAATGACTACATTTTGGTACTCTCTAAAATAGCTCTCTAAATATTAAATAATAATAAAATATTCATTATTAAAATTAAAAAACAAATTAAAATTTATATATTTTAATTAATAAATCATATAACTCTTGATTAATTTAAATTTCAAATCATGCCATCTTATCTAATATTTTATCATGTTTAATTATGTTATGAGTTGCATTAGTTTGTTTATTTTTATATACATAAATTAATTTTTAAAACTTGATTTAGTTTATTAAAACATTACAAAGTTTATTAAAATTATCATATTTTTAATATACTGATTGACAACGTTTGTTATTTTTAATTATTATTATTATTTAAAATAATATAAATGAAAAATAAGAAAATAATAAAAAATGAGAAGGGAACACATGGTCCCACCATATGCTCCTTAAACCACTGCTAACTGTGGCGAGGCATCTAGCAATTCTCCAAATTTGGAGAGTCACAAAGAGCGACACATTTCACCACTGCAGCACCACTCTCTCTCCAAATTTTAGAGAGGATTAAAAATCTGACACTAACAATGCCTTTAGAGAGGCCATTGTGGATGCTCTTATATAGTATTAAATTAATTTAGTATTGGGAGTAGAGAAACCCAGTCGTGCGGACAGTCATCTCACGCTCATCTTCTTAATAAAATACACATTCTATTAATTAACTAGAATAAAATACTATTGCTTCTTACTATAAGACAAGAATAGATTAATTAATTAATTTATTAATTAATTAGGAAATACAAGAATGCGTCAAATAAACATTTCTAAAAGCGGGTTTACTCCCTTGCTAAAATCGCTCTTCTCTATTATTTTTTTATATTTTATTCAGGTCACCCCCCACTACCCCACCCTCACCCCCACACTTTTTCCTATATAAATATAGATATATAGATATCTCCATACAGCTACACTTGTGAGAGAGAGAGAGCAGTTGCTAAAAACACACACAGTGAGATCAGAGTGAAAGATGGAATGTTCAGACAAGGCGGTGGAGGCAGTGATGGTGGGAAGTTACGTGGAAATGGAGACGGAAGGAAAGGCGACGGACATGAAATCAAAAGTGTCGAGTCTGTTCTGGCACGGCGGCTCCGCCTACGACGCCTGGTTCAGCTGCGCTTCTAACCAGGTGGCACAGGTGCTGCTGACGTTGCCTTACTCATTTTCGCAGCTGGGCATGATGTCCGGAATCATGTTCCAGCTCTTCTATGGTTTGATGGGAAGCTGGACCGCTTATCTCATCAGCATTCTCTACGTTGAGTACCGTACCAGAAAACAACGAGACAAAGTTGATTTCAGAAACCATGTCATTCAGGTAATATTCATATTATTTTCTAGCTTATAATATATTTTTTTTCAAAAATAATATTCATGAAATTGATAATTAATAATAAATAAATCTGCAGTGGTTTGAAGTTCTTGATGGGCTGCTGGGAAAACACTGGAGAAACGTTGGTTTGGCTTTCAACTGCACTTTTCTTCTCTTTGGATCCGTCATTCAACTCATTGCTTGTGCTAGGTAGTATTTATTTCTTTCTTTATTTTTTATTTATTTATATAAATAATAATAATAATATTAATATATATTTTGGGATGGGTGGGATGCAGTAATATATATTACATAAACGACAATTTGGACAAGAGAACATGGACATACATATTCGGAGCATGTTGTGCAACAACAGTGTTCATACCATCTTTCCACAACTACAGAATTTGGTCTTTTCTTGGTTTGATTATGACCACTTACACTGCCTGGTATCTCACCATCGCCTCTCTTCTTCACGGCCAGGTACTATATATACTTCAATTCATTCTTCTTTATTAATTACACTCATCATCATTAATTATAATCTGCTGTCTAATGATCATTACTTTTGTTGATTAATCAAATGTACAGGTGGAGGGTGTTAAGCACTCGGGTCCAACAAGAATGGTTTTATATTTCACTGGCGCCACCAACATTCTTTACACATTCGGCGGCCACGCTGTTACCGTGTAAGATTTCTTTTTAATTTTTATTTGTCCAAGGGCAAAATAGTAAATTCATAATTACAAAATATTCTTTTCACGGATTTTTTTTTATAATTCCAGATAATAGACTTTACACAATTTCAGACATTTTCTTTTATTTCTCACCTATTTAACAAAATGTATAATAACATTTTTCTGTTAAAAAACTAGATCAACGGTTAATCAGGGGTGAATTTTGGTTATTTCATATACATTGGGTGTTTTTCGTTATTTAGCCTAAGTTCAGGGTTTTTTTTTTTTGGTTAATTTACCCTATTATTTATTTGTCCACGTTTTCCTATGCTTTTGTCTTCGAGGGCAAAATAGTAAATTCACAAAAAAAGACAGTTGATGGATTCTGTAATCTTTCTCATGAAGTTTAAAAGCGACATAACCTTAGCAAATATCTAGTACGCAATCTATTTTGTTTCCTTTTACACAGTTGTTGAGAGTTCAAATGTAATGACATGTCACTTTCATTGCAAATTTATTAGTTTTCCCAAAATACCCTTACTGAGGCGTGCTAATGAGAAAAAGTTGAACTTTTCTTGGGGAACCCCTCTTTTCTTCCTTTTTGCATGCATAGGGTAAAAAGCTACATCTCTTTATTCAATAAAAGCTTTTGCAGTTGATTCTGCTCTTTGATTCTTGATGGTTAATCTTGTAATTAACACACACACACACACACAATAAAAAAAAAAAAAAAAAAAAAAGAATTCATCAATAATTAATTAACATTGTCTGAAAATTTTCAATTCCTCTGCTGTGTTAGTTGTTGTAAGGCAATAAATTCTGTTGTATAGTTAGCCCTGCTAAAATTTGAATTGACATTGCAGTTAATTTATTATTTTCATTAATGGTGTATTTAATTAATTAATTAATTTTTATTTTAAATTTGGGGCAGAGAGATAATGCACGCAATGTGGAAGCCACAAAAATTCAAGGCAATTTACCTATTAGCCACGCTGTATGTGTTGACTTTGACCCTACCATCAGCATCAGCTGTTTATTGGGCCTTTGGAGATTTGCTTCTCAATCACTCCAATGCTTTTTCCCTTCTTCCTAAATCACCCTTCAAGGACATGGCTGTAATTTTGATGCTCATCCACCAGGCATGCATACATACATACATATATACATACACATTATGTTCACTTTCTTGAAGTGTTTTTTTTTTCTTTATTGACATTAATTAATGATGCAGTTTATAACGTTTGGATTTGCGTGCACGCCGTTGTATTTCGTGTGGGAGAAGGCTATAGGCATGCATGAGTGTAAGAGCATGTGCAAGAGGGCGGCGGCGAGGTTGCCTGTGGTAGTTCCGATATGGTTCTTGGCTATTGTTTTCCCGTTTTTCGGCCCGATTAATTCCACCGTCGGATCGCTTCTTGTTAGTTTTACGGTCTACATTATCCCAGCTTTGGCTCACATGTTCACCTTCAAATCAGCTTCATCTCGCGAGGTACCGTATTTTCTTGAGAAGACGGATCTTTATTATGCATTCTAACGAATCATTGATCTAATTGCGGTTAAGTGATCTCTCTGTTTCAATTATTCCAATTGGTTGTACTAAATGAGTCTTAATGCAGCAATTCAGTTACGTCTTGATCAAATCCGCATATAACCTAGATTCTTGATATTTAAGAGGTTTTAAGACCCCGAAAATCTTACTTCGATGCAGTTTTAGATACAATTTTCGAATTTCTTCATTGAATTTTTCTAGCCTAAACAAAAGGGTTTTTGTTAAAGCTATGCGACAACTTGAGAGGCACAAATACTATGTTCTTACCTTGCTTTACAGTTGTTACATGACTAAGATGGAATATGGTTCAAAGGTGCAGAACAAGATTCCAAATGCTGTCAGTGAACAGAATAATATTCTTCCAAGATTCCTATCTCCAATAATTTTCATATCAGCCCTATCTTTATGTTATTCTTTTATGTAGCAAACTCAATGGTGTTACTTAAGTTGTGTAGAAATTATTTTGATTTTTTTTTTTTTGGTTGCAGAATGCGGTTGAGCAGCCATCGAAGTACTTTGGAAGGTGGGTAGGCACGTATGTGATCAACATATTTATAGTTGTGTGGGTTCTGATTGTAGGGTTTGGATTCGGTGGATGGGCAAGCATGACTAACTTCGTCCACCAAATCGACACATTTGGGCTATTCACTAAGTGTTACCAATGCCCGCCTCAACTGCCGCCACACATGGCCAACGCCACCGCTCCTCTACCACCTCCCTTTGCCTTTGGAAATGCCACTCATCTGTCGCCACATCCCAACTCCCCTTGAAAGCTTTCACCACGACTATCAGAAAACGTGGGAGATGAACTGGAAACAAAATTGTGTGCTTTGATCACGGGAATCAAGTTTTATTGAGCATTAATGCAGTCGATAAAAAAATGAATGAAATGTAATCCAGATTAGGGATTTAATATGTTAGCCATTACTTTAATCATGCAATGGATAAATTTCGTAATTCAAAACGGATGTCGATTTCATTATCTACACATTTGCATCAATTTTAGCACCCCAAGTATCAAGAACATGCAATGCGTCTTCCTGAAAATCGGAAAACAGAACAAATCCCTGAATTGGCAAATGTTGAAAGATCAAGAAACAACTCCTAATCAATTTTCACACACTCCAACGTGCTCTACCATCGTATACGAAATAGGAATTTCGAGTTCACAAAAAACAGTGCAAAAAAGGCTCATCCCAAAACATATGAAACAGCTAAAGTTGAAGAGAACAATCGTTGAACTTTCAACTAATCAATCCAGTGAGCTTCACCGAACACGTGGAAATTCGAATCAATACAATAAAATGGCAACGAAAGTATAAAATAATTCGACTATAGAGTATCACCTCCTCATCGAAACTCAGTTCAATTAATGGGCAGCAAATCATAAAGACAAGAAATCGATTCGAGAAACAATATTGATAGAAACCAAACTCGTTCATTGATTAGAATAAAAAGACCAAGCAGTATGTATATCCATATTCATGTATACACATTTCGGGACAAAAAAACAGACACGAACCACCGACATCGGCAGAGATTATCAATATAATAGTAAAACCCTAACAAGAGATCAATCTGCTAGGGCTTATCATGTAACCATTACCAAAAGTCAAGCTCAAACACCACAATAGAGAGCAAAAACGGAACAAAAATTACCCAAAAAAACCAGAAATACTAAATAAACGGCACTACTCCAAGAGCTCAACGGCTGGCAGTCGGGCATTCACGAGCAAAATGACCTCCCTCACCACAGTTGTAGCATCCGCCACCTCCTCCGCCGCCGCGGCCACCTCCCCGGCCGCCTCCTCCGTATCGGTCACCACCGCCTCCTCCGTATCGATCACCACCGCCTCCACCGTATCGATCACCACCGCCTCCGCCGTATCCCCCGCCGCCGCCACCATAGCCTTCGCCTCCGCCATAACCGCGACCACCGCCATAACCTCGACCACCGCCGCCTCTGCTCCCACCGTTGTATCCACCACCACCGTCTCCGCCGCCTCTGCCACCGTAAGATCCACGGGTGCTTCCCTGCACGGATGCGCCATCAGGTCCGGTAACGTTCACCGCCTTGGCACGGCCGTCATTGCCGTACTCAACAACGTACTCCACTACCTCGCCGTCGCCGAGGCTGCGGAAACCCTCGGATTTGATCGCCGATTGATGAACAAACAGATCGTCGCTTCCATCGTCAGGGGTTATAAATCCAAACCCCTTTTGGTCGTTGAACCACTTCACACTTCCCTTCTTCACATCACCTTCCGCCATCGTTTCAGAAAAACCCTAGTTCTATCTCTCGCCCCCCAATATCAGTGTGCGTGAGATTTAGGTTTTCGCACCGCTGGCTGGTATTTATATTTGAGTAGGAACGTGCCACGTCATCGCCTAGCGGACTTGATTTCCGGAATTAACTGGATCCAAAATTCCGTAGTGGGGTCCGGGCAATTTTTCTTTATTTCTTTTTGTTAATTATTTAATATGGGTATTCATTCGTTTTTTATTTTCGGGAATCAAAGCAACGGTTGGAGCGTGTGGAGGAAATCGACGGCCAGTAATTTAGCATTTGGTAGATGGATAATTAATTAATTTTACCATCACAAAATATAGTATTTTTTAATTAATGAATAATCCAATTTATTTTAATTTGGGCCCCCAATAGCAATTCAACCCATTTCAGTTCACATTGCACTAAAAGCACTGAATTGAAATAAATCGTTTTTTTTAATTACAAGCTATTAAAATTTGAAGTAATTTAATTTTAAAATCTACCGGCGGTTAGGGCTGCCGTATCGGCGGTTAGGGCTGCCGTATCGGCGGAGATGGCCGGCAAGAGGAAGAGGAAAAACGCAGCTGAGCGGCGAGGAATCCACCCTCGGAATAAATACTCCGATAATCCGCCGGATTTCGCTTTATTAGCATCACTGTACCCGAGTTTTGAGCCGTTCGTCTTCTACTTACGCGACGGCCGCCCCAAAATTGATTGGACGGACTTCAATGCTACTCGCGAGTTGACTCGAGTGTTGCTGCTCCACGATCACGGCATCAACTGGTACTACTTTTTCAACGTTTTTGTTTCTGCTACGGTCTTATGTTGTTTTGCTGTGACTATTCATCAACATTTTTTTGCTCAATTAACTTGATTAATTGTTTACTAATTTGTTTGATTGTGATGTATGGATTCTTAGGTAGGATTATTCAAGTGAATTTCTTAATTTAAATTTTGTTGGGTGAACAAGTTGTTGTTTTTTTTTTTTTTTTTTCAATTTCGCTTATTGGGGCAGAATTGAGTTTATTCTTCTCATAGCTAAACTATAAGCTCTGTTGTTCTTCTGCTGGCTGCTTGTGCTATATGTTTATTTACTGTCGATATATAGGTCACCATTGCATGATTTCATGGTATGTTATAAAATAGCTACAGTTGTTAGAAAGAAAATGGAAATGAAGATCTGTATCGACTAGCAAATGCATTCAAGAATAATATTCGTTTCCATTTTTTTTATTAAGAGCTGTTGATTCAGTGCAAATCTAACATTAGGTGGATTCCTGATGGGCAGCTCTGCCCTACAGTACCCAACAGATTGAATTACATCCACTGGATAGAGGATCTTCTGGCTTCAGACGTCATTCCGACTAACAGGGCTGATTGTGATGTCATCAAAGGTTTCGATATTGGGACTGGAACAAATTGTATATATCCCCTTCTCGGTGCATCTGTTCTTGGTTGGAAGTTTGTCGGTTCAGGTACTTGTCTTTTTTTTTTTTTTGTTTCGATCTCATGTATCTCACTGTTTCATTAAGCGCTAACATTGTTTCCTATGTTTTTTGTTAGATATGACTGATGTGGCTATAGAGTGGGCAAATCGAAATGTCGAGAGCAATCCGCATATTTCTCACTTGATTGAAATCAGAAAGGTCCACTTCGAGGATAGCATCGAAGAATCACAAATTAGTCAAAAAAGTAGTAATGAAGGTGGATCCGAATGTAGTAGTATAAAGTCTGAAGAAACTCGTTCAGGCACGAAGAAGAGTTGTTATAATGGGCCACCTGTACTTTTAGGTGTTGTCAAAGACGAAGAGATGTTTGACTTCTGTATGTGCAATCCTCCATTCTTTGAGACAATTGAGGAAGGCGGATTGAATCCGAAGACATCTTGTGGAGGAACTTCAGAGGAGATGGTTTGTTCAGGTGGTGAACATGCCTTTATTACTCGCATCATTGAAGATAGTGTTAAGCTGAAGCACACATTTCGGTATAATTTTATTTTCATTTCCATTAAGCTAATGTTTTTTTTAATCTGTCATTAATTGCCTTTACTTTTATCTTATTTTTATTCGTTTAGTTGGTACACTTCTATGGTTGGAAGAAAATTGAACCTGAATACTCTGGTATCAGAAATCTGGAATGTTGGAGCCACTGTAGTGAAAACGACAGAATTTGTACAAGGAAGAACATCGAGATGGGGACTCGCGTGGTCATTTTTGCCTGCTTCGAGGAAAATGTTACCTTCCCATAAGATTGAGGAAAATAATCTGTCTTTCATGCTGGAGGTTTGACGCCTTTTATCTGATGTTTTATATCGTTATTTTTGTTCGTTTGTGTGATGCTAGAATGAATGGATTCACTAATGATGCTAAATTAAATATACTTGCAGAAGTTCGTAAGGGAATATAAAAACAGCGGCAATTAGTTAATGTTTGACTTATTAATTTTAGTTTCTAGGTCCCAATTTTTAACGTGGTGGTTAACCTAATTATTGTGAATGTTGCATCTCATATAGCAATTTCTTTTATTAGGGCCTTCATCGTCAGCACAGTGGCTTTGACGTGTTGCAGTCGGTGGAATCTCACTTCTCCGGAAGCGGTGCATCTTGCAAATTAGATTCTGCTGCTTTCAATGTTGATGTATGCTATAACTCATTTTTTCCCATTTCAGCCTATTTACATATTCATTTCACTTCAAGCTGACAACGTATACTTTTTATATTAAGATCACTGCTTCAAAGGATCAAATTGATTCAATACTAAAGGCCGAGACACATAATACGGTTGATGCTGCTGAGTTTAATAGATCGAATTCCCCAAATGACCAGCAAAGTCAACCAGATGCCATGCGCTTCCGCATTTCGGTCTTGCAACAAAATCCAGGAACACTTCTCGTGAGGGGAACATTGCTCGACAGATCAAGCTCCACCTCAGGTATCTATCTCAGTTTCTATTTTCGTAGCCATCTTAATATTTGTTTTTACGATGAAATTTGTTTATTGATTTTTAAATAATATTGTAATTGTTTTGAATGCAGGTCTTTTTTCTCCAATTTTCCAGCATCTCAAAGATGTTCTCATCAATAAGTTCTGTACTGGAAGAGGTATAAAGCTGTGAGACAAACTATCAAAGCCAACAAGGATCAAAACATTTTTATTTAATCCTGTAAAATTAAATCCTATTTATTTTTTATATTTTTCGTGGCTGCTGCCGACAGCATTTTTATTACATTATTATAATTATGTACTTTTATTTTATTTTTTTAATATCATATTGCAATTTTTATTACATTATTCAAGAATTACGACATCCATATTAAATGTGGTGACACTTCACAAATTATTAAAGTAATAAAATAGTACTCATTGCTTAGGTTAAATAAGAACTTGAATATTATGTATAATTTATTATTTATTACACAAGTAATGCCTCTTTTCACAAATTATACATTATATTCCAATAATATTGACAACAAATTAAAAGAAAAAAAGAAAAGAAAAAAGAATCACAAATAAATTAATACGTATTCAAACCCGTAAATGGACCCGAGTCCGACCCGTTATGCATGAGAGAATGAGATGAATTCAAGCTTTCCCTTCAACCCTAGCGCTCGTCAAACCAACGCATGCATCAACAAAATCCTCATCGATAAAATCCGTCGAAAATATCTGCAACCTGTCTGCAAACCCTCGCGCAAAGCTCTGACATATGAACATCCTCGCATACCCACGGATCCGATCCGTCACCGGCTTCACGCACAGAACCGGGTTATCCGCCTGAGGCGTGACCGTATTCTCGACCCGGTAAAAGTACTTCCGGTTCGCCGCCGGCGATTGTTCCCCCAAGAACTTGAGATTGCTCTCGAATTTCGTCGACGGCAAATCAGTGTCGATCCAGTTGTCCTTCAAGTAACCCGAACTCCAAAGCGGGCCGCCCGGTTTCGGCTGGGCCGATTTCCTCGGCTTCCAAACGCAGATCACCCGCTTCGGCAGTAGTTCGGAGATCGTTTTGTTGAACACCTGTTCGTCGTGGTGGATCAGAAACTCGCCGAGCTGATCCACCAAGTACTGGTCGAAATCGGGCGGGTCGTCGTGCCCGAACTCGGTTCGGATTTCTAGAACCACGATCTCCGACTGGGTCTCCTGGATGAATTTCCTGACGTCACTGATGACGACGTCGACGCTGTGGCTGAGTATGATGCCGTGGCAGACCCGGCGGTCCTCCTGGACCCGGATATCGAGGACCCGGGCGCCCGTTTTGAGCTGCCCGTAGATTGATAGTGACTGGCATTGGGCGAAGGGCCGGGTCACGAGCGGGATTCCGATATCATTGGTGGCGGAATCGTGTGTGCCCGGCCAGACAATCTGGTGGATCCGGATGTTGTCCGGGTTGAGACCGGACATCCAGTTTGCTCGGTCGGGCGGGTGGTAGTCCGACCCGGGAAAATCGCATCCTCCATTCTGTTGAAGGTCTGCAAGGACTTTCTTCTCCGCCGAGATCGCTTTTCTCCGTTCGACTTGTTTCGAAAGCTGAGCACCCATCGTTGAAGAAGAAGACAAGAGGTTTTATCAAAATTCTTGTTTTTTTTTTTTTTTCGATGAATGAATAAACAGATTGTATTAGTTCAATTTCGTTGTCAATGTGTTGTGTTTGTTTGGTGTATGTGGGCCGGATTGAATGAATGATTGGCGGGGTTTTATATATAATTGATTTATTATTTTATCTTAATTCATTTGTATGGCTGTCCAATGCTACACGTTAGTTGGCTTTTCTTATTTGTCAAATGTATATATTTTAAAAACAAATAGACAATTGTGATCAATATTTTTATGGATATTAAATAAACAATTGTGTTGAATATATGGAATTAGAATAAGATTACAGAGTTGGATAGAAGTTATGTGAAAAAATGGGTGGCAAAAAAATTGGAGGGATATTCGGTGAATATATGATGACAAGTAGCAACTGTTATGGAAATTAAAAAGAAAAAAAAAAGTAATGGAGTTTGAGCTGCAGACGGTAGGTATAATGTGATTGTTAGATTGATATTTAATTGCGTGGGGACTTTTTTTTTCATTTTTAATTTATTATTATTATTATTATTTTATTTTATATAAAATAAGAGAAGAACGAAATAATCAAGAAGCATTCCACTTCTGCACATCGTGTTAATGGCGAGTCGACAGCCAGCTAAGCTACATTCTTCCATACCGAGAAACTTATTTTCTTTCATAAGTAACAATGTTTTATGCAATAATACAATAATTAATTAGCAACTTAATGGTTGATTAACAAAAGAGGTCACCATCAGCCAACCATAAATTACCCAATTTCGTGTCTCATCTGCAGAGACTAAAGGACATATACAAGTTTATGAAGTCTATCTCCCACACATCCAAGCTTCAATAAATAGATATTTGATATAAGATTCATAAATTAATATTGTTTCATAAAATTAACAAGAGCACAAAAATAAATAAATTGGTGTGATACAACAGAGGTAATCAGATAAGAACGATACCGTGTTTGGCATAAACTTTCGCAATAAAAACATTCCAAGTTTTACAAGGAGAGATGGTTCGATTACCTTCCTTAGTCATAAATACGCGAAAACACAAAAAAAATAAAAAGAATTCGGGCATTTTATCTTTCAACATTACACAATGAGCTCCCATCAGTTAACAATTCCAAAACCGAGGTTGTTTCCTCTTCGGTACGATGCAACTTACTACGTTTTTCAATATCTAACCGCAATTTTGTATCAATCTCTAACCAACTAAGGGCCTTGTCTTTGCCCACACTTCTCGTGTTCATAAGCCGTCTCACTTCTTGCGCGGATTCCCATCTCCCAAGAGCAGCATATATACCCGATAATAAAATATACGCTGCAGGGGAATGAGGCTCGAGTTCGACAAGATGCCTCGCTGCTATTCTACCCAATTCAATATTCCCATGAATTTTACAAACACCGACTAAGGCATTCCAAACACGTTCATCAGGCTCAAATGGCATCTTCTTCAGTTGATTCATCACCTCATCGAAACATCCTGACCGTCCAAGTAGATCAATCAAGCACGCATAATGCCCTTGATCTGGAACAATACTATAATCTTGATTCATCGATTCAAACAGATAAATACCTTCTTGAACAAGCCCAGAATGACTGCACGCATTGAGAAGGGCGAGAAAGGTGACATCATCCGGCTTCACACCCGACCTCACCATATCGGCAAACGTCTTTACTGCTTGCTTGCCACATCCGTGATGTGCTAACGCAGAAATAATCGTGTTCCACAAAACGACATTTTGCTTGTTGTCTGTTGCGTTGAAGAGTCTTATCGAAGATTTTAAGCTTCCGCACTTTGAATACATGTCGATGAGTGAGCTCAAAACTACTACGTTAGGCTTAATCCCAGCAGTTATCATCCGTGAATGAATTTGCTTACCGTGATCGTGTGAAATTATGCTAGCACAAGCGAAAAGGCAACTACTGAAAGTAAATTGATCAGGCTCTATATTAAGCATGACCATCTTCGAGAATAACTTCAGGGAATGATGTCCCATTCCGTTTTGGGCGTACCCTGCAATCAAAGCAGTCCAAGAAACGGAATTCTTCTCTGGCATTGTGTCGAACATTTCTTGAGCCGATTTCATATCACCCCCTTTTGCATAGCCTGAAACCAAAGTGGTCCAAGCAAGAACATCCCTTTCGCTCATCTGATCGAATAACCTCCTAGCATCTACCAGTTCACCACATTTTGCATACACATCAATTATAGAACTTGAAAGAACCACATTTGACAAGAATCCAAGAAGGAAAACTTGACAATGCAATTGTTTGGCAAGCCACAAATCTCTCAACTTAACACAAACAGTTAAAACCCCAGCAAAACTGTATTCGTTGAACCCGATATTCGACCTCCTTAACTCCATATGAAGCCTTAGAGCCTCATCAAACCACCCGCTCTGCACATACGCCATCACCATCGTATTCCAACTGACGAAATCTCTCTCAGGCATTTTATCAAACAGTCGTTTCGCGGCCTTCACCATCCCCAGCTTCGCGTAACCCGAAAGCATGTTGTTCCAGGAATACAAATTTCTCGCAGTCATTTTATCAAACACGTCGCGGGCCTTCACATGATCGCCGCATTTGGCGTACATATTAATCAAATGGTTGGACAAGAACGCGTTGGGGCGTTTCGAACCGGTGAGCTTCAAATGAAGGTGGACGGATTTCCCGAATCTAATGGATTTCGCACCGGCGCATTGATGAATGAGGGAGGCAATTAAGTCGGAGTTCAAAAGAAAGCCATTGCGAGATAAGAGAGGTAAAGCGTCAACGGCTTCCCGGAGTTGACCTCGTGAGGTGAGATCGACAACATTTTGAACGGCGCAAGGGTACCTACGAAATCTTTTGGGTTTCATAGCAGGAACGGCAACATGTGAGCTCCGGCGAGCATCGCCGCCTGCGATTGGTCACCGCCGACCGTTGGTAAAAAGGTCACTCCGATTTTGACGACTTACAGAATGGAAATGTGGGCTTCGTTATTGGGCTGATACAAACTCTGGAATGGACTTGATGACGTGGACGGACGGAGCCTTATTCCGATGATGAAGCCCAATTTCTACTGATTCTTTTATAGCAACGATGGGCCCTAATTGGAGAAATTTTCGGGTTTATTGCATCCGGGCCCCTGTGTTTTCTCTAATTGCTAAACAACCCCTAGAAGTGTACAGAAATTTAATTATTAATTAAGGTAAATTTCACTTTCCTCCTAGTACTTTGGCTCGATATCACTTTACCCCCTTCTACTCTCGATTGCATCGGTTTGCCCCCATGTAGTTGAAAATCTATCTCAATGTGGTCCTCGCCATTAGTTTTCAGACATTTAATCTTAAAACCGTTTGATCTAAGTTTAAAAATTACAAAAAAAGTCACCCCTTCCAGTTTAAATAATTATTAAAAAAACTAAAAAAATAAATTGTGGTTGATATCGTGGACTATATTTTCTCGTTGCTTGAACTTTTAATTATTTTATTTTTTGTTTTTTTTTTTATTTTTTTTTATTTTTAGTATTTTTAATAATTATTTAAATTAGGAGATGTGGCGTTTTTGTAATTTCAGACTTTTGACGGTGTTAAGGTCAAATTTCTGACAAGTGACAACTACAATTTTTTCAGTACAGCATGACAAATCAATACAATCAAGAATAGAATGTGGTAAATTAATACCGAGCCAAAGTACATGGAGAAATTGGAATTTACCATATTAATTATTCAAAGTGAACACAAATTTAATTATTGAAAGGAACTAGAAATTTGAAATTAATAATGCAATACAATAACATCATACTAAAAGATGAAATAAAATAAAAAAACGCTAAGCCGGACAACAACAAATAACAATAATATAAAAATAATAATAGTAAATCAATCGAGCAATCAAAAATCAATCAAAAAAGCAATCAAAAATCATAATGCAAGACAATGACATCATACTCCACAATAGCATCTTGGGAGGTAAGATTAAACCAGACCGTCTGCGCGGTGGCGACGCCTCTCGCCAGCCGGAAAACACCAGAGCCGCCGACAATAGGCATCTCTCTATACTCATTCAATATCGGATTATGGCCAACTATAGTAAGCGTGCTACCGTTATATTTCCCATCCGTGAACACATAATTCAGCGTCATTAGCAAACCGAATTCCTCCATCGAAGCCGAGGCGTAGATTCCCTGGGCCCGCCCGATGATCTTCGAATCGGGCTCGGGCCCAACGGTCAACTGGTTGTCCATCACTCGTACTAGCCCGAAATTCGTCAGATAAACGACGGTGGAATTTGGCTTTGCGACTGTAACAGCACTCGGGTTATCGCCAGCTACGATATCGTGAAAGTAGAAGTGGAGTTTCGTTGTTTTTTCCTTTGCATTCGGAAGGTCTTTGAACCATTGCTCTACTGCTTCGGGCCCTTCGCCGTTAACGGGCTGTGCTATTGTCGTCACAACAAGGCCCGAGATTGAGAAAGAAAGCAGAAGAATTAATATTGTGCATAGTTTCTCCATCTTCTTTTTCTTCGGTCGTTTCTAATTACCAAAACACGAATTTGAGGTGGTATATATTGAATATGTATCGGACATATTAATATTAAATGATACACATAAACGAAGTTTAGGGCTGCGAAAATTGATCGGCACATGGCAATTATCAAATGAAAGTCGGAAGTGGCGGCAATTTTTTTATTTTGCCGCCACTAGTTGTTCACAAGATAATAATACTTGGTAGTTGGTTAACTACTTCTGGAGGCATCTAATTTCATTATTTATTTATTTATTTATAAGGGTAAATTACAAAAACCCCCTGAGGTATGGTCAAATTACAAAAACCCCCCTCTTGTTTGGATAATTACATATACCCCCCTCAACTATGATTTTTTTCTTACACCTCCACCCTTATTGTGCCAAATTCAATATAATCATCTAGATTCCGTGTAATGTGCTCTAGTTTGTATTCATTTTGTGTAAAAATACAGTTTCGGATGCACTACAAACTGATATACACAAGCTAAAAATCACATATTATGATCATCTTACTTCATAATGTAGAGTTTGAATGGTATAAAACGGGTAGAAAAGTGATAATATTTCATATAATCTCGAAGATTCCACTAAATTTGAAGAGCTGAGGGGTGGTTGTAATTATCCAAACAAGAGGGGTGTTTTTGTAATTTAATCATACCTCAGGGGGGTGTTTGTAATTTACCCTTATTTATAATTTGCTTTGACCCCATTGAAAGTAATGGGCTTCTAGCCCAATAAATTACATCTTTAATCCCTAAGCTGGTAATTAGTAGAAGCCCATCTGGACTCGAATAATCAACTTAATTGCAGGGATAAATAGTCTTTGGTCTTCTTGATTAAGGTCAAAATAATTATCATTTTATATTTACTTTCAAGAATTCTTTCTAATTTTTTTTGGAGTTCAACAGGGTAATTCGAGCATTGTAGGATTTTAGTTGCGTGAACAATTATTGAGCGTAGAAATTACACTCAATACATTTACCTCACGTGATTTTTTTTTTAATCTAGATTTAAGGTATCCTTGAAGGAAAAATAATCGAATAAATTTGCAATTAAGAAAATGATTAAAGGGCAAAAGATTTGACGTGAATCATAACTATATAATGTTTTATAGAATAAAATAAATTTATAGGTAAATGTTTTGAATGTAAAACCTAATTTATCGCTGTTTGAATTGGACTCAAGGCCTGTTACAAATAGAATCAATGGCCACTGTGTAATCAGCACAATTAATTAATTAATATATTAATTAATTGTCACAATTATGAGAAAATTGAATAATCATACATCATGTAATCAAATATGCTTGAGTGATTACATTCTACGTCATCATCGAAAGAAGAAACAATCTCATCCCATCATCAATTATTATTAAAATCACTAAAAAGGGATATAATAATAAAATAAAATAAAAAAGAGAAAAGAAAAAATTCAAGAACCGAAAAATATGAGTCATCAATAATGAAGCACCATGATATTGTACTCCACAACAGCGTTACCAGATCTAGGATTAAACTTGGCGGTCTCCGCCGTGGCGACGCCGCGTGCCAGCCGGAAAACACCAGAGCCGCCGAGCACGGGCATTTCGCGGTACTCTTGGTTAATGGGATTGGACCCCACCACACTGAGCGTGCTCCCGTTGTACTTTCCTCCGGTGAAGACGAAGTTCAGCGTCATGAGCAGGCACATCTCCTCCGACGAGGTGTAGCCGGTGATTCCTTGGGCCCGGCCCACAATCTTGGATTTCGGGCCAGGCCCGACTGTGAGTGGGTTGTCTATAATAGAGACCAGCCCGAATAGCGTCGGTGACTTGAAAGTGGCGTTGGCCTGAGCCACCGGCACGGCGGTGGGGTTGCTGCCGCTGACGACGTCGTGGAAGTAGAAGTTGAGTTTGGTCACTTTTTCCTTTGAAGTGTGGAGTTTCTTGAACCATTTTTCAACTGATTTGGGCCCTTTTTCAGCTGCTAAACTATCATCAACTAGCACACAAATTACTATAAAAAAATAAATAATCAAAACCATGTGTTGCTGCTGCTTCCTCATAGTTTCTCTCTCTAAAATTCTCTCTCTCTTTCTCTCTCTTGTTTGTGTGTGTGTGTGGTGGGTGTTTATGTAGAAGATTGGAAGAGTGATGGTTGAAAATGAAGACCATGTGAGAATTAAGGACTTATATGCAAAGTATTGAATTAATTTATTTTGACAAGTCAACATTTGTGTACCTCTCCCTTTTCTGATCTTTTTTACCACCAATTTGGACTATGTAAAAAGATTTGGAAAAATAATTATAATTGCATACTTATTAAACTTATTTATATCATCAGCAAAAGTACATAAATTAGATTAAATATTCAAGAAAGAAGATACGGAAATCTATAGTTTAATTATTATATTAATTATTAAAAAAAAAAAAGGGTGATTCTAAACTTTTTCCCCCACTCCAGTAAGTCTCGGTCAAGTACATACAATTCCCACGCACTAATCAATCTTGGGATTCACACCACCACTCAGATCTCAAATAGTAGCTAAGCAATAATTTTTATTTTTTTTATTTTTTTATTTTTTAATATATCCTCACTTTCTGGAAGAAAGTCGACAGCTGTTATTCAGCTTTCGTATGCTGCTGCCATATTTCATACTATTTTGTGTTGTGGACTTGTCTTTTATTACGTCAAATTGCAAAAAAAAAAAAAATTCATATTTAATCACAGTCACTTTCTCAACAATGTCTTATTTAACATGAACCCCTCAAGAGGAAAATTAAAGAATGTTAAATCGATAAAATCGAATCGAAATTTCGGTGTACCAATATTTTATACCCTTTACTGAACTGAATATACGATTTTGGTTCGGTAAATGATCGAATAACAAATTTTTTTTGTAAAAATATTTAAAATAAGGGTGGCTGTAATTACCCAATCAAGAAAGATTTTTCGTAATTTGGCCATACCTCGGGGCCGTAATTTACCCTTTATTATAAAGCTTGTTAAAGCTTAAAATTGATTTCCTAAATGCATACAACTTGCTTATATAATTAAAAAGCTTTAGTAAATTAAGAGATACAATCATTTTTCTTATTGAATTTTATCGATTTTTTAAAGTTACATTTGAGGTTTGTTTGATAAAATAATTGAGTTTAGCTCGAACAAGCTATAATCGAGCCGAACAGGAATCGTTCCGAGTAATTATTTATTTACACGTTTTGCCATTTTTTTTATATAATCGGGATCGAACAAAAATATGTGTTCGAGCGCGATTCTGTCATATTAACAAAACAAATTTTTAACAGATGAAATTGAATCAAGTATTTTAGGTCCAATTTATATTAAAGCCCATTTGAGTAGTTAAACATTTAAACCCAGGCAAGATCACTCATATACAGAATCCACCCACTAACAGAATGGCCCATACATTTATCTACCCAAGCCCAATGGGCCCAACCATAAACAGAGTGACACGTGTCAAATAATTCACCCAAAAAAAAAACATCATAGACAATTAAATTATTTTATTCCAGCGTACATAAATGAGATGTGCATACACAATGACCATCCACCCATAATAATTTATTGAAAAAATAAAATAAAAAAGAACAACATAGAAAATAATAACAACATAAAAAGCATGAAACATTCCTTAAACAACAAACAACAAACAATCAAATAATAATTAATTAATAATGCAATATCGTAATATTGTACTGGAAAAAAGCATCACCGGTGGTAGCGTTCATCGACACCGTCGAAACACCGATGATGCCACGTGCCAGCCGGAAAGCACCCGTGCCGCCGACAATCGACAATTCACGTCGAGGTTGCATATATGCATTATGGCCCATAACATTCAACGTGCTCCCGTTGTACCTCCCTCTCGTGAACACTAAATCGAACGTCATATGAAAACTCGTGTCCTCTAACGAGGAAAACGCAAAGAACCCTTGCGCCTGGCCCACGATCATCGCATCGGGTTTCGGCTCGACGCGAATCGGGTCGTCCAGCACCGCCACTAAACCAAACAATGTCGGTGATGCTGACGTGGAATTCGCAAAGGCCACCGGCAAATTCGACGGGGTTGGGCTAGTGAATATGTCTTGTACGTAGAGCTGGAGCTCGGTCACCTTTGACTTTACCTGGTCAATGTTTTGGAGAAACTCCTTGATCGGCGTCGCGCCGTTCGATTTGGCTGCCATTGTTGCTAATGAGAAAAGTACGATCAAGAATATGTGTTGCTTCGCCATTTTGGTTAGTGAGTAATAATAATTTATAATGATATGAATTGTGATACAACCAAAAGCGCTATTTATAGAGGGTTAATTAATCCAGAGTCGTTATTTAATAATTGGGAAAAAAGTAAAAAAAAAATAAAAAAAAATCGCGTCTGCCACAAGCAATATGATTAATCAATAATCATTACAATAAATTCAGAATAACACAGCCGCCGCCGCCTGAGGGAGAATTGGTAAAAGTTATTTGAATTTCACAACTTGCAAATTAATTTTTTTTTTTTTTTTTTGGATACATATTATTGGTTGGAATTGTAGGGTTTGGTAAATAGTTTTGGAAATTCGCTTTTGTCGATATATAATAATTGATTAGTGCGTGACTTGTTTTGAACAGGGAATTAAGGGATCGAATTCCCATGTTATGATGACAGCTACGTACGTAATAGTTCAATTTTAAATACAGTAAAATAAAAAAATGAAAGATCTCTTACGTATGGAGATATATAATTTCTTGCAGCCATGTTTTTTTTACTACAAGTTTGCTTTTCATGTAAGAAAATATAGAATGGGTGCAATATCAATTTCATAATCGTCACTTTCTTATCGAGAAAGCGTGTTTAATTAGTATTTGACAATAGAATAGCTCAACTATTAATTTAATTAATCCAATTTATATAATGAAGCAGTTAATCAAGAAGTATTTACAAAAAAATAATAATAATTGAAAAGGTCAATTAGTTGTAGTTTACACGATCAATTTTAAGTAATTGTTAATACATAATTTATGTGTTTAAATTTTGGATAATGGGATATAATTTATAAAAAGTCTAATTTGTACTATTTTCATTAAGTATTACAATGTTGACTAGTTTTGTGATATTTTCAAGTAATTCAAATGCAATTGTCATCTTCACTTCATTCTTAAGATAAAAGTTTTTTTTTTTTTTTTCTCAATATATAATCTTAGTCGATAAAATAAAACCACGAGATAAACATATATCATGTGATGGCTAACGTCCCAAAATCGAATTTTGTTTTTAATTGGTCTCGCTATAAAGAGGGTGGGAATTCGGGTTTGTTCTTTCAATTTCGTCGATAACACTTTCTTTGAGCAATATTTTTCGTTCCGATTTCCAAAATAGTATACGGTTTTCATTTAAAAAAAATAGAACAAAAAAAAAAGGATTGAAATTGATTTTTTTTTTTTTTGAATTTTCGATTACGATCCAATTTTAATTTTAATTTGACGATAGTGTTTAGTTATGTATTTTTATTTGCAGATGTTGTTGTTGCGCCAATTATTTTACATTCATTTCAGAAAAAAATATGGAAACCTTTTCGAAATAATTTCTAGATAATTAGGAGTTTTGAGATGTCATAAACATCACTTATTAATCTTTTTAGTTACGCTAAAACACCACATAGAAATATCATAATCAATAATGAAACATTCAAACATCATTGATCCAGAATTAACGTAAGACATTGGTGACCCACAACCATCTTTTCAAGAAAGAAATCTCAGCAGCCACAAAACAACAAAGATACACACACCATATAACATATATATATATCATTTTTTTTAATGCAAAAATAATGAAAATAAATATCTTTTTATTATTCACCAGTTGCAAAGAATCAAATCAAACGACACAAAACACATGATGAAATGAGGCTCTCACGCCAGATTAGCTACATCAAAAGTTGTACAAAAAAATTAAGGTATTTCCACTTTACACCCCTTGTACTTTGGCTGGATATCACTTTACCCCCTTCTACTCTCAATTGCATCGATTTGCCCATTTGTACTTTGGATCGATATCACTTTACCCCCTTCTATTCTCAATTCAAAGTTTTGCCCCCTTGTACTTTGGCTCGATATCACTTTACCCCATTCTACTCTCAATTGCATCGATTTGCCCCATGTACTTGAAAAATTGTCTCAATGTGGCACTCGCCGTTAGTTTTAAGACCTTTGACCTTAACAACGTTTGATCTAAGTTTGAAAATTACAAAAAAACCACCACTCCCAGTTTAAATAATTATTAATAAAATAAAATAAAAAAAAAAAATTGTGGCTAGCGTCGTGGACTATGTTTTCTCGCTGTCTTGAATTTTTTATTATTTTGTTTTTTTTGTTTTTTCTATTTTTTTAATTATTATTTTTTATTTTTTAATAATTATTTAAAATGGAGGGGTGACATTTTAGTAATTTTCAGACTTCAATCAAACGGTGTTAAGGTCAAATGTCTGAAAACTAACGGCGATGACCACATTAAGACAATTTTTCAAGTACAGAGGGGCAAATCGATGCAATCGAGAGTAGAATGGGGTAAAATGATACCGAGCCAAAGTATAAGGGGGCAAATCGATGAATTGAGAGTAGAATGAGGGTAAATATGATATCGAACCAAAGTACAAGGGGACAAATCGATACAATTGAGAGTGCAAGGGGGTAAAGTGATATTCAACCAAAGTACAAGGGGTAAAGTGGAATTTACCCAAAAATTTATAAAACTAATAAACAACAATTAATTAGTAACCAAACAAATATAAAAATAATAAAAATAAATATCTTTTCATTATTCACCAGTTGCAAAGAATCAAATCGATCAAACGACACAAAACACATGATGAAATGAGGCTCTAACGCTACATCAAAAGTTGTACAAAAAAATTATAAAACTAATAAACAAACAATTAATTAGTAACCAAACAACTCCATAATTAATTAATTAATATAATCTCGAGCCCGACAGCGAAATAATGTTAAACAGTTAATAATGCAGCACCATGATATCGTACTCCACAATAGCATCACCGGACGTCATATTATACGACACCGTATCCAACAAGGCCGTGCCACGCGCCAGCCTGAAAACTCCTGAGCCGCCGACAACCGGCAGCTCACGGAACTCGTCCAAGAAAGGGTTGTGTCCGGCCAAGCTGAGCGTGCTGCCGTTGTACTTTCCGGCGGTGAAGACTATATTGAACGTCATGTGGAAGCCGATCTCGTCTAGGGATGTGGACCCAAACAGCCCCTGCGCCCGGCCCACGGTTGTCGAGTTCCGGGTGGGACCCACCGTCAGGAGGTCGTCCATGGCAGCTATGAGGCCGAAAAAGGTGGGTGACGTGGCGGTGGAGTTGGCCGTGGCGATCGGAATGTTGGTCGGGTGAGGGCCGGAAACGACGTCGTGTAGGTAGAAATGAAGCTCGGTTACTTTCTGTTTCATGTGAGGGAGTTTTCTGTACCAGCTTCTAAGTTCGTTGGGTCCTTTTCCGATGGTGCTCCGACGGACATGCCCATGAGCCGCCGGCGTAGCACTTAGTATTATTAGCATCATGATTATGCAAAATTTCACCATATCTTTCTCTCTCTCTAAATCTCTCTCTCTCTCTCTCTGTAAATCTCTATATAACTATATTGTACTAAATGATGGAAGACAATGACTCGTTGATGAACTTTGCATGCATGTGCTGCATGTGTATATATGTGTGTGCGTATAATATATATATATATATATATATATATATATATATATATATATATATATAGAGAGAGAGAGAGAGAGAGAGAGAGAGAGAGAGAGAGAGAGAGAGAGAGAGAGAGAGAGAGAGAGAGAGAGAGAGAGAGTAAATTCAAAAGAGAGAAATTAGTAGCCAAAATAAAATTGATTAATAAATTGTGCGTTGGCAATGAATGAGTTGACATAGGTCAATAAAGATAATCAATATTAGACAGCAGCCTGCATCTAGCATCATGCACTATAGCAGGAGTAATATGTTTTGTTTGTTTAATTTTTTTGTGTGTGTAGTAATATTTTTATATATATAGTTGCATCGGTAGGCCTTATAAAAGTGGTGCATATATATATATGGTTTTCATCAACTATGAACTACCACATGTCTAATTTAAATACCTGCCCCTTTTTCCAACATTCGACTGTTGAATTTGCTACAACAGCAACCAATTAGGACATATAATTTGCTACAATTAGCTACGCCATATATATAATTAATTAATTGGAGTTATTGGTCAATTAGCTGAATAATTACCTTGTAGGAAGTATTAGCCGGGGTGCGTGGTAGTTGAACTAAGAGACAAATATTTATCCAATTCATGCAGCAAGTGGGTTTTTATTTTTATCTTTCGTTATTTAAATTAATTTTTAATATAAATTTAATTTTGAGCCTTTCTGCTTTATTGAAGGAAGTTGCTGGGTAGCCATAATAAATATATAATTATAATTATAATTATAATTATAATATATATTGTTAGTCTTTAGCAGCCGTCTGCGCCTAACCATATATTTTATACATTAGCCACTTCATATTTCAGTGCGTTCCATGTCAACTTGATCTTGGATTTATTTAGTTATAAACCTTAGCTAGTATTTTATCGATCATGTGACGAAACATTAAAATATGATTAAAAAAAAATTAAATAAGTCCTCGTTGGCCTTTTGGACAATAGGAATATATTCAAATTAAGATATAGTCTCTATATATACACTTTCGTTCACGTGGATCATAGCATCTTTCCATTTTTATTTATTCTATTTAATTATATATAGATGACTTAGGTGTTAGATTCGTCCCAACTGCAAAATAAACTGGAAAAATGCTAAGGTTTTAAGTTTTATTTTGGCATCAGAATCTATTTTGCAGGAGCTTGTAATTTTTTTTAATTCTTTTTTTTTTTTTGGTAATGAAGGAACCCGCAGCCAACCATATAGGTGCACTGGGTAAACCTACACTTTCGTATAATAAACCACACTAGGCTAACCATGTGTGACAAGCTCGACCTAGCGACCGTTGGCAAGGGGATTCGAACTTGGGTCAATTGACACAAACTCTCTTGCTCCAACCGCTAGGCCATCCCTTGAGGGACATTTTTTTAATTCGAACTTTTTTTTAATTCGATCTTAAATTAATATATATGTATATATAATCTCAAAAAACATATCAGTTTTGTAGTTCAATTTAAACTCTTCGTACGTGATGTGGGATTATCATAAAACATGGACTATATATCTCAAAATAATTAAAAAGAACACATTACTTCCAAGAGTCCTTTATTATTTGTTAAAAAAAACAAACTGAAAAAACAAGAAAATTACACGGTTTTACATGTCTGCAGCTGACTTAATAAGCGACGCGCTGGTAGTATTGACGTAAGTCACGTACATGGTGTACTCGAGCACACCGTAGTTGGTTTCAACATCGTAAGAGTAAGTGCTGGAAAGAGCATACCCACGCGCGAATCTGAACGCGCCAGTGCCCCCGACCACAGGAAACTCACGCTGGGCGTTCATTATCTGATTCCTCCCCAATATACACAGCGTGCTCCCGTTATACTCGCCGGACGTGAAATAGAAGTTCAGGTTCATCGCGAGTGCCGATGTTTCCAGGTCAGCAAAAGTGATCAGCCCCTGGAGCCGGCCCACTGTGGCCGAGTTGGCTTCTGGACCGGCCGTCATTCTATCGTCCAACACTCTCACTTGTCCAAACGACGTCGTTGAGTTCGCAGTTATGGAAGCCCTAGCAACCTCGTACACCGTCGGATTCGATCCGCCAAGTACATCCTGAACGTAGAAATGAACCACGGCTAGGCTCTCCTTTACACCTCGAATATTCCGGAACCATGCTTCTTCTTCGTGAGCACGAGTAATCGAAATTGTGGCTATGATCAGCAAAACTGTAGCAATTAGTTGCTTCGCCATTTTTTCTTTTTTCAAGATCTATGAAATGATAATTAATAAATTATTAAATAAAGATGAAGGAAAATTAAACTTGTTGATGATCTGTGATTAATGAATAGCTAGTTGGTGTGATTGGCTTGCTATCATGCATAGTGGGATTATATAGGGGTTTTTTTTTTAACGAAATTAATTGAGGTAAATAATTAATTAATATACCACTTGCATATATCTACCATTTATCTAGTTGTTACAGTATTATTTAATTAATACAAGTCAATGATCCACAATTTTTGAAAATAAAATATGCAACTTTGCTTCCTTTTGTGGTCCAATTATAAAAATATTCCATGTTATTTTCAATTGCAAAAAGCCAAAAAAGAAAAAAAGAAAAAACGAATCAAATTGCAAATATTATTAGCAACATTGCAATTTTTTTACTTTCTGCAAACACTCGACAAAGACGATCAATTGAATAAATAGTTATGGATTATTTATTTTAATATGTAGGAAGCATCCAAAAATTAAGAAAATATAATATGTCATTGCACTGAGAGCATCATGTGCAATCTAATTTTGCTTAATGAATATTGTATTGAAAACTTATATATACATACATATATATGTATAACAATTAACAGATCATCAAAAATATAAATATAAGCATATATATATTTATAATAATTTATGTATTTCTTTAATAATTGTGATAGTTATGTATTAAATTAATTATTTTTTCATTTTTTAAATATTACCTCGTGGATCGCATCGGATGATGGAAAATACTATTATATAATGTATAATTACATTTTATTTTTTTGAAATATTGTTTTGTCGGTATGACCTGTTGGGTAGGTGCATATAATAAAATATGAGCAATTTGCAATGTTTTTCTTATACGAAATTACTACGTGCCAAGAAGGTCCTGTTGAGTTGGCTATTGTTGTAATAGTATTATTATATATTTTAATTATTTATTTATTTTATTTTAGGGAAATATATTTTTCGGGAAAAAAAGTTAATATAATTTGACAATCATGAAAGGGTTGTTTATATTTTTAGTTTAGGAGGCAAAAAAACATTGTCGCCGTCTATGATGTAATATATTATATATTATGCCATTTAATTTAGACAATTAATTACTTAATTATTCTTATCGATCTTTTGTGTATAGAAATAATAAAAACTGTATTTTATTTCTAAGACTGGAAAGCATGTATTATTATTTATTACTCTATGAGTAATGAACTATTCATGCTAGCTCTGATCATGAAAGCATCTTAGTCTGCAAACCCCTAATTAAACTATTACATTAATTTTACCCGTAATACTAATTATAATATTTGAAGTATTATATTTGTTACTTTATTCAATAAGGTTCCAAAGAAAACTAATTGTGCGATTTAAATATAATAATTTTTACAAACAAAATAATTAAATTTATTGATGTATAATTAAAAAAATCACTGGTAATTTGTCGTTGTCGTCCTTTCTGAACATGATGAGCCAAGTACAAATTCAAATAATACACGAGGAAAACACAGATTGAATAAAGTATTCGCAACATAAAACTTGTATTAATTTTGGGAGATTTTAAATTATCGAATTAATAAATTAGTATGACGTCGTTGTCAAATTATGACCAACATTTAAACAAAATTACTGATTTATTGAAGTTCTACTGTAGATACGACGTAACTTTATTACTCTGATACCTTTTCGTATATAACTTGAAATTGCGAATAATCAATTGTCACAAGTAGTTGAATAAACGAGTCACTTTTAATTGAAAAAAATAAAGATAAAACTTAAAAATTGAAAAAACAGAATTATTGAAGCTTCATTTAATTAATTATACATAAGTAGCAATAGTAACATTATATCCAACTACAGCATCACCAGTGGCAGGATCAGCCATATACGTGTGAGCAATAGCATAGCCACGTGCCAATCGAAAAAGCCCGGTCCCACCAACAATAGCCATCTCCCGAACCGGCTGCATAACCGGGTTTATACTAAGCATGCTAAAAGAGCTGCCATCGTATATCCCATCCAAGAACCCATAGCTTAGAACCATTATCAACCCGAAATCCGTTTGACCCGCCGACCCGTACATCCCCCTAGCCCGGCCCACAATCTTCGACGCCGGGTCGGGTCCCACAGTCAACGGGTCGTCAATCATCATCAGCATGCCGAAGAGTGTGGAAGAATTATTGTTGGTTTGTGAAGATTGAGCAATCCTTATTGCAGTTGGATTCTGGCCACTGAGTTTGTCATGGAAATAGAATTGAAGAGTTGTTATTACTTCATTTTTTGTTACAACTCTTTTTGCCCATGTGACGTCATCATCACTTGCATTAATGGCTGTGACAAGAAATATGAGAATTTGCAATAAATTTATAAAAGTTGCCATTTTTTGGCTATGAAATATTGCATTGAATTGCTAGTGAGCCAATTTAATTTATAGAGCAAATTGAATTAGATAAAGGTTTGTAGAGTAGAGTAGTTGAACTAATTTAAATTGGACTTGTGTTAATTATTGGGGTTGGTTCAATTAAAGTCTTCCAAGAAAATTCGGTCAAGCAGAAAATATGAACAACTTATGAAAAATGATAACTTTCCTTGACCTACTTACCAGATTCTATATCTGTTATCGTATGGTTATAAATCGTAAATTTATATAAGAGTAAAAAGCAGTTTACCCCCTAAACAAATGCCCGTTTTGCACTTTGCCCCCCAAACAAAAAAAATTTGCACGTTCTTACCTAAACTACGCTTTTTGTTGCACGGTGCCTCAAAATTGGAATATTCAGGCCATTTTGACCGGATTCTTACTCACGTGCTTTTCACGTGAGTTTTAAAGGGGCAAAATAGTCTATTCACTTACCTTCTTCATAAATTAAAAAAAATAACAAAAAAAATAAAAACAAAATTAGGAAAATCTGCAATTGGGGGTTTCCTCTTAGTTTTCTTCCCCGACGAACACCACCAAAATCAAGAACAAGAAACCACCACCGCCGCCGCCATCACCACCGCCGCCGCCACAACCACCAACAGATAATTCAACAATTTCAATCTTTTCCCAAATTCATCACCCTCAGGCGCAACAATTCGAACCACCACCTCCTAAACAAAGCCCAATCCACAAGCTCCATCTGCTTGCTCCTCCTCTTCACAACTCTACTCCTCTTCACACTCTCCACCCTACCCTCCACCGCCGCCGCCCGCTTCTTTACAAGGAATGGGCAATATACCAATTATTTGGTATATTGGATCCCAATTACCCTTCCCCAACAATTATTACTGTCTCTACACTTCATGCAGAAACCGGGAAATGGCAGAACCCTCACTCTCTCTTTCACCACCAACACCGCCGTTTTTGCGCAGCTCAAAACCTCTGACAATGAGAGTAGAATTAACAAGGGCAAGAAGAAGAACAAGAGCACGGCAACTAAAATTGAAGCACCTGATCCTGGCGGAGCTCCGGCGGTTTCCGGCGGCGGAAGTGGTGGAGATCCGAAAATTCCGCCGCCGAAGGTCGATTCGTGGAGGCTGAAGGGTTTGCCTAGAAAAGTGTTGTCGATTCTCTCCAATTTGCCCCTGGCGATTGCTGAGATGTTTGCTGTTGCTGCTTTGATTGCAATAGGTATTATAATACTGTAATTTTTGTTTTTTTTTTTTTTTATTTATGAAGAATGTAAGAGAATAGACTATTTTGCCCCTTTAAAACTCACGTGAATAGCACGTGTGTAAGATTCCGGTTAAAATGGCCTGAATATTCCAATTTTGAGGTACCGTGCAACAAAAACTGGAGTTTAGGTAAGAACGTGCAAATTTTTTTTGTTTGGGGGGCAAAGTGCAAAACGGACATTTGTTTAGGGGGTAAACTGCTTTTTACTCTTTATATAAATAACTAGTGACTAATCACGCATGCATGCATATACCAAAATTTATTTAATTCAATTATTTAAATTAATTGAATTAAACAAACACCAAAAGTTATTGAATTATTGATTCGCGTATGAGATCTCAATTTAGCTTAATTATAATAAATATATGAAATCTGGGAATATAATGCAAATCATATTTAATTTGGTAAATATAATTGATGTTGTTTGGTCAATTATCCAGCAAATATAATGAAAATGCATTAAAAAATTTAGTTGATTTTTCAGTTTATTCTTATAAATTATTTAAAATAGAAATAAAAAGAGATACAAATTAATTAATTAATTAATTAATAGAGCCTATTTTTTTGTATCTCATTAATAATATCCAAAAAGTGAATTTAAAAAATCAAGGATGAACAACCTCGACATTGTACTCCAGAACAGCATCACCCTTCTCGCCGTCATCGGACTGAGTCCTAACAGTAATGAAGCCACTAGCATGCCGGAAAAGCCCTCTCCCTCCGACCACCGTCATCTCCCTCGGATTCTCCAAAATCGGGTTTCTCGAAAGCACGCTTAACGAACTCCCTTTGTACTTTCCAGATGTGAAACCGAGGTCAACGTACAGAACCAAAGTCAACTCCTTGTCGTCCTTGCTGGCAAACGCGTACATCCCACGCGCGTTGCCGATGGTCTTCGAGCTTATCTCCGGCCCTTCGGTCAGCGGATCGTCAATCGCTATCAATCTGCCGAAGAGAGGAGATGCTGATGATGACGTGGCGTTTGGATGAGCTATCACCACAGCCGTTGGATTAGATCCGGTTATTGTGTCGTGAACGTAGAAACGTAGATTTGTCTTCTTCAGCTGAACCGGCTCGTACGCCACGCTTCTAGAGTAGTACTTTGACTGCACTAGTACTGCGCTGAGTACCATGGTCAATGTAAACAGAATAATTTTCTCCATTTCTCTATTTATTTTTATTTTTTTATTTTTAATTGCATTTCTAAATGAGCCTCTAAACATTATTAAATAGTGCCAGTTTGAGGAACAGATGAAGAATTATATTAATTGGCAGCAATTGTTTGGATTTTGTATTTAATGTGACAGATAGGATTTCACTGTTCAAATCCTCATTGTATTTGGCTAATTTTTTGTATTTGGATTGATTATACCTCTATATATTATGTATATATACATTGGTCGGAAAAGTATTATTTGTTGGCAACAAAATTACAATAAATTCAATCAAAACCCATATATTAAGACCTAAAATTCTTCTCTTAATCTTTGTTATATTATATTTGACTTTGAATGGCTTGAGATGTCAATAAAATTAGAGCAAATTATAAAGACACCCCCAATGAAAGGCATGTTTACGAAAAAAAACCTCCTTATTTGCCTAATTACGAGTACCCCTAAAACTAATGGGCTAAAAAAAATCTTAACCCAATGTAGTGATTGTTTAACACACACATGTGTTAAGACAATTAAATGAAAGAGAAAAAAAGGGGTCATAAATTCAATTTTTCGATTTTCTTACATTTGGCCCCGCATGCCGTATGCAATATAAACCTTAAATGCAACACCCTTTGACGTAAAAAATGGCTAGTTAACAGTTAACAAAAAGTCTATTTGATTTCGTTATTATTAATTTTGTGAGGTTAAATTCGTTAGAAGTAGAATACCTCAAGGGGTGCTCGTAATTATGTAAACATAGAGGGGTTTTTTTCGTAATTAACATTACCTTAGGGGGTCCTTGAAGATTTCATGAAAATTAGGTTTCATGGGACGAATAAAATCTTAAGCTCAAAGCCCAACATTATTCGTCCAGACACTATACACACATTTATGAGCTAAAAGTTCTTAAAAGCCCAACAAGTTAAGCAAATTCCTAATCTTTCTGGACCCAATTTATCAATTTAAACTTAATTATGGGTCTAAACCCATAATACGTGAGTATATAATTTTACTTCCTTTTTTTTTTTTTTTTTTAATGAATTATATCAATTTTACCATGTGAAATTATTTATTTTGATAATAAATAAGTTATGATGCACGGACACGGACACGGCGATCACGACATTTTAAAAAAACTAGGATACGAGTACGCGGGGGACACACGTAAATATTAAAAATATAGGGGCATATTTATAAATTATAAAAAATAATGGGGTACATTTATAAATTGTAAAAATACTTATAAATAAATAATATTTTTAGAAATTTTAGTCTTTTTTATGTTTCAATTTAAAATTGTAATGTTTTCAATATTTTATAAAAAGTGGCGCCAATTGAGCCGGGCCTACCCGAAGCCCAATGGCTCGGTCCGATTTTATTTGAGCCGAGCTGAATTAATTGTGAGCCGGGCCGAGTTTAAGGCTTTTAATTAGACCCGATTAAACTATGGGCTGAGTTCGAGCTTACTATGGCTCAACTCGAATAAAGCCCGACTAAGTTGATACTTAAATATAAAATATTATATATATATATATATATATATATATATATATATATATATATATATATATATATATATATATATATATATATATTAAACTATAAAATAATTTAGCAAATAAAAAGAAGAAGAAAAAAAAGATGAAGAACAAAGAAACAAGAAAAACAAGAAGAAGAAAAAGGAAGATAAGAAAAATGAAGAAGAATTAGAAGAAGAAGAAGAAAGAAAGAAGAAAGAAGAAAAAAAAATGAAAAAAAAAAAAAAAAAAAAAAAAAAAATTATTCCTGTACCCCCACCCCCCACCCCCCCCACCCCACCCTACCACTCTCACTCTCTCTCTCTCCTCCCTAGTCCTACCCCTACATCTACCAACCCCACCTACCCTCTCCTCCTCCTCTCTCTCTCTCTCCTCCCTAACCCTACTAGCCCCACCACCACCACCACCCACCTTTATCATTCCCTCTCCACCACCCCCACGTGGGTCATACCCATCAACCTAACCTATCTCCTTTCCTCTCTCCTTATCTCTCTCTTCTCTCTCCTGGCTCAACCTTCCACACCGGACTCCGCCACAATATCTCCGGATAACACTAATCGCGTACTATCGGAACACGCGATTTCTTTCTCCGGAGCAAATTTTTACCGGAACTCGATCCAATCACCTTCACTACGTCCATGACAGAAACAAGAAGATCGAGATACTTGTCTACTCTCGACACGATCCGGTTACTCTCTCCAATTCGCCCCACATCAATTCGAGAGTGGAGGGCTTAATGATATGTCTATTGGCCCAGCCCAGTAGACCCATATTTACTGGGCCACATGCCCAATTTAATAGTTATTTCTACGGAAGTCCAATCACATCCGAATAAGGTTGAGGAGTATCCACGAGTATCCGAGTGTCCGATACGCAGATACCTCATGTCCTATAAGTGTCGATGCTTCATAGTTAAAATAACCCAATAAAAAGCAAAATAAAATTCGTATTAAATAAGAAAAATATGTCATTGACCACAAGTATCAAACCACAATTTTCGAATAATCATACTAATTTTTTTATTTTTTATTTTACAAATGCAAAATCATCATAAAATTTCCATCTTTCAAAAAAAAAAAAAAAAAAAAAAATTAATAAGTTCCCTCAAGGATGGACAACCTCCACATTATACTCAAGAACAGCGTCACCATTAGTAGTATTAAAGTACTGAGTATTAACAGTAATGAAGCCACTAGCATGCCGGAATCGCCCCCTCCCTCCGACAACCGCCATTTCCCTCGGATTCTCCAAAATCGGGTTTCTCGAAAACACGCTCAACAAACTCCCGTTGAACCTCACCGGTCGTAAAACCGAGATCCATATACATAACAAGGGTCAAATCCTTGCCCTGGCTAGAGAACACGTACATCCTACGCGCGTTGTCGATGGTTTTCGAAGTTATCTCCGGCCCTTCCGTTAGTGGATCATCAATGGCTACTAATTTACCAAATGCAAAGAGTTTCGATTTAGTTATCGGCACAGCCGTTGGATTCGATCCACTGAAAATATCGTGTATGTATGTAGAAATAAAGGTTTGTCTTCTTTAATTGGACTGGTTCATATGGCACGGTTTTAGAGTATAATTTGGAATATTCTGGTGTAGTTAGTACCATAATCCATGTTAATAAAACAATTTTCTCAAAAAAATTTTCTCTAATTTCAATTTTTTATTTTCTTGAATCTTTTTTTGCTGCCCCTTTTTATTATATTATCTTACCATATTTGGGAAAGAGGAATTTATTTTTGGATTTTGTAATCCATTATATTTGGATAATATATTTTTTTTTTCAAATTGGGAATAAATTGTTTTCATTGGAAAGTATTGCGTGTTGATTACCAAAATTCTACCAAATAATAACCATGAATTAAAACCAAATATATTTCCATAATCTTTGTCTTATTAAATCAATTTTGAAAAAAATGAGTTCAGTTATGAGAGATTACTATAACGTTTGACTAGTACTTCAGCTTTGCGATGCGAGTATTTGATTAATATTTGACTAGTATAATAAAAAATATTGAAGTATATTTGACTAGTATGATCAAAAGTATTGAAGTTTGACTAATACCGAGGTTTCCTTATGAAAACAAATATTTTATCAGAAAAAAATTATTGAAATCGTAAAATCAAAAGTTGATATTGTTAACTGTCTTAGTTGAATCCAATAGTTCAAGATAAAATAATTGAATGGAAAACTTTGAATAGCTGATATATAAACTGTCTTAATTGTACCGCTATATGATAATTAATGTTAATGTCAATACTAATATTAATACGAATAATAATATTATACTAATAGTAATACAAATACTGATACGAATAAGAAAAAAGTCTTCATTGACCATCAAAATCAAACATTCTCAAAATATATTCTTACTTATTATTCTTCTTAAACAACAAATGCAAAATCATGCATCATAAAATTTCCATCCTTCAAAAAGAAGAAGAAAATAAACAAACATAAATAAAATCCATCAAGGATGAACAACCTCCACATTATACTCGAGAACAGCGTCGCCGGTAGTAGTATTAAGGTACTGAGTCTTGACAGTAATGAATCCACTAGCTTGCCGGAACCGCCCTCTCCCTCCGACAACCGCCATCTCCCTCGGATTCTCCAAAATCGGGTTTCTCGAAAGCACGCTCAACGAACTCCCGTTAAACTCACCGGTCGTAAAACCAAGATCCACATACAAAACCAGAGTCAGATCAGTGCCCTGACTGGCTAATATGTACATCCCACGCGCGTTGCCGATTTTCTTCGAAGTTATCTCCGGCCCTTCCGTCAGTGGATCATCAATGGCTACTAATGCACCGAACTGATTTGGACGAACTATCGGCACAGCCGTTGGATTCGGTCCGCTCAAAATATCGTGAAGGTAGAAACGAAGGTTCGTCTTTTGTAAACGTACTGGTTCGTACGGCACGCTTTTCGAATAGTATTTGCAATAAACTGGTGTAGCTAGTACCATAATCCATGTTAATAAAACAATTTTCTCCATTCTTCAATTCTCAATTCTCTGTCTGAAATTTTTTTTTGTGCTCAATTTTTTTTTGCTGGCCCGGCCCTTTTTATAATATTTTTGCATGATGATTCTGTTACCATATTTGAGGAAGAGGGATTTTTAGATTTTGCAGATTTGTTTTTAAAATATTTATTCCTATAATCTTTGTCATAGATATCAAATTTTATTTTTGAAATCAAATATTCACATAATCTACTATAATAAGCAACAAGAAACTGTAATTTTTTTTATGTTTCTTGAACTATGAAATATAAGCTGGATAATCTTTATTATATTAAAATTTAAATCAGAAAAAGTAGTATGATAAATCTTTAAATGGTACCTAGCCTTTACCAATAGAGTAACGGTCTAGGGTTCGAGTCCCTCTTCCCCTACTTCCTTTTGTAATGGATTTGAATTTACTCAAAAAAAAAAAAAAATGAAGACTGTACAATTTTTTTTTAATGGGATTAAACATCACATAAGTATAATTGCATAAAATATGTTACATTACAAGATAACAACGTACATAGGAAGAATGTTTTTTCATGGTATGAATGTTGGAGGCTTTCGAATCTTTGTTGCTTGCTCGAAGCCGTAAGCAATTTCAATCAATTTAGGTTCAGAACCCTTCAATCCACCGAAAGAAATCCCGACTGGAATCTTTTTACTATTGTATGCAGCAGGAACAGTGATCCCTGGAAATCCACCTATTGCAAGAACAGGGGCAATACTAGGTCCAACACTCATCAATGCATCCAACTTATTCTCAATCATCAGTTTTTCGAACCCATTTCTCGTTAAATTTTCCACGCTCGATATTGCTTTCTTCTCTAAATCTTCGATCCCGTTAGTTGCTTCAGATGCCAAAAATATTTCTTGGCCAAATTCTTTAATCATCTCCTGCAAATCCATTAAGAAAAAATGAAACTTACAAGTACATACATATAGTTTCGGGTTTTCACTTACGACATCAGAGAATTCTTGGTTGAAGGCTATAACTTCAGCCAAGGACCTCACTGGAGAAGCAACTAGCTCTTTCAGGTAAGTATTCAAAGAAATCTTGAATTCTGCTAACAATGTTATTGCTTCGCCACTTAAAGTAGCGTTCAAGATTGCGTCGATATTGGCTATCTCCAAATTATCGACCAAGATTGCTCCGTTTTGTCTGAAAGTTGAAGAAAACTTGTCATATTACATACGAACACAGTGCGATGAATGCGAAAAACTATCTTCTTGATCATATGATGTACCTTAATGTCTGCAAATGTTGCTGAAAAGTTTGTTCAAGAAGTTTATCGGAAAAAGTAAAGAAGGGATCTCTCACTATGCCCAATCTCTTTCCCTCTAGTCCATCCACTTTCAGAAATTGGGTATAACCACCATAGGGAATGTACTGGGACCCGATTCGAGTTCCTTGAGCGTCGTTAGAGTCAAAGCCAACAATTGCATCAAGAACATGAACAGCATCTGATACTGTCCTACAGATAGGCCTGTTGTTCATCCAATGTAATACATCAACAAACCTTAGTCCTACTATTTTCAGTCTTCAGACAAGACTTGTGTAAGAAATATAAGAAGAGAGAGAGCGAGAGAGAAAAAGGATACCCTATGGTGTCCTGCCTTGGGCTAATCGGAATTACTCCAGCTCGACTCGTAAGACCAACAGTTGGTTTTATACCCACTACAGCATTAAAGCTACAAGGGCACAAAATCGAACCATCGGTCTCGGTTCCCAATGACACAGCCACCATATTAGATGCCACAGATATTGCCGATCCACTACTCGAACCACAAGGATTAGCCGACAAAATATAAGGATTCTGCAGAATTAATGATAGATTTGTGATTATATTTTTTATTTCATATTGCGCGCGCACACACACACACAAATGTTAATGAAAAACCACCTTTCCTTGGCCACCTCTAGCACTCCAACCATCGGGGGCATTTAAACCACGGAAATTAGCCCATTCGCTCAAACTAGCCTTACCAAGAACGATGGCTCCGGCTTTTCTCAGCTTCATTACAACACCTGCATCTCGAGGAACAACTGATCCAACGAGTGCAAATGATCCAGCTGTGGTGGTGTTAAGGCTATCTTTCGTTCCTATGTTGTCTTTGAGAAGAATCGGAATTCCATGTAGTGTGGGTAACGAACTGTGTGGCTTTGTCTTCTTTTCTTGATCTGCTTTGTCCGCTAGATAAAGTGCATCAGGGTTCACTTCGATAAGCCCTTTGAGAAGCGGGTTGAGCTTTTGAATTTCGTTGAGATAGAACTCGGTGAGTTGCCTTGAGGTGAGTTGGTTTTGCTCGAAAGCCGTCTGCAAATCTTGAATTGTGGCTTCTTTTATTGAAATTGCTTCGCATATAATCTTGATGGGTGATGAATTTGGCCATGCTAATAGGATAAAGGCAAATAGAGTGAGTAAAGATGAGGAGGATTTAGCTTGCATGCTTCTTTCTTGATTTGAACTGAATACTGCTAGAGTGCTGATTTATTACATACATGTAGAAATTGTTTATTAAAAGGTATATGTCACATAATTAATAAATTTATACAAAAAAAATATAAGTAGAATATTTCCATACAATTTGCCGGCTCATACTATTTCTATATTTCTGAGCAGGCCTGTTTTCTTTATGAAATTTTGTAATTGCAGCTGGCTGTTGGATAATTGAACAACTTTTACATCACTGTACTACTGCTAAAAAACAAGGATTAATCACATGTTCGGATTTTCATCAACCGATGAATCCTTAAAAACAGCCATTTCAAGACAAAGCCCACATATTTTTACTATATTACCTCTTAGCTACCACCAAGAGAAGGGGGCCGTCGAATTTTTGTGGCCTTTTCAAAGGCGTAAGAGATTTCGATCAGCTTTGGCTCACTGCCCTTTAAACCCCCAAAACAGATTCCAAATGGCATCCCGTCATTCTCGTAGCCAGCTGGCACTGTTATTGCTGGATACCCTCCGATAGCAAAAACGGGACAAGCCCGTGAGCCAGGTGTCACTATTGCATCTAATTCATGTTCCTTCATTAGTTTCTCAAATCCATTCAGGCAAATATTTTCCAGCTTTTCAAGTATAGCTTTCTCGTACTCTCCTAATCCGTCTGTCTTTTCAGCTGCAATGAAGGTTTCTTGATCATACTCTGTAAGCTTCTCCTGCGAATGCATTATTTCTAAGATGGTCAATTTTCAATCCGAGAAAATCTGTTTCTTTTTCAATGACAAATCAAAATATAAAATAGAAAAGTAGATGCGTCGATACATACCAACTCTGGATTGCTCTCGTTAAAGGCAATAATATCTGCTAAAGAACGAATCGGAGAATTATCCAGTTCTTTCAAGTAAACATTTATAGATGTCTTAAACTCAGCCATCATAATAGACATTTCACCACTATCATTCGGGTTCAAAATCTCGTCTACACGATCTATCTCCAAGTTGTCCATCACTTCTGCACCTTGCTTCCTTCATTCGCCCAAAACAACATAATTAATTACACGTACAAAAAGAAATAAAAAGAGATAAAATGCCCTATTAATCTAATACCTTAGCGTATCTATATGAAGTTCAAATGCTCTAAATTCAGCAGTATCATGTATTTTATCCAGAAAAGGACGTCTGACAATACCGAGCCTCTTTCCTTGCAGACCATCTTCTTTAAGAAACTGTTTATATCCATCTTCGGGAATATATTTAGCCCCTTCTTCCGTTGCTTCATCTCTTGGGTCGAAACCTGCTATTACATCAAGCACATAAACTGCATCCGATACAGTCCTGCATATCGGCCTGCAAAAAAAAAAAATCAATTCACCCATAAATAATTCCTAAAAAATGCATGATTAGCAACTCTGATTATTATTATTAATACCCGATTGTGTCCCAACGGGGTGTCATTGGTATAACACCAGCTCGGCTTGTGAGGCCTACCGTTGGTTTGATTCCGACGACTGAGTTATGATCCGAAGGGCAGATTATGGAGCTGTGAGTTTCGGTACCTAATGCAACAGACACCATATTTGCTGCTACTGATATTGCAGATCCACTGCTCGATCCACAAGGCGTTCCTGTCGATAAATACGGATTCTGCAATTTTTGTTCACACGTCTTCAAATTGTAGATCTCGATTTTCTTTTACAAAGTTTTCATAATTGATACTGGTTTTTTATAATTCCGTATCAGATTAAACCCTAGAAATGTGTGTTGTGTGTGTGTGTGTGTGTTTTAGGGGGTAGAAAGTACAAACCACTCCTTGGCCGGCGCGTGCGCACCAGCCATTAGGAACTCCGTCAATTGAACGGAACTTGTACCACTCGCTGAGACTGGTTTTGCCCAAAATGATGGCGCCGCCGTTCCTCAGCCGCTCCACCACCGTAGCATCTCGGACAACTTTGGATCCGAGCAGAGCGTACGAACCGGCGGTAGTGCTCATCTTGTCAAGGGTTCCGATCGTGTCCTTGAGGAGCACCGGAATACCGTGGAGCTCACCCACGGTATTACTATCTCTAATTTTCTCTCTCCTCTCATTGTCGGATTCATCTGCTAATTGCTGAGCGTCAGGGTTCACCTCTATTACCCCGCGAAGCACTGGATTCAGGCTCTCGATCTGCTGCAAGTACAAGTCAACTAGCTTTCTTGCTGTGAGCTTGCCTTCCGCAAAACCCTGTTGAATTTCTTTTATTGTAGCTTCTTCAATTGTGAAATCAAACTCTTCCATTTTCAGCTTTTGCAATTTTTTTCTGTACACGAAAGAAACCTCGTATTTTTTTATTTTTTTATTTTTTTATTTTTTTATTTTTTTTGAAAACGACTGAAAGTGAAAGGTCCCCCCAATTTCCTTCATTTAACCAACAAATTCTTTTTAAATTTTTTTTAATTAATGATATTGATATCATAGTATTCTATTCTATTCCCTTTCTTCAGCTACAATTAAAAATTTAGTTTAATCCGAAATCTTGAAACTACAGGAATGAACACAAATGAATTACATACTACAGCTTAAACCAAGCGATTTGAAAGAAGGGGGCTTTCGAATCATTGTAGCTTGTTCGAACGCGTAAGCAATCTCGATCAATTTAGGTTCTGTCCCTTTCAGACCACCGAAAAACATCCCAAACGGCATCCCGTCGGAGTCGTCGTAGCCAGCTGGCACAGTGATCGCCGGAAAACCTCCGATCGCTGCCACAGTGGCTGCGTCGGAACCCAAAGTCACCATTGCATCCAGTTCGTTATCCAGCATTAACTTCTCGAACCCTTCTCGTGAAAGCTTCTCCATCGTATCTATAGCCTGTTTCTCTTCCTCTCCAATCCCGTTTGTCGAATTTGCAGCAATAAGAATGTCCTGTCCTAATTCCTCACTTCTTTCCTACAATACAAACATTTCATGCCAAAAAAAAAGAATTATATAATGGCATCAACTATAATATGATCAAACAATGCAAGATTAGTGCAATGGACTAACCAAAACAGGATTGTTCTGGTTGAAGATTATAACGTCGGATAACGACCTCACGGGAGAAGTAATTAGTTCTTTCAAATATTCGTTTAGCGACACCTTAAACTCTGCCATCAAAACCATCGCCTCCCCACATAGTACAGGATTCAAAACGGTATCAATGTTCCCTATCTCTAAATTATCGAGAATAGTTGCCCCTTTCTCCCTTGAGATACAAAAAACCACTCAATACAAAATATGTTCGTTTCATAATCTGAGCTACACTGAAAAGAAGTACCTCAATGTTCGAAGATGGGCCTCAAAAACCGGAGTTCTTGAAGACACGGTAAAGAATGGATTTCTGACAACACCTAATCTCTTTCCCTCGAGCCCGTTTTTGTTGAGAAACTGAGCATAGCCACCCGAAGGGATATACTTAGCAGCTGCCATTGTTGCTGCAGAGTCTCTTGGATCGTATCCCACAATTGTATCCAAAACATGAGCTGCTTCGGAAACTGTTCTGCATATAGGCCTGAACTAAAATTCATGTTCAAACACAGCTCATAAACATCATCGGATTAATACAATTCAAAACAATGTGACAATGTAGACTCGGAAAAATTTACCCGACTGTGTCCTGGCGAGGTGAAAGTGGGATAACACCAGCCCTGCTAGTGAGGCCTACAGTGGGCTTGAGTGCTACAACTGAGTTATGATCACCCGGGCAGATGAGTGACCCGTCTGTCTCGGTTCCTATAGACACCATTGCCATGTTTGCTGCTACTGAGATTGCTGATCCACTACTCGAACCACATGGATCTCCACTTTTCACGTATGGATTCTGGATTTTTTAGTTTTAATTTTTTTTTAAATAAAAGTAAAAAATTGAACTATAGCAGTGATGATTATCAGTTATGTATTTGATAATGGAGTCAATAATTTAAAAAAGGAAGATAAATAATTTTTTTTGAAAAAGGGGGGAAAATTAGACTGACCAAACCCTGGCCAGATCTGGCGCACCAACCATTGGGAATACCCGGCGACCGGAAGTGGTACCACTCGCTCATACTCGCCTTCCCCAAAATCACGGCTCCGGCATTCCTCAGCCGCTCCACCACTCCGGCGTCGCGTGGGACTGACGCGCCAAGCAGCGCGTACGATCCAGCCGTGGTATTGAGTTTGTCCTTGGTAGCAATACTGTCCTTGAGGAGCACCGGAATACCGTGTAGAGATGAACGGCTGACATTGTCCGCCGCCCGCCGCTCGGAATCAGCCCTCTCCGCTTCGGCCACGGCGTCGGGATTGATTTCAATTACGCTGCGTAGCACCGGATTGAGGCTCTCGATGCGGTCCAGGTAGTAGTCAACGAGCTCGCGAGAAGTGAGCTTGTTATCGCAGAATGCACGCTGTACGTCCTCGATTGTCGCCTCTTCTATCTCGAAATCGTGGCCGTTGATCTGGAAGTACGGTTCTGAGAGAAGAAGAAGAAGTAGGAGAATAACCAAGGTTTGGGGAGGAGAGATGGTGGTCCCCATCTTGTTGCCGCCATTGCTGCTTCTTAATTTCCTGGTTTTTCTAGCTGATGAATTATAAAGTCAACAATTTGTCTTTCAGCTACTTCTATATTTCCATAAATTTTTAAACGAAGTTATTAATTTATCGAATATTCAATTAATACGACAATAACCAATTTCTTCCATACAACAATCAACAACACTTCAAAAAGAAATTAAAATCTCTCTCCATTCATATATATTATATAGTACAATCTGTATCATATAATCGAGGCTAATATAATTAAAGTTACAATAATCAATTGCAGGAAGTGAATCTGCAGGTTGCATTAGAGCCAATGCCCAAATTAGCCTTCATGAAGGCGAAAGCAGTGTGGAGAACTTGTCGAGTCGAACCGGTTAAGGCCAAGTTAATATGCTCGACGACAGAAATCGAATTAAATGGGAATTGAATGCTGTTATATGAGTTCAGTAGTGAAGTTGTTCCTTCTCTTAGGAGGGTTCGGTAAGGGTCCCCTCTTCCGATCATAGCTTGGCCCAAGCTTATGTCCGTCCCGTATTTACGGGCCGCAATCAGCCCGAAAACGACCCACACTTTTGTGTCCGGGCCCACCACCTTCCAGTAGCATCTGTATTCCGGCATCATCCATTTCCTACATATAATACAAATGTGAAACTTGTAAGGCTTAAGTTGAAACTTTGTGTGCCCTCAAAATCACCGTTCTAAGGCCTTGTTTGGTTGTCAAAATGAGATTAGCCGAATTCTATATTTGGATCAAGAGGTCTATTGCACAATTCTCTAGTTATCGAGACAACTGAATTTTGTATTGACCACAAATTTTCGTTATTGGAATAAACAAACACTCTCTCTGTTCATAATAATTGTATATATAACGCCATGTATATATATATATATACATCGAACCAAACGAGACCTAAAATGATGAATTCTTACTGGTGGGGGCAAGCGGAAGCTTCTAAAAATGGTAGTGGAGGCGTCGGAGGCAACCGAGACACCGGTGGCAAAAATGGCTGCTGAGGTGGTGGTGGTGGGAAAAGCGGCTGCTGAGGTGGCGGTGGTGGGAAAAATGACTGCTGAGGTGGCGGTGGAGGCAGAGTGGGGGCGGCAGATCTCGGGCAGAAGGGCATGGGCGCTGCAGGCTGAGAAAGCAAAGGATCCACAGCGTACATTGCCATATCAAACATGTTGAACAAAAGTCTTGGAGACTTTGCGGGACCAGCAGCTGCCCCACAGCCGTTCGGAACCTGCCCGTTGCTGCCGGAAACCTGAGTGTAGCAACCAATCAGATTCGGCGTACCGTCGAATCTCATACCGTAGTTACCTAACCAGTTCGTGGTTTCTTCTCTCCATGCAGTGAACTGCCCGTCGCTCCCCGGGCAGACCATCGTCACCTTCATCCCTACATACAACAAAACAACGTAAAACAAACATCTTTCCGAAATTCATTTAAACGGTAAAAAAAAAATATATATATATATATATATAAATAATTACCAGATAAGGGGTAATCGAAAAGGGACACCTGTCCGTCTTTGCATTGGTCGCAGAAGACAGTTCCGCTAAGGACCGTAGCTCCACGAGCTCCATCAATGGCGGATGCCGCAACAATGAGAAAAGCTGTGAAGAAAAATGAATCCATGAGTTAAGAAAAAAAGCTGGCGAGAGAGAACATTAAGTAGTAGAGGGTTAAAAGAGAAAATGTAGGTGTGAATGAATTTATGTGAATACAGCACACTTATGAGTAAGAAAAAAAAAAGTAGTAGTAATAAAAATGTGATGGTTCTTAGTTTCTTACAACTCTCAACTGTCTCCATTTATGAGGGGCTGAATTTGTGTCTTGTGAGATGAGGGAAGAAAAAAAAAAGGTACGGAGTTGTATTTAATGCTGTGCTTGAATTATCAGATGGATCCAGCTTCTATCATTGACACTGTAATAAGCAGAATAATATTTGAAATTCTGGATGATGTGGGATGCTTTGGTACCAATAATTACATCAGAGAGCGAGAGAGAGAGAGAGAGAGAGAGAGGGTAATGTCAAAGTAGCATTAACACCTGGGAGGAAAAAAAATTCAAAAATCTTGGTAAGGAGTTTTCATTAATGTAACTGCACAATATCAAACCAGTATCGCAGTACAATGATGGTATTCGGTTTCGGGTTCGGTTTTGGGTTCGGTATTCACCTTCTCAAAAGCACAAAAGCAAAACCATGTATAAATGTTGATGGCATTGCTCCAAGTATGCATAAAAAACATTCAATATTGATTATCCAATAAATAATATAATTTATCTCCAAAAAATTCAACAGAAGAAAAAAGAAAACAATAAATAGTCACCACACAAAGTACAAACAAACCAGGTACGTCTAACCACAAGTCTACCAAAACTGCTCTTTATATTGTTCTTCACTGAAATGACATTTTGTAAATTAAAACCCAAAAAAAGAAAATGTAAAATCAAAATCCTATCAACTCATTTTTTTGCCACATCAATTTGCGCCACATCTAGTGTTGCTTTCGACACATTGGCATCACTTCTCAGTATTTCTCTCTTCAGCCACTTCTTCAGCGTGTCCGTTTTCAGTGTTCTCAGCAGTTCCATTTTCAGATTCACCAGCACTACGAAAACGAAACAAGTAAAAAAAATTATTTCAGTGAAAAATAACGACAAGAAATATAAAAACGGTAAAGAATGCATGGAAACAAAGAGCTTGAGAATATCAAGATTCATTCAAGTCGTAAAACCCTATTCGCATTTCCAAGCTTGAGAATATCAAGATTCAATCAAGTTGTAAAACCCTATTCGTTTTTCCAAGCTTGAGAATATCAATATTCATCCAAGCCCCCTCAGTTTTTGGTACCAGCTGAACCCTCTCTATGTTGATGCATATATTTTACGTAAAGAAAACATTCAATGGTGATAGTGCGTAAAAATCCAACACTAGATAAATGCACGAAATACAACTTACTGTTGAAATAAAATACAAAATTAGTTGCATGGCTCAAACAACAACTACTCTTGTAGGGTAAAACAATTCATCAACAAAATCAAGTTAGGCAGTAAAACACAAAATCTTGCATCTGTTACAAGCCTATAAACTAGCAAAACAATCATGCAGTGTAGTGGTAACCTAGCTATAGAACGTTCAATCTAAACGGGCATTTGATAAAGACAATGTATTATATAACACAAGATTGTGTTTGTCGAGACCAATCAAGTAGCTAACAAGTAACAACCAACAAAAAACTGCACACCATTTTAAGTATATGAAGATTCAGAAACCAAACACTCGATTCTTTAAAAGTTAAGCATTGTGACTGCACAGCCAATTGACATACAAAAACATCAACCAATTAGCATACGAAAACATCATCCACTAAAAACCCGCATGTCGAACAGTTCTCAACCACACAAACAAAACATCACCAACAATCAAAATATGTAAACAATATCCATAAATCATGTGGTGACAATAGCATAAACTAAATCACAAACCTCTGTGGACGAGAACCAACTGATTCGGGCTTTCTCCAAGCCTTCTCGGTCTTATGTTCGGGCTGAACCCTGTCTCTCCCATTCCCACTCCAGAAGCTTCTTTTCGCAGGCACAGGCACATCAACAGTTCCTATAGAAACAACCTCCTTCAACTTTGTCGACTCGAGCTTCTCCTCAATCTCCTTCCAATCTTGCCCCTTCTCTTTCAACACCTCCTCCCTAGGCCTCGCCTCACCAAAGGGGTTACTTGTCCTCGGCTTCACAACAATGGCAATCTCTTCCTTTTGCACTTCACTCACAGGGACAACAGGGGCAATCTCGACTTTTTGCACTTCGATTATTGGTAGGGTTCTTGGCTTCAAATTCAATTTCGGCCGACCACCAACAGCACCACCACCGCCATTCCCCTCTTCTCGTTTCCTTCCCCAGCTCTCCGAATCTGCCCCGTTGGAATCGAAACCCCCTCTCCTCTCCCTCAAACTGTCAAACGCACCGGCAGGTTTTCTCCCCTCTTCTTCCTTTCTCCTCCCCCAATTATCCGAATCCGCACCGCCATTACCAGATTCCAATCCAAAACCCATTCGTTTCTCGTATCGCCTAGGCTCAGCCGACGGCACAAAACTTTTGTTAGATCCCCAATTATCAACATCATCTGCTCGAGATTGCGAATCGGTGAAGAACCCATTCCTTTCTCCCCTTTCCCTCCTCTCGAATCCAGAACTATTAACAGATTTCTTCCCAACCGCCCAATTGTCGGTTTCGTCAGCCCTAGACGGGATGAATTCGCGATCTGAATCCCTATTACGGCGCGGCTGCTCGTCTCTCTCGTAGGATCTGAATCCTTTATTCCGAGAGAGCTCCTCGTCGGTGCGCTCGCGTGGACCCTTGGGGAGGACCAAATTTTCTTCATGCGTCAAACCCTTGGGCTGATACACCGATGGCTTAGGTTCGTTGTACGACAAAAAATCACCAACGGACATCTTCTGCGGCTTCTTCTTCTTATTGGTTTTTGTGGCGGCGGCGACGGAGAGTGACGGAAAATCCGCCGTTCCGGCGCCGTTGGAATGGCCTTTAGCGGGGGCGACATCCTCCTTGTGCTGCTGGAGGAGCTCCGTCTCGTTCTCCTCGGAATCAAGAGCCCATGCGCCTGGTTTTGCCCACGCGCTCACGGTTGCCGCCATGGTTGCTTCTCTCTCTCTCTCTCTCTTTCTCTCTCTAAAAAGCTTTTTTCGTGTGCGTGTTTTCTGATGGTGTAATAGTGTGTGTGGCTGTAGGTTTTGTGGAGATTTTGCGTCTTTTAAATTGTTTTATAAAAGACACGTAGGTTTACAAAATTTGATCCGACGGCTCACATTATTAGTTCTAATTCGAATCCAAATAGGATTCTGATTGTGTTCAAAAGCAACGTACGACCGAGATTGTTTTTTTTTATTTTTGGTTGATTTTGTAATTATATTTTATATTTATTTGCCAGTGTAATAATACAGTAATAAACAGATAGGACTGATGAGTTGGCTTGTGTGGATAGCTGGCACTAGTAGTTTTTCTAGAATAAGGAAAAAAAACATGCCCACCACAAATATTATAAATTATTTATTACAATCAAATTAAATAATTTTAATAAATATAAATACAACTAAAGAAAAAAAAATACACATATTTGAATATTCTATTTCAATTAAAAATCCTTTACTGCACATACAAAAAAAATCAAACAATCCTAACAACAATTGGTGCTCAAACCTCAAAACAAGACAATCAAATATGATACAATTAATTAAATCAAGCCATTTACAAAGTCTATTCGTAAAATCGACAAGCAAAACCCCGTCGATGCAACCTTTGTTGCAAAAGGTCGATGAAAGAATTACCGAGAATTATGTTTCGAGAGTGGTGTCCCACGAAAGCAATGGTTTGTGGAAGTAATCTGAATTATTTAATGTAATGAAATGACCGTCTTCTAAACCTTTTGATGCATCTTCACCGTACCAAGTCATTGTTCCTGCACGGATTAAATAATCCCGGTATTTGTTAATTAACCCCTCGAACAACAAAATCCCACGTCGAGAAATTGGTTTTCTTTCGTGAAATTTCAACTTTGATTATATTATATACCTGCTGTGGGTGATGGCTCTTCTTCTCTAGTCATGTGAAGTATGATTGTTCCTGTGAGGACTGTAATGAATCCGCATAGTTCGGATATAACGCTGCTCACATTCTGACCCGACCAATCCTGAAAAATAGTTTTCGATCCGATTATTGATAGTGAATGCTGGATTGGATAAACTGAGCATCTACTGTATTATGTAATATTATATTATACCTTGAACATTATAGCGCTTGCAGTTATAGTCAGAGTTGTGAACATCACGTAATATATTGGAGAAACAATTGCTGCGTTGAAAGTGTCCAGTGCCTGAACAAACATATGTTCGAGTTAATGTTTTCTCTTCAGACAAGAATACGACAATGTTAATTGTCACCAATTTGGTTTACCTTGTTCAGATAATTCAACTGTGTGATAACACAGATAACTGTGACCGAAACGAAAAACCAAGTTTGGGCGTATCCAAATTGATTGACCCCCTCCAAAGTAAGTTTTATTGCGATCCCAATTGCCTTTATGCTCATAACCTTCACATGAACAAAATGCAGCATAAATTTAGGTAACAGAAGCGTGTCCACGTCAGACAATAATAATGCAAACAATAGTTACCGTAAGGGCGCCCATTAAGGAACAAATTCCTAGGTAAACCAATATGTTTGTCTGACCATATAGAGGCTCGAAATGAAGCATGAGCGCTGCTACTATTGATAATGTAGCTGCCACGTATGCTAGAAATGCTGTACAAACAAGCATTGCACAGAAATAAGCAATTATTACAAATTAATCAGAAAAAACGAAAAATGGAAAAATAATCGAGACAAACCTGGTTGTGATGCTAAGTCCCAGACTTCTTGTACGGAACTTGGAGTTTGTTCTTGGGGGGCGTGTAGAACAATTACTACAGATCCTACGATGCAAGACACGCATCCTAGTACGCCCATTAATCTCAACCGTTCCTTCAACATAAAGTGTGCCAAAACAGCACTGTTTCATAATCATGACCAGCGATTTAGATAAGCTAAGTTCACAAGAAAGCCTAACAATGTTCAATTTTCTCACATGTAAGAGAGATTTGGAAAAACGAACCTAACGATAATACTCAATGCACCGAGAGGGGTGACAAGAACAGCTGGGGCGTAAATATAAGCAACAAAATTTGCAATCTCTCCAACAATCACTGCACAGAAAAAGACAACTAGTGACTAAAACGAACACTAAATATCTGTCGGCAAAAACGGGAGCCGGAAATGCAATTCATGACTTACTGGTAATCATGCCGGCCCACCATAGAGGTTCTAATAAGTAAGTATAGCCTCCAACACCTGCGATAATAATAGCACAAAACGGTGAACAAGCAAAAACAAACAAGCTAAGACAATTTTTTTCCCTTTTCGTTTCATTATATGACCATAATGTCGAAACATCCATATAAAAACAAGACAGCAACCACAAGGCAAAACAATTCGTTTTCTTACATCATATACGGCAATCCTCGTAAACATCAAAGACGAACTAAAATCGCTTCCAATGAAATTGAGATTTAAGGATATTCAGTTTCAATTGAAATTATAAATCAACAATACAAGATCAATTTCAATTGGAACTGAATAATCATGTATAGTTGATTAATCAACTATACATGCTTAAACAAATACTCAAAATCAACTTACAACAAAGTACGATGAAAAAAATAAATTAAAATCCGCAGGTATTGAATTGATGCATACCTGCACGTAAACCAGCAGAAGCAGCACGGCGAAGACCTTTCTTCTTCAAAATAAAGCTCGTCCCAACAAACAAACCAGACAACATTGCCAATACTAACCCTCTCGTATTATCTGAAACCCCCATCACTCTCTCCTTCTCTATACACCAGAGAGAGAGAGAGAGAGAGAGAGAGAGAGAGAGAGAGAGATTCTCTGTCTCTATGTTCGATACGAACAACCAATAATCGAAAACAGAAAAGACCTAATCAAATCTAATTCTATATGTTAAAATACAACCTGTAAATCGGACAATTTCAAACTTCCGGCAATCAATCACAAAGCATAAGAGATTAAAAACGACAAAACAGTGAAAATCTAAAGAAATTCGCCGCCGCCGGCGGTTAACTGCTTATTGCAGACGGAGAATTTCATTCGTCGCAATTCGCATACTACAAATCTGTAAGATTTTGGAGATGCTAACAAAAATTGTAAATAGAAGAAATATGAGGAGTAGTCAACGATTGAGTGCTCGTTCCAGTACAGGTATTTTTCTCGAGCTGTAAATATGAATTTTTTTATTTTTTTTTTTCTTTCGTAATTAAATGTGTTTCTTAATCATGAAATTAGAGTAAACTGCAAAAACTACCCCTGTGTAATTCCAAAATAGCAAAAACCCCCCTGTGATAAATAAACTAGCAAAAACCCCCCCTGTGAAATTATTTAAATAGCAAAAACCCCCCTATGGAACTATTTGAGGGTTGACTTGATATAAAAAGACACAAATACCCCTGGAGTCTTGCAATTAATAAATTCTTATATTTTATAAATATTTTAATTATTTTATTTAAAAAATAATCAATTTAGTTGTTTACTATTTTTTTTAATTTCTAAACAAATAAATTAAAAAGAATAAATATACATATAATATGTATATATATAAATACATTTTGAGGGTCAATTTTGTCATTTCAAGTCTAAAAAATCAGCTAGGGGGGATTCTGCCTTTGACTAAATTTCACAGGGGGGTTTTTGCTAGTTTATTTATCACAGGGGGGTTTTTGCTATTTCGAGATAACACAGGGGTAGTTTTTGCAGTTTACTCCATGAAATTACGTAGCTGTAATTTGTTTTTATACTGTACAGTAGTCAGTATCTTTGTTAACAAGGCGTAAACCATTAGCTTAGCTGTGACGAATTTCGATTTATTAAATCGTTGGGTTATTTTTATTATATATAAATATTTGTTTATTATATTATTTTTAGACATGAAGAGAAATAAAATAATAATATATATTTTGGAAACTATATATTCCAACCCGTGTCTGCCTCAACTCAATCAACTCTGGTAGGTGAGAAAAAGGTAATATAAATTATAATTAATTCCAAAAAGTATAAACAAGAGCCATTTGCCCACTTCCTTGGAAATTAAAATTCAAATACTGCCCAATTTAATCGAATTCAAATAAATGCTATTATTTTGGGTAAATTATATAACCAACACCTGAGATATGGTCAAATTATGAAAAATTCTCTCATGTTTGGATAATTACAACCACCCATCAACTATAATTTTTTTTACACAGCCACTCATGCGGTTTCAAATTTAGAGGAATCTTCTAGATTATATGAAATAATCTCAATTTTGTAACCGTTTTATCTCATTCGAGCTCCACATTTTGAAGCAAGATGATCATAAGATGTATTTTTTGGCTTCTATATATATCAAATTATGGTGCATCAGAAGCTGTATTTTTGAACAAAACGAGTACAAAATAAAGAACAATACGCGGAATATTATGTTGAATTTGACACCATAAGGGTGGACGTTTAAGAAGATTCATAGTTGAGGGGTAAATGTAATTATTCAAACAGGAGGAATTTTTTCGTAATTTGACCATACCTCAGGAGCGGTTCTAATTTATAACCCTATTATTTTTGTAAAGATGCCGCTTTTAGAAAAACGTTTTCTAAGTTCAGTCGTAATTTAAATAGCATTTCACTTATCATTCTCTCAGACTAAACACAGCATAAGAAGAAGATGATATCAACAGTGGGAGGGGTAACGCGCAATAATTATTCAAATCTTTCAATCGCAGCAGAATTACCTCAAAATCGAAATTTTCCCGCGCTGAAGACTGAATCGATTTCACTACGTCCGAAGAAAATGAAACTGAAAGCCATGAGAATCTCTCTGCATCGTCGATCATGGTGGAAGAGAAAGAGAAGAGAAACGAAGCAGTTGTGGCGGTGAAGAAGCCGAGGCTGGTGTTGAAATTTGTATGGATGGACAAGAACATAGGAATAGCCCTAAATCAAATGATTGGGGGCGGGCCCGAAACGGTTCCACTCAGCCCGTATTATTTTTGGCCGAGAAAAGAAACTCACGTTTTTGCTGGAGAGTAAATCATGGATTTCCAACAAGCAAGTGGTTCTTCTTCTCAATCAGGCTACTGATATCATCAATTTGTGGCAGAAGAGTGGTGGAGATTTTGCTTAATAATCAATAGTACGAGTATGAGTACGAGTAGTAAGTGTTTGATGAAATGCCTATACGAGCTAATATCAGGGAACACATCTGGCAAATAATTACTCCAATTCAGCAATAAATTGGTCTATTCTATGCTACATCGGATGAAATACACCCGGTAGATCTTTACTTTTCATATACACACAAACGCACACACACATCCACACCCACATTGGTGTGTGTAGATCAACAGCAAGAAATCACCCGATGTAGCATACAAATAACCCAATAAAACAAAAGATGAAAATCAGAAAACTACAAATTCTCAAGAAGTTGATAGCAAACTGAAACAGTAGTATTCAATACTGCAAGAGCAAATCAAATACTTCTACATAAATAAATATATAAAGCACAAGTTTGATGGATTCAAAACTTAAAAAGAACATGCATCAAAATCTAAAACAAGCAATTGATCAAATGTTAGCCAATTAATCAATGTGAAGGTAAAAGAGCTCTGCGTTTGTACCTTACCATCACTTTCCCCTTCACACCAACAACCATAGCATTCCAATCAATCTCCGGAAAAGGAGAAATAAGTTCCATCTCAAAGTTCCTCAGCAAATGGCTCCAAATTGCTTTAATTTGTAGGTAAGCAAACGGCTCCCCTAAACATCCATGCCTCCCACCACCGAAAGAAATGTACGAAAACGCCCCCGCAGCCTTGTCCTCGTCTCTCCCTGGAGAGAATCTATCAGGGTCATAAACGTCCGGATCTTTATAAATATGTGGGAGCCGATTCGCGAAAGCGGGGGAAGTAGCAACAATATGCCCCTTGGGAATGTCATACTCCATTCCTTCCTTAGTCTTCACGCTAAAATCGCTGTGCGAGCTTCGAAGAAGCATTATCAATGGAGGGTGGAGCCTCAAAGTTTCTTTTATGCATCGGTACAGAGTTTCCATCTCAAACAAAACATCGTAATTAACCTCGTTACCATGCTTTTGCATCAAATTCTTCTGCTCGTCCAAAACAGCCGACATGTATATAGGGTTTTCAAGAAGATAAGCTCCAGACCATGTGGAAGTAATCGAACTTGTGTGCTGGCCAGCAAATAGAGCAGCAATTAGAAGGCCCGTGACTTCAGACTCAGTTGTGGCTCTGCCATCTTTGTACTTGGAATCTATGAAGCACTGTAATAAATCATTCTGTGTCTTGCCTGTTTGTTTGCGAGAAATTATGATGCTTGAGAAAATATCTGCTAGCTTCTTGCGAGCTTGGTCACGGCGTTTGTGTGCTGGGATTGGAAGGTAAGGGTATATGACACTGATTGGGAGCATTCCACTGTCTAAGTCATGGAACAGGGCAGAAACGTCATCGAAGAGCTTATTACGAACCTCTTCGCCTAATAAGCATCTACTGGCTGTTAGTATGATTAGATGCTCTAACTCGTACTTCAAGTCCACTTCACCGCTTTCTCCCCATTTTGAAAAATACTCCTGTAAATTTAAGGAGATGAAATATTGGAGTCAATAGTCATTACATGGTTGAATCAAACTATCAAAATATTATAACAGGAACTATCAACATATTATAACATGGTTAAATAGTGATTCGAAAAGATTCCTATCTGACTATGAATAAATATTTGAATGATCACCGAACAATAACCATCAACTCCATCACTATATCAATTTGACTAAACTATACAGCTCGAAAAATATGAGATAATCGCGTCAAGGACAAGAGGGAAGAAGAAACCACTACGAACAAAACGATAAGTAGTTCAACACAGTAAACAACAGAAAATGTATACGATAAAACGACAATGAATTTGTCCAGTCAAATGCGTCGTTAAATATGGTTTTATCTTTACCCTCCACACCCTGATGTTAAGTAATTCACTGAAAGAAAACGTAATATACAACATATCCATATTGTAACATCAAAAGACCGAAACGTATTCACCACTCTCAGTCAACGACATGTGTAAACACATGCATTCGTAGTAAAACGGAAACATTATCAAGGCATAAATATAATATGAATCAGATCATCTAAAAAGTCAGTTATATTGGTATATCTACATTACACAGAAGACAATAAAGCAAATCAGTCGAAGAAACAAGAAAATACCTCGGCTTCCATAACCATCTGATCCACATAAGCTTTGAGCTTATTAACCCTAAGCGCCTCAGTGAAAAACCTGAACTGCTCCTGCCTAATTGTGTAGTCCACATCAAACACCACACCAGGCCCAAACGTAGGCACGTTGAATTGATAAACCTCTTGCTGGCTAAGATCAGATTCCGGCGCCTTGAAGAAATGTGCCGAAACTTCCGGACCAATTAAGAAAGTGATGTTCTTATTCACCAATTTCAGAGTGAACACACTCCCAAGCTTAGGGTACTCCTCCCTCAGCATCACCACCGGACCTTTCAGGAACCGGATTAAACCTCCGATCACCGGCCACGCGCTCACCGTCGGCGGCAGCCGCTTTTTGGATCCGGGCAGCAGTAAAGCAGAAATCAGCTTCGCAACCACGAGAGTTGCTACTAGCAGAAGCCCTACATTCAGGATTTTGCTGTTGGCGATGGTTGATTCCACAGATTCCATTGTTGCATGAATTGATATTTCTCCCAATTGTTCTGCAATTTATATAAGGGGAAGAAAATTAAAAAAAAAATTAAAAAAAAAAAAAATTAGATCTAAATTGAATTTCAGTAGAATAATCAAGAGGCAATTACAGAGTAGGATTAGGATTACCGAATTTTACGGAAGATCAGACCATAGAAATTGACATCTGAATCGAATGTGCCGCCAAGAGAGGATTGAGTGAGTGGAGGTTAGGCAGCACTATAGTATACTGAATGTGAATGGAATCTAAGGCGCCGAGCCGGCTGGTATCAAGGATCGGCTCAAAGATCCGGCTTGGATGAAGCTGATGCGAAAAAGATTGAAATGGGCCGAGTGTAACAATGGGCCTAAAAGGCTTTATAGATGTTTGTTTTTTGTACTCCATCACAATTTGGACAGGTCCAAATGTAAAATTATTGTTGAAATTTTAGTTTGAGCGTCTAAATTATTTAAATTAGTCTAGATCTTACTAAACTAATAATCTAGTTTGAGATGTTATATACAATGTGAGATTGTCTTGTAGATGCTACACTGGATCAAGTATATCGGGTGATTTTGTATTATAGATTTTTACACAATTGTATACATATACGTGGATGTGTGCAGAGTGGATAGTTATCTATACACGTGTATGGTGATCTCACCCGATGTACTTGACTGAATTTAGCATATACAAAACCAATATACAAAACCATGTGAACCACGTGTTGACAATCTTGTAGAACCGTGTTACTTCACCATATGATTAGGCATGGAAATCATAAACAGGTTTATGGCACTCGGTTTTAAATCGATTGTTCAAATTTCGTGGGAGCTCGACTCATTAACTGAACAAACCATGTGAGCTCAATTGGGAAAAATGAAAATAAAAATATATTTTTTTAAAAATCAAATTAAATCGATCTCGGTTTCTGTTAAAATTCGTTCAAACGCAAATCTATTCTTAATCAATCCAAGTTCAAAAACAACTTTGAAATCATAAACTCCACTTGTTTTGATTGAAACTATATACATTCTAGTTGGATCCAGTGGTGGAGGTAGCATACGGCCAAAGGGCCAATGCCCATGCATTCGACCTCGCGGACTTAAAATCTTGGTTCCGCTAAAGTCTGAATCGAACTCAATTGTTAGAACCCTAACTTTATTCCAATAGACAATAAAGTTTCCTTGCAATTGCACATCCAATATATGTTAAATACTACCTATTCTCATTCGATCACGGCTTATACTATTCTACATCGGGTGAAATACATCGGATAGATCTTTACCATTCATATACACATAAACACACACACACACTCACATTGGTGTGTAGATCAACGGTAAAAATCACCCGGTGTAACCTTCACCGGGTGTAGCATAGAAACACTATCAATTTACCAAATGTTTTAGGATTTTTAAACTTCATACCGACCGACTTATTAAAATAAAATAAAAAATAAAGTGTAATTCGTACTTGGTAAGCGGTTCACACACAAGACGACAAATGTGTGGAAAGATCTTTCCCCACAAAAAACTCGGAGGCGCGTTAGTGGCCTACACGTCCTTGAATACTTTGCTTTGTTGTACCCTACTACCCTTTAATAATTCACATCATTCTACAGCACCGTTCACGTGCTACTCACGTGTTCTTTTGGTGTCGTAGTATTATAGCTTTGTGAACACCTTATTTTATTAGAAACAAACAAATGGACCGATTAATTTTGCTTGTCAATTTTCAATTTTCAAGTAAAGAAAATCTGCTTTACAAGAATCTGGGGATTGCAAATATCAAATTTTAATATAATTCATCTTCATCCACTGAAATAAAAAGTAAGGCAAAAGTACTAATACTCAGGAAAGAAAATCCATTCTTATTTAATACGGCAGACTCCGAATTAAAACACTAATTCAACGGGGAAAAAAAAAAGACTCACTCGAAACGAAATCTCATAACCCTAGACATAATTCAAGGAGAAAGAGGCGAGATCTAAAAAAAGCAGTAAAATTAAAATCCAGAGATCATCATCATCAGATCTATAACAAAACAGATCATCACAGAACAGATCTAAGAGAGTTGACCGCAGTCAGCAACCACCACCGGCTTGGAGGTCCTTCCGCTGCCGGATCCGACCTTCTCGATCGCCTTCACGACTTCGTAGCCCTCCACCACCTGGCCGAACACCACGTGCTTGCCGTCGAGCCACTCGGTCTTCGCGGTGCAGACGAAGAACTGCGATCCGTTGGTCCCGGGACCGGCGTTCGCCATGGACAGAATTCCAGGTCCGGTGTGCTTCTTCACGAAGTTCTCGTCGGCGAACTTGGCTCCGTAGATCGACTCGCCTCCGGTGCCGTTTCCGGCGGTGAAGTCGCCTCCCTGGCACATGAAGTTGGGGATCACGCGGTGGAAGCATGAGCCCTTGTAGTGGAGTGGCTTGCCAGATCTGCCGACTCCTTTCTCTCCGGTGCAGAGTGCGCGGAAATTCTCGGCGGTCTTCGGAACGACGTCGGCGTAGAGCTCCATCACGATCCGGCCGGCAGGCTGGCCGCCGACGGTCATATCGAAGAAAACTCTAGGGTTTGCCATTGCTATGAGATTTTTTTTTTGTTTTTAGCTGACTGGTTTTTCTGAATCGTACTTGGGAAATTGAGTAGGTCGAGAGGAGGTTTATATAGGGGGGAGTGAATTACATTATCCACGGAAGGAGTGATCTAGGCCGTTGAAGGGGGACACGTTACGAGATCCTAGAGGGGGTATGTTGTGAGAGGGCTTGGTTGGGTTAGACTAGTTTTTACTGTGGTTAAGTTTAGGGTTTCTCGCATCACACGGGTATATGCTTTTTAGACTTTTTGTTGGACCCTTCTCGGGCCACTTTATTATTATTATATTATTATACTATTTTTCTTAGCCCAGCCCAGCCCAAAATATTAGAAAAATTATATACATATATTTCTTGGAAAAACAAAAAATTAAAGAAAAATTAAAAAGATAAAAACCTGCCCTCTCCCTTCATATCGTTTCTCTTTTCTCAAATTTAGCTTGTATCTTTAAGAAAAGAAAAAGGAAACAGAAAAAAAAAATGAACCAATGTCAACGATTTAGTTGATTTTTTTTATAATCAAAATCTTAAGATTTCACCTCGATATTCAAGGTAATTCTATTCAGCTCTGGGTATTATGTTTAGAGAGAGAGAGAGAGAGAGAGAGAGAGAGAGGTTCGAAGAGTTCGAGTTGCATTTGCAAAATGGGGTACTACATTTAGCAAATTCCAACAAGTCTTAGTGACTGATTTGTTCTTGATTTGAGTGGTTCGGTTTATCATTCATACAAAAGCTTTGTCAAACAAGAATCAATGAGAAATAGATTCCACCTCCAAATTTAGACAATAACTGCTAAGTGGATCCAAGTTCTTCATCTGAGTCGTGAAAAATGTTAATCATGAGATGGAGGCCATCTAGAGACTGTAATTTAACTTGTTTCTCGAATCAATTTTGGTGTACGTTAAGAAAGCATTCATTGGGTCATAAAAAGTAAGACGATTTTTGTCGTAAAAAGTTACAAATTCTGACGAGTTCTCAACGCATGAAACGAAATGTAAATCTCTGTAAGTCCTGCAAACACATGTTCGCGGAATATATATATATACTCAATTAGACAACAAATAAGCCTCTACTGGAGACAACATAAAATTTTACATCGAAGATTGACTGATAGTTGTAAGAAATATATACACCTACTATGTCAAAATAAGGCTTCTTGCTGAGTTAACTCGGGATACACGAAGGATACAATTTGCTTCAAGGTTTTCAACGGCTCTTTCAGAAAAACATGGCCCTCAGTTGCTGTAACCACAAGTGAATAAGCATTGCATTATATAATTGCACTTCAAATTTTCCAATTATTAGGAGAGAATTGAGTATTACCTCTAACAAGAAGCCGAAGTTCCTTGGAGAAGGTCTCCACGTGGCCTGATACGGGCCTTATGCCGCAAATTTGAATGACACAGAACTCCAAGTACAATGCCATGACTGTTACTTGTAAAAGCAAGAGACAGATCTGCTGTTTTTCTGGTGCAAGCTGTTTCATCTTATCGGCTTCACACAATTCAGTGATAATGGCTATTCCCTGATCCTGATATCCAAAGGCCGAAAGAGAGGTTACGTGCAAAGCAAGATGAAAGGAATCGACTCAAACGAAAGACAGTTTATGCGCAAGCAGGACATCAAAATCAATTATAGCTTTTACCGTACCAGTAAGTGGATGCGGAATGGCATGCGATCAGTGTGATTTTAGTACATTATATATATTACTTAATAGTTTAATTAATTAAATATATATTATGTATTCAATAAAATAATTAAACAATACAAATTATTCCAAGCATTCAAAAATTGACAAATGATGTTAAGATTACCTGCAAGCCATGTAAGATATCAGGCATAGGTAGCTCGGGAAAATGTGCAAGGTCAACAAAACCAATCTCCTCCGCCTTCCTGGCAGCACTTTCAGCTTGTGTGCACAAAAAATTCAGGAGAAGAAATGCAATCTTGTACATTTCAATTGCAATTAAGTCCGATAAATGCGTCTGAGGAGATACATTAGCACTGTCTTTTGACTGATCTCTCAAGGTGAGAGCAGTTGTTCTAGAAGACAAATGGGCGAATTTGGGGTTTAACTTGCAACCGAGAGCAGACAGAGCAAACCAACCATTTCTGCTGTTAATAAAAGGCTGCTTCTTATACCACTCAAACTCTTCTTTGAGCACAGGATGGCACAATAGAGGAGCCTCTCCTCTAAATGATTCTCCAGGGCGCTGAGTTGCCCGGCTTATGAAGGCTAATAAATGGATACTTTTCTCCCTTAACTGAGACTCCATATTTTGCAAGATTTTCTTCCATGAACTTCGATGTTTAGCTAAGACACAGATTAGTGCCAAAGTATTTTGTGTTTCTTTAAGCTCGCTTAAAGAAATATTTGATTTCAACGCACGAGCTCTTTTGTTTTCATGACCTTCGGTTGGGAAATCAGGTGCACTAAGGTAATACGAAACCAAAGGTGCTTTCTCAACCAATATGCAAGTCATGAGATGATCAATGATACTAGCGGAAGAACTTTCTCCAAGAGACTGAATAAGTGCTGTAAGTACAGCTAAACCCAGTCCCCAAACAGGTTCAGGCTTTTCACTTTTGTCTGATTGGCTGGAGAAGATTCTCTCACTTTGGATAACAGAGAAAGGCCCACCTTCAGAAAAGTCGGAAAATAACGTCTTTATAGATGCAAGGATACCAGCATTCAGTAGCATGTCAGCACCATGACGCACACGTGCAAGGTTCAAAAGAAATTTCAGTGTAACAGAAACATTACTGGATAGAGTTCTATCATGAAGCTTCTGAACAAGATGCTGCAACGGAAGATGTTTTTGGATAACGGCAAACCAAGTAGCAGGTGAAGAAAAACCTTTCAATATTAAATCAATAGTAGCCAAGGACAGGGTATATTGTTCAGGGTCTTGAATGCAGTTGCAAAGAATAGGTAATAATCCCAAACACGAATTAGATACCTCGGTAGAACCTTCAACAGATTCAGTTCCACTTACGTCTGAACACAAATCCACGCTAGAAAACTCTACTGAGCTGACGATCAACATAAGCAAAAACTTTTTAGCTGTTCGAACAACAAGAGATGGCTTATAGCTGCACAATAGTTTGAGACCATATCCAGAGGTCTTCAAGATGAGAACACAATCAGGTTGAGAGAGATTATTACTTATAGATCTGACAAGGAATAGCAGTAGCTCTGCTTGAGCTGTAACGATATCAAGCACATCTTCACTATCAACAGGAGCAGGAGTCAAAGATTCTAGGGTGCTATGGAGACATTGACACGTGTGGTTGATGCATGATGAAACAACTTCATCGGGAATCTTAAGCGCGGTCAAATCTTCATCCTTTTTTAACTGCAAGGTACAATTTCAACACAATCATTGAGAAAGTTTTCATATGTACATTGCATAGGAAACTATAAAATAAGCGAAAGGTTAAAAAAGGGAGAAAGGCTAATCGTTGCAAATAACTGATATGACACTCAACAAAAGGGTAGAGTGCACACATTTTCAAACATATACCGGAGTCCATGTAAAAATCAAGAAACCAGCACAATTTGTAAACTACAAACTGTTTTATCAATAACTGGGATGGTCAATTAGTAAATGCAAATGTTAAATCAACATATAGGATTAGTCTGTCATTTGAGCCTCTTAAACATTTTAGATCAGTTATGTTTGAAGAAATCTGAAACTCACATTGCCTTCATGCATATATAACAGCATAATTAGCCCTCTTAAAGCTGAAAGCTTGGAATTTGAGTGCAGCATTCTTGAATTTGCATCTTGCAGGCAAAGGAGCATAGTTTGTGCGACTTCTTTAATTTCTTTCCATGCCAACCGATCCCACATTTCTAATCCCAGGTCTGCCCTGAGGCGAACAGTATCATACAGGTAAATACTTTTGACATTTGCTAAAACATCGTCATCTTGTTTGTGATTATAAGCATCCAAGATATTGGAATCTAGCAAGAACTGGAACAACTCTTTAAAAGGTCTATTGTCAATCTGACGGCCTTCAAGCTCTCCTTGGACGTGGTAAGATAGATCGCTTAGTATCAAAGTCTCCAACTCCTCTCCTACACTGAATTTAAAATCATCCAGATACGATGGATGGGAGAATTAGGCAACACGCAGTAATGACAAAATTTACAGGGTGGTTTTAAAAATCCATACATGCAAATGATTAAATATAATATGAAAATAAAAATATACAGTTCAGTCAAAATATAACAAGTGGAACAGAAAAATAACATAATGCGCACCTGTAGCCACATTGAGTGTACTGAGTTAACAATTCCGTAAAGGCTGGTAACTTGCACAACTGCAAATTATAAGACAAAATAGTACACAAGTCAATGTTCCGAGGTTACAACCTATCAGCAAAATGGAATGATAAAATTTTATATATTACTGTACATGCACTTGCAGCTAGTGATGGCACATAGAAAGCCAAAAACAGATGGGTTGCAAAGTCGAAGTTATTGATTATAATGAAGAGAATCATCAAAGATGAAGAGATCTGAGATCTTTCTATGATAGTTTCAGGTTTTGGCGCAATCTTGTTGCACTTCATTATTTATCCAGCTTAAACTGACTACATATGATTAACATTTACTTAAATAATTAAACATCTAAAAAGTGTACATGGATGAAGGATATAAACCTTTTGAGACAACGTAACAATCCTTTCAATTAGTGACACAGACAAACTACCCGAGTCACGACTTCTTAATTTCACCATTGCTTGCACAGCAAATAGAACAGCAACCTGCAATGTTAAAGAAAATGAACATGTTTTTTATTTTGTGCTGAAATATTGGAAAACATAAACAAAACAGATTAGATGGACTAATAATTTCATGTGGCTCGACGCCGAAGAAGTAGCAGTCATAGAATGCACAGCTCACCTTTGCACGCTGACTGCTGGCATCATATTCCCAAGAAACACAAGCCTTGATCAGGTCACCCAACTGTGAACTCTTAAACCAGGTTGAAATCATCTCCTTCAGGCTATTACTTTTACTTTCTGTGCATTTGGAACCGACAGTGTTTTCTCCCCCATTAATTGGTGGTTTAGATATTTGGTTGACAACCATCTGGGCATGCATCAACTTTTTTTGCAGGAATATCTCATAACCAAGTATATCCAATACATTTGATAGAAGTTGATATCCGTAATGAAGCTCCTTTCCAGCCAACTCCTCCAACTTTCCTTTATTACTAGTGATAAGCAGGACCGAATAGGACACTTGTCCCCAAAAATTCTCTGAAACTTTCAACTGCTCCAAAGTTTTCATAAACTGAGGTGCACCTTGCCACAGTGACCTCAGGAAGTTCAACAAGCATACTAGCATACTGGGATTGCTGAAAAATAACAAATTAAATGAACTATGTCTTAAAAATCAGTGAACTGAATAGTTTAAACTTAATCGAAGCATACCTATGAAATAAATCTTCAGACTTTTTTAGACATCGCAGAACTGCATTCAGAAGACTTTCTTCCTTGGAATCTAATGATACATTCTCACTTTTATTTGGCTGATGTTCAGAGTCAGCATTCAGCACTTGAGCACTCAAATTTTCTTTCGATGAAATGACGGCAGTGAGAAAAGCAGGCTGCAACTAGTGAAACTATCAGCATCAAGGAAACTTTGTAAAGATGATCAAATTACAAAATCAAAACAGAGAAAAAAGGCATTGTCAATTGGTCTTATCAAAATCACAATGTTAATTAAGGTATGATTTGAAGTCGACGAGCAATTTACAAAACTACCCATGAACTTAGTAAACATTTTGATGAGCCATAGCATGGATAGTGCAAATGATTGTCAATTTCCAAGGACGGGTTCTTATGTACACATTATATTGTAACTTAAAATGGTACAACTTTGGCCCTTTTTTATCATTCGTATAATGAAAATAGATACTCTTTGATATTTTTCAGGCAGATTTGAGGGCTTGACATCATGAGTAGAAGAACAAGACAAACAATTTTTTTTTTTTGGCAATATACACTATACAAAGGAATAGTGTCAAAGACCAGAAAACCGTTACGAACTTATAATATGAAACATGTTTCAGCCTAATCCCTAATTTCCTCAGGCAAACAGTCAAAGATAAGCAAATCCTACTTAATCAAGGGTAAATTAAGCTCAACTAACCTGATTACGTGCAGCTGCCGTTAGGAGCTTCAGAGTAGCAATAATGAGGTCATCGTTGCAAGGTGGCTGCTCAGAAAGAATATTGCAAATAGATTTCCTGAAATTGGCAACCTACGACACGAAAATATGCATATTAGAAGCTAAAATTAGATAATATCCAAGCTTGAATTATGACCTTTTCGTAAGCTGCCAAACCTGCTTATCATCCAATCCAAGACTCGCATTACTGTAAGTATACGATTGTGAAAAATCTTCAACAAATAACGCAGAGAGCAACCTTGCAGCACCTATTTGTATCTTCTGAAAACAATGAAAAATTAGATGTAAGTAGCAAAACAGAGCCAGATCACCAACCCCCCAAAATCCGACAGAAGAAGTTATGTAATAGTTTCTTAGAAAATGAAATTGTGTGAAGAAAACAACTGCAACTGCAGTGGTGCCTATATGGTGAACCGAATGAGTTCATGTCAAAGGGTGGAACTAGACTACACAACTGGAAACAAATTATCAGATGTGATAACTAACACTGAAAAGAATGGACATCCAACATCTTATAAAGTTGTAGTAAAACAAATATCAAAAAAGCTACAGGGGATAGACAGAAAAGCATGAAACCATGCTCCATTCATGCCAAAAACAAAAAGCATTATTTGGGGGAACAACTAAAGAAATAAGCACAGTGATTAACGAGGAAAATAGAACATACAGGATCCCGAAAGTATGATATTAATGATATGGCCGCAGTGATCACAGGTATTGGCTTTGTCATCGGTGAGAAAATCGCTTGATGAAAAATCGGAAGACCGGGTGAATCCTGACAAAACAACAGTTGATTTTTACCGAAATTAAATATTGGATGGAGTAAATTTGCAACCACAAACACATCAATAAAAATCAGGAGTGCAGAAAGAAAATATTATTCTAAAACAATTTGACTCTTAATGAAATAAGGTCACAAAAATCTAAGGTTCAAAATTGATAATTCTTTTCATGAAAAGAAATACATAATCACAGAGCATTTAAACTAAGCATCACAGACACAAATGAACTTTGAGTAAACATAACTTTGAAGAAGTAGATGGAGAAAAATGAACTTTGAGTAAGCATACCTTTGAAAAGGTAGATATCATACTGACCAGGACATCCAACCCACAGGATATTGCTTGTTGCAGTCCCTCAATATCCAGAGTGTCAAAAAGACGGGACACGTAAAGTTTCTGTTGGTTATGGCAAGAAGGGAAGAATGGGAGGAGGAAGAACAGAGGTCAAAAGTAAGAAGACGAAAAAATTACTTATTTTGTAATAATATATTAAGAAAAGGGAATAAAAGCAACATCAACCTCTAAGCTTGTCGCAGTCGTACAAACAATTCGAAAAAGTGTAGAGTGGATAGAAGAATCAAAAAGCATAATATGACAAACAATTTCCCCCAGTTTTGGACAGCATGAGATAGAGGAGATACATTTCTTCATGACTTCGAGCACCTATAAACAAGAGAATCAAACTATAAATCAGTGGGTATCGGACGTATGGCATGAATTTGTAGGTACATCTATGGACTTCCAAATACTAGTCAAATCATTCAAACCATCTGAACGCAGGGACAGGATCTAGATCTCTCTCCTACATCCCTAATAGGAAGATTCATATATATGACCACCAAATACAAAGGAAGAATACACATGAAAGAATTATGAGGTCAAATAGAACTACTGGATTTGTTCATTAACGCAAAAGAAAATATATACATATAAAATATGTTGGAGATGTGATTCTTTAATATCTTGATCCAATATAAACCTTTACAATTCTTTACAGCCTATTATTTCACACGGTTCTGCATAAGAAAAGAAGATAATACCTTCATTGTAACCTTCCATCGAGCACGCTTCACCTTATATTTCCAGAATTCATGATTAACAAGAACATACTGAAGGGAGAAAATAATGAGAGCAAGGACAGTATCGGTTTCTAAACCAGTCTCCAGTAGACTTTTGGTGAAGTCAAGCACTGCACAACCAGTTGCCAGAGTTAATTCGCTATAAAGATTTATCAGATGGAATTACGGGGTCTCAACATCAACAATCAATTGGTTAAAGATAAATTAGACAATTAAAACAAGATTTGTCCAATCATAACAAAGGAAGAGCTAAATCTCATAGTATCCCGATAGGATGAAAAGAAAACATGAAATGCATCAACTGGAAAAAGCAAAGTACAAGCTGAAGATTCAAAAACTATAATTGTTACTTCAACTGGTAGACTGCAAAAGCTAGACTTCACATGTGACATTTCCAGCATGTCCTCGGCAGATACAGAAATTTAAAAACACAAATATCAAGATCACAATCCGCTTCAATACCAAGTACTCCAATGAATTTAGTGTTCCTGCAAGTTAATTTTACTCACCACACCTGAAAGGAGACAAAGTGCCCATGTTTTACTACACCACATGCCCCTTATAAACTAATATCGTACTTGTTAAGTCCCAAAGTTATATATCTCGGTTGATCAATATCATGGACAATTACAAAACCATAAGGGAAAGATTAACTAAGGTAGCACATAAAAAGTTTCAACGCTGTAACAGAGTATAAACAGGCAACAATAGAAAATTCAGCAGTGATGCAGTCCAAAAAAGATCAGAGGGGTATATAGACAATAGAGAAAACAATGAAGTGTGATACAGAGATTTCAGGAAAAAGCAAGCAGTGAGCAACAATAAAATCATTTAGAATTAGAACAGATCAAAGAAGAAAATAAACTCTTTCATATTGAAGTATAAGCTCAAATAAAGAATAACTAAAGAAATCAAATAACATACCTGCCAGAGTCATTGAGCAATCACTCTGCTCACAATCAATCAAAAGCATTTTGGCAAGTCTTCCAGAAAGTAACCAGGATCCGCTGCACAATACGTGTAAAAACAACATCAATACAACCAATTTATATCTAGCAAGTGTCATCAGCTCATTACCATAAGAAACAGAGCCATCAAAAAGATTGAAACCAAAACATACGAATTTGAAAAACTTCCCTACCCCCCCCCCCCCCTCCCCAACTCAACCTAAAAGTTCCTAGAAAGATCCAATAAAAAAGTGAAATAAAATTACAAGTGAATAATCAACTCAATCAATTAAAAGAAGCTTCTCTCTAAAAGCTTACCTTCCAGAAGAATGTCAGGAAGATAAAACTGAAGATGTCTCACATCAATATAGCAAGATGAAAAATATAGTCCATTTTAATAACTTTCATAAATCATGAGAAGAATTATACTGAAGCCGAAGGACAAATATGAAAGACTGTCAGGTGGGAACGTCTCGAAGTATCAGTTTATTGGATACCATGCACCCCTTCCAATACAGTCAACCAATTTTGCTACAATAGAGTTTACTTACAAATCTCTGAGTTAGAATCTCTTAAAAGCCTAACCTTGATAAACCGTTGGAGCCCATATCGAAGGGGTTCGTCCTCAGGTCAACATCGAATATATTTCCCTTCGTGAACACTGTAGCTGCATGAGATGGCAAGCTGCAGAAAACCAATAGCGGAGAAGGGGATAGTAAGAAGTTGATTGTGCAATTCAGAAATACAGGTGACATAGAGTAAATTATATGAAATAACTGCAAATAGTCATGAGTGAATGAAATGCAGGGGGAAAAAATAACAGCTGGTCGCTGAATATCGCAGAGACTATTGTAATAAAAGGATCAAGACTTTTATCAACATCAACTAAACATTTTCTTGCAAAAAATTTCATTTGACTTAGAAAAATGAGAACTACAAATAAAAGATCGTCATGTACAACTGTGGAACATGGAAAGCAAAACAATACCATATCAACATCTTCGTCAATATATTAACACACATGGACATCATTACTGCACCATTCACGCTAGGGGAGAGATTTTTCACCAAAGAACAAACAATTTCAACAACATCAACACTGCAATCAGAGCAAGAGATTAGTAACTTAATGGCAAAACAGAATTGCTTGTTCTAGAAGAAAATGATGTGTGTTTTGAGACATGAAAAAATATGAAATTTGAAGTCGTACCGCATATACTTGTCTTGATTCCCCATGCTCAGTTCTTTATCATGGAATGAATTCCAAGCATCCGTAAGAGAATAACGAACAGCCTAATATTACAAGTCTATAAGTATCTGTATAAAAAAGTGTTCTCCAAATACAAGCAATTGACACATTTTGTGAAAGTTAAACTTGATGAGAGATTATCAAAGACTGCAAGATGCATAAGGTGTTCAATTGATGCATGTCAGGCTGGAGTATGTTTTACCAACTTTAGAATAGATTACCGTACTAAAAGTCACCAACCGACTGAGCAAATCAAGAATAACTATGAGCTCCTCAGGGTTTTGCAAATACAGCTGTTGAGCCAAACGCAAAAGCAGCACAAGAACTCCAGATTCTGGGTACTGCAGCAATAATTTACATGTAAATTAGACAACTTGGGGAGGTAGGGACGGAGAACATAGCAAAAGATGTTAACAACACAACAATACTCGCACGGATGATTATGTAACGATATAAAAACATACAAAAGCTAAAAACAACTTTCCACATTAAAAAGAAGGGGTTGTGGTGGGGGTGGGGGAGGAAGGGGGAAGGGGGAAGGGTGGGGGGTCTATAGTAAGAGCTTTTGCAACAGAGGTCAGCAACTTTAACTAAAACAAGATTAAGATGTAGAGAAGGAGATTCAATAAGATACCAAGATCATCAATTGAGAGAGACATATGTGCATAACATGAATAATTACGATAAGAGATGGGGATACAAGAATACAAAAGCCTCAAACACTAACATTACTATTTATCCATCAACGATGGCATAACGTAAGAAGTCACAAAGACAATATGGCTGCAAACATGGCACATCCAAGAAAACTGAAATATTAACGGAACAACTTACCTCCCATCTCACCAAAGCACAATTTTCATCAATCATTCTCAACACTTGACCCCGAGATTTGCTAGGAATTACCAAACCTTCAACACCAGCAACTGGCAATGGAAAACGTGTTTCAACAAAGTTTGAAGCAGCATCCACCACAGAGTCACTGCTTAGCTCAATAGGAGTTGATAGCCCAACAGACTTATCAAGGAAATTAAATCTGCTCAAAAGATTGTATCTATATATTAGGAAAAAATATATAGATACACTAAGATATCTATATATTGAAAGTATTGTTACCAATCACACTAAGATAAAAATACATCTTTGCAACCAAAAATTCTAAGGCTAGGTGATCTAAAAGAAGCAATACATTTCCATGAATGATCCCTACCTACAAATATTATAATAATTATGGAGGGTTAAGACATTACTACCACCTGAATACCGTTAAGATATTATTACAACCAAATTAACGTTTTACCAGAAGAATCTTTTAAGCAACTCATCCATTTTACTTAATCATGAGATTCTTGGCAAGTTGTCAACTTTTGGTTGACACCAAAAGTGATGATAAATGCAGTTCCAATCTCTATTTTTGCACTATGTGTGACATACAAAGAAAAAAAAAACTTTCAAAATAAACTTAGCTAGTTGTTGTTGGAGAAGAAAACACAGATTACAAACCTATGGGTAATTCCTGGGGGACGACAATATTCTTTTCCTTTTACCTCCAATTAAACCTAATGCAATTACAATTTTATTGATCTATATGATCATTTTTCAGATAAGAATTAGACTCCTAGCGAAATGGTTTCAGATGTACTACAGGCTCTGACGTGAAAAGCGAATGGAGCAGCATTTTGGCATTGTCCGTAACAAAAAGCATAACTATCAACCCCGAAAAACAAGTAATAAAAGATAACTGCTCATGCATGAGAACTTCAACCATTTTCTTCATTTGTAAGATAATCAAAAAAAATACATGACAGTGATGACAAGACATAAAGCATTATCAGTTTCAACTTACACACATTCTGATGGCCATGCACCTTCACAAAGGGCCGATAACAAGTTTACAAGTTGAGTAATCCTGAACGGAAATTCACCCTCTAGGTTGCAAAGAAGACACCTGACAGGACCATCAATAAAACTGTCCTTATCCCAAAACTGGATGCAAAGAGATTCCTGGAAAAAATCAATTACTTCAACGAACTATTTATGGACATAATATATTCCTAACATAACAAAATCGTGGAAAAGACAAACCTCTCCTCGGTAGATTTTGCATAATATATCCAATATCAATTTCAAATTATCATCCTCAAACTGCAAGATGGGGGAAGAGGGATGAACATTCAAAACCAACAAAATGCACTAATTATATACATATCTGCTTATGATATACCTGGAGATTAATCTCGTACGATGCAATAAATGCCGATATAAACGTTCTTAAAACACTTCGACAACCTGCTAGATGGCCCTGGAAAAAAAGAATCGTTCATAAAATAAAAAACAAAGACGAGACAAAAAATGTAATCAAATCATATAAATGTAAATATAACATACAAAAGAATCACCAAAAGATTGTGTATATAACAAATTAAACTAACAATGAAAAACCCGAATAAAAAGCATAAATAAAAGCTACTCGTTACTCACATCTGAAAAATTCAATGTGTCACTTTGTAGAATTTCGAGAAAATATGCCAAAGATGAAGCCTCAAAAGCTTGACGAACATAACCCATGTGATCTATCTTCTGATATGGACAAATAAGTCAGAAATCCAACTGAACCATATGCAATAGAATGGTTGAAGAATGATAGCTATCAAAAAAAACTGTTACATAAACATGTACCGTCAGCAGACTATTTTCCTCTTTTCCTGGAAGAGAAGAAATGAGACATAGAAATACAGCCCATGCAAGGATCAGAGGGCCCGCTTCTTTGGCCGCAAAAGCGTTGAGACTAGAAATTGTTTCATCCATTTGTTGAATATCCATCTCTGAAAAGATGATGGATCCCTGCCTGAGCAAGAAACAGCTAGCACTTCAGTTATTTGAGAAAATTAAAGGTGTAAAATAGAAACATGTTAACTAACTATACGTACTGAAGTGAACAATATTAAAAGGTTAACTAGCTATAGGAGTGATCAGCTGTATCAATTTTACTTGACGCTCTTTCTACTCTACGCTTGAGTCTGGATTTTCAGTCCATGCCAAGTAAACTCTATTTGTCATGATTCAGATGATTGAAATTGGAAATGTCAACTGTGCTATGTGAAATACATTGAAACACATTTACATATTATACATCCAGTTCAAAACAACTTTATCCAGAACGATTGTTTCATTTATGAGTTAATATGTAATAGAATAAGATCATCGAGTAAAATTAATAATATTTGAACTATCTCTCTATCAGTCAAACTGTGAACCCCTAGAACTACCATGTCTCTCTATCAGCCAAACTGTGAACCCCTAGAACTACCATGAACAACAAATCAACCATAAACCATAATCTACTAACCATCACAACAACAATAATAGACACGGACAAATGCTGACAGGCCGATCACAAAGCACTACCCTGACCATTCCCCGCACCCAAAGCCAAGACAGGGACTGCGTTTTATTTATTTCTTCAGGGCGTATCAGAGTAAAATTATGAGATTAGACTAGCTTGGTTGCAAATTACATGTTAAATTACTGATTAAAACGCTAATTAATAAATCACCAACGTCGATGCTCCATCAAGTCTATGCACTTGATGCTCTTCAAAATTGAAAACATCCTAGTTCTCTAATTCCATTTCCTCTTGTGAAATGATGCCTGATTTGCCTCGGGCAACGGTGAGAACAATCACATTATGTTCTAACAATGTAACGCTCACATTTTCGACCTACATAACTAACCGATATAAAGCCATTCAAAGAGTTCAACACCGATTCTTTTTTTTTTTTTTTTTGCAAGGAGAAATGCTGTTAAAGTTACTCTTACAGCTACAACAGCAATAACTGCACCAAAACCTGAAAGGGACATTGTCGTGGATCATTTGAAGGAGATTTTCCAGGTTTAAAGACGCAATAAGGATAAGTAGCAGCTGCACTTTAGCATGATAAATAGCAAGAATAGCATCAGGCGATATTGCCAGTTTCTGGAAATTGTAAGACCCGGTGACAAGTCCCTGCAGCACAAAAAAAAAAGGATATACATATAGATCCATAAATTTTTATCCCAATTATCAACCAGGGCAAGAGAAGATCACCTCATATATTGTACACAATCTTTTCCAGCATTTGGCATCACAAGTGCATAAGGACTCGTAATAAACAAGGAAAAGAATGTCAAGAACTAAGTTGTCCTCTATAAGTGTCTCCTCAGCCCATAAAGTGTAGAGATCAACATCCTGCGAGAAATGCCGTTTGAAAATGCATGCCCCATTTTGAACATAGAAATACAAAATATCATAAATGAATACAAAGAGTCCAAAAATCAAAATTTTAAAATGACGGTTGACAAGCTTCAATACAGATATTTGAATGTTAGGATTAACTTACCATCTGCTCGGGATAGTTAGAAGACAAGAGATCTTGGAAGATAGACAGCAATTTAAATTCTAGTCCATCAGAAATTAACTGATGTGCCTCCTTCAGTACAGAAGAACCTCCTCCTGATTCAGATCCAAAATATACTACACGGAAAATATTTGCATTATCAGAAGGGCAAGATAATAATATAAACGACATACTTAAAGTGTTTCTTTGTAGAAGGAAATGATTATGAAGATGAAACACCATAGGAAAATAGCTGCTACATTCTCTCAATCTCTATAATACAAACATTATTGAAACATCATCATCTGCCATGAACAGTTCAACCAATTAGAACCCATCAAGTTCCAAACAAAATTTTGTTATTGCCAGTATATGTACCTCAAAATTTCACATACAACCTACTAGTTTCATCTGTACCTCTCTGCTTCATCATTTTCATCTATTGGTTGTTGGGAAGATAGGAGTAGATCTATAAGTGGAATTACTACAAACTTCTGTCCTATCATAGTAAGCAAAACATAAGAGCCTACCAACATTATGAAATATGACGAGCATTCCATTCAGCGAGTAAAACTTGACTAAAACTGTATGAACAGAGATACAGAGCAATTTTAAATTCATTTCTTGTCCTTAATCAATCTAGAAACAAGTAAATGAAACAAACCCTTCTCAATGGTACGTTCTCATTCAGTTAAGAAACCAACAAAGAAGACTAGATATTTCTTGTTCCTTACTTATACCAGAAAACAATGCTTCAAAACTGCCGACGTGGCGACTCACTTTGCAACTGTTAATGAACTGCTAACTGTGAGTTCACTTAATTTTAAGCAATGCAAAATATGCAAAATAAGAAAAAAGAAAAGCTATTTTTCAGGTTCTTGGTTGAAAAAATCAAATGCCTTTACAACATATAGATACATTACATCGAATGAAACAAATAAAATTATCCACACATAACCCAATAATTATATTCAAGTTGCTTAAGCAATGGAATATGCGATGACATATGCAATGTTCCCATTATGCATGAATATGTTTTCCATATGCACGTAGGCACGTATAACTGTTACATCAAATTACATGAAACGAGGAAGAAATACTTACAGGCATGCATAAGGATCTGTCTTGTGCACTTCAATAAGCATTGCCGTTCAGAGTAGTACTCAAGTACAACCTTTAAAAATTGTAATAGTGATGACAGAGGACACAAAAGACATAGCAAAATGTCAGATGGTAGAGTGTTTTTAAATCTAGAAAATTGCGAGAAAACATAGATAAATAATCATTTTAACATGCATTTCAATGAACAGAAAATAGTGCATGTGATGCATAACTATCAATACAGAACTAGATGAACAATTCCTTCTGTCTATATTGCATGTCTAGCAAATATAGCCTGCTATAGCCAACTCGATGTGCCTTCTTTGATGTTTACAAGTTGAATACGGACAATCTATCTGTTACATGCTTCAAGGTTTTCTTTCACATACTAATCCACTAATAGAAAGTTGATGTCCATACACACCATTCTTCTGTTATTAACTATTGTTTCCTCGTAAATGGCATATATAAGTTTTCAAACAATGCAAAAATTATTTCCAACAGGTAAATGATAACAAAAATAATGATTCGGAAACTGCAAGGTGGGTAACAAACTTCGAAAGTAGCAATTGCTAAGCCGGATAATACTAGATAAGAAGAAGAAGGATACTAACCAAATTGAGAATATTTGTGTTTACATCACTGACTGCTGCATCGTTGTGCTCCAGTGATCTTTGAACAATGATATACGATTGCACCTCATCTAAACACTGACAAATAAGCTAACCATTTTACTGCCTCAACAATTAACATCAACAAGTAATTCAAGCAGCCATACAAGTAACATGGAATTCACAAAAGCTCGTGACAGGGAAGAAATAAAGAAAACATGGTTAAATAACGTAAATAAAATAAAATTTTACCAATGTAGAACTAATCATGAGCGCCGCATCTTTCAATCGAGGCTGTATATTCAACTCTTGCAGACCGATCTTGACACACGTCGAATCCAATGCCTCCCTCGATTTCGAATTTGGCGGTCTGAATTTAGAAGTGGTTCCCAGAAACCAGTCGTAATTATCCTTCAACTTCTTCTCCTGTAAAACATCCATAGAATCACACGACTCATCATTAACAACGAATGCCCGCACAATTTCAACATCATCATTTTAGATTACTACTTATATATTGAAGTAAACTTAAGCAATCAAAGACCACCTGCAAATTCTCAACACTCAAACACGCAATGTCAAATTAATTATTCCTTACCAATGATTGTGGGAGCTTGGAGGAGACGGAGGCGTTTTCAAGTTCGGTGAGAAATCCATTGAAAGGTTCCCACCATAGTGAGGCATCGACTGATTTTGTAGAGTTTGAAGTAGATGGTGTCGCCATTGCAGCGCTTTAATTCACAGCTCGCATGAGAGAGAGAGAGAGAGAGAGAGAGAGAGAGAGAGAGAGAGGAACTTTGAAACCTAGGGTAGAGAAAGCATCCCGCGCTCTCTGCAAATAACGAAGAAAAGAGGAGAAGAGGACCGCGTGGGGTTAGGGCAGGGTTTTTTTGAACTGAAGTCGCGTTACTTGCAGGCAATAAACGTTCTTTCCAAAATTAACGACAATTGAGTCGTTGGATTTAAAACGTTCGCCAACTCAGTCACAACTTTATTGTTTCCGAAATTAAAATTGAGTCGTTGAATTTTGGTTCAGAGACTTTAATTCTCGAAATATTGTTATGACTTATGACCTTAAATAAATTATTTTCAGAAACACAAGAAGTAAAAACAATATTATTATATAAAAAGAAATAGATATTATTTATTTAATTTTAGATCTTATCAAATTCAAAGTCCCTCCTCCAGTCCTCTTTGGGCTCTATGGGCTTGACATGAAAATCGTAATTTTGACTGGGCTAAGTTCGATTAAACATTTGGTATATTTGACCCATGAAATGGGCCTTACAAGTTACAATAATGAGCTCCCTTGTTATATTGTTATTTTAAATTTTAATTTTTTTTCAGAGAATAATGAGCATATTAATTGCATGAAAAAAAACTTCTTTGTTATTTTGATTGAAGTCTTGAACTAGTAAAATTAATCGAATGAAGCTTCAAGTGAGTCGAAATGGATTAAGTTTGAATATTGATTGGTCAGTTCAGTATCGAGTGGGTCAAACTTCACGTCCCTGAAATTATTGGGCCGAAATCTCCACAGCGAGCCGATAATCAATAAATAAGGAAGACTGAGTCCAAGGCCACATAAAACGAATTGGATCAAAGATATAATCAATATATATATATATATATATATATATATATATATATATATATATATATATATATATATATACGTACACATAATTAATACAATTAAAAAAAAATCCCCCTAAAACTACACATAACGACGAGGTAACTCTATTTGGAGTCCATTATCCACTATCCAAAAATTCTCTTTTTTAGGACACAGGCAAATGTGCACGTTAGGATTAATGAAAAGGGGGGTTGTCGTAATCAAATGTTTATTGCTCAATGCCTATATATTTTTGTCTGCTTCTTTAATTTCGTTGAATACTACTATTTTGGTCATATGTATGGACCCAATTTCCCCATAACAATTTGACATTTGCGTTTACTCTAAATGATCATGAATCACGATATATTTCTAACTCGTAACAATTTGACGTCAAACTTTCACATCATATTAGATTAGACTAGACGCTTATTGATAATTGTTTTTATTTATTTTGTTTTGAGAATTCTCGAATCAGACGCTTATCGATGAACAAACGATATAGAGTTCGTCGTAACCAAAAAAACATCGTGCTATTAATATTAGGAAAAATTATAATAGGAGTCATACGAGATATTTTTATTAAATTTACATACCTTCAATCTTAAAATTAACGCATATTTATACGGATATGGGCTTGAGCTAATTAAATTTGATAAGCTTAATTAAGCCTAAATAACTTTCATTTAAAATGACTTTGGGCCTGAGCTTATAGCGTTTTGGGCTAGGCTTATCAAATACGATGAACCCATACATAATAAATAAGTATTAGTATTTATTTTTATTTTTTGAAAATAAATACAAATATTAACATATGTTATGTTAAAAAAAAATTAATAATTAATATATTTTATATTTGATCTATCTTCTAGAAACTTCGATACCCCCTAATTTTCAAATTTCAGTAATTAACAGCTGTTACATGAAGATTTATTTGATGTACTGCGAATGATTATGGTAAGTAAAAGCAGTTCAAGCTAATAATTGCACATGAAGGCAATGGAATCTAATTTAATTAGTCCTAATCCAATAGCACAGTACACCTAATCATGGAGTAATAGCAATTAACACAGTAACCATATATATATACGGATGTGTGCCACGTGTCCATTTTTCGTAAAAACATAAGATATTTGAACGGTGGATGATTTTATGAGAGAGTTTTATTTAGTATACAAATCTGAATAAATTATGTACTTACCTTAATGATATACTGCATTAACTATGTCCTTATCCCCTTTGTTTCAACTTCGTATTATTGCAAATTGATCCCACAAGTTTTAGAATGTTTACAATATAGACACAAATTGCACTATTTAAGGAAAAAAATATTGTAAATAAATTTATTACATATATAGAATCAGACCAATGGAAATATTCAGAGCTCCTGCCAAAGATTAATGGTGAGTTCATTTGTTATGTTTATTGTAATTTAAGTTTGTTAATTTTTTTAATAAGAAAATATTTGCATTTGCATTTGCATGTATGAGTGTATTTTTTATTTAGAATTTAATGAATAAAGATACACAAATATAAAAACAAAATAAAATGCGTTTGCATTGCACGCGCGTTAGAAGAGATTGTAAAACCCTTTTACGGACAAAAAAATATTGCAGACAGAGAGAATTATTGCACTATAAGCTGCGGTGATAGAGGGAAAAAAAATGAAATTGAAATGAGGTCGGAATGAAATTGAAATGCAGATTCCATCCAAATGAAATTGAAATGCATCACAAATTCACGCGTTCTTGCGAGTAAAGGCAGCAGTAGTGTTAAGCAGTAGTCATGAAGTCCGTGTAAACAGTCATACCAGTCGTCGTCCATATTTGTAGAGAGAGAGAGAAACGCAATTTGCTTTGTAGAGAGAGAAAGTATACGTACAAAATACTGTCCCGGTGTATTATATCTGCTAATCACACGAACCAACACACGCAGAGTGGCTATACTCCCCGCTCCCAAATTGTTGAGGATAAGCTTCGGCTAACTTGCGCCGGCCATTGAAATGGTTCGGTAACACCTTTTTTTTTTTTTTTTTTTTTTCTGCTTATTTGATTAACCTTATTTTTTTCTTCAGTGCATATAGCTTAGTGATAATCTGTTAACTAATATGCATATTTCAATTATATGTATGCGCATTTGGTTTCGCGGATTGATTAATTTTCCTGTTTGAAGTTTCGATTAAGACGATTGTGTGATTGAGATGATGTTTTGATTTGCCTTTCAGTTTTTCCCCTGAATTGAGTGAATAGCATCCAAAAATTAAAGTAGGAGAGTGGTGAAATTCGTATCAAAATTGAAGAAATGGCCGGCGATAATGAGGAAGCTAGTACACAGAGGCTTCAATCTTCATTCGGAACATCATCTTCACTCCCCAAATTGCAGCAGCACCCCTATAATTTGATGAACCAGCTAGAAATACCCCAGCCCCAATTTCGCGGTCTCGTTCGACACTTCTCCCCGAATAATTTCACCTCCGAAAATTCCAACAGAAGGGCCGGCATTCCACCCTCTCACCCCCAAATTCCCCCCATTTCCCCTTATTCACAGATCCCGGTTAACCGCCCCGGTAATTTCAGTACCAGTCCAGGTGGGCCCTCCCACAGCCGGTCACTATCGCAGCCCTCGTTTTTCGCGCTCGATTCACTGCCACCTTTAAGCCCGTCGCCTTATCGAGAGCTAGCTGACATGTCCATGGAGGAAATGGTGAGGGGTGGTAATAATTCATTGAGGACCGGCGAAACCCTTCCTCCACGTAAGGCGCATAGAAGGTCCAACAGTGATATACCGTTCGGTTTTGTATCGATCATGCAATCTTCTCCGCCGCTTATTAAGAGAGAGTTGAGCTGCGACAACAATGGTGAAGGAACGGGGGAGAGGAAATTCGAAGGGGAAGTTGTTGAGGATATATTCTCGGCTTATATGAATCTTGACAACATTGATGCTTTCAACTCTTCGGGCACAAACGAGAACCGAGAAGACTTGGATAGTCGAGCTAGTGGGACCAAGACTAACGGAGGTGACAGTAGCGACAATGAAGCGACTAGTAGTGTCAATGAAAGTGGGGGAAGTGTGCCGAAGAGGGAAGGGTTTAAGAGGAGTGCTGACGGGGATATTGCTCCTACGACTCGTCATTATAGAAGTATCTCTATGGATAGTTTTATGGGGAAGGTGAATTTCGGTGATGAATCGCCCAAAATGCCCCCGTCTCCTGGAGGAAGTCTCGCAGGTCAACTATCGCCGAGCAATTCGATCGATGCAAATTCGAATGCTTTTAGCTTGGATTTTGGTAATGGTGAGTTTACTGGTGCTGAGATAAAGAAGATTATGGCGAACGAGAAACTTGCTGAGATAGCATTAGCTGATCCCAAACGAGCCAAAAGGTAATACATACTATATAATATATACACACACACACACATACTTGTAGTTCTTGAAAAAGGTTACACATTTACTGATTGGATTTGTATTGCGTGTAGAATCTTGGCCAACAGGCAGTCTGCTGCTCGATCGAAAGAGAGAAAGATGAGATATATAGCGGAATTGGAGCACAAGGTTCAGACATTGCAGACTGAAGCGACTACGTTGTCTGCTCAACTTACTATGCTTCAAGTGAGAGCAAGCTTATTTTCATTGGTTCGGTGAATAGTTATTTTTGTTACTATACTTTCGATCATTTAATATTGGTTTCTTTTTGCGTTCAGAGGGATTCTGTTGGACTAACGAGCCAGAACAACGAGCTCAAGTATCGCTTGCAGGCTATGGAACAACAGGCTCAACTCCGAGACGGTATGGATCGAATTCTGTATTTATTATTCACAAGTGGCGTGGTAATTTTAATTTTTATATAAATGCTCATGGAGAATACGGTTATTCAAATGCAAAAGGAACAGGGTTTCCACAGAATTATTACATTTTACATATTCGGCATCTAACTATTCTTGCACTTGGAAAATTTCGTTCTAATTACCGTTTTTGTTTTAAAAGCCAAAGTCGCTTACACGTGTTTTTCTTATTACAGCACTTAATGAAGCACTGACAGGGGAGGTGCAACGACTGAAGATTGCAGCTACTGAACTAAGTGGAGACACCTCGAAATTTCAGCAGCTTTCAATTAGCGCCCATATGTTCCAGTTACGCCAGCAACAACAAACTCAATACCACCAATCAAATGGGGATACTTCCGAAAATGAATCAAACGAATAGCCTCTCTCCGAGTACTCTAAATTCTCAAAGCCCGAACACAAACAAGTTGCTTTTGATGGGTAAAGGCTATATTGAGTAATTACATTCATTCATTAGTTTTGTACCTTCAACTCTATACAATTGAGGTGCCAAACACATGTTCTTTCTCTACTCTTATATGTTTGTTTATCTCCAATTTTTTTAGTCGAAAAAAAAAACACTATAGCATCGAGCTTATGTGTGAACATATTTTATCCAACAAATTGGTTTTGTTGTGTCAAATTTGTTCCGATTCTTCCATCGATCTCTTTTGAGTTGCCATTGCTGGCATGGTGACATTATTACATTTTTTTGTATATTGCTCGTCGATGGGCAACTATTTGTAACTTCGGATTCGTTTATTTTAATGATATCTCGTTATTATACAATCTTCGTAAGTTCGTTCATCGATCTGTTTAGCTTTTGGATACTTGGGATGCCGGATTATGATGTGATTATATAAAATAGTGTAAAGAAGAATAAGTGAATAACTATTCCCAGTTCAATGTATTCTGATTTCACATGAGATTCGTTGTACTAGGGGGGAATAATAAAACTAATCTTCAAGATTAGCCTTTGAACATGTGTCGCCATCTTTATTTACCCGACAAAGTAACTAAAATTATACGCGTAGGAATTAATGCATGTAATAATTCAGAAAAAAATATATCATGATATATCAAAACTTGAGATAAAAATGAAAATATAAAGCCACATTTATGGGATGTCTTTATCTTCGATTACATTATTCTCCATACCCCTAGGCCCTACACTAGGACTTTCATTTTGGTTCCTCCGAATTGGAAAATTGACTTTCATGATTCCGTATTTAGTTAACTAGCGTAAACTACAAATGTTACCAATCAGTCAGGATGGCCGAGTGGTCTAAGGCGCCAGACTCAAGTTCTGGTCCTCGTAAGAGGGCGTGGGTTCAAACCCCACTTCTGACAATATTTTTTTTTTATTTTTTTCCATTTTTAATAAAAATCTGACGATTTATTTACTGGGCCGGGAAAAATCCGAATATTGGGCTTAAATTTAAAAGTTCATTGACTAGGCCGGGTTGGGTTGCAATTTAAAAGTGTATTAACCGGGCCGGGAAATTCCAAAGTTGGGCTTAAATTTAACAGGGCTTTGACTTTTTTATGATTGTATGAATAATAAATAATCCGGCCAGTATTTAGCCTACTAATTAATATAAGCCCATCTAATATATAAAGGCATTATTTCTCAAATGAGTAAAATACGCCATTTCAACAGCAGTTATACCTCTGGCCTTTGCCTGAACTTTTAACTACCTCTTCCATCCGATTAAACCCTCAAAACCCTACTTCTGCGATGGGAGACGACACCGCCATTGTTATTAATTCCGATGACCTCTCAGTTGATGAATCTCCGGCCACATTCCAATACCCGTTGAACGCGGAGGAGATGGTGGCTAAATCCATAGCCCCAGTGAAAAGAGATTTTCTCTGTCCGCCGCCTGTCAGAACTTGCAATAGAGACGATAACAGCAAAGCTCCACTGATGGATGAGAAGAAATCCAAACGCCAGTTGAAACGCGAGCGCCTTCAGGTCAGAATACCAGTTGGTTTTTTTTCTTTTTAATAGTTTGATTTAATTTGCTTGGTGTATGAAATGGAATACAATTTCATTGCTTGATTTCGTGTTTTTTTTTTTTGGTACTTTGATTTAATAATTTGTGATACGGCTGTATTGAATTGTGTTAGATATAATGTAGGAACAAAAATCTGCTTTGCATATATGTCCAGCGGTAGCGAAAAGCGGAAACGTTGATTCGTGTGTGTATAAAGAAAAGTGCCGCTACAGCCATGATATGGAATCATTCAAGTCTCAGGTAAATAACGACTCTAACGTATTTTGTTTGCTATCCGACTGTTATTGAATCGATAGTTCATGTAGTGTAATTACGGGGCTTGATTTTGTTTGATGCAGAAACCAGACGATTTAGATGGTTTGTGCCCTTTCTTGAGTAGTCAGGGGCCATGCCCTTACGGTATTGCTTGTAGATATGCGGCCACACATAAGGATGGCGAAACGGGGGAAGTTGCTACGGTAATAATTAATGGAGACAAGAGAAACGGTGAACTGAATGTACTGAAAAAGGATGTTCAGAAGCTTTTGTGGAAAAACAAGATGAAGTTCCCCAAGGCAGATGATGCTCTCAATCTTCTCGGGCTTCTGGTAAGGACTATAAATTTTACTCTTAATAGTCTTATTTCCACATCAATAAATATGGCGGAGATTTGGATTTTTGTCAACTTTGGCATTTTGATTGCAGAAACAGGGGAAAAAGAAAAATGTGGGTGATAATGATAGTGATGGCCAAGTTGTTATCAATGGTAATGGAGATGTTGATGGAAAGGGTTGTTGTAGAGAAAATACCGACTCCGTTAACGAAGTGGATTGCACTGCAGAAGTTTTGGAAGAAGATAAACCATATGAAGCAGATGTGGCTGAGGAACTTAGACCGCCCAAGAAAACAAAATCCTCAATTGATGAAACTTGTTCAGAACCACTTATTGATGGTTAGTTGCGTAAAAATCAGGCACACGTTCAAGTTTTTTTAGGGCGTGTTTGTTTATTTTATCTATCATGGCAGGTGAAATTCTTCACGAGAAAGACACGGAAAAAAGCTGCAAACAGAGTGAACCAGATTTTGAAATTATTATGGAAGATAATGATAAGTGCCTAAAGTTGCATCCACGGGAAAAGAAACTCATTGACTTCAAAGAAAAGCTCTACCTTGCTCCCCTGACAACGGTCGGAAATCTACCATTTCGTCGTCTCTGCAAGGCTCTGGGAGCTGATATTACATGCGGTGAGATGGCAATGTGCACCAATCTTTTGCAGGTTAGCAAAATCTATTTTTTTCGTTTCTGCTGAGCAACTTTGTGTCTGAATGGGATGAGTTCATTGATATTGCTGCAGAATTAGATGATTGATGAATGGTGTCTATAATCCTGTTGCAATTTAGAAAGCCCTTTTGTGCTGCTTACATTGGATGTTTATGCTGAGTTGATCCAAATAGTAACTTAAATAATTGACAATTTATTTTCTTGCCCTTTTGTGATATTTGAATTCTATCATGTTATTAGTTGTATAAGTCACTTTTCTGCAGTACCTCATTGCTTATGTACAATAATTAAGTGAAAGTAAACATAGGCAGTCGACTATGTTAAGTATTAAAATTTACCATTTATCGAACTTTTCTTTTCACCATCTTATGCTACATCAGCAGGCTGTTTAAATTTCCATGTTTTGTATGTGTTATGACTTCCATAGTTGGTGATAGGGATGACATGTTTAACTTATAACTTTCAGAAGTTTATACCCTGGTAAACTTACCTGCATTACCTAGAATTAAAAATTATGTGGAAATATTCAAAAAGAGTTCCCAATACCACATGTAAACAAAGATTCATCCACTCTCTTCTTTGCAACATGTCATGGATTTCTCCTATCACCTTCTTGGTATGAAATAGGTCCTAATCCAATATTTACTCGTAGCTCTTACATTGCTCAGTGAGACAAAATTCATGAGTTACCATGATGTAAATACGCTTTTGTAAAGGTGAAACTAAGCTAACTACAACTAATCGCACTGTGCTCTGAAATGTTTAACAGGGTCAAGCTTCTGAATGGGCTTTGCTAAGGCGCCATTCGTCAGAGGATCTCTTTGGTGTTCAGATATGTGGGGCATTTCCAGACACTGTTGCAAAAACAGTTGAACTTATAGAGCAGCACTGCACAGTGGATTTCATTGATATCAATATGGGTTGTCCAATCGATGTTGTCGTAAACAAGGGTGCTGGATCCGCCCTTCTGACAAAACCTATGCGAATGAAAAGTGTCGTCGAAGCCTCTTGTAGAGCAGTTGAGACGCCAGTAACTATCAAGGTACATTGCACATATATTTATTGCTGGGTAATAAAATGGCATGTATAGTAAATATGCATTATTAAACAAAGTTCCAGTTCTTGACTATTTATTATCTATAGTAATCTATGCATTGTGTAGGTACGAACAGGTTATTTTGAGGGCAAAAACAGGATCGACTCTTTGATATCCGATATGGGAAACTGGGGAGTCAATGCCGTTACAGTCCATGGTCGGACACGTCAGCAGCGGTACAGCAAACCTGCTGATTGGGAATACGTTTACCAGTGTGTGCGAACTGCCCCTTCTACACTGCAAGTCCTCGGAAATGGTGATGTGTTCTCTTATTTGGATTGGAACATTCACAAGTCTAATTGCCCTGAGCTATCTACATGTATGATTGCTCGAGGAGCTTTAGTTAAGGTTTGCAGTCAAACCTTATTACCTTCATTGTCCTCGACAATATAGAATATTACAAATCCCGTTTGATGTCTTGTCACTTATTCACTTGAATTTGTAGCCCTGGATATTTACTGAAATCAAGGAACAGAGGCATTGGGACATTAGTTCTGGAGAGAGGTTAGATATTTTGAGGGATTATGTGCGCTTTGGCCTTCAACATTGGGGTTCCGACTCAAAAGGTATATAATATAATAAGCATGTCTTTTTTGTGAATATTTATTTATTTGCTTGTTTATATTTTTACATTTATATTTACATTAAAATTGTATTAAATGGGCAGGAGTTGAGACAACCCGACATTTCTTGCTGGAATGGCTGAGTTACACTTTCAGATATGTACCAGTTGGGCTCTTAGAAGTTATCCCACAAAAGATCAATTGGCGGCCACCCTCGTATTTCGGCCGTGATGAACTTGAGACCTTAATGGCTTCGGAATCTGCTGCTGATTGGGTACTTTACTTGAACACATTTTTTTTTTTTTTTTGTTTTTGTTTTTTTTTTCTCTCGGAAGAATTTATATATCGTAATAACTTGTGAGGGATATTAATGTTGCAGATTAGGATATCTGAGATGTTGCTTGGCAAGGTGCCTTCTGGGTTCACATTTTCTCCTAAGCACAAGTCCAACGCATACGATAAAGCAGAAAATGGCTAATCAGGCCTTCTATTTTTTTGGTTGGCGTTTCAAATTGCAGTAAGACGACAATCCAGCCGTTCGGAAATACTTTGTACGGTTATGGACTTGCTAATCCCAAAAAGGAAGCCAATTGGTTAATGTATTGCTAGTGCAGTTTTTGAAGTCCTGATTTGATCATTTCTTATTTATAATCAACAGACCACTTGTAAAAGATCAGTATTTCCAGTATACATTTTATTTATTCCGGCCACAGCCTGACCTTTTAATTTATGATTGTTGCTGATAGCAGATTTTCAAGCCTTGCATATGTATGCTTGATAATTGTAACTTGGCAAAAACAACAAAGAACCTTCTGTAACTTAAGAAGAAAACGATCATACAACATACACGTACAACACTAGAATCGAACTACATACAACTACAAGAACGAGAGTAGTTAGCGGTATGCTTGATTGTAACTTCTGTTTGCTCCAGTTCATTTGGAAAGTTAATCTCATACTTGTTAGTATGCAAAATGCTCACAAAACAAACGGACGATACATAAGAAACTCACCGAATCGAAATTGGCACCCATAAATTAAACCATGATTAGGATTACATAAATCATAAACAAAATTGTTGTATGAGCAATTGTTTCAGCATCCCCATACATAAAACAATGCAGCAAAATTGCACAAAACATGTGTTCCTTCATCAATCCAACTATGAATTCTTCCCCACCTTCCCATGATCATAAAAAAAGATGTATAATCAGATAAATTATGCAGAGAGTAAGTACTACATCCCAATTTAAAATGATATTAGGCAGATAATTTAATCTCCTTTTCCACCCCCATTTCATTCCCAGTTTCAGGGAGCCACCCCCCATCAATAGACTCCATACTCCCGGTCAACCCATCATCAAGCGAATCCCCAATCCTCTTCACCTTCCCCTTCGGCTCCACCGGATAATTCCCCGAAAAACAAGCATAACAAAACCCCTTCGCATCACCCCCCAAATACTCCGTCAACTTATCCATGGGCAGAAACGCAAGCGAATCCGAACCAATAAACTCCCTGATCTCATCCACACTCATCCTATTCGAAATCAACTCACCTGGACTAGGCGTATCAACTCCATAGTAACACGAAGCAATAATCGGAGGGCTCGCAATTCTCATGTGCACCTCCTTCGCACCGCTCTCTTTCAACAGTCTCACAATCTTGGAAGAAGTGGTCCCCCTAACAATCGAATCGTCCACCACAACCACACGCTTGCCCTCCAACACCGCACGCACGGGTGATAATTTCAGCTTCACGCCAAAGTCTCGAATCTTCTGCGAAGGCTCGATAAAAGTCCTCCCCACGTAGTGTGACCTAATCAAACCCTGTTGAAACGGCACCCCAGCTTTCGCAGCGTAACCCAATGCAGCCACGACACCAGAATCAGGCACAGCAATCACTACATCACAATCGACCGGTGCTTCGGTAGCTAAAATCTCTCCAAACGCGTGCCTGGATTCATAAACGGACCTCCCGAAAACCACGGAATTCGGTAGAGAGAAGTAAATGTGCTCGAAAACGCAAGACTTGGGCTCCGGGTGAGGCATTAAGCAAAGGGATTGAACACCTTCTTTATCCACCACAAGAACTTCGCCCGGATAAACCTCTCGTTCGTATGTGGCTTCGATCAAATCCAAAGCGCACGTCTCCGAAGCAAAGACAACAGCTCCGTTGCTTTTTCGACCCATTACCAATGGCCGGAAACCAAACGGGTCCCGCACTGCAACTAGCTTGTCTTCGGTCAAGAACACCATTGAATAAGCTCCCTCGAGCTTTTCGCAAGCTTCGACTATTCTCATGAAGAAAGGCCTCGCCTTGGAAATGGCGATCAGGTGAAGAACTACCTCCGTGTCGGAGCTGGTGTTGAAGATGGACCCGTTTTCTTCGAGCTCCGCTCGGAGAGATTGGTAATTTACCAAATTGCCATTGTGGGCGACCCCCACGGAGCCGAATCTGTAACCGGCGACAAAGGGTTGAACGTTTTTCAGCATGGAGGAACCGGCGGTGGAGTATCTGACGTGGCCGATGGCTATATCTCCGGGCAATTTAGCCAATTTTGACTCGCTGAAAACCTCAGAGACAAGGCCGACGCCGGTGACGGAGTGGAGGATGTTGTCGTGAACGGAGACGATGCCGGCGCCCTCTTGGCCGCGGTGCTGGAGCGCGTGGAGGGAGAGGTAGCAGAGGCGCGCGGCCTCCGGGTCGCCGTAGATTCCGACCACGCCGCACTCTTCCCTAGGTTTGTCGTCATCATCGTCGGAAAATATTGTGGTTTCGGTGTTGGTTGAATTTTTGTAGGTGGAGATGATATCTGAGATGGGGTTATTCTTCGAGTGGGTTGTCTGGAGGGGTTTTTGGAGGGTTTTAGGGAAGATGGAGGAGAAGGGCTTAGACGGCGGCGAGAGGCGGGTGGCGGTCCTGGCGGAGGAAGTGGGATAGGCGGAGGCTGCGGCGGTGGAGAAGGCGGTTGTGGCCATCGGAAATTGAGGGGATAAGGGGTGGTGGTGGTGGTGGCTGGGGATTGGACTATGAATAGCCAAAGGGAGTGTGGGACTAGGTTTTAGTGCCTTTATTTTGGTTTGATTGAGTGCTGCTGAGGGTGTTTTGGGGGAAAATTAGGGTACACAAGGCGGTTATTATTTTGAGCGTTTTGATTGGTCTGTGATGAAATCTAGTGGTCCCAAATGAATGACCAGAAGTGGTAAAAGTACAAAGAGAAAATCTACTTGCAATGATGTGACGTGTCGTCCTCCTTTCTGCGCGCTTTTATTAATGTTTATGATTCTAGAATCAGGATTAATCATAACCAATTAACCATACCTATTTGGACAAAATAATAATCCATTTGAAATTAATGTATATTTTTAACATACTTTTAGAGTATTTGTTTATACGATTTTCTCTAAACTTTTGTGGGCTCAATGCTAAAGAAAAGGCATAAAACTATTATTGACTGACCACTAAATTCAATTTGTTGCTATATGCCAAGCACCCCTAATAAGTAATGAAGGGATATTAATATTATTACTATAGACAATAATATAATCTTATCAAAATTAAAAAATATATATATATATATATATATATATATATATATAGATATATATATATAAAAACTGGAACTAAATATTGAGAAACATCACAAAGCTGAAATCACATACTAGTTGCGTTTTGGCTTGTGTTGATAGTGACGTCAGAGTTGTTAGGAGCCAATGGAATCGGCTAATAAACATATGGACCAAGCAAAAAAGGGTAATATAATATCCCACCACGCTCCCCTGCCTCTAGTCTAATCCAATCCAAGTTCACATCTGGGCCCACGTGTATATATATATATATATATATATATATATATATATATATATATATATATGTTTTGAAAAATACAGTTTCATGCCTCAAGTTCGTCTAATTTCACATTTGGCCCATCATGTTTCAAAAATTCAACAAATTTAGTAACTACCGTATCTGATGGATTAGCAAATTGACGAAAAATGACCAAAAGTGTCAAATTATTGAAACATGAGGGACCAAATGTGAAATCGTTGCAAACTTGAGGGGCGGAAACTGTAAATTTCCCTACACACACACACTCTCCTAATAAACTAAAATAAATTGGGGTTTCCACATTTATCCTAACAATTTGCAATGAAACGTAAACCTATGTATCCTTGTCAAAATGCAATAAAGATATAGAAATCAAGAAGAAAAACAATCAAGAAAAGCGAAATAGATAATCCAAGTTCAGAACTAAGCATTAGGGAATTCGGGCTGTTCAGTTCACTCTTCAAAAAGGAGAGAACTTATTTACTACAATGCACGTAGAGAAAATATCGTAACAACCTGCCAATAGATGAAGTTCATAATATCGTGGGGAGAAAACAGAGATAAGCGAAGTTAAAGAGCATAAAGAACACACATAGTCTTGATTTGGCATGTTGACTACTTTATCCGATCTGAAATCAACCTGTTCTCATTATTATGTGGGCCCCGCTATCAGTGTCGATAATGTCACTAATCTCACCAACCTTCAAACTGAATGTGGCATCTTCAAACGGCTTCTGCATCTGACCACGGCCAAACGGACCTGAGAACATACATAATGAGATTCTTCCAATTACGAATTTCGTGGTACAAGAAGAACCATAAACCAGCACTTTTCAGTAATAACTGGAAGACGACATCATTTAAGAGAGTTTATGCAGTTCATGCCCATGGAATGACAACAATACGAACATGGTAGCAATAACCCAAATACTTGAAATGATAACCGATTCTCGTAAAAAAAGGGAAAATATGCTTCCTATTCCAAACGGTTACTTTGTGCACAATGATAAGCGTGAAATCCGATGATGCCACAGCAAATGCAGAAGGTAGAAAGACTGAAGAAATTTACTGACTTCATATATAAACAATGAGAATGTGGTAGAACATTGAGCAAGGGAACTTATCTAAGAGCAGCTGACGAAATTCGCAAATGGGAGAAAATATTGCAGACTACTCATGAGAAGAAAGCTAAAAATCAAATAGGTTTCTACAGTAAACGGCATTAAACCATTAAACGATGAAGCAGGTGATCTGGATAGTAATGCAAAGTGAAGGACAGTTTCTAAAGCTTAAAATAAAGTATACTTGCATCACGACAGAAAAGCATCATGACATTAAAATGACAAACACAAAAATCACCAACCATCCACAGACTATCAGTCGCAGCCATCTTGGACTACAAAGAGAACATAAATGCGTAGAGAAAATCACGGCTTTCTACTTTCCATAAGCCCTACTCTATAGTACATATCCTCTTAATCGTCACATGTAATACAAATATTCTTTACCTTTAACTGCACATAAATGATACATAATATTTGACATTTGACCAAATTCAATTTGGTAAATAATCTCCACTCCAGAGATGATTGTATAAAGGATCAAACACATCAAATATGAAATGAAATACGCATGGGAAGATTAGTCCTTAAATAATTCTTTCAATTCCAGTATTCAATTGGTTATTTCAAACATTATCCCTTTTATTTTTTTTAAATCAAATAGAAACTATCAAAAAGTATAATAATTTTCAAATATTTATTTCCGAAATGAAGCACAAACAAAACAATTAATGAAACTTCTTTCACGTCGTGTATTTATCTGCAGGGAATGGTGAACAGTACCGCTCTCAATATAGCTTCTAGGTCAAAATCCTCAACCATAAATTTCAAAGAATTCTAGCAGCAAAAGTCAAATCATACAATGCCACAAGAAATTAAACCTAAATAAATTACAATTACAATTACTGATTTATATTTCAGCATCCAATCCATCAAGTTACATAACAAAACCAGAAGGAATAAAAAAAAAAAGTGATTTCCCATACCGAGATCGCCGCCGCGCTTGGCCGAGCTGCAGTCAGAGAATCGAGAGGCGACGTCATCGAACCTCGTTTTACCGGCAATGATATCGTCGCGGAAGGTTTTGAGCTGCGCGACGGCGCTGTCCCTAGTGGTGGCGGAGATGCGGCGGCCATCGGGATCCTTCCAGGACGACTTCCGCCGGGATCCTTCGTGCTTAATCAGTATGTGCGACGCCACCACTTGCTCGCTCGACGACATTTTTTCTGCTGATTAGGTGAAGATCTACGAGAGAAGTGCAATCGAATTCTGGCTGGAGTGGTGGTGGTGTGGGAGTGGAGCGTAAAGGTTAAAAAGGTTTTTGGCCTTTGGGTTTTAATTATTCGAAGGTTCGAGTCCCAATGAAACGACGCCGTCGTGTTTGACCACATTAAAAATGGATATTCCTACAAAATCCAAAACACATTTGCAATTTACTTTTTAAATATAGGGCCAAATTTTGTTTTTCTTTATTCATAATTTTGGAAGTGCTCCGCAATTATAATTTTGTGTGTTTATTTTCTTAAAATAAATTTATTTAAACTACAATATTAAAATAAATTATTTTAATCTATAATCTTGAAATAAATTGTACTAAGCTATGATCTTAAAATAATGAAGTAGCTAATTTTGTAAGCTTAAAGTTGCATTAAAATTTAAACCTTTAAGAGTTTCCTGTATTGATCTAAATCCAATTATTAAGGGTGATTTAAGATATGTTTCCAAATTAAGTGGAAAATTAACATTTATTTAGCAAATAAACTTACAAGATAAGGGGCTGATTCGGTTACTACTAAAAGTTTTCTAACTAAGTGCTCGTTCGGTTACCGTAATAAGGTTCTACTGACTAAATAATAGGGGCTATTAACATGTCAAGTTGGCAAGATTCACACATTTTCAAACCCGCTACTAAAATCGAAGTCCGCTAGTAAATACTAATATTATTTCATTAAATTAGTAGCACCCCTCCCCCTGAGATTAATTTTATAGGGGTGACTAAAAATGAAAAATACAATTTTATCCTTAAAATCATATTTTATTATTGTAAACTAAGTGGTTTTATAGACAATTCATATATAATAACTGGTTTTAACAAATTTAATAGAAAATCTAATCTAAGAAACCGAACATGCTACTAACTAAATAATTAATTAGTCAGTGGGGAATTAATCCAATCTAATCCAATATAGATAACAGAACGAGCCATAAATAGCATGAATTAGTAAAATTGTACGATTTCACTAAATTAGTAGCACCCCTCCTCCTGTCGGGGGTCCAATGAATCGAACGTCTCCCCGGGGGTAATGTTAACTATTGAATAGGTCTTTTGGAGCCATATAACTTTGGGCCTTAAGAAATATGGGCCATAAGGGTTCAGATTTTGGGCCGAAGCCGATGAAGTGTTTTCTCCACGAAAGAGGAGAAAAAAAAAAAACCAAGGGAAAAAGACACAGCGCAGAGCAAAATTTCGGCCATCGTTTATCTACTCTGATCTACTCTTCTTCCGTGAGAAAAAGTAAATCATAACAATGGCGCCGCTTCCTGGACCGTACTCCGGCACAAGCGCCGTCGCGTTGGTAAATTCGATTTCATTTTGCGATCTATTTTATTCATCCTATATTCGCTTGTATGCATATTCTGTTTGTGTTATTTGTTCATAGTTTATCTGATTTTCAATCAACGGGGGCAGGTCGCTAGGGTTTCAGCTTTCTCATTCGGGATTGTTTACGGGAGCGTAAAACTTAGGATTCTTAAGGTATGTTATTTATTTTATTTTATTTTTGTTTTTCGTTTTTCAATCCTTTTGGTTCACAGGTGATGAATGGAGATGTAAATCATGTTTTAATACTGTTTGAGCTTCATATTTTACTTCGTTGTTTTTGTTTGAGTGAATCGAATTAGATTGTTATTCTATGTTGATCGATTTTTCTACGATTTGGTTTGATTTGGATAATCCGGCATTGGGTTGACTTATCTATCTAAACACAGCTTGAACCGTAAATTGAATTTTTACACTTACTGAAGTAGGGTGAGAGACGTTGTATGTTAATAAATGAGGACGTAATTTGCTGCATGATTAACGAGTATGTTGTAGTAATGGCAGTGATTGAGTATCTTTTTGGACTCGATGTACTCGATGCATGCTTGCAGTGCCTAGGGTTGCATTTAGTCGAGGGGATTTGAGAGAAGAGTAGCAAATTGATTGATCTTCTGGATTGGTTCATTTTGACGAATGTATTTTTAAATCTTTAGCTCCCATTTTAAGTCATTTTTTTTTTTTAGTTTTCGGGGGTGGATTCAAACCTGTTTCATTTTGAAGTTATTCGAAATCCTTCCTCGAATTAAAATCCTTCAATACTTAGCTTTTGGATGGAAGAATTTGAGTGATGATTTCCAATTTATAATAGAAAGTCCATTGAGATTGTTTGGATTGATTCATTTGATGATGAATTTCAAGTTCTTAGCTCTTATTTTAAGTTATTTTTTGAGTTATGCGGTGGATTTCAAATTCATATAATTTGTAGTTATTTGAAATCATTGTGTTTGAACTAAAATTCGAATAATTCAATCCTAATGCACTCTAAAAGACGTAAAGGACCATTGCTTCTCTTGATTGGTTTTATTGACGAGAGCTTGTAACCATTATATTATTTTCTGATTTTCCATCTGTCACCGGAGCATCGAGATGACTCATATTTTGCTTTATTTCTTATTTCACCAGGCTCAGGCAAAGTCCCATAAGAAAGCTGAAGCTAAGGGGCATCACTAGAGGAACATTCACTCTTTTTAAATTTTTTTTTTTTTTGGTTGCCGATGAAAATAATTGATGAGTATGCTCTGGCCTGATACGCAGGACCATAATTTGTGCTTTTGAGTTGTGACAACTTAATTACGGGCAATTGACGTGGGCTTCTTGGTTGATTTTGTTTCAGTTTTCAGAATATAAACCACGATTATGATATATGCTCTGCATTCGAAGCGATTTGAAACCTATGGATGTTCTAGATAGTATTGTCTTCTTGATGTCTGGTGATAGTAGTAAGTAGATTATAATGGGAAAGTGGTTTGATTAGATATATTGTAACGGTATTGATAATTTTGATAGCGTTACTATCGAACTACATAGTACACCCCGGTTCGGTTGCTCATCACATTTTGACAAGAAAAGTAATTAACCTCTAATTCCTTCCTTTTTTTCAATAATCGATAAAATAAATTACAGATACTCGATTATAATGTACTGCCATTCGTCCTGAGTTTACGATTTGTTTGCTTAGCAATCCTATAACTAGGAAAACAAAATTCAATATTTTTGTCAGGCAAAGCAGAACATTGAACCTTGGGCAGTTGAGGTCCCTCAAACAACGCAGAAGCAGGATTTCCCCGAAATTTGAATGCAAATATCCAACCTGCCAAGAAAATAATAGAATAAGAACGCTTGGCACGAAAGCATAACTATATAATACACATTTGAACATTGTCTAGACTTTAGAAGCTCCACAATCAAAATGCTTTACAGGCCATTCGAGAAACTTACGATTCTGAATTAATAATTTACTAAGTTGGAAATGCAAGTAGCACTAGGGGATATAAAGTAGTGAACTGTTATTACAATACAAAATATAAGTACAATCGCAACGATCATAGATTATTTTTTAATTTCAACATCAATTTGTCGAGTGGTACAACAATGCAAACTCAAAATTTTAATTATTTCAATAAGCCGGTGTCTGGTGAGTGAGTGAACTAACCAGTGATGACGAAAATCCCCTGCCCGTACATTGCAATCTCCATTACTACTGACGTGTTAGACCAAAACTAGTTAACATAAATGATGCCTTCTTCATCATCAACATCTTCGCCCTCCCACTCCACATCCTCGTTGCTACCCTCGACAAACTCTCCGGAATCTTCATCTTCGTCTTCCGGTGATTTTTTCTCATTCTCGTCCTTTATTTTATCTAATATAGCTATTACCTGAAATCAAATACAACACCGAACAGCTAATGAGAGGAGATGGTAGAGATTTTCTCGAAAGTGACAGAATATAGCAAGACACAAGAACTAGGCTTCGATGAAGGATCCTTTCTTCAGAAAAATGTGAAAACATTAAGTCAGAATAAAGAAACTACTGAAATCTCACCCTGCTTCCTCGTTCTATAGACTCGTCTTCTAGGAAACGAACTTCGGGAGTAATCCGCAACTTCATACGCTTGCCCAACTCACTGCGGACATATTTTGCTTTCGACTTCAGCCCTGCTAGGGCAACTTCTTTTCCTCTTTCATCTCCGAAAACAGATACATACACTTTAACAACCTATCGTGAAAGCAAAAGAGATGCTCAAACATTTAAGAGCCTGAAATGATGACTCAATGAACACCTACAAAGTACAAACTCATCAATCTAAACAGCCAAATTCACAACTCCATTTTGCCCAATATTCAAGTTTTGCACAATGTTTAAATAAGATAAGAAAGAACCTTCTTAAATGTGAAATAACAACCAATCCTAGTGGTAGAACTGCTACACAGTTGAGTTGCCTCAAAGATCTCAAGAACCCCGAATTCCCAAGTTGATGCACGACACTAATCAACTAAATTAGCTATGTTAAATAAAAGACTGGATAATGCTGCAATGCACTTTCCAGAATCGACAGCTCAATAGCCATGGAATACCTAAGTAACATAGAGAACATAAACAAATATTACTCGATTTATTGCTTCCGCATCGTAATTTATGAACTTTTACCATAACTATCAAGTATCCCAGCTCTACAGGTTTCAACTTGAGAAATTAAGAGATTCGACTTATTTACTATCCTATAATAGGTAATGCCGTCATACCAAAGCATGACCAACAAGGATCCAACATTTACAATCGTACTTCGCTCATCACAACAGAACAATCTAAAGTCTAAACCACACATTCTTAATTCATAGAACCGATAATACCAACGAGTTAGTCTGGAATGACTTGCTCATTATTATAATTAACTAAAACTGTTCGAATTTATAATCGAACACATAGAACCAGAATTGCCAAAATTAAATGCATCCAGATGACAGTGGAAATATAAACTCGAATGTAAACACTCCATGTGAACAATTTCTACAGCTCAATCCAGGGTTGTACATCACACCGGCAACTAAAATCAACCTAATCACGGAAAAAAATTAAAAAAAAAAAAATTGAAAATACTAACCTGCAAATCGGTAGAAACTTCAACATCACTGATTGTAGTAAGAGACGAGAGGTACCGATCCGCACCCAACGCCGCCTCGGGCAACACAGCAAACTGCAAAACCTTATCGGTGAGCAACATATCGGAGAGCTCTCTCTGTATTTGCTTCGACACCATTTTCACTCTCCTAGGGTTTGCCATGCATATAATCGTTCTGTTTCCACCACCACCGCTGCTATTGCCGCCGCAAGAGGTGGTTGTAATTACCCGGTGCAGCGGCGGCCGGCTGAGACCTAAGGAGGCGAGAGGGCAAAACGACCGCGCGGAGTGTGCAATTGAACATGGCGGTGTGATTAATGAACGGTTGATTAGAAGGCGAGGCATTAGATAATTTTCCGGTGGGAGGGAACAAATCAGAAATTCAGATTATCTTGTTCGCCATTTGAGGGTAATTTCGGAACAATTCGAAAAGTATCTGACCCGAATGAATTGGGCTTTTTGTATGGGCCAACATGCATTCCTTTGTTAGATTGTCGGGCTTTTGATACTCATTCATTCTAGCACTTGCATACCTGTCAGAGCAGGAA